GGGTACAGCTGCCTATACGGCGCAGTCGGGTATATAAAGGGGCAGCAAGATCACAGTCAGCATAGTTTTCTGCCGATCAGACAGTACACTATAACCTCAAACATAATGTTCAAACTGGTACGTTAGACGACAAGCGTTAAGTGGATTTTTTATTGCAGAGGATTGATAATTGTTCGTTGCAGTTGTTGTTCTGCCTTCTTGTGGCATTCGCTGCTGCCAACCCAGCTCCCCAGCCTGGACCGCAGCCAGCCCCAGCACCAGCACCTAGGCCGGGCTACTACGCTTCCTCGTACGGCTACATCGCACCAGCGGTCGCTTACAATCCCTACGCACCACTCACCTACACCTGGCCATCCGCCGGCTACATTCTCTAAACTACTGGACTGGTCGCAAGCTCTCGCTTTAGTTGATTAATCAGCCGAGCGTTGGCGACTATTTGAGCCCGGTCATTTTGGCATGCATTGTCGAAAACTGTCATTTCCTCGTCATCATCATCACTCATTTTTCATCCCATTTGGAGTCTGATTGCAACACACCACCGCCATTGTTTCATTAAATGAGACAATTATAAAAATGACAATCACAATAAAATTGCTTCAAAGCTGACCTTCATTGCAAACCATCATTGTTCATTTTTTTTAACAAACCTGTTTCCATCAGATACCCTTTTGAGACACTGTCTAATAATGTTCGTCAATAACAGACTATAAGTGGCAAATAGTGTATAAAAATAATTAGCTCTAACGTTGACATTTATGATCTACAATTTTACAACATGTTACATTACGTATCTGTCATGACAATAAAAATTCTAAAATTAAAAAAAAATCTGATTACTCGAGAAATGACAACAATGATTTTGGAAAAATCATTTATCGCGTTCTAGTATCTTATAATATCTTTAGTCACCTTAAGATAGTTTAGGCACGTTAAAGAAGAAGTACCGACGATACAAAAGGTGAATATTCATTTTAATATTGGTTCGTTAATAGTTACTTGCTAATAAAATGTTACTAGAAGACTCGACTGGATTTAAAACGAAGCGAGAATTCAATTAAAACTAGGACAGTGTGCTCAATGGAACCTCTGTGTTAACTCATGTAATCTATATCTAAACTTTAACCATTTTACTTATTGTCTGATTATGTATGACAGATTGTAAATAATCTAGGAGTAATAAAAGAAAAACAACATTTTAAGAAATTTGCTATACAATTGTTGTCGCTTATCAATCAAACAAAATCTTAGTTAACCAATTAATGATTGTTATATAAAATTGGTTGTTTGAAACTTGAATTTGATTACTTTGCTTTAAGGAAATAAATATTCATATGAAAGAGCTAACAAAAAATTTTTTTTCCAATTTTGAGGTAGTGTAATTTGTCTTATATCTGAAATTTAATAATTTTTTTATTGGACGACCTCGATGATGAGTATGAATCACACCCCATCCACTACACTAATAAAACAATTTCTTTCCAATTTTCAGGTAGTGTAGCTTGCGTTATATCTGAAATTTAATAATTTTTTTATTCGACGACCTCGATGGTAAGTATGAATCACGCCCCATCTACTACACTGTTGATCGTAAGTAGCCATGTATCCTACATTGGCTTGTATAGTAGACGTTAAAACAGAGTGGGAAACAAATGTGAAGGAAGATTATTCGTTCTAGTAAAACTTAGATTAGATGAGAATGAATTAATACTCTAAAAGTCTATACATTGAAACCACAATAATCTACAAATTATTTTTAGAGGGCCGAAAGATTTGCAAAACCTTTACGAATAAGTCTCAAAATATTCGGATTCTTTGGGAAATCATTTAATTTCAATTAAGCATAGTGAACTGAAAATCATCACTTTTTCAACTTTTTAAAAATCCTAAAAAAATCCACTATACAAAAGGTTTAGACATCTCGGACACACGTAATTATTAGAATATGATTTAAATACACATAGATGATACAAAAAATTGATAGCCAAAAATTGATGCTTTTGTTCAGACTATGCCGATATTTTATTAGCACAGTGAGAAAAATCTATAATTTTTCGATGCATAACAGTACCTATGTTACATTCAAACTATTTTGACACAATATTACGTATGCATGCAGCATAATGGTCTTATAGCATACTGAAGTTCAGACAAACAGTTCTCTCGATTTTTCGAATAGTTTTATCAGTTGGAATCAATTAATAGACTGAAAATGAAAACTTATTATATATATATCTTATATAATGTTCCGCCAACGCTGGAATTAAGAACCTATAAGACATTAACAAAAATAAATTAAACGAGAGCAAAATTTCTACGGACCTCCGTGAACTTTGACTGGCATCTCTCGACCTAAAGCATGCCTATACGCTTTGAGAATGATAGTATAGAGATTCCGCTATTATTCAGTATATCAATGAAACCACAACATTTCATAATACGATGTTTTAGCAACTTTACTACTGCGACCTTCGAACTAAACAACAAGCTGAATCGATGCAAAAATTCAGCAGTGTCACTTTGCGATTTCGTTACGGTTGAACAGTCAATGAATCTGTCATCTAGCCATATTTATATGTAAAATACTCACCTACTGTGAGACCGAAAAATATCCTCCGCAATATATCAAAATTTAATCAAGTGTGTTCTACCGATTTTAATACCGAAACTATTTGGTTTGATCAATATAGTTGTTAAAACTCGTTTTGACGTAATAGCCGTCATTGATATTAAATTGGATATATTCACCGTCGATCTCTCAATGGATATTATCTGTTAGCATCAACTATTTCGTTAGTGAATTTATGTATTAGTATTTGAACCGCATAATTTAAAAAATTTTTTTTTAGCATTTAGCTCGGCAATATTTCTCTTGCAGATCTCAATCAAAAAGTAGACTATTTTTTTACTCGTCTCAACGTTTCTATTCCCAATAAAATAAAACAATCTCTACCTTAAGATGAAGATTCAGCTGGTATAGTTTTGGTGAAAAATTTAATGGATCATTTCGATGGATACGAGCCTGTCGCCTTGGAAAGGAATTTCGATGTTGGTGGTCTCTACATTGACCTGACAGTAGTATACTACTGTTGACAAACATGGACTTCCATAGCGCACAGTATAGTGTTTCAAGTACATCCGGTACAACCAAATGAATCTTAAAAAACATGTTTTGGCATGACAGTGAAAATATATTTTGGCATTATGATAAGAAATAATATTTTTTTTAATTACGTTGTGCCTAGATTATTGAATTATAGATGGAGAACCGAGTAGTTGCGTAAATCACGAAACTGTTATAGATTACATCAAATTTTTCCGATCATTGTAATCTTCGAGTATGAATAACAGACTAACATGTATATACATCCAATTGAAAAGTGCGTTTTTTCTAGTCTGCTGTTTTTTACTATTCGACACAAACGTCGAGAGTAACAGACGTGTCTAACTAGCCAAACCAACACCATCCATCTCGGGATGTAGAAACGCTATATCATTCACATTTATATTTATTTAATCCAAATATGTAAATGCAATTCTAAAACTACTAGTTACTGCAAGGCTACAGAAAAGCATTAGAGTTTCCGTGCACAGGATTGTAAATATCTATAATGTTCATATTGTTTAGCAATTTGTTAAGAATTTTAATTTTCATATTAATAGCTTCAATTTCATATAAATACAGCTATGCCAATTTTAGCCTTTTTGTATTGCAATTAACTAATTAATAACCTAAATTCATAACAACATATTCGTTATAGTTTCTTATAACAATAGCAATAGTTTATTTCTTACCACACCACGCTCATTATTTGCAATAACAGCAGTGTCATCAGTATACCAAATTACAATATTAGTATATAGGTATAAGTAGATCATTTATACGAAAGATAAGCAATAGAAGATCTAATATTGTTCCTTGAAGATCAATATTAATATCCCTATAACAACGGTATATATTATTAATTCTGACTTTGTTGCCTACACATTTAATCAATTTTTATTGACTTTGAAATAGTTTTCAACAAATCTCCGTTTATTACAAATCCAAAAATCACTCAATAATTGACGAGATTCGACGTACAATATACAGTTTATGAAAAAAACTTTCAACAATGTTGTAGCGCACAATCTCACCCTCTTAATTGAAAATCTCCATTTTCTTTTCACTCTTTCCACTGTTGTTGGCAGACTAGTTATAAGTCAAGCAACAATTGGATTTTCAATATCTCCGTCCGGGATTCATCTCTATATATATTGTTATTATATAAATACGTCCTCGACCGTTGGTAAAGCAGGCATTACCTTTTTGATAATGAAACTAAATAAAAGACAAAATCACAACTTGCAATAGATAGTAAAACAAATTTAAGAAAATTTAATGAGTTATGTAATAATCAACGATTACTTCAATAATAATTTATATGAACTAACGCCGATGACAAAATATTTTTCTGATTAAATGACGCAGTAGTGAGTAGTGGTACGTATGAAGCTGTGGCAGCACCCAGCATATGATATATACGTATGAATGTACATACATATACTTGCACACATATGCATACATACGTACTTTCCCGTATTGAAAGTCTAGAATGTCACTTATGTATCAGGAAAAAGTTTCAGTTCCGTCGATGCAGTCTTCAGAAAGTAATTCGAAAAAAAAACATTTTCTGCCCAGCGGCCTAAAAGTAGCTTTTTCCAGATGAAGGAACTTAGCGGAAAATCGACAAAAATTGATCCGCAAAAATTCCTAGAAAAACTACGCGTGAATGGCAAGGATAGCGAAACTCAAATTAAACTCACATTACACATACTCTACCTGAGTGTGTCGTTTTCGCTATTTTTTCTCTATAATATTGCGATCATAATGAGTGAAAGTCTACTTGTTTACTACAGTTTGGGTACACTCATATTTCACATTCGCCTGTGAAAAAACTTTCAATGATGGGAATTGGAACTTTGGTCTTGCTATTTATCCCAAACGCGCAATCCATCTATTACAAAAATTATAAAATTTTATTTATTCCAGCTTCCTCACACAGCTTACATGTAAAATTAACAATAAATATGACAATCACCATCTGATATGTACGTACATTTACTATAGAGATCAGAGCACCTATTATGAAAAATAAAACAATATGATATATCTCTAGTATATCTTATTTGTACTAAAAACACAAGCTTAGACTTTTTAAAAACTATGTTATCGTTATTGTTAATGCATGTTTGTTTAATTTATAGACTTGGAACGTTTTACATAAAAAATATATAATTGTGTACAATTTGTTGCATTTTTTCATATATAATGATTCTAATGCTTGTAAATAACAATCTTGCAGTGCAAAAATGCATTTGATGTCATATAAAAGAATAAAATCAAAAGAACCGCATGAAAATGATTTCGATGAATAGCGTTTTCATTAGAACTATTTTGTAAAAACCGTTTGAAATAAAATTATAAGTGAACCTTGCGTCGTAAACGCTTGTTAAATATTTATCGCGTTTTTGACGAATTTCATCAATCAAGCAATTTAAGTAAAGAATTGAGAAATTTACTTAGTAGAACGTGATAAGTCGTCTATGAGTGCTATACTAAATCGCACTTCGAAACGCTTGGCATTTGCGCATCAATCTCAGATTCCCCGTTCATTGTCACGTCAGCGATTCCAGTCTCCGTGGGCGGACACATGCACTGCTCGAGAAGTTGAACTTTATTCGTGGTGCTCCGAGGAAAGGTCAATATCACTATTCCATGTTGCTTGGCATATTTGAGATTCGCCAAAGAAATGTGATATCGATTGTCATCTATTAAAAGTAATACTGGCGTGTCATCGTTGCTTTTGACAAACTCGACAAAGTGTCTCAGATAATCGAGAAATATTTTCTTTGTCATTATACCACTCGGATGCGACTTGGCTTTGCTTCCCTGGGGAGCATCTTGAAGCAGCTGGTGCTTCTGATAGCGGGTGTACGAAAAAATGTAGAATGGCGGTATCGATTGGCCAATTGCTGAAACTGTCCCGACGAAAGTGACTAGCGATTTACCTGTAAAAATTATCGGTTATCGCAAGACATCAATCATTTAATCAGTTTTACTGGTTACCTTTCGATGGGGAACTTTTTGGAGCGTCTTGCTTTTTACTTGACTTGTCGTCTCGTTTCGTCTCAGCCAGCATCGATGCGCCAGGCTCATGTAATTTACATTGCTCTAGTACGTACACATCTTTTGGCTGAAATTTGTACTTGGCCAAGACTCGATTGTAATTCTTTTTGAAGAAAAGCCCCTTGTTTCTGTGAGTCCCCATTATTTGCTCGAGGATCAGAGTGTCAGGGATAAGTTGAACTAGTGCCTTCGCATGCCTGTCTTTGAAATTTAAAAACCAATCTTTTCCGGCTATTTTGTGCTTCTCCCAATTCGGCGGTAGCACTATTTTCCTTTCGACGGCCAATTCGTAAGCTAATTGGCGGATCCACCGTGCAGCCACTGTCAAATGCACTTCCGCACACATAATTACGTACGATAATAATTCCTCTTCTTGTGCGTTAGAAAACACTCGTAGGGTGTAACGTTTTTTCATTACATTTTCCTCTATGTCGATATTTTCTTTATTGTGCCTTCTCCAATGATAACTTAGTGCTGACATTTTCATGTTGTAGTCCTTCGCTACTTGTGTAATTGATTTTTTTGTTTTTTTCAGTGTTTTCAATGCACTTATTATTGTCTTTATGTCGTATGTGTTGTGATTCGTTTTTCTTACGTAATTACGAACCATGTTTCCGCAGAGATATTCGTAGAGAAAGTCAGAAGCTGTAAATGTGAAATAAGAAAGGAAAAACGAATGTCAGTCGACGTTTGTCATTTTTCCATGCTTTTTATTTCAAGAACCACAGACATTTGCAATTTGTTAATATACGATGTCGGCATTCTATTACTTGACGCTCACCCACAAAGTCAAAAATATTTTCGTAAGACCATGCCATTATTAGAAAAAAGGCTATTCATAAATTTTGTAGCATGAATGCCATCATCTTGACAAAATTTACTCAAGATTTATGTAGCATACGCATTTTTGTAAATGAAAACGAACAAATTGAGTTCACAAATGAAAAGTGATTCATTTAAATAATTCAACAAGCGTTAAAGTTGTCATAAATCAATTATCATTATGTAATGATTTGCCACCTTGTTTTATTCCAAATAGAGAATGACATCATGCAAAACAAGACAGACTATTGTGATTATATGCAAGAGTTTCAACGGTGCGTCTATCACGGCACATCAAGCATTTAGTAGCCGATCGATAAATTGAGCCGCCAAAGAAGTGCAATACGATAGGGCAGCGTCCATCAACGATTTGATTGGTCAGCCCCAGCAAATTATTTAAAAGTTTTTAATAGCGGGATTAATGCATAGGTTGAACCAGATGGTGAAACCCGTAGACGCGCACGTACGAGCAGGTAAAACTGGAATTCATCGGGTAGCTTTCTCTCGCCAATGATAAATCTCGCGTGGAAAATTTCAGGCGATACGCGTGTTATTACAGCACGCCAAGTGAATTTCAACGGGATCGTTAAAAATGCTTCCGACCTGGCAAAGTGCAGCGAGGCAGAACGCCAATCGATTTCGTATACTCCAGCCGATCGCCGCACGCGCGAGAGAAAACGTAAGTTACGCGCAAATCTTTTTTCATCGAAGCGCGAGGCTCATCGCTCGGGTTTCCACTGCGAATGGTCGTCGCGCTGACCAACCGATATCATTCGCACGACCACAACATTCTTTACAGCGCTCGATCCCGTTAGCCGTCCGCCAGCCGCGCGCTCATCTGCGCCGCGCAGCGCCAAGCTGAAACGCTTTCTAAAGTGAAAGAACAAGCAGAAGCGCTTACTCACGTGCACGATCGGGGAAAGATTCGTCTCACGAGCCCACAGCCTGTCGCGGCGACAGCCACGACGAACGCGACCGACGTGAAAGATAAATAAAAAAAGAAGCGTCGAGCGCCTGGTCCTTTCCACGGGCAGATTCGCGCGTTCGCGGCCGTGACGTCGCCGCGCGAGTGTCTGGTTTTTTTCGGTCCCGCGCGCGACTGCCGACTGCGGAGAGCGCCGACGCTGCCGCGAGTGCCACCGGCGAGCGGCAGGCGCGCGTATACGTGTAAGTGCGCCCGAAAAAGCGATCTGACTACTCGTCGACGCGAGAGACCCCACCACACCTGCCTCGAGACTGGTTGCACGTAGCCGCACGCGCCGACGTGGCCGCTGCATCCCGCGCGTAGCCCCGGATTTTCGCGTGGCTCACCAGGCGACTGCCGCTGTCGATCACGTGCGTCGGCGCTTTTCCGCGGCGATCGTCCCACTGCGTCGCTTCGTTGACCGTCAGACCGACAGACGAAGACGCCTTGGACACGGCCCTGCAATCAATTGCGAGTGTGTTATGCAAGCGTCAGGTTAATTTGCATTTTGTGCATGTAGCCAGCTCTTCTCGATGCTCACTACTCACATTTTCATGGCTCGCTGGCAATTCATCATTTTGAAAAGTAAATAGGAATGAGCATTGTCAAACAAACGACCATTGATCATGCGTTATCTTTTATGCTTTTACGAAGAAGGAAGCAAGTTGTGCGGGCATTGCAAGCTTGATTCACGCATATTTTTATTGATTTCCGTTCGAATATCGGCATCGGTTGTCGACGTATAGCCGTGGAAGCATCGGAGATGCAGCACTGGTGAACACGCGAGAAAACAGTTGATGGCAAACATGCAAAATAAAAGGAGGCCTCACACGCCAAGAATAAACTCAATCAAGCCAGTCAGTCTCCCGACGAACCATGGCGCACCTCGACACGCAAGCGATGCAAAGTCTGATGCAATCTCAACGGGAAATCCAACTTCGAGATCTGCAACAAGTGCTTCGCAGAAGATTTGGCGACGGCGTCGATTTGCTCGACTTCTCGAGCGAAGCTCTGGTCAAACCCGGCGATAATTACGGCAGCACGATGTTGAAAGTGACTGCGAGCGCAACGTTCAATGATCGCGACGGCGTCGAAAAACTGCATTTGGTCGCCAAGATGTTGCCAACGTCGCACTTTCAAAGAATCGTTTATCAGTGTAATTTTACGGTAAAGAAGGAGATTTTCGCCTTCGAAGAGATGTTGCCGGTGTACAGGAGCTTGTACGTGGAGGAATTCGATGTCGTACCCAAGTTTTTCGGAGCGAGATTGTCAGCTGAGCCGGATACTTACGAAGTTGATGACGATGCTGTTATATTGCTGGAGAATCTGAAAGAAGCCAAGTACGTTATGGAGAATAGATTTAAAGGTTAGCTTTCTCTTGATTCCCGTCACATATCGGAAAGTGATTGTTCATTGACCTTATTTGGATGTTGTATTACCTAGGTTTAACGATGGATCATATGAGGATAGCACTGCCAGCAATAGCGCGATTCCATGCAATCGGTATGGCGATTAAACAGAAGAATCCGACTTTTTTCGCGAAAATCAAACGATACGCTCGACCACTGGACATGCCCGACGCGATGATCAGTCCATTGATTATCGGCATGCAATTGGTGATAAAAAAGGAGCCGCAATTAGCTGGGTACTACGAACGTGTGATGGCATTATACAAGTGTGGCAAGACAGTCAACTGCTTTTTACAAACGACTCTTGAACCCGACGATCCATGGGCTTGCATAGTGCATCGAGATTTGTGGAACAACAACGTCATGTTCCACATCGACGAGCAATCTCAAAAAATCGATGCTTTCAAATTCTTCGACTTTCAGAATTACTGCTTCTCGAGTCCAATGACTGATTTATTGTTTTTCTTGTTCTCCAGTATGCAACGCGATTTGGCTAACGTGAGCGAGGCTATCGAATTGTATCGAGTAAGTGCTTATGAAACGTTGGAAAAGTTAACGTGCGACGCGAGTTTATTTGACCAAGAGACATTTGAAGTGAGATTGAAGGAAGACGCAAGAAGTGAATTGTATCACTCGATACTTATGGCAAGGACCGTGGAGTTGCGTAGTGTCGAGGAGTTCGTGCAGCCAACCATCAATGAGTTTTGCTTGAGGAGAATACTGAGGATTTTGGAGATATACGACGATAAGAAGTGGTTTTAATGAGAAATTATGTTTTGCGGTAAAGTAAGGAGCGATTTATTACAATCAATACTTAGAAAATACACTTTTCACGTAGTTGACTTCTTATTTTTGTCATTTACTTTTAGCAAAATTTGCAATGATTCGTTGTACTTTACATATAATCAATACCCAAGTCAGGAGGGAAATCGTCCAATTATAAATATTTAGCTTCATTTTTTTTACTACTACAATGTTATAACATCTTTGAAAAAAACTACTTATAACACTTTTTTTATAATAAATGTCGAATCTCGATAACCGGTCTTCTCGAATCGAAACTTACCTATAATTCTAAATAAGAGCGTATCACGTTATATTTGATTTATACATTTCTGTAACTTTATATAAACTCCACAAAAAAATAAACAAACTATTAAATTATGTTTTTGGTCTTGATCTATAAGAATGACAATAAAAAATAGATTTTACCTAAAAGTAATGCAACAAATTCTTTTGCACCAAATCGCATAAGCCAGGACCTCTGCCAACGTTTCTACCACCTCTACCTCTGGCATTCGTACTAGAATTAGCTCTAGCGGTCTTCGGTGCAGCATCGTTTGGTCCGACAGTACTGTAATTAAAGTATCAATATATTTTTTTCTAACTGCTTTTATTACAGCAATTGTAGGAGAAAACGCTTTTGATGTTACCCAAACGAGTTTCCATCTGAATTGTTTGGTTTCAATCTCTTTGTTTGCCCACGAAATTTACACTTTCGTTTGCCATTGTTGCTGTTATTGTATCTGGTTTTAGTTGTTGGCATCCATTCACTATCACTTTCGAATTCCAAATCTTGATAGGCACTCTGAATTTCACTTTCCTCTTCTAATAGTTCTAAAAGAATAAAAAACAAACGTTCGCATAAATATTAGCCACGTACAGGTCTCAACAATTGAAACTCACTGCTTTTCTCTTTCGCATATTTCTGAGTGATATCCAGCAATGCTTTGCCATATTTCTCGTAGTTCGCTTCCGTCACGTGTGGTATTTTCATCATTGCCGCTTGCATAGTTGGCAATTCTTGACTCATTTTACGCAGTGCAACCATGTTCATTATCGAATTTGCCGAGACGTCAAGTGCACCAGCGATACCATTTACCATACTCATCAATTCTTCGTAGCAACGTTGCTCGATATCCTTCAAAGCCGCATTTGTCACAGCCGACATTTGTGGTTCTGGCAAGATGGTTTCTGTTGGTATCGTTGATTGTATGTTTATTATTTTCTTTTGCAAGAAAATCTGCAAAAGAATGAGAGAAAAATCGTAAGTATGCTGTTGACTTATTTTGAGTTTTGAATTACCTGCACATCACGACCGTAAAGCAACTCATTGGCATATACACCAAGCGCAAGGTAGGCACAAACGATACCATTGTTCGGCTCCATATTTTCGCAGAGATAATTATTAACGACGAGTATATGCATCAAACGTTCGATTTCGTACTTTGTTATCGACTTGCCTCTGCCATACCACTGATGATATGAGTTACCTGCATGAAAAGAAACAAAGAAAAAGATAAACTATCGAACCTTTTGTTTTTTATTTTTTAATAAACTTGTCGAATTTGTAGGCAACCTAATATATAAACTGGCATTTTTTAAAATAAACTTACCAAGCTTGTTGACAATGTGAGATATATCCGAGCCTTTGTATATATTGACAGCTTGTAGCATCGTTACGCAATTCTGACGGATGCTGTTCAAGTAATGAATGAGCTGTATAATATTCTTTGCATGATCCGTAACGTCCAATTCTTCGAATCGATCCTGGCACAAAGAGCAAAACTTAATTTTTCTCCATTTTTATTCGATTTTTACTTTTGATACTAACGTGCATCTGGCAATTATCACATGTAGTTTCCTTATTTTCAATGCAGTTTCGGCGATCATATTGCTCCCCAAAATAATTCAATTGCAATGCTCGTCTGCAGTCAGCCAAATTCTCGCAGAAATGTACCATTCTATTAAGATTCTCCATGTGTGTCTTAACCGCTTCCGGATTAGTGTTTTCGTTGCGTTCAAATAGATTACGATAACGATAAACATCACCGTAGTTGTACAACAAGATACAATCTGCAGGTTCACCATCGCGACCAGCACGACCACTTTCTTGATAGTAACCTTCGATGGATTTTGGCATTGCACCGTGTATCACAAACCGCACGTTTAATTTGTCGATACCCATGCCAAATGCAATCGTTGCGACAATTATTTTTACCTTGGAAAAGTAAAACAATCGACGTAAGAATAAAAAGACATGTCTTTTTTCACAAAGATTTTTTATTCTACCTTTTCAGAAATCCACTGTGTTTGTCTCTCAATCCTAACCTTGTCAGGAAGCCCAGCATGATAACTTGAAGCCTTCAAACCATTAATCGAGAGAGTTTCTGCAAGATTGTCACAATCTTTACGTGAAATGCAATAAATTATACCACAATCTTTCGGGAATTTCTTTTTAATTATTTCGGTTATCTGATTGCACGCTGCCTTTTTTTTCTTAGTGATCACAGTGTAACGTAAATTTGGTCTATTAAAGCTCGAGATAAACCTACAACACAAATTAAATTATCGACATAATTTTACATTGACTTCTGTTCATAGGAAACCTATACCATTTCGGTGATTGTAGATTCAGTTGATGCAGAATATCACAACGAACTCTTTGCGTAGCAGTTGCAGTCAATGCCATAAGTGGTACATCAGGAAATCTCTGCCTGAGCATATACAATTTTTTATAATCAGGTCGAAAATCATGACCCCATTGGCTCACACAATGCACCTCGTCGATGACAAATCTAACGAGCTTTCCCCGCTGATATAGAAAATTCAACGTGCTCGTAAACTTTGACGAACTTGAGATTTTTTCAGGTGTCACGTAGATAAGACGAAGCTCGCAATTGTTCTCGTGAAGCTTTCTATATACGAGATTTTGTTCGGCGTCGGTTTGATCGCCTGTCATGTACATTGCTGGAATCTATGAAAGAATAAACATGTATATTGTTGATATTGTATAGTTTAGCAAAGTAACGAAAAATAAAAATACATACATCGAGTGAAAGTAGCTTTTGTGTTTGGTCGAGTATGAGACTCCTCAATGGTGAGATGACAATTGTAACGCCTTCGGCCATGAGAGCAGGTAATTGATAACATAAAGATTTTCCTCCGCCGGTCGGCATGAGAACAAAGCAATCGTTACCCAAAATTGCAGCGTTTATCGCTGACAGTTGATTTGGACGAAACAGGTGCAGTCCGAATTTCGAACGGAAAATCTGCAAAAACATTCAAATTGATTATCGTCATACTCTTGAAAGGCAATTATGTTTATTACGTTCAACATTTGTCGGCAGTGTGGGTGATCAAGTGTATTAAACTCCTCTTTATCACCGTCGTTATTAACATTTCCGATGAGGTGTATCATTGTGTTGTTGCTGTTGCTTTGAAGTAAACTTTTGGTTGTTTGTTCGCTTATTACAGCTTCCTCTTTGAATTCTGAAAATTCTTCGCTCTCCAATATTTCTTGTTCATTGAAAAAGAACTCTATCAAACAAATGTCTGATTATTCAATTTAAAATTCAATATGACAAAAAAGATCTATATATTTTTGGATATATATTGCGTTATAATAGAAATCTTAACGTATAATTTAGATAAAACATTGATACGATAACAGGAAACTAACGAATTCGAAAAGCATCGAAATAAATTTTTCTACCTTCAGAATTATCTGCATAATGTGCCAAAAAGCCTGGTAAATCCATATCTAACAATCCATCATCGTTGAAGAAATTTGTGCGAGGCAATGTAGGACTTTGCATCGAAGTTAGCATAGTTGATCCATTATTCTTTTGAATTGATGAATTATACATGGTCAAAGTGGATGTAGATGATGGCGTTGTATCAACGAATTTCGGATTTTGCGAGATTGACGGTCCGAAACACGCAGATAAAGGTTTTTTTGGTTGGACTTGACTTATCGGTTCACTCAGTGGAAGACTGAACTGTGGAACAATAAAGTCTCTCGCGTTGATGTCACTAACCGGACTGCATTGAAACTCATTATTATCTTCTGGTTCTATCGACTGCATATGCGATAACGGAAGTTTGCGTTGAATTTGACGAATTTTCGCGTTAATCTGTTGATTGAAAACTTTCAGTCGTTGGTAGATTTTTGGATCGAACCCTGGCAATTTAATAAACATATGTAGGGGAATGGCATCGAAGCTTGAAAATAACTTTAAATTCAACTCCGACTGTATCTCGTAGAGTTTGCATATTTGTTTTTGAACGTCTCGTTCATTTGACTGAAAAGAACACGTAACATCTTACATATCTATGATTACGCTTTTCAATAGCTAATCAAAATTACCTCGCTAGTTTTTAAGTTGATCCACTCGTTCAATTTTTTGTCAATCCCCAACGACTGCATTGCACTTATTAATCTTTTCAACTATACTATTTACTTATTTTCATTTCCAAGCTCCGATAACACGCTCAGTAAACTTTTTACGAGCTACTACATAAAATAACACTCAGCGTAAAAGAAAAAGTAACATTTTCATAATTCCACGAATGTCATCAATCAAGAAACGAAATCATAATCACCTGCTCTTTCATATGAAGCTCAATGACTAACAGTGTTCGAAACATAATCTTCCCCAGCGCTGTTCCTCAGAGCCGATCTTCCCCCTCTTTATTTTCGACAGCTAGCGCCGGTGAAGAAGTCGCTTTCCATCATGGAGACAATATCACAGAAAGTTGTACAACCACATATGTAACGTAACCTAACCTATGTCGATAGAGTGCGAGCGAGTGATGCGCATGTGTCTGCGTCGTGTCGTCTGTCGTGGGTGTGTACTGTATATGTGATTCGTCACAGAACAGAGGCGCGTAACATCATTGCCGAAAGGTGGACAGAACAAATGACGCAAGGTGTGTGTGCAGCAAGAATGTCTCGCCACTGTTGCTGCTGCTGCTGCTGTTCGTCGTCATCATAATCAGCATCGCGAGGTTGAGCTCTCGACAGAGCAGCCTGGACTGTGTGCAAATCTGGTGATTGATTGATTTTCTTTAGTATCGTGAAGAATTTATTTGTCATTAAATCTGATGATTTTTGTGTTGTTTGAGTTTCACATCTTGTTCTTCGTCTATATACCCATTTCCTTTCACACGATGATGTACAGGCAAGCCAGTGAATTGTGTAAACATATACTTACTATGACAAATTCTTTTTAATAAAGCTGTTAAGAGTTATAGAATACTTTATCAGATGTAAGTTAGTGATAACATTTGATTCGTCTCTGCAGGTGCTTCTGATGACAATGCGAAATAACAGTAAGACCAGAGAAATGTTCATTGTACGAGCCTTAGAGAAAATACTCGCTGACAGAGATGTCAAACGATCACATCTGTCACAGCTCAGAAGAGCATGTGAGACTGCACTTGGTATGTTTATACATATTGGTCATAATGGAGATATTGTGAGTTATGATTTCATGTTTAATTTGCAGAGGATCTCCGAAATGAGATCAAGGAGGTTCCAAATACACAAGGCGAGGAAGCTCCATCGAATGCTTTACCACAGCCCAAGAATGAATCTAACTTCATTAGTGCAGAAAAGTATTTTCTACCATTCGAGTTGGCCTGTCAAAGTAAATCACCTAGGATAGTAGTGACATCCTTAGATTGCCTACAAAAACTCATAGCTTATGGTCATCTTACTGGTAGCATTCCAGACTCAACTGATCCTAATAAGTTATTGATAGTACGCATAGTGGAGACAATATGCAGCTGTTTTATGGGTCCTCAAACAGATGAGGGTGTACAGTTGCAAATAATCAAGGCTCTATTGACTGTGATGACAAGTCAACATGTTGAGGTTCATGAAGGGACTGTGCTGTTAACTATTAGGACTGTTTATAATGTTTATTTGGCATCTAAAAATTTAGTTAACCAGACGACTGCTCGAGCTACTCTTACTCAAATGATTAATGTGATATTCGCCAGAATGGAGACTCAAGCCGTAAGTAATCCTGAGTGTTTATTTATTTTTTATAGGTTTTGGATTGGACAATGGATCAATATTTTTTCATTATAGGAAGAGGAAGGTATGAAGCCTGAGTCTGAGCCACAAGGTATAACAGTTCCTCAAGGTATAGAAGTAGAGAGTGAACCTATAAATACATCATTGAGAAGTTCTGTGATGCAAATTGGTGCAGAAATCACGACGGAAACACCACCTGCAGATGAACAATCATCACCACGTAATTAATTAATTTTTCATTATATAAATGAGATTACTATTATTAAAAAATGATTCTATATACTCGTATTTTATTATATTATTGGAATCTTCAGTAATTTTTCAAAACTATTTACAGCAGAACCAATAGACATCGCGCAAGAAGCTCAGCAAATCGTCCAATCAGTGATCGACGAGGTGATCAACAAAATTGCAAGAGCAGACATGGTAGAAGAAAGAATTGAAGAAGAGCAATCTAAGTCAGCGATAATCGAGTCACCACCAAATGAAATTGAACAATCACAAATAGAACAGCCAGAAACGCCGACAACTCCATCAGTACCAAGTGACGAGCAGCAGCAACCACCAACTAATAATTCGGTGGAAGAAACGCAAGACGAAGAAGCGCAAGCTATCGCTGAGAGTGATAATATGGTCACGGCAAAATTCACCCATGTATTGCAGAAGGATGCGTTTTTGGTTTTTAGAGCACTTTGTAAACTCTCAATGAAACCTCTACCTGAAGGGACGCCTGATCCCAAGTAAGTTTGTATTTCAAGTATTTACTAAAACTAGATAATAATTTTATCTTGGTAAATATTTTTATAGTTATTTTATTATTGAATAACATTTGATTTTAGATCACACGAACTGCGTTCAAAGATTTTGTCGCTGCAACTACTTCTCGGTATCCTTCAAAACGCCGGTCCAATTTTACGCTCGAACGAGATGTTCATAATTGCAATCAAGCAATATCTCTGTGTTGCATTATCAAAAAATGGCGTATCCTCAGTGCCGGAAGTATTTGAATTATCACTCGCACTTTTCCTCGTGTTACTTGCTCGATTCAAAGTTCATTTGAAAATGCAGATCGAAGTATTTTTTAAAGAAATATTTATGAATATCCTTGAGACGTCGAGTAGCTCATTTGAGCATAAATGGATGGTTATTCATGCTCTAACAAGAATTTGCGCTGACGCTCAGAGTGTCGTTGACATCTATGTTAACTACGATTGTGACCTCTCGGCTGCTAATTTATTTGAACGGTAAGTCCAAATAATTATCTTTGATTTGAACGATTGATAATCAATACGTAATGGATTTATAGTTTAGTGAATGACTTATCAAAGATAGCGCAAGGCAGGCAAGCATTGGAACTTGGCGCGTCGCCAATACAAGAGAAGTCCATGCGAATTCGTGGTCTCGAATGTTTGGTTTCCATTCTCAAGTGCATGGTCGAATGGAGCAGAGATCTTTACGTGAATCCTTCAGTGCCGATTGATCAACAAGTGCCAACGGAACCACCTGATCCGCCATTGGATTCGAATGGTACTACCAATTCAACCAATGGAAGTAGATTATTGCCCAGGTATGGTAGTGCTGGAAGTTTGTCATCGGCTAACTCAAGTTTAGTGGGAAATAAAGAGGTGCCTGACTCACCTGAACAATACGAGGTACAGAAACAACAGAAAGAAGTTTGGGAAACTGGTATTGAGATGTAAGTAGAAATTAAAGTGTGTTTAATATTTTTAGAATTAATACTAATATTCGTTTTTATAGATTCAATCGAAAACCAAGCAAAGGTGTACAATACCTCCAGGAACAAAATCTTCTAGGATCTACAGTAGACGATGTAGCACGATGGTTTCACTTGGATGAGCGTCTAGATAAAACTGCAATCGGTGATTTCCTCGGCGATCATAATAACAATCAAGTTATGTATAGTTACATTGATCAAATGGATTTCATTGAGCGTGATCTTGTTTCTGCGCTTCGTTATTTTCTCGAAGGATTCAGACTGCCTGGAGAAGCTCAGAAGATCGACAGACTTATGGAGAAATTTGCTAGTCGTTACTGCGAGTGTAATCCGAAGTATGTTTATTAAGTAACATAAGAAATAATTTTTTTCTTAACAAAAATTTTTTCCTTTCAGCAATGGTCTATTTACAAGTGCTGATACCGCATACATACTTGGATTCTCGATAATAATGCTGACGACAGATCTTCACTCGCCTCAAGTTAAAAATAAAATGACTAAAGAGCAATATATAAAATTGAATCGACGAATTAGCGACAACGAAGATTTACCTGAAGATTATTTGTCTAAAATTTATGATGAAATTGCTGGAAATGAGATCAAGATGAAAACTAATACCAACAGACCAGGAAAACAAGGTATTGTATTATTATAAAAAAAATTTCAATAAACAAGCAATTACCAATTCGATATCTCGTACAGTAATATCAAGTGAAAAGAAACGCCGTCTACTTTGGAACATGGAGATGGAAGTAATCTCAACAGCAGCGAAAAATCTAATGGAATCAGTGAGTCATGTACAGGCACCATTCACGACAGCCAAACATTTGGAGCACGTAAGGCCGATGTTTAAAATTGCTTGGACACCATTCCTCGCAGCTTTTAGTGTGGGTCTTCAAGACTGCGACGATCCTGAAATTGCTTCGCTTTGTCTTGACGGTATTCGTTGTGCCATTCGTATTGCCTGTATTTTTCACATGACGGTAAGTCAACAAATGAAAAAAGTATCGAATGACTTACAAATATTCATTCTCTTTGTTTAATTATTACAGTTGGAACGAGACGCTTACGTGCAGGCTCTCGCAAGGTTCACACTCTTAACTGCGAACTCGCCCATTACCGAAATGAAAGCCAAGAACATAGATACGATTAAAACGCTAATAACGGTAGCACATACGGATGGTAATTACCTTGGCAGCTCGTGGCTTGACGTCGTTAAGTGTATCTCTCAGCTGGAGCTTGCGCAGCTGATTGGTACTGGCGTCAGACCACAACTTCTGGGGCCACCGTCCAAACCGCATTTTCCATCGCCGCTAGCTAACTTTACGAATTCGGCGAATAATTCGCAGAGTAATGGATTGAATTTAAGCTCCTTAGATCGTAAGTAAATTTTTAATGTTTACATAAAATTTTGGACGTTTTTTTTAACGTTTTTAATTTTCATTCCAGCAAGTGTAAAAGAATCGATTGGAGAGACAAGCTCTCAGAGTGTTGTAGTTGCTGTAGATAGAATATTTACAGGATCTACGAGACTTGATGGTGATGCTATCGTCGAATTTGTTAAAGCTTTGTGCCAAGTGAGCATAGATTTTTGTCAGTTAATCAACAATGTTTTAACCTTTAGATATAAACATAATTATTCAATTTCCGTAGGTATCTCTTGAAGAACTCGCTCATCCAACGCAACCTCGCATGTTCTCGCTGACGAAAATCGTTGAGATATCTTACTACAACATGGGTAGAATCCGTCTACAATGGTCACGTATCTGGCAAGTGATCGGCGAACATTTTGATCGTGTAGGTTGTAGTCCACGCCAAGAAATTGCTTTTTTCGCTGTAGACTCACTTCGCCAGTTAGCAACCAAGTTTATCGAAAAAGGAGAGTTCGCCAATTTCCGATTTCAAAAGGAGTTTTTACGGCCGTTCGAGCACATCATGAAGAAAAATACGTCGCTAGTAATCCGAGATATGGTCGTTAGGTGTGTCGCACAAATTGTACAGTCGCAAGCACCGAATATACGGTCTGGTTGGAAGAATATATTTAGTGTATTTCATCATGCCGCGGGTGACAGAAATGAGGCTGTTGTCGAGCTTGCATTCAACATGACTGGCAAAATTATTAGTAAGTACGCTATGAAAAGAGTGAAAACTTAAGTTCAAATGTAAATATGAATTGTCAAATTTGTTTTACAGATGAATTGTATGCCCAAGACTTTAGCATCATGGTTGACTCGTTCCAAGATGCAGTCAAGTGCCTCAGCGAATTTGCGTGCAATACCGCCTTTCCCGACACCAGTATGGAAGCGATAAGACTGATTCGTTCTTGCGCCTCATATATCGATGCAAACCCTCATTTGTTCGCCGAGGGTATGATGGATGGTTTAGACAATGGAATGGTATCCGAAGAAGATAGAGCTTGGGTAAATAATTTTATTTCAATACAATGCTTTTTCATTTATTGGATCCTCTTAAAAATCTTTTTTTGTAGGTACGAGGATGGTTCCCGTTATTGTTCGAACTATCATGTGTAGTTAGCCGTTGCAAGCTCGATGTGCGAACTCGTGCTTTAACCGTTCTATTCGACGTTGTGAAGACACACGGTGCTTCATTTAGGCCTCATTGGTGGAAAGATTTATTTCAGGTTTTATTCCGCATCTTCGACAACATGAAACTGCCAGAGCAGCACACCGAGGTGATTCATAATAAAAGTAGTGTACCCAAGGACGGATCCTCGCCAAATGTAACATCTTTTATGAATTTCTTAATTATTTTTTTATTATTTTTTTTGTTTGCTTTTATTTTTTGTATTTCAATTATATTTATACAAAAATATTTTTGTAATAGACTAATTTTTTAAAAAATTTTACAATATTTTGCTTGCATAAACAATATATTTGAAGATATCAGTTGAAATTGTAGTAAAACGATTATTTGAGATATTTGAAACGATATCTTATTGAGTGCTTGATTTTTTGGGGAATACCTTGAAAATAGCATTATTTAATTCAATTATCGGGTTTTTCTTAAAACTGAAAGTGTGTGATGTTGCTTGGATTCATCCTTGAAATGCACTGACATTTTACAGCTTGATTGATGGTTTATAAAATACATTACTGCTTCATTCACAACCAATACTAACAAAAACAACATTTCATAATAACATTTAACATACAAACTATACCGAAAGCTCTTTCCACTAATCATTTTCAAAAATTCACAGAAAGCAGAATGGATGACGACAACCTGTAATCATGCACTCTACGCAATAGTCGACGTGTTTTCACAATTCTACGATGTTCTGGGTCCTCTACTGCTCGAACAATTGTATGCCCAACTGCATTGGTGTGTACAACAAGACAATGAGCAATTAGCAAGATCTGGTACTAATTGCTTAGAGAATCTGGTTATTAGCAATGGTATCAAGTTCGATGAAGATACTTGGAATAAAACTGCGCGATGCGTTCTTGACATTTTCACCAGTACACTGCCTACAGCTCTGCTCACGTGGAAACCTCAATCTAGCAATAAGGTAACGAACAAACTATTTAGATATATATATATATTTTTTTTTATTTGTACGTCATTTTCTTTTTTATTGTAGGAATCCGATTTAGATGTGATAACTGGCGACGCGGAATCGCACGTTGGTATTCTGAAACGAAGCTGCAGTACTCAAAGCCTATCTGTAACAGAGAACGTCCGTGTCAAAGTGTTTGCCGCATTGTTAATTAAATGTGTCGTACAATTGGAGCTCATTCAGACGATCGATAACGTTGTGTTTTATCCAGCAACTTCGAGGAAAGAGGATCAGGAGAATCTTGCTGCTGCACAAGCTGACATGTTGAATAGTAAATCGGAAGTTGGGAATATTGGTCCTGGTAAGATTTTTTTTTTTCATTATTCCTGTATGTGTGAACTTGTCTTTCATTAATATTGGTGTTTTATTTACAAGGAGGTGACCAACAAAAAGAAGAACAAGGCATGTACTGTGCATTAACGTCGAATCATCTAATGCAACTAGTCGACTGTTTATTAGCATCGCATCGTTTCGCCAAGAGTTTCAATTCTAACCACGAGCAGCGTAACATCCTTTGGAAAGCTGGTTTTCGTGGCAATGTCAAACCCAATCTACAGAAACAAGAAACTCAATCTCTCGCTTGTGCCCTACGTATTCTCTTCAAGATGTACAGCGACGAGTCGCATCGAAAAGACTGGCCACTCGTAGAGTCGCGACTAATTGAAGTTGCAAACGAAGCATTGGAATATTTTCTTGCGTTAACGAACGAAGCGCATCGAGAAGCTTGGACACCAATTTTATTGTTACTACTCGCAAGAATATTGAAAATGGAAGATGCTAGGTTTGCCGTTCACGTATCAAGCACTTATCCACTCTTGTGTGAGATTATGTGTTTCGATTTGAAACCTGAATTGCGATCTGCGCTTCGAAGGTTCTTTTTGAGGATTGGTCCCGTCTTTAGGATCACACAACAGTAGATGATTTGATTTTCCTTCTTTTAGCTTTTGTTTATTTATGCTACAATGTACTAAGTAATACGCGGTATGAACGTGAATTTCTTGGTTTATTTCTTTCTTAGTGATAACGCTCGTTTTGTGTTTCATTAGATCACTTTGCATTTATTACGAATAACGTAGTGTACAAAGTTTTATATCATAAATCCAAGTTGTTGATCTAACTGCTCTGTAGAAACGAATAGATGAATATCTTCCTGTTTTTTTTTGCTTCTGTAAAAATGACGATAAATTTATGTTCGAAGATTGCCCAGAGAGTAACTTTCCACTAGTTAAATTTATGAAATTATACGTTATAATAAATCTCAAAACATGGCTGTTGATTGGAATTCCATTATAATAGATAATGTTTTGTGAACGTGCATGATTCTTTTTTTTATGTTATTCATAGAAAGTTTATTTGTAAATTATTTAAAAGATGATGTACATACTTGAAAAAGCTAATAAAAGAGCTAAATTTGAGTCAGTTTTTATTTTATTTTAATATTTTTATGGAAAGAAAATTTTTTAAATTGCTAGTGTATTATTTGCGTCTACGACATATATATTTATGTAGGAGTATGTTGTTTGAAGAAAGATACGGATGTAGTATAAATAAACAAAGAGTTTGTGGATGATGAAGTGCTTTAAATCTTTAAGCAACTATATATCAATGTATCATTGATTGTACAGAAAGTGAAAAATACCTATTCTAAAGTATATAGTTGAGAAATAAAAAATCAATAAAATTGATTATTAAATTGATTATATCGTACTAAAAAAACCAATTTTGCGATATATATATACATGAAAAAGTTTCGATCGAAAAATCAAATGCATATTTTTCATTAACTTTATATATCTTTTGATCGTTGTATTGTATTTAGTCAAACAGTCTACTTTATTAGTATGTTGATCTTGATGAACGTTCATTTTTCGTTACATGTAGACGCCGTTCACGTGGATAATTGTAATTATTCGCGTGGAAAAGTCGCTTGTGACACTTAAATATTTGTAACTATATTTCTTTTCCGTTTCACACATGAGAAATAATTGTTCACACGACTGAGCGTACTTACATATTATTACAGCAGTTATATTGTTACGCACGTCCAGATATTAATATTAACGTAGGTAAAAAATGTGTACAGCAACGTACTCTCGTTTGTTTTTATATAGCTGCTACGATTTTAATAAATCTCACAGTCACTTATAAAATATCCATAACTGAGTTTCTTATTTATGTCAGTGACCTTCAAAAATTGAATAGGAGGGAGGAGGTAACATTTTTAATTATACACAAATCCGCACACAGAAAATATCTCGTTTAAGCTTGCTCCGACGACCAACGACTCAATCTGCTTGTAAATATTGTAAGTATAGATAAAATTAAAGGCACAAGTGCTGTACTTGTAGAAAGGTATAAACTCATCTAGGGTAAGGTGGTATTTGAAATTTTTCGCTGAACGAGTAGGTGGCACAAAGGTGTTTTAAAGGTGCGGCCAAGATTGGCGAATGTAAGATTTATTTCCGTTTAACAAAACGATCCAAGCTTTATTGAATTCACACAGAACATTGATTACACACAAACAATCGAACGTCATTAAAAGGAGTAATTAGGTGCAAAACCACACCATTCCTGTATAAAAGCTAACACGTCGTTCAACGGCGAATCGCTCGTACTTTGCCTAGCAGCAGCTGAAAATTTATTCCAATCGTCTCTCGACGCCAATCTCTTATTAGGTCCTTCAAATTGAATGCTCGCACCGCGCACGGGGTAGCCAGTGAGAGCGCATTCCGGCAATGGCGCGGCATCGCTGTTATGGCTTGTTAATGAGCCTACGTAGATACCACGTTGATCCAATGGCAATCCCTGTTCGACTTTCTGATCGACGCTGATCGTGAGAACCCATTCGCGCACTTCTTCGCGTTGCTCGCGACTTAGGGCTAAGCCGAGTGGCAGTGGCACTTCTAATGGGAAGTCCGTTACGCGAAAGTCATCCACGTCTAGCGAAGAAATAAAACGAATGCTTTATCTCGTTTACTTGGTGACTTGAGACCATCGAGGAATGTTTGGCTCACCTAAAACACTACCGTCGCCCTCCTCGACGCACTCCTCCAGATCCAAAAAGTGATTCAAGAAGACGAAGGCCTCGCTGCTGTTCCCAGCTTCGCGCGATTGTACGCCTGCTTCGTAATACGCCTTGTCAGCCACAACGATATCGGTGTATCTCAGAAGCGACACCGAAGCTTTCAGAACGATGCCGCTGAGCGTCGGCAAATTCGTCTTACACGCGAGACGTATCCCGCAGTAATGAACCGCGCTCAGGAGGCGATCAAATTTACTCAGCGTCTGTAATGTAAAATGCATTATCGGTCCGCGCGATCCTCATTGCTTTCCGATTGTACTCACCGTGTAATTGGACGTATCAAGCGCCTTCACCAAATTCAGCACGATGTTCCTCAGCTTTGCGATGTAAGTGTACTCCGCGCTAGTCTCGACGGAATTCAACACTTTCTCGCCCAAATGATAGTAGAGATTGTAATTCTGATTGATCGGCGGTGTGCCGTACTGGCAATACAGCTGCAGCGCCTCGATCACGCTGTCGGATTTGAGTAGCTGGGCCGCGCGTTGCGCCACATACTTGTGCAGCACCGTCGAGCCTGCAACGACAGCGGTAGCAGCGGTGAGGCTCGCGCCCGCGAGAGCTCGCGTTGCTCACCTTGCGACTTGGCGGTCTCGAACACCTGGTCCCACATGCCCTTCCTAATGAGCATGTCGATCGCGGCGTCGGCGTCGACCCTCGCGAGATTTTCCACCTGGCCCTCCTTGATCATCGCCTCCCTGTACAAGTCCTCGAGATAGATCTCGAGGTCCGGCGCCAGCTCCCGGACGAGCCTCTTGGCCTTGGGCCAGTCGTCGCCAGCGGCCAGCGCGTTGACCGCGTCCTTGACGCGGTCGGCCTGGAGGAAGATCTGGGCGGCGAGGGCGTGCTCGCCGGCGGCGAGCAGCCTCGGGCCGAGCTCGCCGGCGACCGCGCCGGCGACGTCGGGCTCCGCGCGGTGCAGCAGCACGTCGGCCGCCAGCCGCAGCACGTGCTTGGGCGCGCGCGCGTCCTGCATCAAGGCGTCGAGGGCCGCGCGCGTCTCGCCGAGCTCGAGGTAGTGTCGCGCCTCGGCGACGGCTCGCTCGGCGTCGTCGCCGTCCAGCTGGGCCGAGCGGTGGCCGAGCTCGCGCCGAAGCGCGGCTTCCTGGTGCGGCATGTAAGTCCGGCAGACCCGCATCGCCTCGGAGTACATGCCGGCGTTCTGCGCGAAATCCCCGTGTCCGTGTGGTTGGCCCGTGGTTCGCTTGTTCGCGCCTTCGCCTCCCTACCTACCTTGTAGTGCGCGACGATGAGCTCGGGCTTGGAGGCGCGCAGCAGCAAGGCCTCGGCAGTGGCGAAGTCGCCGCTCTCGGCGGCTTCGGAGGCTCGGGCGACGAGCACCTGATCGAGCCCTTCCCTGCAGTGATTGTTGGCCACGTACTCCGCTTGGTCCCACTCTCTCAGGTGAATGTACATCTGCACGGCTTCCATCGCTTTCGCGGCTGGCAAAACGAATCGTAAGAAGGTCGGCACGTCGATCGAGCAGTCAGCGGTGGAACACTCACCTCGGAGAAACTCCTGCTCGGCCTCGTTGAAGCGGCCCTCGTCCTCCAGCGCCATGGCGTATCTGTAATGAACCTGCCTCTGCTGCTCCTCGCTGGCGTACTTGACCACCTCGAGCGCCCAGTCGAAGGCCCCGGCGTCGCAGGCGAACAGCAAGCATGCGTCCAGGTAGCCCAGCCTCGTGAGCAGTCTAGCGCCCAGCTCCGGCGCTAGGGTCCTCGCCCACATGAGCGCGACCTGCTGGGCCGCCTTGTCGCCGGACGCCTTCCGCGCCACTCTGAGCGCGTCCTCCCACATGTTCGCCGCCCGATAGGCGGCCACGGCGCCGCGCCAGTCGTCCGCGCCGAGGAAGTGCTCCTCGGCCTCGCGCGGCTTGCCCGCGGATTCCAGCTCCTTGGCGAGCAGCGCGTGCGTGGCCTTGAGCTGGTCCGCGCGGTGCTTGGCCACCAGCCGCACCGCGTCCTGGCGCAGGCCGGCCTCCTTGTACATCCTGATGGCCTCGTCGTACTGCTCGGTCGCGGCGAGCAGCGCCTCGGCGTGCCGGTAGTCGCCCGCCGCCCGCAGCGCCTCGGCGTGGCCGGCGAGGATCTCGTGGGCCTCGCTGGCCGGCAGCTCCCGCTTGGCCAGCTCCTGGGCGCGCGCCCAGTTGTGCGCCGCCGCGTGGGCCTCCACGGCCCGCCGCGGCAGGCCCGCGCGCAGGTAGAGCCGCTCGGCGACGCCGAGGTCACCGGCGCCGGCGAAGTGCTCGGCGACTCTCTCGCAGTGGCCGCGCGCCTCGGCCTCGTCGTCGAGTTCCACGACCTCGATTATCTGCAGCGCCTTCTTCCACTGGCGCGCGAGCACCGCGGCCTTCAGCGCGAGCCTCGTCTCGCCGGCCTCGATGAAGTGGTTGATCGCCGCGTCGTAGTGGCCGCCCGACATCAGGTGGTGGCCCCAATCGCGCTCCAGCTTCACCACGCTGTTCGGCTCGTGCTCTCGCGCTGCAACGCGAGCCTCGTCGTGGCGTGCGTGTCCGAGCGGAAGACGGGCGTCGACGCTTACCGAGTTCCAGCGCCCTCACGAACACGCCGGCCTTCCCGTAGTCCCGAATAGCCTCGAGATACATTCCGGTGCGCTCGTTGATCTCGCCGGCCAGCTCCAGCAGATCCGCGGCCTTCAGTGCGCGCAGCACCTCGCCGACGAGATTCTCCTCGCTCGCCAGCTCGTCCTGCGAGAGCAGCAGTCGCGCCGCTCGCGCTGGCCGCTTGGCCTGCAGGTAGAGCTTGATCGCGCGCTTCGGGTTGTCGGACTCGATGATGCTGGCAGCCTTGGACACCTGGCCGCTATCCATTAGCCACGCGAGGTGCCTGTCCCTGTGGGTCGAATCGGCCGGCTGTGATCGGCAAAGCAGAACCGACGGTGGTGTACCTCAGCTCGGCAAGTCCGTGCCACCTCCGCGTCTGCGCCAGATTGAGCGCCTCCTCCCAGTGCCAATATCTCTGATACATGTCCAAGGCTTTGGTCAGCTCGTTCTGCTCGAGATACAGCGCCTCGGCGGCTTTCAAATCGCCACGCAGTATCGCCAGCTTGGCCCAGCAGTCCGGACTCTGCAGTGGCCTGTGGCCGCTCTCTTCGGCGTATTTCTCGCCCATGCGAACGATCTCCTTCAACATACGACTCGACGCTGCGTCACCCAGAGCCGCGTAACAGCGCGCTGCCACGATCAGTGCTCTGAAATTATTTTCTCCCCTTCAGCGTGCTTTTCCTTCTTCTTCTTCTTCTTCTTCTTCTTCTCTTTCTCGCGAAAGCCAGCACTCTACGACCGCGCGTACCTTCCGCTCATCGCGTTGTTCGCCACGTTCTCCCACATGGCCTCGGTGTGCGGACGATCGCCCAGCTCTTCCAGAAACAGCACCACGCGACCGAAGTCGTTGTCGTGCAACGCGGTGCCAAACTCGATCAGTCCTTCGTCCAGCGGATAGGCCACCTCGCTGGCGTTCTCTTCGACGATCATCGACGTTCTGCCGTTGTCGCGTACGATGTCCGCTACGTCGCCTTTGACCGCGATGAAGGTCGCCGCCTCGGGCGCGTCGACGTTGTACCAGACTGCCACGTTGCTGCCCGACTGCGCTACCACCACGTCGCTGCCCATCACCCAGCTCGCGTAACTGGTGCCGGTGAGCAGCAGCGTGTGGCCACCTTCGCGAGAAAGCAGGTCGCGAACACTGATCGACGAGTCGGCGCGCCGCCACTCCAGCCAAGCCTACCGTTATCGTCGCTCAGCCAAAGCCTCGCTCGCTTGTCCCTCGACAGCATTCGACTCCCCGTCTCGCTCAATTCCAGCCAGTCGATTCTCGCGTCGTGGTGCACCGTCGTCACTGGCTTGCCGCTCGCCAAATCCAATATTTGCACGGTGTGGGGGTCCAGCAGGTAGGCGAGTCGTTTGTTGTCGGGCGCGCCGGGCAAGCGACGCTCGTTTATGCGAACGCTGACCACGTGGGGATTGATCGACTCCGTGCGCACGCTGCCGAGAATTTCGTTGCGACCGTACTCGACCAACGTCAGCTCACCGGCGCAGAAGATCAAACAGACGCCCGGGTACTCGAAGAAGAAACGCTCGCCACCTGGAACAAGCACGAGGCTTTGGGACGACTAGGACGCAGAGGAGCTGTCCGTTGAGCACGCGAGGCCTCGCACCATTCGCGGCGTCCCACGGTATCTCGCTCAGCAGATCGGCGTCGATGTCGCAAATCAGCAGCGAATCCGCGGTACGAGCGACCACCCGGTTATTCGTACGACCGAACACCTTGACGTCGTCGATTTCGCCGCCACTTTGCGAGTTGACTATCACGGGTCGACTGTGCTTGTTGGCCAGCGACCTGATGACGACTTGATTCGGTCCCACGTAGGTCACCTCGTAGCTGCCGCGAACGATGGACTTGCGCAGGATGGTTTCGAACTGCTCGACCGCGCCGCATAGTCCGCCGACCACCAGTTTGGAACCTGAGCAAGGAGCGTGAAAGCAGCGATTAGCCGCGGGCTCGAACGAAGGCCCCCTCTTCCCCTCGACTTGCCATCGCGTCTCCAAGCCAACGCAGTGACCGTGTAGAAATTGGGCAGGCTTCGCGATATCGTCTCTTCCCAGAGCTTCTTCCTCGGACTCCAATCGTAAATTCTAACTCTGTCCCACGAGCCAACGGCAACGCTCAATCCACTTGGACTGCAGCAGGCAACCGACATGTCCTTGTCGGCAGTCTCGCGACTGTAATCGAAGGCTTTGGCCGGCTTGCCGCGCGAGTCGTAAAATACCAGGCGCTTGTCGTGGCCGCCGCAGAGGATGTGACTCTGACACCAGGCCAAGGCGTAGGCCGGCACGGGATGCACGAGCAGCTTACCGGACGCTTCAACTGCACCGCCGTCCTCGCTGACCAGGTAGCGAACGACGCTGCCGTCCGCGTGGCTCGACAGGAATCCCGTGCCTCGCGGGCTGCATGCAAAGCCGACGCTCAGTCGCGATGCGCGCGGTCGCTCGGCGCTCATCGCCGACGCCTGCACTTACTTCACGGCTATCGCCAGGGTCATCGATTGCGTGGCGTAGAGGTTGCGACTTTTGTTGGCCTTGGCCACGGCTGCCTGGACGCGGCCGTCCGCCAGACCGACGATTATAGGACCGTCGACCAGCCACGCCAAGCAAGTGACCGCCGAGGGCTGGGGGAATTTGTTGCAGATCACCTTCTTCGTGCCCCTGCGAACGGGCGAACGATCGTTGGCACAAAGCGCACGCGACTTTTCCGTCGCTCTTACCATTCCTCGCCGATTTTGTAGACGTAGACGATGTTGTCGGTCTGGCCAACGGCGATCTTCGTTGAGTCCGGCGAGAACGCGATACCTTTCACCACGTAACTCTTCTTGCCGTTCTTCAGGGGCAAGTGCATTTGTTCTTTTATACAGACGCAAGATGCCGTCGAGATTCACCGCGACGACGCACTTACCTTGGAGTCCACGGGCTTCGTCGAGAATCTATCCTTTTTCACGCCCTTGTCGTCAAACAGGTAAATCGAACGATCGCTCAGCGCCACTGCCAATTTACAGCTGTTCGGCGACCACGCCACCGACACCACCCGGTTCTCGAAATCCTTCCGACAGATTGCAATTGCTAAAGTGTATTGCGCTCGATTACGATTCGTCGTTAAGTTACCTGAGCAGCTAGAATAGAACCCAAATATTTCAGCAACATTTTTCTTCATATTGCACGACACAGCCAAAACCACATAACCGACCCAGGATAGCTATCACTGTGTGTATGTATGTTGCTATGGCAACTCCTACCAGACCTTCGTCAATAACATGGTTGGTGCACAATTGCGGTACCCATTCTACTCGACTTTATTTTAAATTTATTTTTCATTTTCTCTAAACGTATAATATGCTTTTTCGATTAAATCAAAACATCTATTAATAATTTATTAGGAATAAAGAATGATCATATATAAAGTATTGAACATGTTAAGCTTTCAACGGGAAATTTGTTTAGAAAATTATTCTATAGATTTTTTTAATACGTTGTAGGCTTGCCCAGTTCGCTGGACTAAGCAACCCTTTCAACGCGTGCCGCTTCCACTTTGCGTGCACATGCGACTCTACTCTGTACTCCTCAATTTTCAGCTGGTCTCTCTCTCTCTCTCTCTCTCTCTCTCTCTCTCTCTCTCTCTCTCTCTCTCTCTCTCTCTCTCTCTCTCTCTCTCTCTCTCTCTCTCTCTCTCTCTCTCTCACGTTCGCGCTTTCTATTCTCTCTCGCGGTCGTATACGCGCGGTATACGCGCGCGTCGTAATGCGAATGTTCAATCGTTACAAAATCCAATAAAAACCGATACGATTCAGATCTGCTGCTTTTACCGTCAAAGACAGAACTTCCTGTCATTGAACATATGTCTCATTTCAACATCCTTCACCGTCGCACGTCGGATTAAAACGTCTTTACTTTACTTTACTAGATGGCAGTGGGTCTCTGACGATTAAAACGTCATCATCGCGCGTGCGCGTGTTTTGATTTCGCGCGTAGTTGAGCTGTCGATGTTCCTGTCGAGGATAGACGAGATTATATGGAGCCAAAAACAGCCACACAAGGTCAAGAAGAATCAGTCGTCAATTGATGAATAGCCAAGTCTCAAGCGCAAGTTGAGAAATGCAGGATAATAACAGCGATATTTATGGCCAACTGGGTAAATTGTGTGACAATTTGTACCGCAAGTACCAGCCGTACAACGACGAGGACTATTCGTCAACTTACCTCCTCCAGCAGGATAATAAAAAGCAACTCAGGAGATTGAGAACTAAAGCTTACGAGATTTTGTTGAACAAGAGCAGTCAGGATTATTGTGAGTATCATAACGTTTTTCAGTGAGTAAAGACTACGATTGTGACTTATTTGCACTTGCAGCTAAAGAGCGGGAACCATGCGATCCGATAATGGGCCTGCTCAAATTTGCTTATGTTTTGAAAGTTGGTGCTGGTCGTGTCTCACAGGCAGCAGAATTGAACAGGTACCTAAGTGAATTTATCGAGGAGAAATTGGATCAGGACTCTACTACCTATTTGACCTTGCAGTTTCTCAATTGCTTGAAATCTCTTGATTTTGAAGAAGAAGATTCTTCTTTAGTGAGTTGATAACTATCAAATATCAAAGAAGAGTTTTTACGAGTGTTTTCTTTTAGGATGTGTTTTATTATGACAAGCCACATCCTCAGTTGCCTGAAATGTTATGTGATCAAGATGATTTGACACCTTTTCAAGTGTATCCCATCGAATCCTTTTACTTGCCAAACAAATTTGAAAAAGCATTTCGAAAGGAACAATCTGAGGTTATCAGGTACAATGCTACTAAGCCTGGTAGTAGATTTGCTTTATTGGATAAATTTACATCTAATAGAGATCAACATTTTCAACCTAAGTAGATAACATTTAATTATTTCTTTTATATTTTTTAAATGAATAATTGATATTTTCATTTTATGTGCAGGCATGGGAGCAGTGACATAATGTTAACTAATGTACCGTACCATACAAATAGTTTACCTAATGAGATGAACTTAGCTTTAAGTTCCTATTTTGTACCCCAAATCAAAGTAAGTTTTCTGTCAACTATTCTAAAAAATTTTCTAGAGCACATTGATATTTAGGTTTTTATTTACATCAGGATACAGAAAGCACAGAGGAAAGATTTCAATCGAGCAAAGAAGTTATTGTAACCTATCCAGAATCTCCATGGCAGCAGCTAGATTCTACACAATGGTTTGCACAGAATAGCATAAATTATCAAGACAATCAAATTAGAAATTATGAGATTGAAGATAACAAGATAGAGGAGCAAACTATTCATTTGGATGAAATCTGGGAAGAAATGGATAAAGAATCACTTCCTCTCAATCACAGAACTTGGGAAACATTGGGACTGTTTCATTCTCAGAAAGAGCCTCCATTTGCTTCAGAATCCATTAATGTTACTGAACATTTAATAAATGTTGCACAAGATAATATTATTATACCAGGAGAGGTAAGTGCAATAATTTTGGATATTTGGTTGATTTGATAATACAGTCAAAATAATAATTATCTTATTTTTGCAGACTTCATTAATGCAGTTGAGAAATGAAATAACAATCAAAGCATTTATAGCTGATGCCATACTTTTGTTGCTTGGTATTGAGTCAAATACTTTTGTGCACAGTACAATAGTAATTGTCAATGTATTTTTTTGGTACCTTTATCTATCTATGATACATACACATTACGCTCTGTTTTTTTGTATAGATTGGATTTGAATTGAAAAAGAATATATTTATTCATGGAATACACTGCATAACTCTTGAAAATCTATGTCAAGATATCATTCGTTGGGGAACCTGCTTTAGAAATTTATCAGATATGATTGTTCCTGATCCTCAAACAGGAAAGTTACAAGTTGATGGACTGATATTTGAGGTAAACTATTTTTTTAATCGATCTCTCACAGCAAACAGAATATAATGTAAACATTTTTCAAGGCATTATGTAACAGCGTAAAAGAATTTCTCTTATTCTACCACGCTGCCATACTCAGAGTTTCCAAAATCAAATACGAAGACGTTGGCATACTGCAATTTCTCCATAAAATCTCACCCCTTGGCAATCTAATCTTACAAGTAGCTGAACTTTGCCGCTGTGACTCTCAAAGAACTACGTCTCTCGGCAGAGGCATCGGTATTCTCACGCATATCTATAAAGAAGTTACCAAAGTCACACAGAAAAACGTTGCTTTGGTTTTTTATTCAATTTTAAAAGATTGCTGTGAAGTGTACTTTAGGTAAAAAATACTGTCTTTACAAAAATTTAATAAGGATTACTAAAAGAATGTAAACATTTGATTTTTATTGTAGATTTCTACAACAATGGATATTCGAAGGTTCTTGCTTTGACATTTACGAGGAATTCATGATCAGAATAAAGCCTCAGTACTTACGAATTCGCGGTCATCGCTTTTGGACGCAAAGTTTCCGTATCAACCACAGTTCAGTTCCTGGATTCTTGTCAGACCTCACCGACACAATACTCCAGTGTGGAAAAGCTGTCGCTCTATTAAAAATATGCAATCCTCAAGTACGCCTTACATCAACGAACTATTTTTCATTATTTTAACATAAATAATTTTATTTTAGCATCCACTATGTCAAGCATCAGCTTCTTGTCAACCACCAATCCGTGTATGTTTAAGCGTTAACATGCTGAGAGAACAAATGAAATTTTACGAGGATTACAGAGATAAAGGGAAGATAGAACAAGACGATGAGTATTCGTTATACACTGCGATTCATGAACAGAAAGAATCTGAAAAGAAACGAGCTGAACTTGTAATTACCGCACAACAAAATACTTTGCAGAGGCTTAAAAGTAAGTTATTGAATGTTCACATTCTCATACAATCATTTTATTCACGTTATTATTGCAGAAGAAAGAGAAGATGCTTTGACTAAACGAGCTGAAGAAAAGAATAAGCTTTTGAAACAGCTTAAAGATCAAGTTGAGCAGGCAGCATTGAGAAAGGAGAAAAATCGAGAATCAGAATTAATCGCTGATAAACTTTTGCTAGATGAGATTTTAAAGCAAGAGGAAGAAGCGAAGATCGCTGAACGAGTAGAAAGGTAATTAGCTAAATTTATTTACTGTGTAACATTATTGCAACAATGTCCATTTTTCTCAGAGAAAATACTATTAAGTACTACAACGATCTAGCAGAAGAAGCCGAAAGACGTCGCATTCATGCTGAATGGCGAATACGTCGAATGAAACTATTTGACGAGAGAGTTACTGCAATCGCGAGTTCCCGTCGAGAATTTATCAATACTCCAGATGAGTCTAAATCGCCTAACAAATTCCCGCAGAGTATTGTAGAATCAAAAATTGAGCAGTTAGTTGAAAAAACAAACTCGACAGTGCAGGAAAATGATAATGTTGTTGCAATGGAAACTTCTGTTCAGGAAGTTGTACCTAGTGATGAGAATAGTAATCTGAAATCTGCAGAAGAAAAACCAGCATCAACAGTCGAGACCAAACCCATTGGCGAACTTGACGAGCAAAATAAAAATATAACTGTACCGATCAAACGAGCAGTTCGTCCTACTGTTCTCGATCTCACAAATGTCAACGACAGGCTGGATGGTCTTTTGAGTCTTCGAGAAACCGACAACATGATAGCAGCGCAACGTAATAAACTCAAAGTTCTGCAACAAGAGTATGGTATTACGCCAAACAACAATGAGTCAGCAGCGATTCTTTTAACAATGGAGAAATCGTTACAAACTGAACTTCAAGAAAATCGTTTGCGAAATACTCAACACATTGCTTGGGATGTCGGCGAAACAACAAAACGAGAAACGTTGAATGAGATGACGGAAATACATACAAATAGGTTGAAAAACACACAGCATCTTAATTGGAATTATCCTGAAGTGACGAGTATTTCACCTAAAGAACATGTTTTAACGGCAGCGGAGATTAATAGAAATAAAGTCATGTCTCACTTTTACAACCGTCCGGAAGACGCTCAAGAGAATAGTCAGAAGAATGATAAATTAACAGAGTGTCAAAAAAATAGAAACAAGAATATGGCACATAGTATAGAGCATTTCACATTCGATAATGGTAGGGAACAAGATAATCATTTTAAAGAAACGCCTATGTCAACAAACACCGATCAATTCACTGTTAGTAGTTCGATGCCTGCGCCGAGTTTTGGTGATACGCCATTTTCCGAAATTACGAATAACAGTGATATGCTTTTCGCAAGATCTTCGTCGGATAATATTTCCTCCGATGGTGCATCGACCCATGGTCGTAGTGGTGTGAAACATTTCCAAGATACACCGGCGTTACCCAATTTTATTGGGTTTGGATCTTTACCTAACACACCGTCTACAGAAAGTCAGCAATTAACGGTTGCCGATGTTGAGATGATCGATGCTACGTCATTACAGGTATTTTTGGAAAAGTCGGTTATTGTACCACTCACCGTACAGAGTTATCTTGTGAACAACGCGTTGATTAAAGTAAGTAAATTTTAATTGTGATTATTTTTCAGTAAGATTGATGAATTTTTTGTATTTTTAGTATTTACTGAACGAGCATAATATGCTATCTCATCTACATAGTTTACGAAGTTTTTTCTTCTTGTTGAATGGAGAATTCACGAAAACTTTATCTTATTCGTTGTTTACGAGATTATATCAAATTTCTCAACCTGCTGAACTTTTCAACTCATCCACACTGTCGAATTTTTTGGAGAAAGCTCTTGTTAGTTCACTTAGTGGCACCTACGCTAATTCAGAATTACTTAGTTTGTCCGCTACTGAAGTTCCAACTTATTTACAGGTATATTCCAAAGTTTGTCATATTACGATAAAAAATTAAAAATATGTTGTTTGTTATAGACATCAAATCCTGAAATATTAAGTTGCCTATCGTTAAACTACAAAATTTCATGGCCTTTAAACATTATATTCAATGAAATAGTAATGCAACAGTATAGTCGAGTATTTAAATTCCTTCTCATGGTTGGTCGCGTTTTGTGGGTCCTTCAAGAAGACTTTCATATCCTGAAAATGGAAAGAAAAGCTTCCATAACAAAAAATCACCACAAGGTAATGAATAATGTTTCTTTAGCGGCACAATTGACGAATCTTAAATTTTTTCTCCGTTGCAGTTACAATTGTACCGACACTCAATGATGCAATTTATGAACGCACTACATACTTATTTGACTTGCAGTGTATTGCATGCGAGTTGGTCGGAGTTTGAGAAGGAGCTCGAGAACGCAAAGACCATTGACGAAGTTTATGACACACATGTCAGTTATATAAAAAAGATTTTATCGAGGTAACGAGTCAATTTATGAAATTGAAGCGCGTCTTAAAACATACGTTTCATGCTTTAATCTATTTATTTGTAAAGTAAAATATTTTTCATGTATTAACATATTTGTTAAATTTATTTAAATTTTATTTAAATTATAAAAAAAATTGGCTTTTACTTTTTAGATGTATGCTAAATGTCCGTGGCGAAAAGATGCGAACCTGCCTGACAAACATTTTCAAAGTAGTGTTGAAATTTCACAATCGCATACGTGCTCAAAACTGGAACGATCCACGTTCGTTGGGACCAAACTACGAGAATATCGAGAAGATGTATGTGGCGTTTTGCGAGCAGAGAGCTTACTTGGCACACGTTGCTGATAAACTTGCGAATAGCGGTTATCAGCCACATCTAATGCAGTTCCTCCATGCACTCAATATTAATCAGCATTATGATCTTACGGCCGTCATCCGAAAGTAGATATTTTACCCGAATGTAAATATAATTTAAAAAAGCCTAGTGTAAATAACGTATTTTTGTTTCTTTACACTCGAGGATATATAATTTTAACTGTTTTTTTTCAAAAGCTTGTTACATTATTGTTATTAATCACTCAAAGTGCCATTGTTTCTATTTTTGAAACATCTAGTATTTATTTTTAACAATGTATATAGTACAAACTAATGTTTTTACAATGTTCTTGTAGTTGTAATTTAATTCGTCGTTTGATTTACACGCTGCGTTTTCATTTGTTTCATTTAGTCTAAATTCATCGTTATGAAATGAAAATATCCAAAAGATGTCACCTTTAAAATTTATTTATACTATTTTCAACTTGAATCAAAATAAATGCTCACGTTACAATTAATCAATATTATTTTTCTCCATTATTAAAAAAATTGAAAGTTTCCCGTTAACAAAAAAAATCAGTCAATAAATCTTGACACTCTCTTTTTAAACTGAATTAAGCATTTCAGGTAGCATCGATTGTAAACCTATAGAGAAACTATTGCCATTATCTGGTAGGAATTTTATACATTTTACAGTTAATTAAATACATTCGAAGGAATTTAATTTTTACAGATAGGAAATACGGAATTTTGAGAACCAAATGTCTTTTTCGTCTGCTAGGCAGTTAGTTACTATCAGAAAAACTGTGAAGCGCCTAAATATCGTGTATTGGCAAAAAGCATAATACCATATACTAAATATATAAAACAGTGGTGGGTGGAGCAAATAAAATTCTTACAGTATTCACATTATAAAGATAATGAGAATTCATTTATTTGTTTGAATTATATTAAATGTTTAATGTGTATTTATTGCAATTTATTTTAGAAGTTTATAAAAATGATGTATGTATCCAGAAGAGGATATAATTGTTATGACCTGACACAGTTATTTGAGTATGTCAATTGATTACACTTCTGTTAAAAGCATATGATGCAACATATGCAACAGTTACTAGTCTTTCTTTACATTAAGTAATTTTCTAATTGACTAAAATATTGTTATTAAAATAGGGTATATATCTGCAATGGTTGATCAGAGTTACATCTTTCTAGAGTAGGACTCATATTTACAAGGCTAGCCAAAAAGTCTAGAAGATCGTCACTGTAATTATGTGAATATATCCTTCAGAGATGCAACAAGGAAATGGTTATAATATAAATAATTATCTGGTAGTTCCATCTCATAAAACCGATATATACTACATGAACATCAGAGAAAGATAATAATACTGATCTAAAGACTAATTCAAAAAGTAGTTACATACTAGTAGGATGTATTGAAAGACTAGTAACTTTTGCATCATATGCTTTTAATAGAAGTGTAGTCAATTGATATGTGTCAATCCATACCCAAATAACTGTGTCAGGTCAAAAACTGTCATAACAATTATATCCTTTTCACTATGATACACTATTTTTGTAAACTTTCAAAATAAATATCATTAAATATTCTTTGAACATTTAATATAATTCAAAAGAATAATTTTGTCGGTATGTAGATACTCCACAATTGCAGATGATAACTAACTGCATAGCAGACGAAAAAGACGCTTTTAGTTCTCAAAGTTCTATGTTTCTTATCTGAATGATTAATTTTTGTCGGGTGTTTATTTATATATATAAACACCCGACATTATGTGTGTGATGCGTGTGCGTGTGTATGCGCGCGCGCGCGCGTGTGTGTGAATGTACATTATGCTTCGTCATGGCTCTACTCTCGAGGAGGCGTTGCAAAACTTAAAAATTTTGCGGTCTGAAGTAATCTGCGAATCGCATTCATTACGTGTACTGCTCATTTCTCGCAGATTGTGCGATATGCCATAGTTGTATAGTAGTCCTCGTCTAGGCTGCAGCTTGATCGTCGATTCGGCGTTTGTCAGTCGTCAGGGTGCATTTAACCTCCAAGGATATCACCGGCTCTACGGCCGCCCTTCGTACTTTTGCTTGCTTGTACGCGTCCGGCCATATTGCCTTTAATATCCGTGTGTACTCTTCTTATTTTTTTAAAACTTTTTCGTAGTTAACACAATTATGCCGTGGGCTGCGTAATAATAGGAGAGAGAGAGAGAGAAAAAGACGCACATATTTTCCATCGCTTATCATAATTTGTTTGAAAATCATTAAACGATGGTAAGTAAACAGCTATGAAGAATCAAGAAGAATTTTAGTACGAGAATGATCAAGTTTGTGGGTGTTACAGAGCTTCTTCGGTTTCGGCCAATCCGCTGATATCGAGATCACCCTTGATGGCGCTGACACCAGGAAGAGTGCTGACATCAAATCCGAGGATGGCAAGAAAGAGAGGCATTTGTTGTATCTTGACGGCGAGACTGTTTCTGGCAAGGTACGTGTTCAAAGATACAAATCCGCGCGCAGCAGAAAGGTTTTTTTACTCTCTAAAGCGGGAACACACGCAAACAAAAGTTGTTTACATTTTTGTATAGTGCAATGATACTGTTTCTATTGTTTCCATATGTAATGTATTATATGATGATAAGAAAAAAAGGTGTAAACTGACTGATGTCATTAATCTTTGATTAGATCAACATAAGTCTAAGGAAAGCTGGCAAACTAGAGCATCAAGGTGTAAAAGTTGAGTTTATTGGTCAAATAGAGCTTTATTATGACAGAGGTAATCATCATGAGTTTACAAGTTTGGTCAAGGAATTGGCAAGGCCCGGTGAACTTACTCACAATACCTCGTATGACTTTGAATTTGCCAATGTGGAGAAACCATTTGAGAGTTATACTGGTTCCAATGTCAGACTGCGATACTTTCTCAGAGTGACTATTGTTAGAAGAATCAGTGATATTGTTAAAGAACTTGAAATTGTTGTACATACTCTTAGTTCCTATCCAGATATGAATAATCCAATTAAAATGGAGGTTGGCATCGAAGATTGCTTGCATATTGAATTTGAATATAACAAAAGCAAGTGAGTGCTGATCTACATCAAATGTTTATTTAATTCTTATAAAGACGATATTATTTGGATTTTATTTTCTTTTCTAGATATCATTTGAAAGATGTAATTGTTGGAAAAATTTACTTTTTGTTAGTCAGAATCAAGATCAAACACATGGAAATTGCAATTATCAAAAGAGAAACCACTGGCTCTGGTTAGTGTTTTCATCAATTTCAAAGAAATTGAATGAACATAAATTATAATTTGATATTTGTTTAGGACCTCACACATTTACGGAAAATGAGACCATTGCCAAGTATGAAATAATGGATGGTGCACCTGTGAAAGGAGAATCGATTCCAATAAGAGTGTTTCTCGCCGGTTACGATTTGGCGCCGACAATGCGCGACATTAATAAGAAGTTCAGTGTTCGATATTATCTTAATTTAGTCCTCATGGATGAAGAAGATCGACGATATTTCAAACAACAGGTTGGTAAAGTAAGAATAAGCACTTGTATTTGGATTTGAAATTCTACATGAATTTCAAGCTAGAACGTATTTAGAATATGATTGTAATATTCTTTTTAAGCTATCTTTTGTACCAAACTGAGTAATAACATTTTATTGAAACTTTTTAAAAGTAGAGACAAAACTTTCCTTGATCGCGTTGTCGTTCATTTTCAATGCCAACAACCAACAGAAAGTTTATTAATCAAATTAACTTAAACTATGACACGAGAAAAAAAATGGTCTTACGTAATACACTCTCGTGATACGTTAGGTCTCAGTCAGACAATCACCACAAATAAACATCGTAACCTCGATTTTCAATAGGAAATAACTCTATGGCGAAAAGGCGAGAAAAGCCGGAAATCTCAATCGGCCTCACCGCACCTGCCATCTCACTTGGTCTCCTCGGAAACTGGCTTCCCCCAAGGTGCCCCTCAAAATGGTCCACCACCAGTACAAGAATTAAGTCCTAATACATCTTTAACCGATGGTAACGTTGAGCCACAACAACCACCGGTAATCGAAGGTATGACGAGAGAGGAAGGGGATGGTGAAGGTGACAAGGATGTTAGTCCTGAAAGCCAGTGAATTCGACATGTGAACGACGTTTTTTTGATTATTTTTATACGATGTATTGAGGATACACACACAGTCGCATATTTATAATTCATATTGAGAGTTATGTATAGCGGAGAAAGGAGAAGTTGTACATATTTTGATTGCACATATAAGGCAAAGTCCAAGAAAAGTTCTTTTCATGACAAGATGGGAATTTTATTGATTTCTTCCCATTGGTTAGAAGGAATATAAAGTATTTATAATATTAATGTTACTATAAAATTTTTTTTCGTTTGCAACGTTCACGAGCATGTACATGTAAATAATCAGGTACATACGACTTTTTAGAGACTCTATATGTAAATATTGCTCTGTCAAGCAATGATAATCATTGTCATGTCAATTTCGTTATTAGTCTCGAAAATTGTATACAAATTTCTTTTATTAATTGCTTAATACTCACACATGAAAGCCATATTTTTTTCTCCCCCTCCTCGGCGGAAAATAAATAGTTTTTTGTAACTTTATAGCCTTTTTATTTTGTGCCGAAAAGTGTAAAACGAAAAAAAAAATCGAATCTATGCAGAACGAATTGTTTGTATGTATAAGGAGTTCGATTGAGTCCCTAACGACTAATCAATTCTTTAGCTTTTCTTTTAATGAGCATGAAATATAATGGATCAAGAATGTATGCTATCAACCAGTACGTGAAAAATCTGAGAAATAATAAAAGACAAAATCACTCCAACAAATTAATTGTAAGTAACGTTTTCTAAATGAACATTTGACACTCTAACTTTTTGGTTTTTGTAATTGATAGTATAGTATTTTTCAGTCAGATGGAGAGCTTTGGCAAAAACAAAGAAGCAGTATACATAAAAACATGAATTATATAAATGTTTTTTCTAAATTTTTCCGTACGATGATACGCACAAGTGTGAGAGATAAAACGATATATTATATAGAAAGAAAAAAAAAGAACAAATCAATCATCATTTATATACTTTGTTATTTGTTGACCAAAAAAATTAAATCGCGTTGAAAAAAAGAAAATAAATTAGATGAATGTAGAGAGAATAATTCGTAGGATTATTTTACATGTGAAATAATGTATATATAAATATACATATATATAAAACATACATAAAAATACATTATTATCATACAATATATATACTCAATTTATTTGTATTGACTTTGATGTAATACCTATGGTTATAAGAGATTATTTATATTTAACAAAACGGAAGTACGGCATTGAATTATTTCTTTTCTTTTCACTTCACCAATATATGTGTGTGTGCGCGTGTGATATGAAACCACTATTAGAAAAATTCTATCTTAAAGGATATAATAAAAAATCCGTTGTTATATAGGATATAGAGTATAGAAGAATATGTCAAGAACGCCACTTCATATTAATCAGAACCAGTGTTATATATATATATATATATATATATATATATATATATAAATAATTAATTAATAATATAATAAAAGGATAAAAGGAGATGGATCTGAAAGTGAAGCCAGTTTATTCGTGATCTAATTGGCTAAGAGGTGACCACGTAATGTGTGAGGCAATGTACTATTTTCGTTGATTGTCAATCAACCCGTGTACTGACAAATTATCGTGTTTCAAAACTTTTCCCCGTTTCATCTTATCTTTTGATAAACACAGATGCTCTATGCGTGCATGACTCCATATTCTTTTTTTCTCTTGTTTAGATATATATTCACTTATTGAATCGGAATGTATTTATTGTGTTATATGTATATAGCTTGTCATTGAATTGAAATAAGTAAGTGAAGGTGTCGAATTTTAAACGTATTTTTAATGAGTATCTATTGGACTTTTAACTTTATATTATACATACATTTACAGACAATGATGCAAATGAAAAAACAAACAATCAAGTATATATACCAAGTATATAGCATGCGGCCAATATATATGATAAATTATCGAAAAAAAAATTAGCAACATAAAAATCGATGCTATTCGTATTTTTTTCTTTTATCTATTTGATTCTATTATTCTTAAACCACAAATACAAGTGAGAATCAAACTTATTTTTCTACTTAGCATTGCACTTTGAAATAAAGCATGAAACTATTTAAAAGACAAAATGCATGCAATTTATTTCCACGCAGGAAAGAAAACAATCCAAGTTAATAGAAAAATACATCAAGGCAGACGCGCAGTGCCCTACTAGTACTACTCGACGTGGTTTCCAACTATCGGAACACTTTAAAAGAAATACGGAGCAGCGAGCTATAGGTTACAAAATTGACAATGAGAGTTCAGTCTTACAAGAAATTAGTTTACGTCCCTTTGTAATATATCGGTGGCGTTATCAATATTTATTAATATAAATGAATGTAGATGGATTAATTATGCTCTATTTTATTTTTTTGTTACTATGAGCTACTTACCGGGTTGCTACTTGATACGCGCTCTAGCGATTATTTTATTTTGTTATTTAGTTTTCATTAAAATATAGATAGTAACTAGACAATAAAATATTAAAAAATTGATTTAGCCAACTATCAAATTAGAGCAAAACGTTTTCTAATGTTGAAATAATTATTTAATTATTCATTAAAATTTTGCAGGATTATATCCTAAACTTTCATCACAGCCGAGTCATACTTACTTAATACTCGCCTCGACTTTCGACGCGACTAATTGATTAAAAATAAAAATCTGCAAATTATTTAAATATATTGTATTTTTATTTCACTGTCTAGTTACTATCTTTTATTTAATCAATACTAAATAACAAAATAAAACGATCACATGAAAATCTATACCGAGGAGCAATCTGGGTAAGAGCATAGTACCAAAAAATAAAACGGAGCAATGTCTCCATCTACATTCATTTATAATAATAAATATTTTTATCGCCACCGATATTGTAGAGGACAATAACATTAGGATTTTCCTTGTAAATTTCGTTATCTTGATGCTAAATTTATTTTTCAAGTGTTCCGATAATTACAAACGAACGTCGAGTATTTACACAGTCATAACTGTCTCCACCACATATGAAAATCCTACGCGAATCGGTAGACAAAGCGGCCGCGCTACTCAATGCGCAGTCTCTCGAACTGGCTGCTGCAGCAGTAAAGTAGCGTTTAGCGTATAGGTTAAGTCGGTCTCGGGTTGTTTCTGGCTAATCATATATCGCCTCCGCAGACGGGCGCACGGTTATGGCTTTTACAAAAAGGTGATCATCAGCTGTCAAAATTATCTCGGTGGGTGATTATTGGAAAAAAAAAAAAAAAAAACGTGCGTACTTGTGTGTATGTGTGTGTGTGAGTGAGTAAAGCGAGAAAAAATTGATATTGACAGGAGCGTGGAGAAGTGTATTGCGGGGTGAATGAAACTCAAGAAGCGGAAGAGTCTCTGCGCCCAGTGCGTGAGCATGCCAGCCAAGGTCTCGAAAAAGGTCGTCGGCATGATCATCCGCAGTCGCAAGAGTATCATCAAGGACGGCGTTATCACGGTAAGACTTAGTCGCCGATATTCTCTACCTACTATCACGTTGTACAGGTTAATTAAATAGTCAGCTTCTCGAGGTTGCCACTGCTCTGCCTGCCTGGTATGTGCAGAGTATAATCTAATATAAGATAGCTCAACACACACACACATACAACACCCACACGACTAATTTTGGATGTCATTTAAAAAACTACCTGTCAGTTAACACGATAGCTCTGCTTGAGTCAAGCCCATCATCTCTCTTTGAACTTTCACAATTGATGATGGGCCTACAAGACTTCCAATTTGGTTTATTAATATAGTGTAATCATATACATTATGAAAGTGAAGTAAAGTGTCACTTAGAAAGATACATTATTCAACTGCTTAACTATCCGAGATAAATGTCTCTGAAACCTTTTTATCAAACAGAAAGATTCATTGTAGGCTGGACATTGTTGTCTATACATATGCAGATGGCAGACTTCTGTACTGTTTAACCCTTAGAGTTATAGCGTTTTCTATAGTGGAGAATACTTTAAAACATCAATATAATTAAATAAAAACTAGATTTAATTTTTACACGATTGAACAATCTATATTCTGCAAGTTTGAATGCTTAAGAAGTCATATGCCAAATTTGATTGTTTTAATTATTTTGATAGAATTGCAAATGCAAAGTTTTCAAATACAGCTGTGATTCTAAGGGTTAATTTTGATATTTGTAACTTCTGACTGGTCAAATAGATTGCTAGCACAAGTCTTCAATTTTCCCTGTGCAATTGTGCATGGTAAAGAAAGGAGTTGTACGATGTATGGCTGAATGCAAATGTAACTACTGCTGTAAAATCCAAATGAAAACTGGTTACCGTTGTTGCGGTAACAGTAGCATCTCAATCGTTTGTCAGTCAGCTATGAGTACGTATCAGTTGACGGCAATTTCGGTGGATTTCCTTTTTGCTGACTATTCCAGCTGTCGACACGAGGTTCCGGTGCGCGCTGTTTATGCCAAAGATTACGTACATGACAGCGCGACGAGCCTGGCAGACGATACGCGTATGTATATGCGCGTTTCGTCGATCGGCGGTGTTTCGCGACTTGAAAGCTCTGAAAATGATGCTCGAGCGTTCTTACGTTGACGCTAACGCTCTCGTGCGCTCGTGATGAATGACTCGTTAGCGCCGAGCGACGAATAAATCCCTCCGAGCCGGCAATACGATAAGAAAGGTCGCATCGTCAAGCATATGTCTCACCTGCGTTGAGACACTTGAGAATACGACCCACGTGTCATTAAGCTTGACACACACGCGGATATATCTGATCGCGCACTCTCTCTCTCTCATTTCGGTGCCTTGTCGCGCGACTCGTGCCGTGGCCCGCGTGTAGCTCTTTTCATTCGCCCGACACGAGCTCTCGTTTAGTTGTTCGTGCGGTTCGGGAGTATTTAAATTATCCTTGCGTCAACTTTGCGTGGGTGATTCCGAGCTTCATTCGGACGACGAATAATAAATTGCAAGTTTTATCATTCGAGGCTACGCGCGCAATTAGCGATGCGCGAAATAAAGAGCCGCGCGCTAAATTAACTCCAGTTTTCGAAAACAAATGAAAATCGCTTTATTCCGGCACAGTTGGATCCGATACGCTTTGGTCGTCTATGACAATTGCCATCGTTGCTTTTTTACATAATACACCAGTTTATTGACTTCAGCACTGCACCTACACGTGCACGTAGACGAGATATCAGAACGCGGTGAATATATTTAATTTGAAAGATTTAGACGTAGGATATGCATTGAAAAACCTCGTTTCGGTGAATATTCATAAAACTTTGCCGACTCGATTTGATCAATTATACCACCCGTCAACTGTACGCTGAGCAATTTTTTTAGTCACGGCTGGAATTCACTTTGCGTGACAGCTATCATTTCACAAAGTTTTACTCAATATGACTATTGAGACAATAAAGTTGCTCAAATTTGTTACCGAATTCGTGCAAGAAAGTACACGGAAAAAGTAAAGGCAAAAGTGGGTAAACTATTTTTACCGCGCGAGCCATTTATTTCATCTTCCGCAAAGTTCGGTCGTCCGGCAATCCCGTCATCTTTCAAAAACACGGCAGGATTTTCCGCCGTCGTTTCTCGAACTGCGCCACCGATGGAAAAAATAAAGCAGAAATAGGAAGTCACGTGGATTTGTCAAAAAGCTCGTGCTTTATCGCGAAAGAAAGCAAGTTGGACGTTGAACGCTCGCAGCGAGTCCGAGGAAAGGTGCACGCGCCGCGCGAGGGTTGCTGGCATCCGAGGCTTCCCTCCGCGCTCGTGGCACGCAGCGATATTTATTTGCTAGCACGCTGGCGTCAAGGGTACAGTCGAGCTCCTCCGATTGGCGGAGTGACGCTCGACGCTCGTCTCCTTTCTTTTTCAGGCGATGCATTTTGCTGGACGCGTCGAAAAATCCGTTGGCCGATCGATTGCTCACCGGTTACGTAGAGCGCAGCAGCGAAGATTGATAAACTAGGTCAACGATCAATTGACATCCTCGCCTCTGCGCGCGCTAAACGGCAGCACGCGCGCGCGCGCCGCGCGAGCCTCAAGAAAAAGTATAACGATGTGATTGACCGTGCGGCCCGAGATCGAATTGGCATTGGCAGCCTGATCCGAAGCCAATGCCGCTCTCGGCGCTCGCCGCGGCTCTCTATTTTCGGATTGTCGCTCGTCTGCGCGCTTTCAACTCCGCGAGCGTCGCGCGGGAATGGTTCGCGGCTAAATTACGCGAGTTCGCGCGCGGCGACGCGCTAGGGCTTCGATGCAAAATTGAAGCTCGACAAATAAACCGACGGACCTTGAGAGGCGAAGAATAAATAAAAATATCCTTCAACTTGGCCATTGTGGCCGATATAATGATCCACAGCGGCCCAACGTGCGGCGATGAATTACTGGCGTCGGCGTGGGCATCGACGCATCCAGCGCGCCAAGTTTTTCGCTCTTTCCGGCAATGCGGTCTTCCCGCCCCTCTACCCCCGGACGCAGCGTTAGAAAGCGCCGCGAGATCTGCACTCGTCGCGGTCGCCCCGCCAAAGCATTCTCCGTTCGAAGCGCGAGAGAAGAAAAAGGTGTCGGTTCTATCGATTGTTTTCGGAACGAAGGTACGCACACAGGGAAGACGAAAGGAAAAGGAAAAAAAAAAAAACTAGGCAAAATATGAATGGACGGAGCGCGCACGCGTGCAGTCGCCGTGACATTGACGGCGCGGCTCAAGGTGCGCGCGAGCAAGAGCTTTTCGCAGCCAGTCGTGCAGTCGGCGTCGCGCGCGCGCGCAGCAGGCAGGCAGGCAGCAGCAGCAACAGCAGCAGCAGACGAGTCGAAAGCCAACACGCGAAGGAGCAGCCAAACACGGAATCGCTCGCGAGACGGCAAGGCTCGGCTCCGTCTGGCTCGCAGCAGCAGCAGCAGCAGCAGCAGCAGCAGCAGCAGTCCGCGGCCGCCGCGACGATGCTGACTGGCTGAAGGGCCAGATCGGTCGATCGATCCGACGCCTCGGTCTCCGCGGTTCTCTGGTCGCGTGCGCGCTCCCGATGCGTCCGCTGCCAGCGCCGCTGGTCGACGGCGAGGAGGATGCCGACGAGCCCGGTGGCGGCGGCGACGGCCGCAGCGTCGGCTAATGGCCAGACGCGCCAGCAGGCGAGGTGGAGTCGCCGCTGCCAGCAGCCCCGACGGCGGCCATGAGGCGGCGAGACCAGCCGCAGCAGCAGCAGCAGCAGCAGCAGCAGCACGAGCAGCCGTCGGCGTCCTCGACGACGCCGGCGGCCGTCGTCGTCGTCGTGGACGCGGTCGACGCACAGGCCGCCAGCGCCGAGGCGACGCCGCGCGACCACGACGACGAGCCCGAGTCCGCCTTGCAGCGCTGCTACCAGCACCTCAAGGTCAGAGACTGTCGGCGCGGCGCTCCGGCCTCTCGCCGCATGGCCCGCTCCATTCCGACCGGGCGCGAGGGATCAGCTGCGCGGCAGTGCGCCGAGCGGACGCTCGTTAACCCTTTCGACTCGGAGCCCACGTGTCGTCGCTGTCGACGAGTCCGCCCGCCCCTACTCGCGCCAGCGACCGCAAGCAAGTAAAGCCCCGTCGATGTGCTGGTGTTGCAGACGTCGGGGGTCGGCGAGGCGTCGGTCTACCACGCACTGGTGGTCATCTTCCTGGAGTTCTTCGCCTGGGGCTTGCTGACGATGCCCGTGATCTCGGTGCTCAACGAGACCTTCCCGGACCACACGTTCTTGATGAACGGCTTGATCATGGGCATCAAGGGCATACTGAGCTTCCTCTCCGCGCCGCTCATCGGCGCCTTGTCCGACGTCTGGGGCAGGAAGTTCTTTCTACTCATCACCGTTGCCTTCACTTGCGCGCCCATACCGCTCATGTCCATCAACACTTGGTGGTTCTTCGCCATGATCTCCATCAGTGGCGTTTTCGCCTGCACCTTCTCCGTTGTGTTCGCTTATGTTGCTGATATCACCGAGGAGTCTCAGAGATCCAGGGCGTACGGACGGGTGAGTGTGCACTTGTCGACTCTTTCCTCTTTAGTGCTCGAACTTTTTGCGCGCTCGTTCGAGACGTCGTTTCTTTGAGGATGCAACCAACTACACGACATTTTCTTCTTTTCCTTTACTAATTTCCCACTTGAGGAACGACCTTTTCTTCGCGCTGTTTACCGCGTCACTTTCTGCGCGTACTTTTTTTCCGATTATAATCGGCAATTTCATTTTCAATTAGGAACGCGTTAAGAGTATTTTCAGAGTCTCGGCACAGCTCGCAAAATTCTAAAATATCGTTGCATTCTTTAACAAACTTTTCAATGCTGAGCAGTTTTCATAATTTAAGGTTGAAATTCGCGTAATTAAACAAATATATTTCTCGCTTCTATTATCATACGTTAAAACGAACACAGAACTAAATTAATGTAATTTTTCATTAAATTCGTGTAGACGATGTTTTCAGCAGCCTCAAAGGTAGATGTGTGAAACGTTAATGTATATCGCAAGTATACATAAAACAAACACAAACACGGTGTCCTTGAATTATTGAACAAACTGCAGATAGTTCTTTTACATTCCAAGGGTCAAGCTGGGCGCCAATAATTTTTTCAGGCACTGCGTCCAACTGTTATTTTCAAAGAGCGAATCGATAAAATTGATATTCGCCGAGGCCCCCCCACGTCAAACAAAATAAAAAGAAAGGAATACGACGAGGAATACGCGCGACATGCCATCGCGCATTAGGACAGGCGAAAAGCTGCTGGTTTCTTTCTTTCCTGTGTTTGTGCGCGCGAAGGCAGAAGAGCAACGAGACGGCTTTCCGCGCAGCGAAACTCGTACCAGCGCACGGCCGTTTCTGTATTTTTAGCCCAAACGCACGCAATCGATTCTCGTCTGCCGTCCGATAAAACTAATCTCGTCGCAGCATCCTCGGCACCGACGTAGGAGCAAATATATATACCATCGATCGTTTGCAGGTATCCGCGACCTTCGCCGCGAGTATGGTGATCAGTCCAGCGATGGGCGCATTCACGATGTCGACGTACGGCGAGAACGTGGTGGTAGCGTTAGCAACTGCGATAGCGATACTCGACGTATTCTTCATCCTCGTGGCTGTGCCCGAGTCGTTGCCCGAGAAAGCACGCCCTCCGGTGCCGATATCATGGGAGCAAGCCGATCCATTCGCTGCCTTGGGTAAAGTTGGCAAGGACCACACGATACTGATGCTGTGCGTCACCGTGTTCTTGAGTTACTTACCCGAAGCTGGCCAGTACAGTTGTATATTCGTCTATCTGAAACTCGCCATGGGATTCTCGGCGACCATGGTGGCCGTATTCATCGCCGTCGTTGGTATACTCAGTGTATTGGCGCAGATTCTTTTGGGTCTGTAATCAAACTTTCAAAAACAACGCATTCGCCAAGATTCCTCTACGTAATTTTGTTCTATTTTCTTCGCAGGTCCACTGATGCGAACGCTGGGTAGCAAGCACACGATAATGCTAGGTCTGCTGTTCGAGTTGTTGCAACTGATGTGGTACGGCTTTGGCTCGCAGACCTGGATGATGTGGGCAGCTGGTCTGCTAGCCTCGATATCGTCCATTACCTATCCAGCGATTTCGGCGTTCGTGTCGATGCATTCGGATGCCGATAAGCAAGGATTGGTGCAGGGCATGGTCACGGGCATGCGTGGCCTTTGTAATGGCTTGGGGCCGGCAATGTTCGGCGTGATATTCTACTTGTTTCACGTGGATCTCAATGACAAAACACCCACGCTACCGCTCAAACCTGCTCTACTCGACGATAATAATAACACCGGAACTGCCGCGCATCTTGACGTTATTCCACAGGTGATTTATCATCACCTTCCGTTCTCGGTTCGTTTTTGTTTCTTTTGCAACAGATTCTTCTTTTAATTTTGCGTTTTCTTTCAAATGAATACTGTGTTACTGTAGTTGCTGTCGTTTTTTTACTATGAAAGATACTTCATTTAAGTTAGCAAAACAGATACAGTAGTTGTTACTATTATACTTTTCTGGTGTAAGAAAATGAAAAAATGGAGATAAAAAATAATTTTTTGATCTTTTACAGTTGGTACCAGGACCCCCATTTGTATTTGGTGCATTACTAGTTATTTGCGCGCTATTGGTAGCTGCTTTTATCCCCGAAGCGACTCCGATAATAACGGGGCAGCTACATCATTCTTCTACCTCCCGAAGGCCTTCCGGTAAATACGCATATCAAAAATGTACGTTACAACTTACCACCATACAAAATGAAAAGGATAATGCTGGTGGTGGGTCTCAATGTAAATTTTTTTATTATGACTTTTGTCTATCGATCTATCTATTTTTAATGCTTTTTTTTCATACTGATCGAATGACATGAGTAAATGTATATAATTAAATTGTGCAGAGTTTGTTACGTGCATGATTTAACCAGAATTTTTAATATACATCTTGATTTTACATAGACTTTTTGTAAATGAAAGTATTTTGAATGAAAAGAAGCTTTCTTTACCATTTTTCTTGACGTTACAACTATGCAAAATCAAGTTTTCAATACTGTTTAAAATCTTTCATTAATTTTATCACACCTTTGCATACTCAGAAAATGTCTCAGCCACGTATAATAATTTTAAATTTATACACTCACTATTTTTATTTCGTTCTTTCAAACTTACGAATACCAAATTTAATATATTTTTTAAGTTGCATACCTGAGTAATTCATTTAATTTGATCGCATCAATAATAATTTGTGTTTATGTAATTATTTTAACACTCGACAAACAATTATTTAATTTAAAAATGCATGCCAATATTCTGTCAATATCAGCTTTCATTCTAAATACTGTAGCAACTATACTAATAATAATTGTATTTGACAGGCCTCTCGCTAGACGTTCACTACGATACCGATAGGATAAGCAGCGGCAGGGGGAAGGTCGGACCATTGTCGCCACTAGTCGATAGCTGTAATTCAGCGGCGCTGTAACGGACTATATTATTGGAAAAATGAGGAACAGAGAAAGAGAGGGTGAGACAGAGAGAGAGAGAGAGAGAGAGAGAGAGAGAGAGAGAGAGAGAGAGAGAGAGAGAGAGAGAGAGAGAGAGAAAGCTTATAATATAAGCACAAAAACAACAACGTTCGTTGGGTTGCTTTTCGCGCGCGATTGAAGTATGTGCGAGGTCGCATTATTTTGTTAAAATAACTCCAGCTGCGATGAACTTTTATACAATTGAAGATATAAAAAACATAACAATAGCGATTTAATATATTTAGCCATCAACACAAAAAAATTGTCTCTTCTATGCTTCGCATATAGTTGTTTATAGAGAAGTGAAAATATTTTTTCGAATTCAAATAAAACAAACCTGCTAAGGCGTATTACAAGATAACAGTGAAAAACAAGCTTATATATGTATATCGTTAGGTTGTGAGAGAAAACCATTAAATGACAAAAAAAAGTGAATAACAAATTCATAAATTATTCTAGAAAGAGCTGGTTTTACGTAGAGATGTAGTGTACCAGTCGTTAGTCGTCTTTGGTTCGAATTTTACAATTTCTTTCGACAATCATTTTAATCTTTGTACAGTTCGAATTCTACGAAAAAAATAATAATTAAAGCGCTTGAACGCTTATATACACTATAAAAAATACTTTTGTAAAATCACTAGCTGAGAGTTGGACACGAAACGGACCTATTCTAAGAACCAGTGAAATCGCTAGCAGCTAGTAAATTTACTAGTTTAGTGTAGTAATACTTTTACAGTCGAAATAGTACTTTTACAACGAGATAGTATTTTTACAACGAAAGCCAAGATTTCAGCTATCATAAAGTTACTAGTCTCAGAGTTGGACACCAAACGGACCTCGTCTCAGAGACATAATTTTTTACTAGACGGATTGTAAATTTACTAGAATTTGTAATTTTACTAGTATAAGACTAGTAAAAGTACTACACTCGGAATTAGACATTAGTTGTAATTTTACTGTTAGATAGTTATTATACAAAAGTATTTTTTAAAGTGTATATATGTATGTATGTACGCATGTATGTATGTATGTACATATGTATGTATGTACATATGTATGTATGGGTGTATGTACGTATGTATGTATGTATGTATGTATTTACGTATGTACGTATGTATGTATGTATGTATGTATGCATGCATGTATGTATGTATGTATGTATATTTAGATAAGCATACGAATTGTCTGAAATATCTTTGATAAATTTTGTATATTTTAAACGTAAGGATTTGCTTTCGAAACGAGTTGTCAATTTTTAACACAATTTACGAATATTGATTTTCGTAAATAATGTTTACTTGAAAAATTCCTAAGCGAAATTTTACGTTATCCTCAAAGTATCATTATTTACCAGAATATAAATTTGAAAGTGATAATTAAATATACGAAAAAAAAAAATTGAAAACCTAAGACGGCTAACGCAGTCTAGTAAGTGTGACGCATTATGTAGGATAAAATAAACTAAAACAGAGCCATTTGCTTGGACACAATTTAGCCAATTGCGTGAGCATCGATTACGCGAGTGATAATGAATATAAAAAAGTGAACTATTTTAATAAGCTTACCGAGAGTAAGAGAGCAAAAGAGAGAAATAGAAAGAGAGTATGCGGGAGAAAAAGAAAAACTAAGTAAAGCACAAGTGCATAGTCAAGGTGAGATTGTTCAGTATTGTTCCATGTATATTTTTTTGTTTCGAAATCGAATCTTCCTCAACTTGATTTGCTCCGTTACACCTTTATCATCCTTTACAATAATTATTGCTTTTTATTTTGCGAATATTATTTGTTTTTTCGACATTTCGTGTACAAAGTGCAATTTTCTCGCACGCTTAGCCAAAAACATGCGTTTAAAATCGAACTTTGCACACGTCATAAAAAAAAATACCATACAAGACATGTTCGGAAAAAAGCATCTCGTTTCGTGTGGCTTTCCACCCGCGCTTCGCTTGGCCGTAAATACCACACGAGACAAGAATCTGCTTTTCCGCACTACTTAGGTAATGTACTAGTTTTTTCCGCTCTGTATACTAGAATATTTTTTTTTTGCATTTACTAGAATGATGAATGCCGAATGAAATAATACAATCCGTTTGTTTCTAATGCAGTTTTTTTTAACGCAGTTTAATTTTTTTTCATTGCGGCTAACATTTCCTCTCTAAGGCAATGAAATGCCACTCTCTAATTACGTTGACGAGACTCAGTTTGATGAGTTTTGAAAGACAGGATTTTCATTTTGATGTATCTTTACGATAAAACTTGACGCTTATCGCACTGTGGCAAAGGTTTACCTGTTAAATGAACTATATTGATTATCTTACAATTTTTTTAAGATAATTTTCTTGGTTATACAAAAACGAATAATTATTGTTCGAGTTATACAATTGATTTTACAATAAAGTTACGTTTAATTTAAAAATTCACTGTAGAAGCAAAATATTGTCATAAATAAATGAACGAATGAGCCTTTACCTCAGTGTCATCGAGTTGCAACAAGCTGTGTAAATAGTAATATATGTATGCATTTCTCTTGTTTCATAAAAAAAGCGATACTTGTCATATGCGACAGAGGCTGTATTAACGGTATGACTAAATGGTAAATTAAAGACGAACGTATATATGTATGTGTGTGAAAAAGAGAGAGAGAGTGAATTGATTCTTTTGAAAATGCTATAAACTTATTGTAATAAAGTATTGTTATGGGCGTGCAATGCTCGTTTGATGTCTTTAACCGAATATTCCAATTCGATCGAATTGATCGAAAAGACACGAAAGACACGAAATCACACGTTAACATAATACACGTACATAATTTATCTCGCACGACATATGTACGATTACCTCGCGTACGATTGCATTTTCCCGAAATGACGATTAAGAATTACGTTGATTGTACATATACACACGCACAATAACGAGAGAATTCTGCAATCGCACTTGCACAATTGTAAAAAAAAATTTGATCGTGCGTATTTCTTGCTTGTCTCGGAATGCTGTCGAACATGAGATGATCTAATTTTTTTTTTTTTTTTAGAGGGAGCGAATTAACTTTGTTTCCAATTTGTACAATGAGGTTGTTGTTTCACCGCTTTTTGATAAGAGAACGTGTTGATAATAAATTTAGCTATTAATTGTCGTTTTTTCATTACACGTCGATGAACTTTTTGTAATTTTTGTCCGCGCATTGTTCAACTGTTCTTCGAATAAAAGTCCGATTGAGCTTGAATTCTTTTATATATACGTATAAATAGTTGTAATCTGTAGAGGCACATTCCTTCGAATTTTTGATGAATTCATGTTAACAAAAAACAATTTATTGTACTTTTTACTTTATAAAAATGAACACATTTCGGTCATAGCTTTTTTTGTGTAGTCAGTACTATCTTGTAGATATTTTGATTTTCAAACAGTGAGAAAATGTCACTACGCTATCTGAAAATCTAAAGTACAAAAACAAACTGATTTATCTTATCTAAACAATTTTAAAAAAATGAATAAAATCAATTTTCTAACGTTACGTTATTTTAAAAAAACGTATTCCACGCTGAATGCCATTGCCAAAGTCTTGTTCTGTTTTCTACTCTGTGTCGTTTGATGATTATGCGATAATACATTAACCACGTAAATAAATAAAAAAAAACGAATAATAGTATTTTCATCAAATTCTCATCGACTACGTAATTCTGAGTGCAAGACACTTTAGGTCATTCTAATTTTTATAGTGAAATACACAATACACACACGCGCGCGCGCGCGCGCACGCACGAGATTATAAACAAATAAAAAACAACTAACTGAAAAAATAACAAAAAAACTTTCATTTTAGAGTTGACAAGTTATAATAAAAATAATGACGCATTGTAAAATTTAGATTGAAGAGTTCTATATCCCAAAGTAAAGGGATAAAAGAGCGATAGCCAAAGATCGCGATCAGTTGTAGATGAAAATAGGACGAGCAAAGAGAGTAAAAAAGTAACTAACTAATAAAGCATAAGTTCATTTGTTACTTTTCCGTATATAGCATCAATTGTTCATATAATAATGTGATTACCCTCGGTGTGCGGATCGAGAGTGGAATAGTTTTTATTTGAATAGAGTGAGGCAGCGTCGACTCGATTATATATATAAATATAAATAGCAAATATAGTCTGCCGAGCGTTAGAATATATATATATTTGAGTGTAAGAGACAAAAAATATTGTTGAAAAGACCAACTACTACGACCTACGCACGTTCACCTATATTTGTAATTTATTTGTATAAGAAAATTAAGTTCTTTGCTGTTTTCTTTTTGATGAATCGGCGCATTTTTAATTTCACTTTTCTTTTCGTGTTCGTGCCGAATGACCTTTACAGCAGCATGTATTAAAAACACGAAATGGATCATATTGTATAATAAAGAAATAAATTAGATAAAAACAAAAATATCAAAATAGTACATGGAAAATCGAGGGGCAATTTTAATGCGGATAAAAGCTCAACTTCGTGGTAGGTTGAGTTGTAAAATGTAAATGTACGAAAAACAAAGGATGCATTAAATAAAATTGAGTATTTTTAAGATAACAACGTTACATTTTATTAAGATTCCTTTTCTTATACTTCAATCATTTTGAGGAGGTTTGAACGTTTATTTAAACAATGTACAAAGATGTTTTTCTTTGTACGCATAATTTTTTCATGATACTTGCGATTGGATACAAATAAAAGACTACCTTCTTTTTATTGTTTAATCCTAATAATTGTAATGTTTCCATCTACAGTCCAATCGAATTCTGATACAAGCAATAAACGTGTGAGCAGAGACCTACAGTGTTGTTTAAGAATGTCGTGGTAAATAATCTACTAACTAATATATATTTTCAAAATCTGAAAATACTGCGGTAAACAATACGAGACATTTTATCGTTTCTCTAGATGTGGGATATCTCATAAAAAAATGTGCATTTTTGCATTATTTCTACATTTTTTATCAGTGCTACGAGACAAAATCAAAGTCTTTTACGTAACTGATAGAAAAATATTAATGACATAAGTGTGGAGAAAGCGAAAACTAATCAAACACACATTGCGGACATCGATACTGAAACGCAAAGCTTCGCAAATTTAACGGCAAATATGAACTTACGTCAATCGTCATGCGAGTGAAATTTGCGCAATAAATTGATAAGATTTTTTTATCTCTGCTACTATTCATAATACTCTCTATTCGTTACTGCACCAATCAATCTGTAAAGAGGAATCAATTGGAAACTGCGCTGCTAGTCACACAGTTAACGGTATTCTTCGTATTCAATCAGACAACTTATGGCAAGATGAAAAAATAGTGTTAACTTTGTATAAAGCAGTAAATAAGTAAGTAACAGACAAATTATCACAATGAACGAGATTAGCAGACAGCAAAGTAATGGAAAATCTCAACAATTCCTTGTTGCAATCATCAGTGAGTGATTGATCATTTACTTGCCGTACAACGAAGAGTAAGAAACCAAGGAAAAATAATTTACAGTGAATAATTACAGTGAACCTGCTAACAGTATCCGGTGGCATAAGTTGCGGTTGGCCATCCCCCGTAATACCGAAGTTACGTTCAAGTGATTCGCCAGCAGTCGGCGACGCGCCGATGAACGACGAGCAAATCTCATGGATCAGCAGCTTACTACCGATCGGCAGTTTGCTAATCACCCCATTCTGCGGCATTCTCAGCGAACCTCTTGGTCGTAAATGGTTTACCTACTTGGCTGCAATATCACACATCGCATCTTGGTTACTAATAATGTTAGCACAAAATCACTTCTGTCTGTACATAGCGAGGTTGTTTACCGGTGTAAGCATTGCAATGACAATATTTATCTTGCCAATGTACGTCAGTGAGATTGCTTGTGAGGATATTCGTGGTGCTCTTGGTGGTCTCATGATGTTCTCGGGTAATTTAGGTGTACTCATCGCCTACGTCGCTGGTGCACACTTATCGTATCGACTTTTCACCGGTTTATCGCTCGCCTTTCCTCTGCTGTTCCTCGTGGCTTTTGCTCCGATGCCCGAGAGCCCAACTTTCCTCATGCGGAGGAATCGACATCTGGAAGCCTACAAGTTAGTCACCGTGTGATTTTTCCATGTCCCCAACGGAAAAAATAATATTGAACAATAGGAAATAATTTCAAAAGCAATGGCGAAACAATTGTTCCAATTATTTTATCTCCTATACCAATTTTATTTTCTTAATTTATTGTTAATAAGTGTTTCATAATTTTCAGATCACTGATGTTTCTCAGAGGCAACAATAAGACTCTCGTAGAACCATTATTCAATAGACTCATGACACAGACAAAAATCTCGGACAGTGCATCAAAAACCATTTTTCCCGAGTACTTTAACGACCGAGCTACTCGTATGGGTCTAATCATTTCTTTCGTGTTACTCGGCGGTCAACAGCTCAGCGGGATTCTGGCTATGGTAAGCACAAGCACATCGACACATCCGTTAAGCTTTGTTGTTAAAGCACATTTCAATATGATTTCAGTTGAGCTACGCTGAAACGATATTCCAGCGTACGGGCTCGTTAATCTCATCGCAAACGGCACCGATGATAATCGGAGTTATTCAGATATTTGCCTCGTATGTCTCAACGATGTTGATGGATCGCACAGGTCGTCGACGGTTAACTCTCATCTCGTGTTTTGGCATGGTGATGAGCCACTTGCTCTTCGGACTGTTTTTCAACCTGCAACGACACGACTACGACTTGAGTTCAATCTCTTGGCTACCGCTCGTCGCGCTTTCGACTTACATAGCGTTCTACTGCTTGGGTGTCGGTCCCGTGCCGTTCGTCTTCACCTCCGAAGTGTTTCGGTTTGACGTCAGTAGTTCTGCGACAACTTTGTGTTACGTTTTTTATTGGACCGTATCGTCCGTTGCAGTTAAGACTTTTGGATTGGCGATGGATGTGCTTGGCATAGATGTGTGTTTCTTTGTGCTTGCGAGCTTTTGCGCCGTTTGCTTGATCCTGTCGTATTGTCTAATGCCTGAAACTAAAGGCAGAACCCGCGAGGATATCGTTGACGAACTTGGTAAACATCGTCGTGATGAAATCGAATGTTGAAAAATACAATGCCTGACGACGACGAGAAGCTGAACAGTTTTGGAAAATTATTTTGTCAGACAATTACCAAAGAAAGCGAAAACAACGTTCTCCAACGAAGCAAAAGTTTTTTAAAACGTAGAAAAATCGTATCACGTTGACCGTCAAAGTTTTTTGAACCAATCTTCTTTTACGTACATTTATTATGTTTTTATAGTTAATATTTGTTCTTCAAATTGCTCTTCCTTATCGCTCTAACCAGTGCTCGGTACCTGTGCCACAGTAAGGTCAATGATATTTGTTTTTTCCGAATTGTTATAAAAAATAAAAAATAACATATTCAATTGCTTAAATGTACTTTAAAAAATACAGGAGATCCCAATCGTTCAAGTGTCTCGAAAGCGCAGCTGTGATTTTCGAAGCGCGTGTCTACTCCGACGTTTGCAGATTCAGCACCAAAAGTCAATGTGATTCTGCTTAATAGGAGCACCAATCTACAGTTTACGATATTCCATACGGTGTAGATTCAAGAATACGTAATAATAGTGAAGCCGGAGGACAAATAAAATTCGTGAGTCACTCAATTATATCTGGCTTTGCTACCGTGTTCGACGCGAGACTTCAAAGTGATGCGCTGCGCGCCAAGCGCGATAAGAACACGAAGATAATGTACGCAACCAATTTGTTAGTATACGGTAATAAATAATCGCCTGCGCCAAGTCCCAAGCGAAATCCATAGCCACGGTCGCGTCGATCATCGGCACACCGAGGCTTAGCGCGGTGCTCGTGTAACATCTCCACGCAAGCCAACTACATCGTTATCTCGCAAAGCCCGACATAAGTGTTCGGCGCTGACTCACGCCAGACCAGCGAGCAAGCTAATGCCAAGACCAATTAAAATTGGACGTTCCGCTATATGCCGTGCGATCGTCCGTTTCAATTCGATTGTGTTCTTCATGCCGAGCGAGTTTTGTCCCTTTGGTTGTTAATCTCGCAAGTCATTGAGGCAGATTGCCTTATCGTATTTACGTTACGTTTCATCGTCTCCGATAATTGACTGAATCAGCTGCTCTGCTCAAATATTGTTTCAGCATTGAACTTTACTCGGCGAGCAGTGCTCGCGCGTGTTCTCTCTTTCGCGTTCGCGAATTTGAATGGATGACCGACGGTCACGGCCGCGTAGTGCAGCTCTTTCCAACGATGTATACCACACGAGTGTCGAGGGAGAATAATTATAAATTAGAACTTGTCCAGGTGGTAAGTAGCCAATCGAAGTGACTTGGTCGTAGCTCGAACGCGTGTGTCAAAATAAGACGCTTGTTCAGCTATTCAGGCATGGCGCTCGAACTCCCATCTCCCACGAGCTGGACAGTTATGACTATTGCGACAAATCAGCGTACAAATCCTTGGGCCTTGGAGCACTAACAAACGTACGTTAATTACGCTAAAATACGATGAACTCACGTTTGTCGCATACGTCAATCAATGTTTCTTAAATAAAGGAATTGCCGTTCTTGAATCGAGATCCGCATTCAAAACAAAAATTACTCTTGGCATTGAGAAAATTTTCTTGAGCATGCGACAAATCCAATAAGCTTCTTGATAATCGATTATGCGTACAGGTGTTAAAATCTCGCCTCGAAAGGTCGTTTTTTTAGAAAGGGAAACAAGAAGCGTACGATCTCGGCTGTTTTTTGCGCGATCGGTACAACGATTTTTTGCGTATCGATTCCAATCCCGAGAACGTTTACGCTCGCTCGACTTTCAGCTCACGGACGAAAATGTCACTGCAACTTGTGCTCGCTGGACTTTATTCGCCAACCGATGATCAAGTTTGGAACGATCACTTGAAATGGTCACCTATGCCATATTTTTATACCCCGCACGAACTGGATATATTGCTGAGGTCATTCGATCGGCCAGAGTATGTAACGAATGTTAAATGTTAATTGAATTTTAGAACGATTCCTTTTATATTTTTTCTCAAGGTACTTGAAAATCATGGTAGAAACTCATCGATCTAAGGAGTTTCAGAAAAAGATTGGCACATTCTCAAAATTCCTCGAGACACTTGGTCAAATAACGGGAATAAATTTTGAAAACAACTTTTTATGTATTTTGATGATATCTGGACTTATATTCTCAAACGTAAGCCACCTTTTATTCGTTCAAAAAGTACGCAGATAATCAATAAACGTAATATAGGAACATATGGGTCTTCCTCTGCCCGATTGGTACACGCCGGATGTCAAACGAACTTTCCGAGAAATACGTCAATGTTTCTTCGATGGGTACGCGTTGACGACGGACATGAAAAAATTCGGCACGGGTCCAATCATCAAAACGTTCGTCGAGAACATGAATCTCGACGAGAATAAATTGAATCCTCGGAAAATTTATTTATATAGTGCGCACGATGACAATGTAGCTTCCTTCGTTAGAGCTCACGAGATTCGAGACTTTGCTTATCCGGAATTCGGATGTAGCTTGATCTTCGAAAAATGGAGAGATGCTAATAATAAAGTAGTAATTAAGGTGAGTAAATATCGCGTGAGAACATTCTCTGGCAGTGTAAAATGTGTATTGTCTTGCAGTCACTTGGATGGACGCCAAACGACAAGCATACCACGTTGAGACTGGGAGGTCACGACGAATTCTGTCCCATTGATGATTATTTGAAAATTGTACAGCCGGTGATTCCAACTGACGATGAGCTAGATGATTTTTTTCACGATGCACGCTATAAAGACTTGAAGAAAGTATTATTTGATGATTCTACAATTAAAGAGTTACATTAAGTACCTTACTTTTAGTAATAACAGGTTAGTGAAACAATTTGCACGGATTTCAGACAGACATGATTCGGTAGTAGAGTGTAGAAGAGTCTACGACCCTTCAGCTTCTTTCATTTTTCTCGTTTTAGTGACTAGATATATTCGATTAAACTAATCCGATTTTCACCACTCAGAAACGAGAATGATTATTCTTTTATGTAGAAGCGATCGCTTCATACTGAATTTAAGAAAAATTACCGATTGCACTAGTTGTTATTTGCATACTTCTTAACTTAAAAAATAATGAAATAAATAGGCATTTGTTCTCATTTTTGAATAATAAAAATCTTAATATTCTATTCAAACTGTCTATTTTTTGAGCTACAATATTTGATAAACAAAGTAATTTTAAGAAAATTTCATTTTTGATTAAAATTAAAAAATAAATTTATTTTAGATATATTTATTTAAATATAATAATAATATGATTATTTGAAGTTAACTTTACAAGACAATTTGGACGTAAAAAAATAATGGTGAATATAGTTAACATAAAATTTTATTTTCTAATAAATGTATGCAGGAATATTAAAATTTTTTAAATATTTTGTACTAATTAATTTTCAAGTAATTTGTATTATTTTTTTTTAATAAATACTATCTCTACTTTCAATTATTCAGGTAACAATACTCCATGTAGAATTTTTTCTAAAAAATATAAATGCCAAACAATAAATTTTTTTTTTAATTAATATTCAACAATGTTTCATTTTATATATTCAGTTAAAAATTATATCGTGTTAGATGAGATACTTATACGTTAGAAGCAGCTACTGAACAGATAAGGTTTTTCGATTTGGAAAACGCAAAGTATGAAAATTTTTTCATTTGTTTGTCCCACTGATTATTCCGAGACAAAAATTTTTCACTCAAATTGTCTTCGCCAGGAATTAGGAAATCCGAAGCGTCGTCTGGGTTTTCTTTTTGATTTTTTTCAACACCTTTAAAGTCATATTGGCCAATAGGTAAATTAATTTATGCCGTAGATGCGGCATCGTTAAGTTTGGGTATGTATGTAGTCTAGTCTAGATTCGGCTTAAAGATCAATGGGTTAATCATTTATTGACTGCATGTTAAACTTATTATAAAACTAATCCAATTTTAATACAAAAGTAATTCGATTTTTAATATTAAAAAAATAAAATATTATTAGCATAATTTTTTGCAATGAATTCACGCGTAAGCATTTTTCTTCGCTGGTACAGTGCCGCCTATAACGTATGTACTAAATTTTATTAGTTAGCTACTATAGCGCCACGCCGTAGCATACCTAACAGAACTACATCATTATAGTTCTGGCTACAGTTCTATTACAGACAGGAATCAAAGATACCAAGTAAGACATTTTTCAAATTACATAAAAGATATACATTAATAAAGGTTTGATATCTAAACGTAACATTAAAAGTATAAAAACTTTTACGCATACAGACACATATATAAGACGAATCGAATAGATTTGGTATGCTTGTAATTAAGTTATTAAAAAATGTTGCTCGGAAAAATTATAATTTCAAAAAAATTTCTTTTCTACACCTCTATAACTTATTATCAACAATATTAAACAACGTTAAAGGACGTGTGGCCATTTCTAATACGATTATTGGTCGTCATTGTTTTTATAGGTAATTTTGGTAAATCTTGCCTACTACGGTTTTCTGTTTTCTTTTAAAAAGCTTTCAAAATAAAAAAAACTGGTTTCAGTAGTTTCTTTTGTGGAGTTAACATCGAAGAAAAATGTTTATTCCAATTTAATAATTAGTGCTAACGAAACATCTGTCTGGTTCATCTACGCGCCGTTTAACAGATTTTCCTGAACTATTCAAGCTTATACTTAGAGCTATTGGCCTTCTATAAGCGTCTGTATTCGTTGGTATCAATTGTGAAAATTGATATATGTTCAAAATTATATGTTCATAACAAGTTGTAAATTTATCGATAATTTTATTATTATCACTTATACAAATCAAACAAAGGTCGTACTCGAACTTTAGTATATGTATACAAGCATTGAATCACAATTCATTTTTTATATACTTATAACTTTTTAAATTGATTACAATTAGTAAGTAAAATATCTTGATAAAAGATCTCCGAATTTTGTTGATATACCGTTATTTACATTCATTTCTATATTTCATTGCATATCTCTTAGTTTGAACCATTACTTAATAGTCAAAAAAACAAAATCAAAAAGAACTAGTATCATTTCTCGAAATTGCGATAAAACAAAATTAGAACACGAGACTGAAATTTACTTTATTTTAAAAACAATGTATGTAATTCAAACTATTGTAAAAACTCAACTTTAGTTAATGTTGATTTATGTAAATTTCCTGTTAATATTTTCCATCTTCTAAGTGTCAACGTCGCTCCCCATATACATTCTCGTCGCTGTAAGCAATGTAGAGAAAACAATCTTCTTCTCTATGCTCCTAAAAAAATAAATTGATAATAAGAATTTAACAAAGATGACAATAAAATTTTCGATTCCTACTGATTCATTTGTATTTTAATTTTTAATATGATAAGATAAAAATATACCATAAAAAAGTCATTTTGATAAAGGATTGCTTGTAATTTGAGCAAATAAAATAATTATAGAAGGAAAAAAATTACCTGATAGAGCGCTCCCATGGTAGAGTTTGTTGCGGGAACAGTGTTGTTAACAAAAAAAAAGAGAGCATCCTCAGGACGAAGGTGAATCCTCTTCCGAATCAAGAAGTAAAATTGGCCAACAGTCAGATCTGTAGGCACAAGGTATTTCTGTTTATCTAAATCAAGAATTTTTGCTTTAGGTGCCTTAGCGACAATCACCTGAAAATTACAAAGAGAAATATACATTAATAGTTTAAAATTTTTTATTATTCATTTTTTCTATTAATGTGTGTCTTGAAAGTAAGTATACTTGAAATATTATGTTTATAAAAGATTTATTTAAATCGTTATATAGAAAATTCTCTCTCTCTCTCTCCCTCTCTATTTTGTGTACTATAATGATAGATTTCTTACAGATATTGTTATTGTTACTTCAAAAACTACTTCCATTTTGAACACTGTAGATATACTACTTATATATCTGTACAAATTCGTCTTTTGCCTCCCCATTGCTTTATGAAAAGATGCGAAGATGAATTTTTAAATGTATCATGACTGGACCTACAGTTTAACATGAAAATTGAAGCAACAGTCACTGTAACATGTATGAAAATTTTGTTTCTAAAAATTTTCATGTACTTCAAACTCAAACCTGTGATTTCTTACACAGATGCCTGGAATCTTAATCATTGAGCCACTATAACTATCAAAAAACTATTAAATTATAATTATTATTTAAACAAATATAGTTGTAGACAATAATATTTTATTATTTACTTTTTGAGTAACAGATATTTAAATAAGAGGGAAAGAAAAAATGAAATATTTTTAATGCCAGAATTCTATTGTAATGTATATATACATAATATTATCAATATAAATATTATTCTGGTTTAAATCAATAAATAAATCAAATAAATTAGTAATAAATTCATTCATTCTTTGAATGAATTTGTATTCACTTATCACTTCTTAATGAAAAATACAAAAATAAATCATATTTACATTATCTATAAAAAGTTCATATAGACATGGCTAAGTAATTTTAATTAGAAGCATCATAATATAATACTATCTCTGTGCACTTTTTTTATTTCACAATATTCTTAATATAAATCATGTATATATATAATTAAATCTCTATATGATGTGAAATGAACTAACAATTCATTGTTCTGAGATATTAACTGTTTTTCCATTTATTGAACATTATTATATTTTTACTATAAATATGTGTTTACTTATGTTATATAAATAATAATAAAATAATAATTTAACTTCTTAAACTATGATTTGTTATGATTAATGTCAATGAATATATCAGCTTCTATATAAATTGTTCATATGAACATTACTTGAGAGCCTAATACGACTTATAAATAATTATTTTATAATTATATTATTTTATATTATTTTATATTTATAAGTCGTAAGTATACACAAATTTGTTAGGTAATAAAAATGTAAAGAAATAAAGTTGTCATTGATTTTCCAATATTTATCAAAATATGTTTGTTTTTATTTTTCTCAATTTGTTTTCGATATACGCATCCGCACGAAATCCCTAAAAATAATCTGCGCACGAGATTTCTGCGCAGTGATTCATTTTCCGACCGTCATATGCCAGAATTGATCTTTTCGAAGGTGCCTGAATCGTTATTTCATCATCTTAAGCTATACCTTGTCCACTTTTCAAGGTACACTATATGAAATAATACAACTAAATGTTAGGTCTTTCTTGGTGTCAATTCGGAACTTTCACTACGATAAAAAATTCTAGCTAAATCGAATTTACTAAAAAAAGAAAACTGTGACCTCGGTCGTGGGAGAGAAGGAGTGAGACAAAGAGGAAGAGAGGGGAAAGAGATTTGAGAGAGAGAGGGAGGGAGAGAGAGAGAGAGAGAGAGAGAGAGAGAGAGAGAGAGAGAGAGAGAGAGAGAGAGAACAGAGAGCTCACGGAATACGACATAAACAAAAGGTTTTTTCCTAATGTAACGCGCGTATAAAGGACACATAATACATTTTCATATTTATTACGTGATAATATTCATACTAACGGGTACACGATCAGGATACTTCCTGCGAATTTTCTCGCCTTCAGCCTTCCTTTTTTCAAATGGACGCTCTTCTTTGTATTCGAATTTCATGGTTACTGCGTTTAATTCTCTTGTATCGTGTCCCGATACCTTATCGATTTTATCACTCTGTACTTTCCGATCTTGTTATTACACTCGTACAATGAATCACAAGCCAACAATTTTGATTGTTTTTACACAAATGACGTACGCTTAACTAGCTTTCTTGCTTGACGTGCTGAATGATCCACGAACTGACAGATACTAATGCCAGTAAACATAAAAGCAAAGCTCACTGCGTCGTATTCTGCTCTCCCCTAATTGTACGATGCTTCTGTGTGCTATACGAATCTACGATGTTACCGAGTTCTGATAGTCCTTGACATGCGTAGTTGTGCAGTTTTTGTGACACAATATGACAGTCACAAAACTGTCATGATTATTTTTAATATTAATTCTATAATAAATAAATAAATAAATAATAAGAATATCTATGAATAAATGAATAATTTGTGTGAATTCGTACGCAAAAACATGCATAAAATATAAATATATAATAAATTTGTTCTCTCTTCTTAAGTATATTTGCATGTAATATATATTAAATCAAGTCGATAAAATTATTAATATTGTAATTAAATATAAAATGGCGTAACAATTTTAAATATATTTTATATTTTTATATTTTTATTTTATCGTGACATTTTTTAGTCATAATTTTGCTTTTTGTAAAAATATATTGTTAATAACAAACTATAATTTTCTATATAATTATATATAAACGTTATATATTTAGTTTTGTCTAAGAACAATTATGCATTTAGACAATGATGCATTTATTACAAAAACTAATAAAATTCGAGTACATACAATTCTTTACTTTATATTAAATTCATATTAATAACAGATTCACTTTTATCGATCTACCTCTGTTTATTATCAAAGACTGCATTTATTTATACGGTATGATATTAATTATTACGAAAAAACTGCTTCTATTTTTAGAATTGAGCAATTTAGAAAAAAATTTTCCTATCACAAACGTACACACTTGATAAATAAGTAAATTATTATGCATAGTATGAACACGAGTTGGCACTTTCAGGCGACCATTTCTTGAGTTTTTCATTACATATCTATTTTTCTTTTGATTTCATCTTCGTTATCTATTTTTATTAGTAAATTTAATCAAGCGAAAACTTTTCTTAAATTTAATAATGAAAACATTAAGACTCCAAAAGTTTTCAATTGTATAACTGAATATAATGAACTTCGTATAATGGATGAAAATAAAATTACATAAGCTTTTCATTTTTTAATCAAGTTACGAAAATTACGAAGACAGCGCAATTTAGAAGCGGACGACCGCGAGGGAACAAACGTAATCACCCGTCAAAAATCGAAAAATCAGAAAATGCTTGACGTCATGACATGCTTACTAAAGCATAAGCAGTGACTATAACAGTACTAGGTATTGGAATATATATAGTGATACACGAAACTCACTGTATTGCAGCGGTGGAGCTTGCGTCTCAGGTGGTATACTATACATAGATTGTTGTTGATACTATTAAATCGCCTGTTTTATTATTTATAAAATTTGATACAACTTATAATAATTTATTTCTAGTTCATATTATTATAATTGTATATATTTTCAATATTATATAAATATATGACAACAATATATAAATAAACTTTGTGAACATATATGATTATCATAAATCATAAGTAAAAACATATTTAATCTTTTAAAACAACCAAACATTGATTATTTCTATACATCTGAATTAGTATTAGATTCCGCTGAAATAAACTTGCCTAATTGTTTCCATGCTTCAGCTACAGATGAAGTTAAATTTAAAAAATTGGAAGACTTGCTTAAAGATAGTATCTCTCTATTGTAGTTGTGTCGATTATCAATATTATTACTTTTGAAGAGTAAAAAAAAAGTAATATCCATGAACAGTTTCATCCGCTTTGTAACATCTTTTATTTTATCATTTAGATTATCATATATCGCTTCTATTTCGTTTTTCAACAACATCAACTTCTGGAATGTTTCTAATGCTAATGTACAATGATTATCTATAATATCCTTAAATTTGACACATGGTATATTATAAAATATTAATATTTCTATACTAATATGCTCAGAGTCATAAACTTGTTCTTCAATTCTATTAAGCATATTATCCAAGATTATTGTTTCAAGTTGCACAATTTTGTTCCAATCTTTTTTGTTGAATGCTACACAGAAATTATTTTTTAGATCATGCAATTTGAAAGTCACTGTTAATTTTGGAATCTCTAAACTTGTTAGTCCAATTATAAGACGCTTACTTCCACAATTGTTTAAAAAAAATTCATGACTTTCTAAGGAAAAGACAGAGTCTAATATCTGCAAATGTTCTGAAGGTAAAATAAACGAAGTATTAGACAAATTATTCACATTAGATTCACATGTAGAACTTCCAAATTGAGGATTGATTGTACTATGTTTTCCATCTTCTATGATTTCTTTTAATAAGGAAATAGGAATATTTGTTTCATTGCTTTCTTGTGATACTTCTTGACAACTTGTTTTATCATATTGTGTCTCAGTCATTATTGTTCTAGAATGAAAATTTTATATCACCTGATTATTATCTTTAAAATATACAAATATACAAAGTAATAAATACCTTTCATATGGGTTATATTTTCTTACCGAGGTTTAAAATAATACTTAAGGTTATCTTTTTTCCGAAAATCTAAATATCATAATTGATGTTCTCCAATTAATAAAATAAAAACTTTGTTCAACATACACATGTGTTCATGCAATTAAAGACAACAAAGCTTCTATCAGTCTCATGTTCACGCACTTTTCTGGTATAGATAGTATAGATACTATACATACCAACATATATCGTTCACGTTATTATCTGTCCAGCCGTACGTAACAATACCCTGCAGGAGACTTCATCAAAAGCACTAGAGAAAATTTAGATTCGTCGTCGCAGGTCGTCTAATCGCATGGGCAAACATTGAACTAAGAATATGATATTTTTCATTCAATATGTAATAAACACATACAATGTACGTTAAATCACTTGATAGATCTTCATATAATAATGCCTACGAGGAATAAACTTAGTATCTTTTGTTCTCTTCTCTTAGTCGCCATTTTTAGAGATTTCAGTGTCTTGCCCCCCGGCGACAATTTTCATTCCTAATATTGAGTCATCACAGTGTATATATTAATAACATAATGGTTTTATTAAAAATTTCTGTATAAATTCGATATAATTATATCAAAGTACGATTTTATATTCACGCAGTGTGAATGAATAATATTATAAGCAAAGGATAGGATATTTTCAAATTTTGTACAAGCATTACAAATATTTTTTTAATTAATATTTATGATAATTAACAGTCATAATGGTGGAGTAATTCTTACAAGGTATTAAAATACGATGACGCAAGTCTTTTTACTGATTCTAATGATTTTAAGACGTTTTAAATACTTGAATATACAATTACAATAAAAGTTATAAAATATCACATTTCACTACATAACTAATTTGAGATCCGATAGTCTGTTTATGTATATATACAAACAAACAGTATAAACTGGTATATGGTTTATAATGATATACACATAACAGATGTTTATATAGTCCAAAATATTTAAAGTAAAAATTATTCTGAAAATTGCAGTCTGAGTAGGAAGAAACTAAGAAATTGAGTTCCATCTCATTAGGCACATTTTGGTAAAAATGTTAGATTGGATACTGGGCATGCTGATGATGCTGAACTTGTGGTGGTTGTATCCACGGAATATCAGCGATAGCCGGTTGTTGCAATATCGCAGCTGCCGAAGCAGCGATTTGCATGGCTGCTCGTTTCCTACCAATCTCAACGTCGTAGTTGAACGTAAGTCCGGTAGAGTAAATAATACCATCGTTGCGTACAAGCAAAACCGGTACTTCGGTTCCTCGATTAATCCACGACCAATTTCCCTGGAATTCGCTCATATCTGGTACTGTGCATACCATACTTTGTTCGGTTCTATACCAAGTTTCTGCTTCGACGTCGCCAAACCATACCTATTAGAAACATATTCATTAAGTCATTTCTTCTGTTATTTGACAATTGACGTCAGTACCTTCAAGTTTGGTGCAAAATTATCGCCTTTCAATTCCAATGTAGGCACATCAGTGCTGTTCATTCGATTCAAATATTCGACCACTGGTACGGGCGTTACTGGCGCGTGCACTGGACCCATGCCTTCATAAAATTTATACTCTGCTCTTTCTGTACTAATTATTGTCCAACAAGCTCCATCGTTAATCATGTCTTTATTGACTTCTTTCGGCGAGGGCGTTGCGTTGAAGGGAACGATTTTTTCCTGAGATAGACACAAATACATGTGATCTGTGTCTTTCAGAAAAAAGGCACATTTATGTAATTGAGATACTGGATCATCGGCATCCAAGCTTGCCATGGATTTATCCACCTGAATAAAGATTATAATAGAAATATCGATTTCATTTTCATTGAACAGTAATATCATACCTTTCTTATGATGAGTCGAGGTAGTGCCATTCCTGTATCTTTGCATACTAATTTAATTGTATTATTATAATGGATGTAACCATCTTTTGGCTCAAAATCTTCATTCTCACTTTCTTCATCATCCAATAAATAAATTGTAAATGTACTCCATTGTGTAGAGCTTGCATGAAAATGATCATTGTCAACATGTAGGTATCTTGTACTAACAGTTTGAGAACGTAATCGATTGAATAAAGCGATTGTTGTTCCACTAGCAATACATAATTCGGTATTTTTTAATGACTGTTTTTTCTTTGAAGGTTTCGATATGACTTTAATACGATTGCTCATGAAAACTCCAATGTCATGGCCATTGGCATGAAACATTTTGATGGATAGCATAAAATGTTTTCTTTTATCCGAATCAGATATAAATAAAGTTTTGGCAGCACAGTATTGTTCTTCATTATTTAAATCTAATTGTTGAACATCTTGATCTGCATTTCCAACGATACCTATGAAAGCACAAAGTTGTGTCGACTGCTCAGATTCACCATCTCTACGCATTTGCTCTTGTCTCATTGTCCAAGTACTACCTCTAAAATTACCAATTATCCTTCATAATAATTTACAGAAAAGGTATAACAAGTATATTATAACATTTTGATTGAATTTACCTGAGGTAAACACACGGTGGTGGACAGAAAAATCGTTTCTCAGTACCGTATGATTTTTGTGCAACTTTGGCATGAAAAATAACTACAATCATGTCTGCCTTTCCTTGTGTGCGCTTGCATTCTGACAAATAGTGCCTCATAGCTTCTTGACTTAACCGTTGACTTTGCCTCATATCCAGTGCCATTTTAATAATTTGTACAAAAACATAAGTACTTGAACTAATTGCAAGTACTTATAATAATATCTAACAATGAGTTTTTAAATCAAACAGAATCATGTTACTTTTAAGAACTCCTCGTTATTTTTTAATGAATAATTGTTAAATAATTATAAATATGATAAAATTGTCGTTAAAATCATAGCTGATGTATTGTCATTGAACTTATAACCTAACTTGAAATTTCATAATCGAGAGTTTAATTCAGTTTCATGTAAATACACGAGTATGTGCACTTCTTTGTTTAAAGTACTTTTCTCAATCATACTGTCCTTTCGAATATAATGCTTTGCTGTTTCAAAATAAGATTTGAAGTAAACAATGTTCATTTCACACACGCGAAAACAATAACATACGCGAGAAAGAAAATGATCGACAAAGGCAAATGAAAACCGCAAAACGAAACGACCGCGGAACGTGAAGGGCGCAAGCAAACAATAAAGTACAGAAGGTCCTATAGATGGCGTTGTTTGTTTGAAATTTAAAAAGGCATATATGAAAATGAAAGGCAATAATTGTTATTTGATGGCCACTTTTATTTTGAAGTATTTCTCACGTAAACGTGTCAAATAAAAATAGAAATTGGTGTTCCCATAGATATTGTTTTATAATATAAACATCGAATCTGATTGACTAACAGTTGATACTATTACACAACTTGGCCGGAATTAAATAATAAATATTTATCTCTTAACTGCTACTGTGAAAGACATCCACTTAAAATTACATAGAATCCATTGCTCAACTTGCAGTTTGTCAACAAATAATTAGTCGCTCCTTCGATAAAACACATATTAGAACACTATTATAGATTCTGTATAGATTGCGCAAGACCTCGTATTCAGACATCGACAAACACTTAGAAAATTTTAGAAGATTTCTTCGTAATTGCGCGATTCGTGACAACGCACAAACAACAATCTCGTCGTCGACAGCTTTGGTTTGAATACGGTTAATTGTCCAAATATATGTCAAAGGGTTGCGCGCTGCTTGCCCGAGTTATTTGTTGGACTTGACACGTGCTTAAACTACTTTACAATCGCCTAGTCTTATGTTAAAGTGCCTTCCGGAATTCAGTTTGAAAAAATATCTCACCGTCGCTCAATAAAGCGTCAATCACCTAAAAGCTTCTAAATTAGTTTAATGCGTATTTTCTATAAGAATATTACGAGATTATAAGGCGGTTAACCCATAAAAGCCTTGTGTATAAATTTGACAACTATAAAAACCATTGGACACATCACAAATAAACAACTTTCATGACCCCGATGTCATACAGCATACCGAATTGGTCAACATTTGTCGCGGCTTTACCTGGGGAGAAGCCGTGACAAATGGTCTCTGCTTCAGTTTACTACAGATATCTCTCGGGCTCTTGGGAATACGCGAAAGTAAAGTCATTACCGATTCACTGCTGAGTGCTTAATATCTTTGGCAATTACTTGGAGTTACAATGGTCCCTCGTGAAATAAAGATTCAACGGATTATAGTTTCTTGCCAACTCGATTGTTCGAATCGTACTTGTAACTTTCGTTGTGTCCAGTGCACAAAATTCCTCTAATCCTGATCCTTAACGACCTAAATACTTTCTACTTGTAGATTGCTTAGCGATTATTTGGTGTCACAATTGAGTATTATCGAATAGAGAAGCTCTGACGACATTGTCATCTTTACAGAATCATACAATTGGAAGTCCAAGTTTCAACTCTATACAATGATCTTGTTAACGTAATAATTACTATCCTCGTAATAAACGTTGTCTCGATTTTTATCAACATTGGTGAATAGCTCACATCCTGAACACTACTACTCCGTTAACATCTTAGTTCAGACTTTAATGTCTTTAAATAAATATAGAAAACAATAATCATAGTGATTGGTAGTTTGGGTCGCAGTCGCTACCGTAAAAGCGCGAAAAAGGCGCTATCAAACATCCACAGCTAGTCCGGTAAGATAACATACCTTACACACCGAAACAACGTCGACGTATGCGAATCGATTGCTTTCAATCAAACGAGCAACAGTCTACTTAAGCTACTTAATCGATATTTGTAAACGCATAGGAAAGTATCTAACATTCGAAAAATAGTGCAACTATCCGTGTATACAACGTTGGCGCACGAGCAGCCGTGATCTCTGCAACAGGAAGACTGGCGCTGACGAAGCATTAGAGGTAGGCCGAGTGCTTGCTGCTGTGCTCGAGGGCAGCTAACACATCCTGCTTCTGGCGCACGTACAGCCGGCCCTTCTTCCAGGGGTTCTGCAGCTGCAGCGGTTTGAAGTCGTCGCGCAAGCAGCGCTCGCGCGCCCCGATCACGGCCACCAGGCAAAAGTTGACCAGCTCGTCGGGCGCGTAAACCGGGCCCTCGAGGCCCTTCAGCAGCACGGCCATGTTGAGCTGGCGCACCACCAGGTCGACTACCTCACGCGCTGTTGTACGCGGTGTGACGTGCAATTTAAGGCTGGTGCCCGAGGCCAAGCCCGTCTCGTAGGCGGCGAATACCTGCAGGATGCCGGGCGGAGGCGCGCCTTCCTCGCGTGGACCTTCCGCCTCGGGCCGCGCAGCCAAGCTGGCCGCGGGCCGCCGGCTCGGCGGCCACTCATCACTGCTCACAGACAACGCGCTACCGGAGGTGGCGCCACTGGCACTACGTGCCACAGGCTGCAGGCCGAGCAGCGGACTGCTGGCAGCAGAAACCGAAGCGTTCGGATGCTCAGCGTGTCGCGCCCTCCCGGGCGCGAGCACATCCTCAGAGCGGGAGGGTGGCAACCGGGAGCCAGGGGCAGCGGCTGGACCACGCCGGGAGCCCGATGCGCTGGCGGCTCGACCCGATTCCGAGGCCGTGGAATTCTGCGAAGTGCCACTAGCCCGGCGCGAGGCCGCTGCTGACTCGGCCAACGGCAGCTGTTGCTCGCTTTTGCTTAGCGACTCGGCGCCCAGTAGGCCGAGGCCAGTGCCGCCGGTTGTATCTGCGCCTGCCGTGGGTCCGGGCCAGCTGCCGCGTCCGGGGCTCGCCTTCACCAGCTTGGGATCGCGCGGTGGCAGCTGCAGCAGACTGCGTTTCAGACTGCCGCTCTGGCGTTCCGAACTGGCCAGGTAGCGTACACTCGCACCGGCGCTCTGTAACAAACGGACCGGTTAGTTATCACCGGGCCTCTCGCCGTGGACGGGTTGGGCTACTCACTGTCTTGTCGCGGGCGAAGGTAATGAGGTCGACGAGCCAACGCGCCGCCTTCCAGGCGGCGTTGGCCCGCGCCTGCACGTCCTTCAATCGGTCCAGCCGCTCGCGCGCCACACTCAGCTCGGAGGCGCTGAAGGCTTCGCGGTGGCTGTGTTGCGCACGCGCAGTGTCCAACTCCAGGATACAGCTCAACCGAAAGTAGCGACTACTGAGCTCGCGCTGGTAGGTGCCCAGATGGATCATCTCGAAGACTTGAATGGGCAAGCAGAGTATATCGGTGCGCTTGAGCAGCAGCTCGCGGTTGCTGCCTGGTGGCGAGCAGGCACTCTCGGACGGTGGCACCATCACCAGCAGCGACACCTCCGCGCTCAGCTCCACCACCTCAGCCGAGTAGATGCGGTGGCTCAGTGGCTCGTCCGCGCCCATGTCCATGTAACCGAACAGCCGCCTGGCCGCACCAGCCAGCGCGTCCGCAAATGCGCTCTGCTGCTCCGAGGCCTGCTCCGTGGCCTCGCGGCGGCCCAGTCGACGTAGGTGCTGCCACTCGTCGCTATAAAGTCGCCGCGAGGCCCGTCAGTCATTGTCCGATTTGTTAGCGGCACTGCATACTTACGCTGACACATGCGGGTTGTCGCGCACTTTGCAGTGAGGCAGGACATTTGGCGACTTGGCCGGCACCACCACGCGTATCGAGTCCACGCTGCTCTGCAGCTTCAGATAGCCTAGGTACAGGCCCCTGCTCAGTTTGAGCCCGCTCGCCTGGTGATACCGCACCTGCTCCTGAACGCTCGCCATCAGGATGTCGGCTACGTTGCTTTCCTCGTGCACGCTCAGCTTCTTGCCGACTTTGCTCATTGGCAACCATTTGCTGTTCAGTAGCGACACCAACTTGGAGGACCTCACGTGATTGACACTCGACAGTACCAGCGTTCCTTGCACGTCTCTGATGGGCTTGTGGTAGAACTGGCCGAGGTCTTGGATGCAAAGCGCCGCCTGAAAGAGCATAGCGGTTGGTGCGCTTTCCCTCGCTCGAAGGTCCATCTAGCCCTGCTTACCTGCATTTGACTAGCCGCCTGTAACATTTTTATCCGAAAGTGGTTCGTTGAGCTGCCCTGACTCTTCTCCATATCTTGCTTTAGGCACTTGACGTCGTCCCACGAGCAAGCAACCTTCATCAGCCAGTGAAAATCCTGCTGGATAAGGCTTGGGTACGTTTCATCGATCTCAATCACCGGCAGGAAATCCTCGTTCGTCACCAGTACTCTGTCCTCGTGGTACAGTATGCAGCTGAGGAATACGCCGCGGCGCAAGTTCTTCTGAAATTTGCTGCTCGCGGTAAACAGCTGTTTGATGGTCGTCTTCTTCTTGTGGTTTCTCCGCTGCAGAGCCGGGCCTTCCAGGCAGAACTCTGCGCCTCGCACGTCGCGAAGTAACTGCTCCAGCTGCTCTAATCGACCATCGAATCGAGCTGTGCGTCCGTCTACGTCCCTCCAACCTAATCGAAGCAACGACGAGAAGAATGTAATAATTTGAGCACACCTTTCGCCTGCGTATTATTTTTATGACGACTTACTGCTTGGAATGATATAAGTTGGAGTGGTCGGCTTGAATTGACTGTAGCCTTTGGCGTTGCCCGTCGCAGCCCGGAAAAAATATTTACGTCCGTGCGCGAGATTATCGACGCGGCATTGCCTCAGTTTCATGTCCAGCACAACTTCTTCTCCGCACACCTCGGAAAAATCTTCGGTAAGACTCCACTCCAGCTTGAATTTCGTGCACAGCGGGGACTCGGCGACATCCGATTCGTGAAATTTGACGGTAACGCTTGTGGTGCCGGTAACATCGACCGTCACGAGCACCGGCGCATCTGGAAGACCTACAATAGGACATCGTTATCCCTTGCCTCTCAATCATTGCCCAATGATCAATGTCCACGAACCCATTTGCTCCAAAATCACGAGCATCTTCTTGAGCGCTCTCGCTCTCCGCTCCCACGACGCGAGTTGCTTCTCCTCGGCGCTACCCCCGCAACCGGCAAGGTTGGCGTGTTGGGACGAAAAGCTACCTCTGTGGGAGTGACTCGAAGACGGCTCTAACAAGGGCGTGCCGCTAAAACCAGGGCAAGTTACCTGGCCACCGACTTCTTGCAGACGTCGCTCGGCCTCCGCCAGCAGCATAGTCAAGTGACTTTTCAGACCTTCCGGCGATTTGACTATTTTTTTCGCAGTATAATTGGCAGTACAATGAGATCTGTAGGATCGACAAATCGCAGGTAGATTGACTTACATTGATTCCCTTCTTGCGCTCCAAAGGTGATAAGCATTTTGGTCAACTGTCGATTGTTGTTCAGCACCGCTACGTCTAGCGTCGAGAGACCATCGGCGTTCAAACTGTTAATTTCGATCTCGGTCGACTCCAAGATACCTTTCACCCGATCTATATGTCCTTGTTCAATAGCTGTAAATAGAACTGCAAAAGAGTATGCAATTAAAAGTACGAGAGCTTTCGATATAGTGACTTGCACGATCAGATAAATTTTACATCGAAAGCTAAAAGTCCATCAAAATACATGATACATTGATTGAAAAGTATACAAAAAAATTATCGGTACCATGCAAATGTATATCGCAAGATGATTGGATCGTAATGGAATTAGCGTTTACAGATGATAATTTGCCATGCTGATACAAATTTCTTTGAAGTGCTTTTCTTCTACCAAGGCCTTCCAAAAATTCCATTGCTTGTGACGACTGTGATTCTGCACGAATAAAAGCAATGCAGTAAACAACATGAAATAAACATACCAAGTAGTTTCTCGATTAATGCGACTCGAGTACCCATTTTTTTCAAGAACTACATATGGTACCGTCAAACTTTTATTTCCAAAACGAAACTCTTACTTATCATCAATAAGTCATGACTTGAGCTTTAGTTATTTGTTGAATTATTCATTTTATTATTAATTATATCGATTTATATTAATTAATTACATCGGAAAAATTTTAAACGATAGCTGCCTGTTAGTGTGCATAATCCGTGCGCCTTCATCCATCGCAAATTTGCGTCGCACAGCAATGTATCAAGTGAGTAATATATAATAGATATACTAGAATCACGGTAATCGTGATTAAGTCATGTGGATAACGCGTCAGACTCGTAACTCGAATGGCCGAGGTTTAAGTGGCGATCTTAACACTTTCTCCGAATAAAAAAAATCGATAACGCGGCCGAGTTAGATAAAAAAAAAGTATAATTACACTGTTAAAATCTAAACGGGCTTGGAAAATTTATAGTGGTTAGATATATACTGTCCATTGAATCGCGATCAAGTTGAAATAGTATTACGTCCATAGTTTTTTTAGTTCTTATTAATTTTGAACAAAATGAAACGTACTTGCATCTATTGTATTTCCCTGCGGTATTTGGCATGAAATGTTTTTCACTTTGAGATCCATACAACGATCTTCGACATTCTCCTTTCTGTGCTGCTGCTGAAGAAAACGAAGAATCAAATTAATTATCAATACTACGTGTTGATCATTGAGTGTCGAAATCCGCTAAAATATCATAAAAATGAGTAAAACAGATCAACTGTTTAATCTTATTTTCCAAATTTGTCGATCGATTGTTTTCAAATTTAAAAATTTGCGTTACTATCGTTGTGAACACCGTGACAAAAAACGTCGTGTCGGAATTGATACATCAATTGGCTTATCTAAGATATTTAGCTTCCTAACTGTTGAAACCTATCAGTGAGATTTAAGATATTTGGTGTATGCTACGAAGACCTAAGTTTACAATTTACTGCCTCTTCTTTACCATTCTCTCCATAAAAGTTTAGATTTACTCACAATCTTCTTCTTCTTTTTCAATGCTTTGCCATCTACTGGCCTTCTCATGTTTGATAGACTTGGAGAGAACCGTAGGTCAACATCATCTTTTTCTCGGCCATCTGCAGATAGCACACCACTCTCGTACTTTTTCGCATTCTGAAAAAATTGCTTAGCCGAGTGCATTTTTACTCGAGTGCACCATTCGTGAATTCTACAAATGGGCTCATTCTTCAGAATCACGGTCATTCCACTGTTGCATTCATTGTTCAAGTTGCTTGCTGTCTGTCGCGACTCTTCAATATTTTCCTTCTTTTCCGAACAAGGCAGTTCATTTCCGTGATAAAAACTGTCGGTCGTAGAATCAAATGAACTGTCCATGAAAGCTAGATTTTCGTATGCTTTCAACGCATTATTTCCGAGCTCATCTTGATTCATCTCTTCTTTCAGTATGCTATACTCATTGTTACCTGAGTATTTTAAGCCCTTTACAGTTTTGTTGGAATTGTCGAAGCCTTCGGTGAGATGAACTTCCAAATCATTAGACAGCCTTAATCGTGACATACCACGCACATTGTCTTCGTCTTCGTTCGATTGGGAATTGATCTTAACTAGATGGCTTTCGGTTCGCGTTGAAAGGTACGGATGAGATCGAATTTTGGTCATTAACCTCGCAGATGCGCGGAGAGATTTGCACCTTTTGAAATTGGTGACCTTTTTCTCTCGGGGCGCATGACGTAGAAAATTCATGTCAATCCGAGCAGACGCGTTAGACAATTTTTTAAATTTCATTGTTTCACTTCTCTCCAGTTACTTTTCAAAACAAACTTTGAAAACATGTTAATCCATTGACACTCTCATTTTCAAGCCAAAGCCACGCGCTCCCAACTGAAAATGAAAGTAACTTGTCGTTTAGGAGTATATACGATTGAAAACTGAACGAGGATGCCGACAAAACACGAGAGCCCTTGGGCACCACACGGAGACAACTTGATCAAACTGAGTTGAAAATATGCCGACGTAGATATTAAAAGGAATCATCTTTAAGTTGTTATATTAGGAATAATTAAAGACCATTACAGAAATAGGCATTTAGAGTTTGTTATTTTTACCGGTTTTAACAAACAATTTATTAAACTGCGAAAGTATGTAATGGTGCTAAACAATGTAACAAGATTCACAAAGACCATTTGAAAATCGTCTTAACGTGAACTCCATTTTTTTCACGAATGATTAATGATCTTACTCTGACTACTTCGTCATTACGGCGACTACTAAAATTACCGTAAGAAATTCTCCGTATAGTAAGCGGACAAAGGGCTTTCGATTCGGTGTTGCTTGCAGCTTACGATCAATTAGATGAGCTTGAAAAACCTATAGCAAACAGTACATGTAACCGTATTTTTGGTCGGCGCTTTAATGCTTGAAAAAGGTTTATTATCGGACGATTAAGCAGACTAATATTCCTATATTGATTTGTTCACAGCTTTGCAATTGTAAGCAATTAAGTTTTATCCCGTAAGTCCTGCGAATAAGCTTATGGTCAAGCACGTGTCCTGACGTGAAATTTCTTCGTATAGAATTTGCAGAAATTTTCAATGTCTTCGAATTTCTAGGCGTCAAGCCATCGTGCATAAGCAAAAGCAACGTCGAGTCGAATTTCTTGTGCAATGTTTGCGAAGAATGTTATTATCGAACAAATTGCTTCATTTCAATGTTGAATGTGAATCCGTCATCTTGAATCAATTAAACATCGGTTTTTAGTCTCGTTATGTTAATAGAGTATTTAATTTAAATCACACGTGATAAAATATGACTAGACTATAAGTAATACAGCTGTACATAATCAACGTTAAGAGTTGTACTTTTTATAACAAACTAGCATTTTTCAACTTGACCTACAAAAACACGGCAATGCGTATATGAAGCCTTACTTATATCGCAAGATAATACTAAGTTTGCACTTTTTTGATCGTATATTCGAAGGTTCAACTGAATTTATTAATTTAAATTATTCTTTAATCTTATTTGACTATCAATCATCAGAGCATAATAATAAATATATTCTACATAAAAAACAGTTTGGATAGCACATGGCTAACGGATTCTTACATTCAGCACAGAAAATAGACGTTTCATACGTATACTATGGAAAATCAGCTATTTTTTATAAATTACCGCATAATCTAAATTGATAAATACCTTACACCAGAATGTAACATAACCTTGATTTATGTTTTTAAATCTTCTACTTTTCTGGCGGCTTTATATTAAGATTATTGTAGGAATGTATGACACTGAGTTGTCTAGGAATGCTTGCTTGTGATTTATGGAAACTATTTCTTGCTGTATATTTAGAGAACGGCTTTTGAACGAATTCACATCGCAATGAAAATGAGACGCAATGAAAAAAGTATAACATGTTTCCACGTAACGCAACATGAAAATAATGTTAACTGTTTTTGGAAATTCATAACCTATTTGAAATAGCAAACACTTGGGTTTTAAGGTTTACGTGTATTGTATACATATTGCATAGCGGCACGTAAACAGACACGCATGCGCAGTGGTAGCTGTATATGATGAGGCGTTGAGTGTTGGGTCCAAGTCCGATTCCAAAATCGAACGGTAGGGACGTTGGGACTAAGGATGAGGGCGTTGGCGTCGATGCGCTTACAACGAGCAAGTTTTATGTATGCGTACGGCTTTAGAATAACCATGAAAAAAAGCTATTTGATTACTACAATAAAATTGTACCTAGCTTATTCACTGATTGACCAATGTATTTATATTGATAAATGAGAAACAACGAGACATCCATGCTAATTAAAACCACTCTTGCTACTTTTTTCATACATTTTTAACGTTAAGCTTATTATAATTTTTTTAAATTGGTTTACCTTAGTAAGAGTGTCAAAGAGTATATAGAGTTCGTATTATTCTCTTGTACACACGAAAAAGATGAGAGAAATGAGCAAAGTATGTCATTCGAGGAAAATTCATGTATCTATCGAAGCGTGTAACGCTAAAGTAAAATTTTTTATCGCACATTTTCTTTAATGAGTGTAAGCAAAACTCGCTAGAACATCGCAGACAATTACACTTATTTGTCAAATTTATTTGGAAAGATTCATTGGTTGAGACCGTCTGTTATTATTTTCTTTGACGATAATACACTGAGCAAAAACGACTCATAACTGTCTAGTGTATCGAAGTATATTTTTCACGTGTACATACGAGGTAAATTCATTAAAAGTCGATATATTATTCCAAAGGTATCTGTTGGTAATGATTCATTAAATATCGCTTCCTATTGTCACCTGTATCTCACTTATGTTTAATAACATAACCAAAAACCAAAGTCTCAGTACAGCATTTAGAGCAAATCTCGTCGAAGATTTAAGACAAGTAATATAATTTACCTGCTCTAATCAGCTAAGCAATTTACGAACACTCCTTCATACTGCGTTCACTGAGTTTACATCGCTGGGAAAAGTTTGGGTCGCGAAACTGATAACTAGAACCTTACAGATGAGAAGTAACATGTTAACTGCTGAATGGAGCGAAGACTGTAACAGCTGCAGGTTACGAGCAGTTGGGTAGCGCAAGCGACAGGTGAATTTGAATTGAATTCTCGTCAGCAACTACTCTACTACGTTGAACTTTACCGGTGTGCGCGAGTCGTCGAGAAAATTATCTACTGAAACGTACAGTAAAACGAAATGTCATTCGACTAGCATTGAATAATTTGCGCATTAGCGCTTGGAAAACATCGTTGCGCGAGCGAGCAGCACTATATCATTTGGCACGGACGAGGAGAGGCCCTTCGAAACCGGTTTATCACTCGAAAGAAGATTCGGCACGGCGGTTTAATCGCTCGTCTGCGCTGCGCAGGAGGAGCTCAGGCTGGCGTCCGCAATCGCTCTCGCACCGCCCTGCTGTTATCAATCGACGAGAGATTTGCGAATGTACGGTCGCACGGCCGTGTAAGCTGCAGCTGCATACATTTCGACGAGGAAGTGCTCGCGACAGCATGCTCCACGTCTACGAAAAGACAATGATCTCTAGAGACAACGAGAGAAAAGAAAACTGAAGCTCAAACATGTAGGCGATGGGTGGCATGATGACAGAGCTCATTCAAACAGCACCGATCTCGTCACACGCAACATTCGACACGTAGATAGCGATGCGCGCCATTCGAACAATCGAAAACAGTGAGGTGAGCAGAGACTGGAGCAAGTGAAGCGTGTGAGGAGACGCTATTGGCGTTGGAGGGCAACGAGGAAGGAGGCGAAGTGGTCGACTAACCCAGCACGGTGCGTTGGCCCTTGATCTTGCGCCCTGCGCCGGGCGACGCGAGGCTCAGCCTGTCCGAGCGCGAGCCGAGCAGGGGGCTGGAGCTGCGCTTCTGCGCGGGCTGCTCGCCGAGCCTGCGGGCGCCGAGGAGGGCCACGTCGGCGACCGGGGGCGGGGCCGCGCCGCCGTCGAGCGCCAGCGAGCTCCACTCGGCCACGCTGTCGATGCTGCCGCTGCGGGGCAGGCAGGAGCTACTGCTGGCGCGCTCCCTCCTGCGTGCGCGTTCGTGTTGGCGTGGGTCAGTGGCTTGGCGAATGCCGCGGGGCTCACCTTTCCCAGGAGAGGCGCCGCGGGACGTCGTCGCCGGGCGGCACGAAGCTGGGCCTCTGGTTGAGCAGCCGGGCGAGCTTGGTCAGCGGCTGCGAGCCCGCGAAGCCGCAGCTGTTCAGCTTGCCCGTGGACCGCGCGGACGCCTCCCTGAAGGCGCTCTGCCGCGGGCAGCTCGGCCCGGTGTCCGAGACCCGACGCTCCCCTGCAACGCTCGCGACCGTTTTACGAACGTTTGGCCGCCGGTCGGCCGCGCGCACCACTTACCCAGGCCGTCGTCGGTGAAGGATATCCTCGGCGCGAGGAGCCTGCCGCAGTGCGAGACGCTGCTGTCGCGCTTGGCGCGGCCCGGCGCGTCCGCGTCGTCCCCGGGCTCGAGCAGGCCTGCATTGGAATCGAAGTACAGTCACAGCGCTGTGATCGCGCAGGCGAATGCCGAGACCGGCGGGGGGCTTACGGGGGTAGCGGGCGTCCAGCTGCACCTGCAGGATGTTCAGGCCGGGCGCCACGATGGCCGGCAGCGTCCTCGAGCGCAGCAGTGGCGCCGGCCGGCCGCCGGCCCCGCGGACCGCGGGTTTCTTCTCGGGCTTGTTGCATTCCGGCGCGGGCCCGCTGCCAACATGCCACCACGACTCGCTTTAGCGCTCTGGCGGAACGACAGCGAGCGGCAGCGAATCCCCTCGGCGACGATGCGCCGACGGGCTGCGGCCGACTCTGTCCTTGATTCGCCGCCGCCGCCGCCGTTCTTATCGAGAGACTTGATTACCTCTTATCTTTGCGCTCCTGTTTCTTCTTTCTGAACGCTTTCTTCACTCTCAGCAGCAGAAAGGCGGCTCGATCGATCGTCAGACCCGGAGTCGTCTTGTCGCTGCTCGACATCCTCCTTATCGCCTAGGCGCACCTCCGCCACCTGTAACGCACAAGCGGACGTTGGCATTGACTACCTCATCCGAGTAATCGGAATCCTGACAAATTGCATAACTGCGCAGCACCTGTGATGAACATCGAGTGTCCGTTATTGAGACACCAGGGTATCCACGTCTCGATTACAATTGACGCTATAGCTATGGAGTTATTGCAAATTAGGTCGATTGTCCATTGGAACCTGAGTGCTTTTTAATGCTTTACACTCGTACGCTTCTTTGCTTATTGCATGTCCGAACATTTTTATAATTTCTAAGAATTGCCGCGAGTAACCTTGTTAAGAAAGCTCATTCATCATTACGTGCTATTTCTTCTTGACGTGCAGTAGATATTGAATCACATATTTTCCAACAATGCTCACAATCCATTGATGGATCTGCTATATTTATATTTGTTAAAGAATGTGTTGAGCACGATCAATTTTTATGAAGAATGCACAGATAGAGACGCAATTTTCCACTTTCTTGTCGCTATCCACAGCTGAATCATTCAACATACATTCAGCGATTGAAACTACACCCGAGAAAATTTATTCCCAATTATACTTCCAACCCCATCTTACATCTCCATTCCCTAATAATGTATAATCGTACTTTAAAAATCCGCTTGTATCTCTCCAAATTGCCACTAGTTTACTTAGAAATTATTCTTATTTAAAATACGTTATCTAATACATGTTGAAATACAGCAATCGTTTTGAATCCCGCAGCTCTGCTACATACATTTTCGCTAGAAGTGAAAAATCGTACGATGAACACTATAAATCATAGTGAAGATAAACATGCATTTAGGGCAAATCACTTTTACAATAGTTAAATTTATATACATAAAGGATTTGTCTAACTGTTTGATCATTACTTTATATTTACTTCATTTTTCAACAACCATGCAGAACTGTATAATTACATAAATTGTAGTTGACATTATAATTATGTTTTGAAGAAAATTTCTTACTCGATATCTTCCACTGCTCATCAATCATTTCATTTAACCTCTGAACAAGCATAAACTCCAAATCAAGTTCCATTGAAAAACTGGAAAAATTATGAGTCTTCAAACGAGTCCTTCAAAATTACCCTAATAGCGCTTAAGTAACTTCAGAGTATCAAAACATTTAGGTTATAAATTTATTTTTTTCAAAAAGACGAGAGTGGACTAATTGAATAACGTCAATGTAGATTTCATAAATTAACAATCGGGTTTCAGTAATTGAACAAATATCTGGGATCCATCGTGTTTTCGTTTGTTTTGACATGCCCTAGCATACAGAAACTGCATTATTGGCAAGGTTATCCAAAATGCACAACCATTATTAAAAGAAACTGCTGAAAGGGCCCATATGACATGCTGCTAATTAATTTTAAAAATGTAGAAGTCGTCATAAAACAGAATAAGAAATGTACAGAAATTGAGAAAAAATAACTGGTAAATTATTAAAAGAAACATCAAGATACATGAATTAAGAATGTCTAATTATGATTGTAACTTTTATTAAATATTTATTCATTTTTTCAAATAAGATATCATGCTAAGGAAAATTCTGAAGAAAATTTTCAATCGAATTCATAAATAAAGCCAATGTTATATTATAAAAAATAACAACACAATTCACGATTGCAACGTAATATAAGCATAATTATTATGAAAAAGATCATTGTAGTCGTTAATTCACAATTAAAATATATTTTTAAAGATTTTCTGTTCAGATAATACTCGATAATAAAGAATCAATTTGAAATACTTTTCTCCAATTATCATCCGAGATTCGTCAATAAACGTAAGTACTCGGGCTATTTCGCTTCAGTTTTTTCTTGCTTTCCAACAATTAATTACGAAATACAAATATAACCATAAATAACCTCGAAACATCAATTTGACACCAAATAATTAGTGATAATGTAAAACCTTACATGTAAGGTACATATTTTTCAGCCAAGTCCATTTCTGTTGGGCTCACTCGAGTCATTATAAAAGATATCCTTGTTAATTGAATGACGTAGGTTAGATTAAGAATTATGCAAGAATGCACTCGCGATTATATGGGAATTGAGAAATCAAAAGAAATTGTATAACGAGTACAACAGTGGAGCGGAAAATTTCAATAAAATAAAAGAAGGATAAAATGAAGAGGCCTATAGGTGGAGCGAAAGAGAAAAGAGCAGAAGGGGAGAGAAAATGTCGAACAAACGTACGGCCCCTCGAGAGATAGAGGAACCGAGAGGGAGAGAGGGAGAGAGGGAGAGAGGGAGAGAGAGAGAGAAAGAGAGGAGAGAGAGAGAGAGAGAGGAGAGAGAGAGAGAGAGAGAGATCGAGAGAAAGCACAGCAGTATAAGCGTCGCCAAGTTCAGCCCCCTACTAGCTGTTCACTGAACTGCAGCTCAGAACTACGAGCTGTACTGTATAAAGAGTACATAGTCATAGACTATCTGGGAAAGCTACAGCTGGTGGTGGCGCGGTGCGGCAAGGTCTAGAGTCCAGTTACATTAATAGGATTACATGCAGAGATTAAGAATAAACCCCCTAATCTCTATTCAGATCGACGTAAATGGCCTTCAATCCATAAAACTTCGTAATACTTGCTTCAATTGGGACCTGCTGGACACTTGTTTGAACAATGTTTGAACAACAACAATATATAGAAATTTACGTAATTCATCGTTTTCCCTAGCAGACGGCGCTCTATATCAAGTAGACCCCGAACGAAGGGATCCTCTCTCGACTCTCGACCATTTGAATCAATTGTTCATGTTTCATTATATTTCAACCTAAAATTCACCGACTAGACATTTCACTTAGTTTTTACTTTTCTTTCTCCGAATATATCATTTGCACTTTTCTTGACTGATAATTCTTATTCTTTTTTTTAAGTTACGTCTTATTAAAATGTTATTTCCTAGCAAGAGTAACAAAATGATATATACTTATAAACTAAAACTATTAGTTTTCAAATGCCCATCTACGTCATTTATCTACACACAGGGTATTTTACTATAAACTTAACTAACACATTCAACTATTTCATCGTTCATCAGTCGCATCATATCCGTATGCATGTAATAATGTAGTGTAGTATCGTCATTTGTCACTAAACGTCAGGCGCATGTGTATGTGTGTGTTGTGCTCTTTGCGGAAACAGTTGATATCTCAATTTTTGTTCTCTGCTGTTCTTTTATAATAATATATATTATATTTTATATATTAGGATTAATTCGCTCTTCAATTTGATGTTTTCTGTCTTTTCTACGCTAAAAATGCAACTAAAGCATAGACTACTGTTACTTTGATCATTCATACTGCAGGGCAGAACAAGAAGATGAAAAACCCAATCTCTAAAAAAATTGAAGGTTAGACTTCTTATTTCTTTTTTTTTACTTTACGTTGTTTTCATCAACCTTGTTTAATACATTGCATTCATTAGATTGTGAACATTTTTTGCACTTATAATTGAATATGTTTGCTTTCAAACTTTATTTAAATAAATATATAATGACATACAAGAAGTTCTGCTAACTTTGTAAATGTTATTTTGTATCTCATTAAACAAAAAATGTTCTGAACTATCAGTATTTTCATTTCTTCATTTCTGTACTCCATTGTTTACTTTTTCCAACATAGATACAACAATTAAACTTGCGTTAAAGATAGGTTAAGTACTAATTTATTTTTGTTTAATTCAAATGGTTAATTAACTTACAAACTCTTCTTTTTCAGAATACATAATAGTATCAAAGAATAATATATGTCTCAAATAAGCAAAAATTTTATAGTTGACATGACTATTAAGAAGACATTCAAGATAGCGACTTCAAGCACTATGAAGAGAGATTACAAATCTCATCTTGGTGGTTGTGTATGTAATACAGGATGTGAATTGTTTATAATAGGATTGTAGAGTTCTTTTTTAATTGAACTTGTAAATAATTATTGTAAAAATCAAATTTGATAGTAGAAATTATTTAATTCTACAAAGGTACTATTTTTTATTTGAATTAAAAAGAATTTTAGCTTTAACTTTTATGACAAGTTTCAATCATTATTTTAACTATTAATTTTACAGTGTCAATGGTGACTAATTTTTACAAGCTAGAAGAGATGAAGTTGTATGCCACTTTGCAACAAAACAATATGGCATTACTAGTTATTGAATCAATATGTCAATGATAAAAAATTGCCAATTTTTTCCTTGTGGACAAGGAAGGATTTTTAATGAATGAAATAATTCAAGTTGTATAAAAGTCTTTATAAGACAAGACAGTACAAAATCAAGATCATACATTTTAATAGTAGTTTTATAATGATGAGCAACTTTTTTATATAATTTAAGAAATTAAATTAATTAATAGAGTAAAAATTTATTATAAAGATACCTTGATTTTAGGTAAGAATTTATTTAAAGAATCTAATATAATGTCTTTAATATTTTCACATATGACTGTTTTTTAAAGAGGTATATTAGAAAGAGTCCTAATGCTGAAAGGAAATTCATTATTGTACTGCGAGGCCCATAAAGAAGAGGAATCATCTTATATTGCACTTGATAGAGAACCTCTTGGTAGCTAATTCAATGTTTCTATCTACTTAATTAACTTAAAATTATAAGGTTAAACTCTTATTGTTTTATTTAGCTCAACAAGTTAACTGTGAAAGTACCACTTCTCCAAACCATATCCTTCAGAACGTGTATTTTGTTACACCTATACTTTGTAAACATTGTGAGTAGATTTTTGTATGAAAAAAATTAATCTTTTTGCTTTAGTTTGAAATAAATTAATTTTATCACTTCAGGTGAAGATTACATATGGGGCACTGGTAAAGTCGGAGTTAAATGCAAAGGTAAGAAATTTATGTTTTTAAAGGATAAAGTTTAACATTAATTATTTAACTATTACCTAACCAAAATAACTTTTTCAATATTTCATTTGATAAAGTAAAATTTTCAGTATTTTAAACACAAAGTTGTATGAAAATTACAGTAATCATGAAAGAAATTGTAATTAATCTACACATTTGCTTGTTTCCATGACATTATTGACAAGAAGTGATAACTATGAATATCGCTTCAACCAGAAGTAATGATGCAGAGTAGAGTAATGGTAGAAGGATAGTTCTTGTCAACAATTTTCTCTTAAAATTTTATAAACAGCGTTTGGATAAAACATTTTATTTGGATTAACTTGATGAAAGAATCAGCGTGAAATTTATGCATTCAATTGAATTATAGTATAAGACTTGATTATTAATTTTTGAAAGGAGTAAACAAATATTCTGATGAGTCTGGTGTCAATTTTTAATGAAAGACATTCATCATTCAACAAGATAGTTCATGAAAATATTTATATCCATTAAATAACTGCGACCTGATAAAATTTGTCATTCAAAAATTTTCTACTTGTTACTAGACCCACACCCACTTACACAAAGCTGTACATGTATTGATTTGTTAAATTCAAATTCTAAATCGAAATTGCTCCTAAAGCCTTTAATTTCATACACTTTATACCTGAATTTCCAATTTAAACCTCTTTTCCTTAATTGAATTTAAGGTTAAATTAAAGAACTTAAGGTTAAAAGTAGAAAAATCTGAAAGTCTATTTGCAATTCCCATTTGGACTTCTGAGGATGAGTTTTAGAATGTCAAAAAGTAAAAAACATTTTTTTCTGTGCGTCCTTGTAATAGTTAAAAACTTGGAAGATTGATAGAATGTTTAATTAAAACTCTAGTAGAGAAAAGAAAAGAATCAAACCGATATCGAGTTACCTTCTTGTTCACTTGGGTGCGCCACTCTAGCATGGTAACACGTACTTATGCTGTGAGGAGTGGAGGGGCGAACGAGGGGTATCTGGGTAGGGATAGAAATTACAGAACCTGGAATAAGCAACTAAAAGGGAAAAACAAGTACGATTTGTATGAATCTCCCTTCACCTTGCATGTCTACCAAACTCATTGATATTTTCTTTTCTAACAAATGTTTTTCATTTTTTTATGCGCATATCTCATTCTATTGAAGATTTATATGTAATGTAAAAAATTTCTTATCCTTAATGTAGCTTTTCGAGGTGAAAAGATGTATTTTATCCCTTCAGTCAAATCAGTTTATCAATCTTATGCAAAGCTGCATTTTTTCTTATAAAGAATTTCTTAAGCTCGTTTCGATTGTCTATTTCGTACTTTCGCATGTGCTCAGCTGTTTTCTGTTCATGTGCTTTTATGAGATTTCCTCTTTTCAGTTCTCCCAACTAGTCGCTCAACTTCCCCTCTCTCGCTCATTGAGCCATCGTATGATTCAGGGACGACTGATGAACTTTCGGTTCCCTGTTTGTTATCTTGTACACTGTTTTTTCGGTCATCATCGTGCATGAACGTAAGAGTCGTACCTTGATTTCTCGATCATCAGTAATAAAAATATTTTATCATAAAAACATGGATGGACTAGTTTATCATTTCTTCACGCAGTAATACAAATTATATTAACATTGTAACCTCGTCTATTTTTTAATCCATGTTTTACAACAATCGACTGAGGGCTCAAGTATATCATCGTTATAATTATGTAGCAAAATAAGTATGTACCAACGGATAATACATTTTCTACAAATTTCTTGGTAATAAAAGCCTGATGGGGTTAACAAGACCGATAACGAAACGTTGCTAAACAGAGAAAACTAGTTTCTTACTTATTAACAGATACCCAAGTCCTCAGCCAATCGCTATTAAACATGTCTGACAAATAATTTTTCTATTTTTTCAATTTTACCACGTGAGAAGACTTTTTAAAATATTAAACATGCACCGTGGGTCATCAAGTAGATCAATTTCAGATTCCAGGAAATTTATTCATTATTTCGCAAACTAGTTCGCAAACCTCAGTTCATTAAGAGAAAACGTTCTAGTCAAGCCTCAGTAAAAATTACAAGAAATCAAATGATCTTAAAATACGTTTTCTAGTTCACTCTTTAATTTTTTCACAGATAAAAAGTTTCTAAACCATTAACTCGGAAATTAGAGCTAATTGCAAGATGAAAAGTTTCACGGTGATACGTTTACTAAAGCAATTTTTTGTATTACGACGAAAGAAAGCTTTCAATTTACAGTGTGAAACTCCAAATGTTCATTGGTCCGTTTCTTGTAAATGGAATAACATGAGCTTTCTTCGGCTACTTTGCGCTCCATGTTGCATTACTGGCGCTCTCATCAACTTTACAATCGTCTTGTTTAAACCTTTCCGCTGCTTAGGTGTCATGTTTTAACAATTACAATCTACTATCGTAGTATACGAACAAGGAAATTTTCACGATTTAAATAAGATGAAATAAATTTGTAGTCAACTCAACTTGGTGTATATTGAGATGTACATGAATAATTTCATTCACTTTTGCTCAAAACGTCGATCTAAAGAGTAGTAACATGAGTAGCTGTGATTTGCAATTGATAAAGATGAATTTCTACAAACTAATCTGTAAACTTGGACTCGTCCGCTGATTTTACTAGATATAAAGAATTGTCTACATGATTGCAACGGTCGCGCGATATTTCTTCTCGGACTTACAATGGCTTACGAGTGGCGAATGTATTGGTACGGCCCTGACCGCAGGAAGGGCTGGCTAACAGCTTGGAACATTTTACAGAACGTACGTGCGAATGTGTACGTATGCGCGGAAGCCACGCTGCGAGGCCGGCTGTAAATTGCCAAGATTTGCTCTCTCTCTCTCTCTCTCTCGCTCTCTCGCACACACACGCGCGCTCGCTCGCAATCTCTCCATTCTCATCTATAGAATCGACAAAGCACAGCGCGCCGCTGCGGCTATTGACCGAAACTCGTTCGTTCGAGCAGGGACCGGCTAATCAGCTGTGTGGCGGTGCAGGCGAATCCTGTGATTCTTCAGACCTGTATGTGCGATACTCTGATGAGATGCAATTCTGCGAGCACAGGAAGTGCTTTGTAGCTAGAGACTGATACTCGTTAGTGGAAATTGGCCAGTGTCCCAGGAAACATTTTTCGAAAGCTCGCTCAGCTAGGATCGAATCAAACCGAATGGAGAAACTAGCCTAAACCGCCACTACTAACACCCTTTACGAGGCGGATGGGTAGATAACAGAAAGAGAGCTCTAATGCTGTTCTCTCCTATATAAGTAGCTGCAGAGTCACGTTCGATAGAGGCGACGGTCCCTCTCCCCTCCCTTATTTTCGCTCTAGCTTTTGATACATAGGCATATATAAGTGTGTAGGAGAAATGGTAGGGGTTCCCCCTCTTGATTCACTTGCGTCTTTGTGTGCTCGATATACGTTATACATGTAGGTATAGCACTGTGCTTGCGCGTGCGCCGCTCTCTTGTCGAGAGAGAGAGAGAGTGAGAGAGAGTGAGAGACAGAGAGAGAGAGAGACAGAGAGAGAGAGAGAGAGAGAGATAGAAAACGAGCGACAGTAGAGAGGGAGTGGCGGATGAGGGGTAAGAGTGAGAGGTTGCAGCGGGATGGCAGTTCCTCGCCAAGCGTATTCCGGGTATGAGTGCTTATTCTAAGCTGAAGAAAACCCGGAAAAGTGATCAAACGAAAGTGAAAAATAGCACCCGGTGAAATGCTCATGCATTGAATAATCGCCGGCTCACTCCACGAATTGACGACGACTAATCGACGCTGAATGTCACGTATCCACTTGGCACTATTTCGGGATCCGATAAAAAAAGAAGAAAAGACTTTACCAGGCGATACCGCAATTCTACTTTCATTCGTTTGCACATACGCGCGCGCACGCACGGGAGCTGAAAAGAGAGCTGACTCGCGGAAGGGGAATGCCAAGAGGTAGCGGAGGAAGACGTTGGTGCTCACAGGAAGAGGAGGTGGAGAGCGACGGCGACACGTACACAGAACACTAGTGTGGTTCACGAGGCTGCTCTCGGCGAGTCCTAGACGGTGCATCGCCTGTCCAACTAGGCGTTCGACTCTCTTGGATCCAGTTGCGAGGTTATCGAAGAGGGAGGGAGGGCCGGCGCTTCGATCCGGCTTTATTGATTTCGCAATAGCCTCTCACCGTCTTCTTTCGCCTTCTTCTCGCTCGTGCTTCCTCGGCGCGAGCTTATACTTAACCTCCTGCCTAGTTTCACCTGCAGCTAGTGCCGTGAAGTGCCAAGGGCCCTTTTCTAGTCCCACGAGAGTCTGATCGAGACGAGATCTCGGTTGGCCATCGCAGATTCTTACGTTATTTCGCGCGAGAGACGCGAGCGAAGAACGGCGATGCCAGTGGGACAAGCATTTTCGACAGACGATTAGCAGCGACCTTGAGAGAGTCAGAGAACGGCGGTGCGCACGCATGCCAACCCATGTGATAGTATAGACTCACACATGCGCCTGATCGCGCATCTCGACTCGTCCGTGAAACAATCTTACATGAAAGAATATATACACCTGCGTGCACTCGGGCAAGTGAACGCTACGAGAAGCTAGTTTGCCGGTACTATGTGACTCGAGATTGGAATATTTGGGAGGTGCAGTAGTTTCAACGAGGAGGGATTTGCAGAAGAACTCAGACAAAGCAGCGAGCAGATGCGAGTGAAAAAGAGAAGAAAATTGAGAACGAGAAGAAAGCGACTAAGTGGTACAGCTGTTGGCCGACACACGAAAGTAGTCGAGAAGCAGGCGTACGTATTCAAATGAGCAAAGGGGGCCGAGAGGAGAGCTCAAGTTGGTACGATACTTGGTTTTTCGCTGGTGAAAAAACCGGTTCTCGGAACGACGCACTTGCGCTGAAAGGTTGAGCACGCGAAACTGACGGGGAAGCCAATTCGAGTGATGATCGTACGAGCACTCATGGAAAACCATGACGGAAAATGCTTAGGGAACGCTTGTGGTTGACGTCTGTAGGTCGTGTAGCGCGAAGTGCGCGCGAGCGCGCGTGTGCACGCATGGAAAACTACGGTCTAACCTAAAACGGGAAGAGGTTGCGCCGTGGCGAGAGAATGGCCTATTCCGAGGACCAAGTGCACGAAGAGCAGGACTCTCCGGAAATTATTGGACGTTGCTTGACCACGACCTGCACTTAACTGAGGGCGACGCTCGCCGGGACTGCACTGCCGCGAGATACGAGGTCAACCTTGACGAGGGATATGAATAGCGGTGGGCTCTAGCTGCCGGCCAGCGGATTCCGGTCAGCGGTGATCGTCAACAGTGATGAAACGCGCCAGTGCCTCCGCAGCATCCAGTGCTTGCACAACGGCTCAGCTGAAGCATCAACCGATGCCCGCGGCCGCCATCTCGCTGCAGTGCCAGCCGCAACATCAGCAGCAGTATCGTTACAAATTCGCTCACTACAAAAAGAGCGATCAGCAGGGCGGCGGCGGCGGCGGTGGTGGCGGCGGCGACGAGGCGAAGCCGGACTGTCAGCTCTACGCGGAGTCTTTCGCCAGCAACGATGCAAAGAAGGGCGCGCTGGTGAAGCCTGTCATGTCGCGACTCTTGGCCGTCGACTCGGAGAATTACATGCTGCGCTCGGGATCGAGTGCCACATCCGAGCCACCTCAGCAGCAGCAGCAGCAGCAGCAGCAGCATCTAAGCAGCATCAAGCCTTGCACCCAGGAGCCAAGCGTATCGATCGTTCAACTAGCTACCCCGTCGGCAACCGCCAATGCTTTACGACAGCCGGCATCGAAGGCCAGCCTTGGATCGCCGCTGTCGTTTTCGACTCAGCAACCACCGAACCGGTCGCCGGCTGCCGGCAGAGCTCCGACCTCGTCCCAAAACCAGCAAGATGCTCCTGTCAAGGAAGGCGGCAGGCATCTTCTCTCTTATTCGGATAATCATAGACCAAGTGCTCTTAAAAGCTGCGCAAGATTGGCTTCTTTTCATCGATTAATGTGCTGGTGCGATTCTGATGATCGGACAGCCTTGCCGATCAAAGATGCAGGGGAACCGTGTAAAAATAATAACCCAAATGGCAATAATAATAATAATAATATTAACAATAATAATAATAATAATAACAATAATAATAATAATAACGACGATCGTAACAAGAACAAAAACAGCGGCAGCAGCGAGAATAAGGAGCATACTAGTTCGAATACTAGCGGTACCACCGACGAAAAAGATTTGCAAGAGATCGTTGGTTCTGCTCAAGTACAGAGCTTGGATAAGCAATCTTCGTCGGAGAGCGGAGGTGTCGGGCATGGGGCGAACAACGACGATATTGAAAAGAAGGACGGGAGCGATATTCAATTGTCGGCAAAAGTCGTTGAAACAAGCATTTCCCCTCATTCATACCCACCATATAGAGAACAATGTTGTTGTATGTGCGGCTCCGTATGTCCTGCAGAGTGTCACGTGTGTTTCCACAACGTCTGCTCCAGTTGGTCCGGTCAGCATCCTTGTCGATGGGACGTCAAAGCGCAGCACCCATTGTCAGGCTACGTTTACGAAACGGAAAAGGTAAGGTTTCGTCGTTTCCAATTATCAATCTTGTCAATGAACGCCACTCCGTGTTCAGCGATTTTACATTAGTTATGGCACTTCTTTCTCTAAAAAACTCTAAAAAACCCTTTGAATTATTTTTCTACTGCATATAAAACCATAATTCTTTTTCTACGAGTATTGATTGGCGCGAATACGATTGTGACTTTGTTATATTCCATAAAAAACCCCGCTGCACAGTCACACAATTATATATCAATTAATAGATTTTTTCAACGTGAATAGTTTATTTCAAACTTGTACTCGATGTTCCAGCCTGTCAATGAATGGACATCACTCAATGTAGTCGAGTGGATGGCGGCTTTGAATTTGTATCGATATGCCGATGTTTTCAAATCCAAGGATATCAAGGGCAGTGACCTGCTCAACTTGGATCGTGAAAAGCTGATGGTAAGTATACCGTATAGTTGGTTCTAACTAGATCATCGAAATATCTCGTTCCACGTATATACGCAGCTGTGAAGAGATTTAAAAGTTCGTTTTTCCAATCTCCAGAAGAGTACAACTTTATCTTTCATCTGTGATAAAGTCATAAGTGTTTCATAAGTGTTGCTAAAGGATTAGGAAATTCCTGTTTCCTATCCGAATTATAAATCGGGAATTGGGCATCCATACTAGAATTAGTACATTTTATAAAACGTCCTGTACTCTTGTTGCAGAACATGGGCATAAAGGATGAGTTTCATCAAAAAAATATACTCGTATGCATTGAGGAGCTGTGCACACCATCTCCGCCACCCAGCTCGGAATCCTCTGCTTCTCAATCAGAACAGCAGCAGCAAAAGAAGCACAAGCTTGTACCTCATAGTTTCAGCGTGCTCGAAAAGTGCGACAAGTGCCATAAATATCTAAGAGGACTTCTTCACCAGGGCTTCCTTTGTCAAGGTCAGATTTTGCATTTTTAATATGAAGCTTTCAAATTTGCATTATTTTAAAGACAAATATAAGTAAATAATGTACGTTCATGTACGTTGCGTGAGGAAAATCAATTTGAAATTTAATCGAGATTCTTGCTAGATTATTTTAAATCGCCGTAATGTCTGACTCGCAAGAAACATCCTGTATAAATGAGAAAAGATTATTACTATCGTTTCGTGTGAAATTAAATGGCTCAGTGATTCTTCGCATATTATTCATGATCAACAGAATAACCATTTAAAGCAAATTCATATTTCAGATTGCGGTCTAGTTGCTCATCGAACCTGTTCAGCTACGGGATTGTTAATGCCATGCACTCCCTCAGATTCTCGAATGAATAGATTCACTTCTGGTAAGTTGTCAAGTATGAAAGTATAAACTGGAAAAGACGAAATCGCGATTAGTGCTCTCTCGCGCTAATAAAGAAATGTACATATCTTTTATTTCAGTTTTTGGGCTTGCACTATGCTCACAGTTCGATTTATCAAGTAAAAGCGCTCCGCTGTTGATAGAGAAATGTACGCGCGCTCTAGAAGAAAAAGCTGCAAGTGAGCCCGGTCTAGATCTTTACAAAGTCTATCACAGTAGCCCACCAAATGAGCAAACTTTGGAGCTAAGGCAACGACTGAACGAAGGTATTTAAAACTATTCCAAGTATAATAAATTCAATGGTGGTCATGTAAGAGTGTCGTATACTTTGCAGATTTACGGAGCATCGACCTTAAACTCTATAGTCCTCAATGCATAGCCAGCGTGTTAAAAAAATTTCTGAGGGAATTGCCCGATCCGGTGATTCCGGTGCAGTGGTACGACAGATTCTTGGAAGCCTCACGTAAGTCTTTATAGCTTCAGCTAACAGTTGAACCTCTTTTACAAGAGTTATTCGAAGATTCCCTCTTTCTTTAAGGAACGACCGACGAGCAGTGCTCCAATCGACTGGCGCAAATGGTTACCGAGCTTCCGCCACATCATCGCAGTACCTTGCGCCACCTCATGGCTCACTTTTGTCGACTTTGCCAAATGCAACATTCACGGGGTTACACGGAACCACCGACTATTCTTGTCCAGGTGCTTTGTCATTTATTCCTCAGACCTCCCTGGGAGCATATCATGTAAGCATTCAACACAATAAACAATAGCTTGCGAGAGGCTGCTGCCGATCACAAGGCCTTGTTAATTGTCGATAACTTGTTATTTGCAGCCAAGTTGTACACAATATCGAGGCACACATTAGAATAATGGAGCTACTTTTGCTGCATTGCGACTGGGGCGAACGCTTACCCGAGTTTGCGAACGCTCCTTTGCTACCACCCCGCAAAGTCTCTAGACCCCAATTTCCCGTCATGGACGCAGCAACATTCGCCAGTCTAGAAGAGGAAGTGAACCGTGAACGTCAACTCTTGGACAATCAGAGGTACGCCTATTGTTCTACATAAGGCAACTTCAATCAATCGATTGCCAATTAATTTTTGCTCTGATTTCAACAGTAGCAAAGATCAGCAAGCCCAGTCACTGCTGAGGCCGCGGTCGCTGCATGATTCCGAATGGTACTGGGGCGAAATTTCTCGCGACGAGGTCAACGAAAAAATGATTGACACACCGGATGGCACCTTCCTCGTTCGCAACGCTTCGTCCAAAATCGGCGAATACACGCTTACTTTGCGCAAGGGTGGCGCTAACAAACTCATTAAAATCTGCCATCGGAATTCCAAGTACGGCTTCTCCGAGCCCTACACCTTCAACTCAGTTGTCGAACTTGTCGATCACTATAGAAATTGCTCGTTGTCTCAATATAATTCAACGCTCGACATAAGGCTGCTCTACCCAGTGTCACGATTCCAGCAGGTACATGTTTTATCTCTAGTTCCATGCTAGATAGCTTTCAGCGTTTGTTTGCACTTTTCTCACATATTCGATACTTTTGCTTTTGATTTTTGCAGGATGATGAAATTTCAGGTACCACCGATGTCAGTAAGGTCATGCAACGATATGTAGAGCTCGACAAAGAACTTACCGAAGTGATGAAGCAATACAATGAAGTATCGGACATTTACGGTCGCTCAACATTCGAGGTGCAGTTCAAAAGACAAGCACTCGAATCATTTTGCGAGGCCATTAAAATGTTTGAGGAGCAATTGAAATTGCAAGAGAAATTTCAAAAAGAAGCGCAGCCCCACGAAATTGCCGAGTACGCTCGAATCGTTCGTTCTTTCCTTTCTTTTGTTTTCTTTCCTTGACTCATGATCATCTTATGTTACAGTCTTCAGCTCAATGGAGAGTTACTAAGGTTCAGATTAAGGTCGCTAGATGAAAGTAAAAATTATGTGGAGGGTATCTTGAAACAGGATATCGCTCAAAATAGGAGCCTCGAGCGAGATATGAATAAATTTAAAGTTGAAATCTTTCTACTTGTTCGTTCGAAAGACAAGCATATGATGTGAGTATAGTAAGCCAAGTTGTTACGACTAGCACTTGTAACAATCCTATATCCCTAATGATTTTTGCGTAGATGGTTGAAGAAGAAAGGCGTGAATCAAGCAAAAATGTATCAGTTGTCGCAGAATCTTATAACTAATCGTGACGTGAATTTTGTGCTGCAAGATCTCGATTTAGATGTGCACAATGACGAGAAAACGTGGCTCGATTCTGAAAGCTCGCGTTCTGATGCCGACAGAATTCTATCTACAAGGCCAGACGGTACTTTTTTAATTCGACCTTCACGAGTTGGAATGGGACAATATGCCTTATCTATCATGTCAGTAGTCAACACTTCAAATATACATACGACAAATTCAGTAATACTGTAATGAACAACAAATTTTTCTGCTGCAGGTGTAATGGTACCGTTAACCACTGCATGATATTCGCAACAGAGCGTGGTTACGGCTTTGCAGAGCCATTCAACATTCACAAGACGTTGCGACACCTCGTACTTCATTACGCCCAAAATTCTCTCGAAGAACACAATGAAAGTTTAACGACAACTCTCGCCTATCCGGCATTTGCGTCTGCTAATGCACTTGCTAAACTCCAAGCTCAACGTCAAATACAGTTTCAGCAGTCCAGCGTTGCTTTTCAACTTTTTCAACAACACCAAGCGACTCAGCAACTGCTGTCATCTTCTACGCAACAGTCGTGAATTCACTATGGTTTGTTTGTTTCTGGAAGCTTTGCCTTGAATCTCTCCAACATGTCACTCATCTATACTATTGATACGAAATCGGACCTGTCTATTCGTGCGAGCGCCAAATTCCTCATTTTACGGATGGATTGTATCCCTTACTCCCAACCAATCTTTTGAATGCTGACGTGTCTGCACGAATCGACAAGCCTTCGAACAATACGTTTTTTCGATTCATGCCTCAACAAAATCAATTGATTTATTAAATCAGAATGATACATGTATTACATGTTGACTTGAGAAGGTGGTCTACCACTCTAATTGGTTAGCTTGGCAACAAGCATCAACAATTTAAAACAAGTTTCACGCTTATTTCTTTCGCAATATTCAAGTAAGAAACGAGATGCGGTATCGGGTGTCAGGCTGTTTTGAATAATAAGAAAATAAGGAAAAAACGCACCGAAAAAAGAAAGACTGAAATATCTCATTTAATTTTTATGATCTAAAAGTTGCGCGTAAACAATGAGTCGAATAATGCGTGCACCATCAAATATAGCTAAGATAAATTTTCATTGAGTTAAAATTTGCACTATATACACAATTGGTTTTTGCGTGTTTTTTTTTTTTTTTTTTTTTTTTTTTAAACGATAAATGAGATTGCGCATGGGCATTTCAGTATCGTTATCATAAAAACTACTTTCATGATACAACGAAAAATTCAGATTCAAGTTGAAATTGAAATTGCCGAGCAAAACTAGAAAATAATACGGGGTCCGCGATGTGAAAATTTTGTATAAGTAAAATGTAAGTGCTTCCGTGCCAGGGTACGATAAATATTACGATAAGAGGCGATATGTGAACGGAGTAAAGTTTTTTTATATATTACAAACTGTGATGTGCGCATGCGTGCGGCGTGCTTTGGTCGAAGAGAATGGCGTCAAATAGCTCGCGAACAAGCGCTCGCCGGGGATTTGCTGGATGGCAGCTGCGAGTCGCGAGAAAGCAGAGAATTTAAGCACGCAAGGGTTAAAAAAGACAAGGGCAGAAGAAAAGTATCATTGTGATTGGAGAGCCATGCGGAGCGATATATAAAAGTGATAAAAAAGAAATGGAAAATAGAAAGTGGACACGCGTTTGACCGGGCGGGTAGCGGGTCTGTCCTCGGTCATACCAAGTAATCAATTCTGCACAGCTCTCCGTAAGTACGTAAATATATAGAGAAGATTATAGGGCAGGCGAGTCACAAAGAGATGAGATGAATCTACCTGTCAGACTATTCTACTATACTAGTTTTCAAAAGTAAAGTTGATACTTGTTTATCTGATAAACGCGTGCGAGCGTAGTGTACGCGACAGTAGGGTAGGCTTACTGTGAGTGCGAATGAGAAATATGCTCGTCTGTGAGAAAAGACAAGGAGCTAGTCGAGACTCGGATAGGAAAAAAATAGACGAATGCCGCAAGACGGACGTCTCACAGATCGTAGAAGTGGATGTGATGCGCGCGCGCGCGTGTGCGTCCGTGCGTGAATCTGCGTGAAAGTATGACAGACAAAGGCGACGAGGTGGTCATTTGTTATTGTGACGTAACCAATCACGAGAGCTTCTACGAAATATTTTGTATCGTATATGTTGCAAGCAGTACGCTCCTCGGCATTAGAGCGCACGAGGAAAGAGAACAAATCCAACTTGGCAGCAGTCGGCTAACTGTCGTTCAATGCTTCAATGTTCAACTGTCGGGGCATTCGAACGCATTCGTGAAAACGCATGAATTCTTGACAGCTCAATCGGAAGCTCGAAGCTCCAAATTTCCTGCTTATAGAGCGGTCGATAAGCACGAAAGAGTAGAGCCGAAGGCATTCCGAATGTTTCCGATGCGATTGCTCATTTTTCTGGCTGCTTTCAACATTACTTTACATGACATATCGTGCACAGCTACTCGTCTGTTAGTTGCTCGGCTGGTCAGCGGCAAAATACTCCAAAAGTCATCCGTGTAGAATTTTCACTTGTGCTGACGACAAACTCGAACATTTGTGGACGATTGCTCGAAGCAAGTATTCGTGACGACTTTTAAGGAGCAATGCGATTAAATTGGATTTCAATGACAGCAGAATGAGCGGTCAGCTGTCATTGATTTTCCTCGTTTAAGCAGTCGAAAGGTTCACAGACACGAACGCACGCGCACACAGTGTACGTGTAATAAATATGTGTCTTGCGAACATGCTTGCATGAATATAAATAACGAATCCCTGTCGTGTGGACTAACAGATTTGCAACGCTGACAACTTTACAGCTAACAGTCGTAAAATCGTGACATCATACATCTAAAGCGATGAGTTATAATGGAACGCGTATGTACGATAACATTTGTTTATTGTAAAACCTTGAATAACTTAGTTCATGCGTAAAAATAGAGTTAGATTTTTTACATGGTATTGAGTACACATATATATTTGAATATCTAGTTATTGTAACTTTGAGAACTAGAAGTAAATAAATTTAGAAGACATCGTGCTTCATTATGCTAACAGTGATAATGCGGTTTATAAAATTAAAAACAATTTTTCCAGGGATGTTGTTTGGAATTCGTAAAAGTGTATGCCTATGTACAGACAATACATGTTTCGCGATGAGTATCTGTAAATCTAGTAAACTGTTTGGACGGTTTCTCTCTTTTTTACTTTTTTTTATTCATATTTTTATTATTAATTTTTATCTTAAGTGCTGATATAACATTGTAATTGAGAAACATGTAAGCGTGATCTGCACTCTGAGAATTCCCGTAATAAAATACATCAAGTTAAGAAAAAAATGGAGCTACGGAAAGACGGGATCAAGTTATCGCAAGATATTCCCGTTAGATTCTCTGTTAGTGTGATTAACAGAAAACCGCGGTAATATTTTAACTTGAAATTGTAATTAATATACCTTTCCTAAAATGGGAAAAAATGTCTTACGTTAAAATGTCACGTGAATGAATTATATCCGGGTAGAGCTAAATAGTTCGGTTACTCGGTGATCGTAAAAGAATTTTATGTTTGCGAAAAAAAGACTGAACAATTTCTTTTTTTCGCGATAGAAATCATGTTATTAAAAGTCAATCTTGTGTAATAATACATAGGTCTTCGCGAAACAACTAGCCGTTTCGATTATAAAAGAAAAATTTGACTTTCGTGCTTTGCTAGTTTTTGATACCCAGTTTATTTTTATTACTTATTCTCAGTGTAAGGTAGACAGTAGAGCGGAACTGCAAAGTTTACAAGTGGTAGGAGGCAAACTGTGATGTTTGACAAATGCTCATGTTTGGATAAAAATATGTTTGTTTTTTAAGTAGTGCGCCAGGCATTTTAAACATTTGACAACGGTTGGACGTTAAGAATAAATGCCATTGAAAATCTGCCCAAGCCGAGTGTACACAATTCAAGTTCTACATATTAAATGCCTCATAAATATAATATAATGATACTTTTACGTTTGCAATGCGAAATGATCAATTGTGAAAAGTACTTGAAAATCCAAATGAAATGGAAGAATGATTAACTATGAAGATTGAGAGTAAAGGTTTCACGGTAGATGCCGTATTAAGAGAAAAAGGTTTATATTGTAAACTTATATACGTATACAAACATGATTATATATATAAATATATATATATATATATTTATATTTTTTTTTTTACTTTCGGGAGAAAAACCTAAATACTTGTTTGTAATGTTTGCGCTCATGCATGTACATGCTCGTGTGCTCGCGTATACCCGCATGACACGAAAATGTAAATAAGACGTTGGAAAGGTAAATTTTAACCCTGCATATTTCATGCATACCATGATTTTGACAACTGCAATCGCGCGCCGCGCGCCTCTATAATTTTAACGCTCGCTGTATGTTTGTTTGTCCTCTCGCAGTTACCGATTACCCGATCGTTCGACAACGACAGCAACAATCGTTGATTGTATTTACCTTAAAAGAATAAGCATTTGCCGAGTTCTGTCGGCTGCAGACTTGCAACTAAATCAGGCAAACTGTCGACGTGAGCAGGCGAATGTCCCGATTGAAATTGGAAAATCCAAACCGTGTGTGCATGATGCTCAAGTGTGAAAAGTAAGCGAATCATCTTGTACGATTTCAAGATAATTATCGACGCTCGACGTTGGTCGACAATTGTGTGCGATCAGTCAGTTTATCAAGCCCTTTTGCTCCGTCATTAAATATTTCCAATGGTGCAATTTTAAATCATTTTGAAACCACGCTGGATAATATATCTATATATCAATGCAAAATAAATGAAATCTGCTTTTTTACACGTACCGCCTGTTCGTTTTCTTTCTATTACAATGCCCCTTCCTTCCCGCAGGTGAAGAGCGATCGCTAATCCGAGTGCAATTAACGCTCATCAATGGAAATCTCGACAAGAAAAAAAGTATAATTAGTGCGTCCGCGTGCGTGTCTATTCTCTATTTTCGTCATTTCATCGATTTCTTTCCAGAAGCTCCATTGTTAGCCCGTTAAAAATTCATCTCGGTCGCCGTCATTCAGTCGAGTTACGTTGATTCTAGTCTATACCTATTGATATCGAGACAAATGCCGTGACTAGGGGCTCGACGAACCGACACACTCCGGTCTCTAGGTCGCTGATTTCATTTGCCTGTAATTTATGAAAACATGGTGAACAAGTAAAGCCGTTCGACCGCACTACTCTGTAATTGTGTCTGTGATTTTCGTCGTATTAGCAAATGAGTTACCAAGAGCTAACATTACGTCCTTTCCGTAATAGAAAAGTACGTTGCAAAATGTTATCCGTTGTTAAGTCCATTGAAGTAAGACATAAAAGGCCTTTACAACGATTTGACTTCATTATTTTGCCTGGTTATTCGACAAATAGTAGAAACTGTGTCACTCGCTGCCCTACGGCATTTCACGCAATTTCGTAAGCAAAATTATTCGCGCAAGTTGCCGCCCGAAAGTATGTCACTGTCGTACCAAGCACGATCGAAATGCGTACATGCGTAGGTGTGCCGATTATCGGTAAAAACCTTGGTAAGTTTGTAGTTTTGCACTTCGCAGGCCTGCAGGGGACAGCACCGTGAGCTGCGCCGTGTCGAGCGACAACGGACAGGCAGTTGGATTTCGATAATTTTCCCACCTCGAACGGCTCGGATCAGGTATTGTACGAAAACCCACCGATATCGAGACAACGGTAAGTCACGTGATTATGGTCGAGGGTAGAAAGCACAAGGCTCGCAGCGCCCAAGTATTTTGCGCCGCAAGCTCTGACTCCGTGACGGATCAATCGCAAAATCTAACGCCGTGCCTTGCAAGCGCTACCCCCCCGATAATGTAACCGCCAAACTCAGTGGCGTTACCGACGGAGCAGAAAGAGAATTTTCATAAATACCGTTATACCGTGCATAAAGTACCCCTCCTCCCGTCAACAAATTAAGCTCAAAGTTTATACTCCAGGTATTCCACACTGTAAGTGACAGGTAGACCGCATAATCCGAGTCCAAAGTAGCCTGCATTACCTGCTAACGCTATCCACACAACGAGCGAGACCATGAAAAATGTAAACCGTGAAGAGCTTGCAGTTTATAACGATTGAGATTAATCTATTTTCGGATACGTTCGCGAGGTACTTAAATTTTAAATTTCGAGGTTCACCGCTCGTTGCGGTAGCTCACGCTGAGCGCGGGGTTTTCGCGGGCGAGGGGGAAGGGAGGGAGTTAGTTTCGAGGTTCACCTGTCGTGGGGGTAGCGTTTTTGAGGTGCTGCGGTTCGAATCTCGACGTCGACCAATCGTGGGAGTGGCGTTTGCGGAGTACGGAGTGGATTCGCATCATTTTTTTTTTCTCTTCATCAAATCAATAAGAGTTCGTTCGGCGCGATTCCTCCTGAATCCTCCGCAGTCGCGATCGAGATGAGGCTTGCGCTCGTCTGTATAGGCGGGAGGCAAGAATCGCAAACGACGTTTGACGCTCGGCGAGCGGCCTGAATTGCCAGCCCATCGATATCCTACGCTTCCGCAAGACCTGAACTCAGTCGCCGGGGGGCAGGGGACGGTGGGGAAGGAGGAGGGAAAACTCTCGAAATGCAGCGCGACGCGCGTCGTGGGCGGAGAGGGCGCGAGGCAGGTGGCGGCGCGGCCGGCGCCTGCGCGCGCGAGCCCGCGGCCGAAAGCGCGCGCGGCGGCGGCGAAAGGTGAGAGGAGCGGGCTGGCGGAGCGTCGACTCAGTGGTGCAGCGGAACGGCGAGTGGCCAGGCCGCGCTACGCACAGGTCCGCGGCCGCGCACGCACGACCCGACAGTCGACGCGCACCGCGTGCTGGCGACACGTGCGTGCCCGCTGATGTGCGCGCCTCCGCGACATCGCGCCGCCGCCGCTCGTCACTGCCGCAACCCGACTGCGAGCCGAGCGCCGAGGATGCAGCCGCGGGTCAGAGCTGCGAGCGTCGCAGCGCTCGAAAGACGCGCCCGAGCGGCTTGCCGGATGCAGCTTGCACGTTGAGCTCGCTGCGTCTCTACCCCTCTGTCTGTCTGTCTGTCTCTCTCTCTCTCTCTCTCTCTCTCTCTTTCGCTGTCGCGGTCTCTGTCTCCCTCTTGCGAGCGAGAAACATGTTCCTGCTGCCGCTGCTGCCGCTGCTGCTGGCGGTCACGTGGCCGCGGGGTTCGCTGGCCAGCGAGTACCCGGAGCGCGAGTGCTGCGATCCGATCTATCCGCTGCTGGGACCTACCAACCGCATGATGCCCACCGTGCCCACCACCACCGGAAAAAGCGGTGAGCTCCAATCATTTTTCAGTTGTTCTATACCTGCTTGTTGACAGCGATGTCGCAACCATTCGCTGACCTTGCACTGTGACACTCCGATGGGCTGTCGGTTTTCTTTCCACCGGCACGTAACGGCGATAGCCACGGCAACGAGGTGACATCGCCGCGGATCAATCGACGAGTCGGCCTCCTGCTCGTGTCCCTTTCCCGTTCGCTTGCTCGGCGGAGCTCAATGTGCTCTCGCGCGTCTCGTTCGATCATCGACCCGGTCGTTCGGAGAAGCACGCAAAGCGTAATCAAGGGAGTAAGCAAGTCTGCGGTCAGCTCGCCGTGGACGCGGAGCCGCTGCTCGCGTGGAGACGGCCAGTTCGAGTTACCGTAGCGCGTCCGCCGTCGCGCTCCAGACCAAGTCCAAGCTGCGGACCGTCGCCGAGATCAAGAGCCGACGAATTCAACGGAGCCCCCGCAGGTCGGCGATCGCGAGGTACGCCACGGCCTCTTTTCCCGAGAACAGCGGTGGCCTGGAACGAAGCTTTTCCGTGCGCACCGATACACCGGACCTTTGAGGATTTGGCCGGAGAAGACGATTATTTCGAGGGCTCGTTGCCAGCATCCATGTCCCGACGAGGGCTATGGCAGCCGCCGCGCTAAACGAATCGAAGCCTTCACTCATCCATCATTCATCGAATGAGTACGATCTCGTCTCGGTGGCGTCGATAAGCCAGTAGCGAACGCGCGCGCACGTCAAAGATAGAGTACTCTGACGGATGCCAACGCGAGATCAGACGCGAAGCTGGACGGCAAAAGAGAGAGAGAGAGAGAGAGAGACAGACAGACAGACAGACAGCGAGGTGTAGAAAAGTTCGGTCGAGAGGGCATCTCGTCGAGTCGCGCTCAGGCGCTGCCGCTGCTGTGGCGCGATCGTCGGTCGCCCATCGACAGAGTCGAGGGCACGTTCGCGCGAGGCCGGCGGGGGATGGATGCGGCACCGCGGCCCTGACGCGACCGCAGCCCGACTCGGTCGGCATTAATCGTGGCGCCAATTAACATTGCCCGAGGAGCTACGAGCGGCCGGCCGCCCCGCGGGGCGCGCCGAAGTGTTTACGGCGCTGGTCCGTCGACGCGGAACGGGGGGGGGGGGGGGGGGGAGGGGGGCCCAATCGACGAGGCCGCGAGCGCGCGCAGGATCGATCGCCGCCTCTCCTTGTCCTTGTCCCCGTGTCCTCGATGCCCGACGCGTATACGCGCGCGGCCGCATCGCACGCTAGCCGCGTATCAATCAACCGGCGCTCGCCGGCCGCGATCCCAGGCCCGGCTCGCCGATACGGCAGCTCGGCCGCGGCGCGCGCCGGCTATCTTCGGATCAGCCGCGCTGGTAACGAGCTCGCGACCGGGGCTGCGCTGACCGGCCGTCGAGTATCAATCGCCGTCGATCAATACGCGCGCCGAGACTCGTCGAAAAATAACACTAATCAGAGGGAGCGAGCGGCGAGCGCGGCCTGGAAAGGGCAGAAATAAAGCGAGCAAGGCAATAAAGAGCATCGAGAATAAAAGGAAAGCTTAAGGCTGGGCAGTTTGGAGGCAAGGCAAGCCGAGCTCGTAAAACGGTTGCTGCTGCTGCTGCTGCCGTTGCTGTTGCCGCTGCTTGGCTCGGCTGATCGTAAAAGGCGAGCTGTTAAAAATTCTCGAGCCGCGCCGCTCCCGTTTCTGGCGCAGCGGAGAGGAACGCCGAGGAATCTCCTGCCGGCGCGGCCCGCGATCGAGCGATCGGCGCGCATAGCACGACGAGGCCCGCGGCGAGCCCGCGAGCGTTCCGGCGTCCCCTCGGCGCCGGAGCCGAGAGCCCGGCCGAGCCGCGCGAGCGTGGGCGGCGATCGATGCGCGCGCCCGCGCGCGCGCGACAAAATCGCCCTCCCTCGCTTTACAAGCTGATTTTTATCTCACGACTGCCGAACGCCGCCGCCGCCGACGCCGCCGCCGCGTGCCACCGGCGCAAAGGAGCAGCGGCCGCCGGCGAGGGGGCGAGCTAATAATCATATGGCGCCGGGCCCGAGTGATAAGCGGCGCTCGCGTGCGCGCCGCGGATGCGTGCGCGCCGGCCGACCGGCTCGCTCGCGTGCGCCCCGCGAGTGCCGCTCGCCGCCGCGCGCGTCGAGCCTCGTCGTCGCCACGCGCACTCGCGATAGGCGCGATTGATGCGCGGCGAGCCTTCGAAGCCACTCCGCCGCAGAGCCGAGTGAAGAATAGGCGCGAGTGATTTCCATTTTTCACGACAAAGTGCTCGCTCTCTCGCTCTCTCTCTCTCTATCCAGCTAACTCAGCGCGGCAGCTTCCTCTTCTTCTTCAACGCGAGACGTCCGATATTAAGCGAGAAGAAAAATAGGGGCGATACTTTTGCCAAAGCGTGTCACGCGCGCTGGCGTCTCTCTCTCTCTCTCTCTCTCTCTCTCTCTCTCTCGCTCTCGCTCTCGCTCTCTCCCCGCCGCCCCTTGCTTGATTTATGTCATTCGCGCGCGCGAATACGGGATCGCGCCCGCGGTCGATCCGGTCTCGCGGAGAGCGAGGCCCGAGCGCGCGCAGCGCCCGTCCGCTAATGGCCATATAGCGATCGTTCGCGCGAAAGTCCGCCTCTGCGCGCGGATGACACGATCCGCGTCCTCATGATCCGCGGACCGGGCGCGCGTCCGCTAATTGACAATCCTTGTAGCACGCGTGTGTCGACGCGTCGTGTCGAGCAGGCCGGGCGCGGCCTCGGACTGCCGCGGCGCGCGGGATAGCGAGCGATAACGCTCGGCAAAAAGCGCGAGAGCAGCCGCGCGGCGACGAGGGGAGTGCGGCAGGGGGGCAAGGGGCGGAAAAAAGGCGCCAGGCGAGTTACGACACGAGGACGCACTGTTCTGGGTATGTGTTTCAGGTTCGGAGAAAACGGTGGCCATCTTGAACTGCCTGTACGCGAGGAAGCTCTGCTTCGAGGACCACTCGTGCAGCGCCATCCTCGAGGTGATCCCGCGAGTGTGCGGCATCGAGCAGAGTGAGTATACGCGGCGACGACGGACGTGGAGCGGCTGCGTCCTTGGCCCGAAATCCTGCGGGAAATTCGAGGGCCAAATTTCTCGTTATCTCTCGGATATCTTGCGTCGGGAGCCCGCCGCCTTTGGCCCGGGGAGGCGAGCCCGCGAAATTCCGGCGCCCCCGTGGGACTCGTAAAAGCCATCGAGCGGCGTGCGCCTTCTCCGCGCCGCCACCGCGACCCTCCTCGGCGCTCGATCGAAAGGAACACCGCCTTGTCGCCTCCGCCGCGACCTGTCAACCTCGAGTCGCCACTCTATCGGATTGTTCGGCGAACGAGTAGTCGCGACGAGGGGGGGCGGCTAGCTGGCTGGCTGGCTGGCTGGCTCGTCTATCTGCGAGAAGCCTGTCGCGCGCAAGCCGGAGCATCGGCCGCTCGAGTGCGCGTGCAGCGGCCCCGACGAGCGCCGCCCCAAGCCCGAGAGCGCCGGGAGGGCAAAGAAAGCGGAAAAGTCGCTCTCTCGACAAGTGCCGCGCGCGAGTGGAGCTTTACTTTCTTCTCGTGCCCGGCGCTCGGCTCGTCCTCTTGTTTGCTTTATTCGATGCGCCTGGCTCTTGACTACTTTGCCCGGGCGCGCGCGGGTGCAGCCTCCGAGCCGGCGGCCATGGGGCGCGGATTAAAAAGCAATAAGCAGGCCGAGAGCGCGGCGGAGGCAGTCGAGCGGAAGAGCGTCGATCGCCGGGCGGAGACGCGCGCGCACCGGAGCGGCTTGAGCACGCGCGCGATCCTATCGCGCGGCCACTCCGCCGACTGCGCTGCCCGCGCTCCCCGGGCCGCGTCCCGACGACGCGCGCGCTAATGGGGCGCGCCGAGTGTGGCCGCACGCGCCCCGACGCACTCGAGCGCCCGCTTGACGCAGCCACGCGCGTGCGACGCCGTCCCCCTCCCCCAACACCTGTCTGTCGTTGCGTTGCAGTGGCCTGCTCGACGGTGACCGTGGCCAAGTGCCAGGCGGCGCTCAGGAGCCTGCAGACCTTCGAGTTCTTCAAGCCCACCTGCCTGTGCCGCGAGCCGCACGTCGACCGCGAGTGCAACAGGTTCCGGGACTTCCTCTTCGACCATCCCTGCATCTTCGTCGCCAAGAAAGGTAGGCTGCGCAGGCTGCTCGGACGGCGGCGGACCCGCCGGAGGACAGCCGGCGGGGCAGGCCGCCTCGCGTCGCTTCGCGCGCGCGATAAATCCCAGCGATAGATTTGGCGCGCGGCGCGACTTTTATTGGGTCTGCGTGCGCGCGTGCAGCTCGAGATTGCCGGCACGGCCGATGAGATTTCGATCGGCGCGCCGGCGAGCCCCGGCCCTCCGGCTGCTGCGGCGCCGCCGATCCTGACCGCCCCCCCCCCCCTCGCCTTCTGTTGCAGACAAGGAGTCGCACGGGCTGCAGGAGGCCCTGCCGACCTGCAACAAGGCGCTGAGCGTGTGCCAGCTGAACAAGAGCTGCGTGAAGCTGTACGACGAGTTCAAAGTCAACTGCAAGACGCGGGAGGGCAAGTGCCGGATGGAGAACCGGTAAGGCTGCCGCGGCGCTCGGGGTCGTCGCGCCCCGCGCCGGAGGAGCGCGTTGTCGCGCGCGTCCCGCTATCGAGCGGCCGCGAGCGAGCGACTGACGCGCTGCAGGCAAACCAATTGGCTATTTACTCGCTGAAATTTTGATGAAGCGCACCGCCGCTGAAACGGGCGACTCGCGTCGGCGGCGGCGCCGCCCCTCTATTGATTAACTCACATTTGACTGGAGTCGGAAGCGCGCGCGTGCTCGTCCGTCTGCGCCGAGAGTCGAGTACGGAGAAAAGGCGGCGAGCCCGCCGGACCGATCGATCGATCGATCGCGCGGCGCGCTCCTCGGCCGCGCGGATCATCTCGAGGCCGAGTGCTCGTCAATTCAACCGGAAGCTCGTGAAATGCAGATGGAGCTGTGTTTGCTGGCATTATTCCGAGGCATAATGCCGCCGGGCGCTGCCGGCGTCAATTAAATCGCGATAGATTAATACAAAAGAGGCAGGCGAGCGGGCCGCGCGGAAAGGAGCGCTCCGCAAAAGGGCGAGCGACTCGGCGAGTGGGTGGGCGGAGAGGAGGGGGGGGCGGTGGAAGAGATAAAGTAGAAGAAGCCGCGCCGCGCGGGAGAAAGGAGAAAAGGGAGGGCGGGGGTCGGGGCCGACTGCTGGCGCCGGGGCTGCTCGCCGCTCTCCGATGCATTCTCGCGGGTCATTAATGCTCAGCCGAGCTAACGAAGTTGAGGAAGCAGCAGCGAGGAATTGCGGCTCGGCGCGCGGCTGCATTATGCATACAAAGCCGAAATAAATGGGGATTACTTGGGGCTCGCGGCCACCGGCCCTGGCGCTCGGCGTCGACTGGTCTCTCGGCAAGGTCGCCGCGGTGTCGAGCCGATCCGAGCCGGGGCTAAGTCGACCGCGGGCATCGATCCGGGGGCCCCGCTCGCGAGGGGCGAACGCGTCGCCGCCGAGGCCTCGATCACCGGGAGGAAGCGCTCGGCCGGTCGATAGGGCGCCAGACGCGATTGTCGAGTTGCGGCAGCAGTCGGCGGGGCGCCGAGGCGGCGCGAAACGAAACGAAACGGAACGGAGCGCAGCGCCGGCACATATACTGCAATGCAGGTGTGCTGCCGCCCGCCGCCCGCCGCCCGTCGCTGGCCGTTATATCATTCATAGAGGCGCGCCGAGCGGAGCCGAGCCGGGCCGAGCGCGCGCGCTCTCTTTCTCCTGGTGCGTCACTGCGCCGCGGCGCCGGGAATTGGTGTCAAGGTTCGCCGGACGGGCGGACGCGCGCGCGCGGATCCGCCGGCCTCCGCTCGCGGTCAGTCGGCCGCGGCTCGCCGCCGCCGCGCGCGCGCGCTTTGTGCCGCCGGGCCGCGCGCGACCGGCCTTTGAGCGCGGCCGCGCTTAATTAGCGGAGTGCCGGATTGCGCATTGTTGGCGCGCGCCCGCCGCGGCTTTGCGGGCGGCCGGGGAGCGCGCGCCGCGGAGGTCGGCTGGCGGTCTCCGGCCGAGGCCCGGGCGCGCTCCGCCGCGCTGCCCCTCGCCGCGCGCTCGTCGGGGCTCGCGGCCAGGGTGTCGGGCGACGCGCGCGGGCTGCCGACGCGGCTGACTGATGACTGGCGCGCGAGCGCTGATCAATCAGCGCGCGCAGCTAATAGCGCATCGGCCGCAGCTACTCCCGTCAGTGTCGGCGACGCGCGAACAAAGCGCGCGAACAAGTCGTAAAAAAGAGCTTCGAGGCGGCGCTGGCACATATCGATCGCAGGTGCGCGCGCGCGCGCGCGCGTCAGCGGGCCGCGAGTAGCGGGTATTAAGCTAATCGCCAGACGTGTTCTAGTGTGGGTACGTGTGCGCCTACTTGGCGGTCGCGCAGCGCAGCGCGGCCCGCAGCGAGTCGACTCGAGTGCGAGCGCCAGCGAGCGAGAGAGTGGGAGAGAAAAGTTGGCTCAACCTACTTTTTCCAGTTGGTAAACTTTCGCGCTCGCAGTAGGTCTAATGGGCGAGCAGATCGATAGCTCAGCCTCAGCTCGAGCGCAGCTCGTGTCGCCGCCGCCGCCACCGCCACGGCATTGACGTCGCCGCCGCCGCGTGAAAGCGCACCTGCAAATCAGCGGGCGCGATATCCGATCGCGCGCCAGCGGGCGCCGCGCTCGCTCGCGTGCCCGCGACCGGCCCGAGGACGAGCTTAATAAGTCAATAATAAGGGCCGCAAATCAAGCCACTCGGCTCGGAGCGTCGAGCCGCGGCGTCGATCGATGCCCGGCGGTCGGCGTATCCCGCGCGCGTAATCATTCGTCGAATGAGCGCTGCTCTTCAGAATTGCCGGCCGCCGGCGAGCCGACATAACTCAGTTGCCGGCGCCGCCCCCTTCCTGCCGCGCTCGATTCGTTATTTATTCGCCTACTCGCGGCGCCGGCCCCGCGGAGCGCGAGCCAGCCCGAGAGCTCCGGCGCGCGCGCCTTATTTACTCGTTAATGACGCCAACAGCCGGCTCATCCTCGTAGCCGCCTGCCTGCCTGCCTGCGGCGGTGGCTGCTGCTGCTGCTGCTGCTGCTGACTCATTGAAAAGCCCGGTTATCGATCGGCAGCTTCGTTAGCGATCTCGGCTGCAATTTTCCGCCGCGCGAGATTTTCCGAATGCAAACCTAATCAGCGGCCCGTGTCCGAAAGATCGAGTCGTGATTGCGCGAGCCCCCGTCAGCCGGCCGAGGGGGCGGCGAGCGAGGGCCGGCGCGGGCGTCGTCGGGGCCCGAGCTCTCGGCACCCGGGCGACCCGAGGCGGCGGGCGAATCGAGCGCGCCGCCGCCGGCTGTCGCGCGGCAAACGAGGCCGAAAGTTGGCCGGCCGCGGGCGACGCTTGGCTCGGCAGCCGGTTAACCGGAGCCGGCAGCGCGCTGCCTCGATCGACGGCCCTCCCGTCTACTCGATTAGGAGCGCGCCGCGCCAGCCCAAGTCGACGGCTGGGAGCTGCAATATCTGCCTCATCTGCTCGCGCGCCCCTCGCAATATCCGGCTTTACAGCGCGCCCAGACGGCCCCGCTCGCAATCTGCCGCCCTTGCGCCCCCGGCCGAATCCACTTTTTCGGGCGCGCGCGCCTAGTTCCAGCTGCCTAAATCTATTTGGGCATTAGCCGCGGCTAAGTGCCGAGCAGCACTCGGCGGCGCAACTAGGCAAGTTGTTGGATAAGCCGGCTTCCTCGAGCTCGCGGGAGCACTCGCAGCCGCGCGCGCTTATCGAATCTTCGTTAGCGCTCGGCGGCGGCCTAATGCGAGCACCGACGTGCGCGCGCGCGCACCCCATCGACTAATCGACTCTGCTCTCTGCCAGCGACGCCTGCGACGAGGCCTGGAAGCAGCTGCGGCTCTCGCCCATGTTCGGGTGCATCTGCCCGGACAACGCCGTGAAGAAGCGCTGCGACCGGATCTTCTCCATGGTCAACTACAATCCGTGTGTAGGTGAGTACCGCCGCCCTGCGCTCCTCCCATCCCCCTCGCACTGCGATCGGCCTACCTCGACGGCCACACTCACTCCTCCCCGCAATACGCCAATATACGCCGTCTTGCGAGCAAGCCTACACTCAGCATACTTACAAGCCAGCATCAGATACAACAACCATCCAACGTCGCAGTGTTCGCTCTTTCTCTCTCTCTCTCTCTCTTTCTCTTTCTCTCTCTCTCTCTCTCTCTCTCTCTCTCTCTCTCGACTATTGCGTTGTTTTGGCGTGCCTGGATGCCTCCCAGGAGCAACGCGTGGAACTCCAAAGACTAAGCAATTCATGCGTGATGTGCACATTTGGCGTTAAGAGGGATAAACATATCTCTCGCTGCAGGAGGCGTCTGGGCTGGCTGCACTCTCACTCGCGCAGACACTGTTTTATCGCTCTGCTAATGTACGAAATTGTAAAACTGCGCGAGCCCGCATTCTTTGGCAGAGCTCTTTACTCCGCACAGGCCAGGCCCATGGTTAAGGGGGGGGGGGGGGGCAGCTTGAGGTCAGCGTTCCCAGGGTAAGCACGGTGACTGCATCCGGCTCTTTTCGGGTTGCAGGGGCTTGTCTCTGGAAATTTCTGCCATCAGCTATTCGCTGTGCTGTCTTCCGACTTTGGGGGGTTTCAGGGGGAGCCGGGACAGTCCGCGCGTACTTCCTGGACCTTAGAACTGTAGACACTTTCGGGATGGTTGGGAGATGACCAGGTTAAGTGCTTCACTTGTATTTTACCATAAGGCGTAATTTCTTCACTACACTCTCTTCCCGGCTGTACTCGGTCTTCTCTCATCCCTGAACTTTAGTGTCAGTGTCGACTGCCAGGATTTCGCGTTCCGATTGAGAGAAGTTTTCTCTCTAGACTAGACGTGTTAGGTCTTTATAAGTTATAACTACTGCATTACTTTGACCAACATCTTTGTTCCGTTTAGTTAACTAACTTTTGTAACTTGACGATGTGCGAACGGCTCTATACTTAACTATCATGTTTCTTTATTTCTGTCTCTCTCTTGTTCTCTCAGATTTTTTTCCTTTGATTCTTGCGTATAATGTGCCATCGTGTATACATCTAGTTTGTTCGCTTTCATTTTACTTGGCTCTCAATGTCACTATTAACGTATACATAATACACGTTATTGGACGTCGATCCTTTTTCCGGTCGACTCCTCGTTGCTGCCATTGTTTACGTCTTTATCTCTCGCGTTGCAGATGGCAAGCTTGATCTTTGAGGTCCGCCAGCGTACAGCTCGAGCGAAAGAGACGGCGGAGTAGCTGCGCGAACGGCGCGGCTGCCTCATCCGAGCCGGGGCTGGGGGTGGGGGTGGGCGACCTCGCGGCTGCGACTCTGCGGTGAACTAGCCGCGCGGGCAAGGAGGCAGACCGACGGCTGTAATCGGACGCGATCGCGGCCCTAGTCGGGCGCCGCGGTGCTAATGATCGGGCGGGCGCGGCGAGTCGCGGGGAGAGCGCGGGCCTCTCCCGCGGAGCTTCGATCGCGGCACGACGGATCCGCCGCGGCCCGACAAAGAGCGCGGAGAGCGATTACCGGCGTCGGCTCGCGGCCCCCTTTTCACGCTCCCCCGCGCGATCACAGCCGGCAGTCGGCGCTCCTTTTGTCCACGCGCGGCCTCCGCCTCCGCTTCCGTTCCTCGGCGCTCTTCCGTCTCGTCTGGCAAGTGGGTTAAGCCGGCTCGAGCTCGAGCTCGAGCGCGAGCGCCCGCTGCACGGCAGCACTCGCGCGCCACTTAACCCCGCGCTCGAGCCGCCGCTTTCCATCGCCACCGGCGGCTCCCCGCTGCCCCGTCTCCGAGTCCGAGTCGGCGCCGCGAGCTCACCGATTCGCCGCGGCGGGGGGGGGGGGGGTGCTCCAGCGGGCGGCGGTCGCCGCTCGTTCGACGACGCGCCGATTGCTCGCCTGGACTCCCGCGGTTGGGCCAAGGTACACAAAAACTTGGCAGCGCCTCTCCGCCGCGGGCATGTCGCTGCCGACTCGCCACACTTCTGTCCGCCTGCCCGCCTGCCTGTCTACCTGCATGCTTGTAGATACCTGCATGCCATGCCGTGTAATTGTCGTTGCTCTCCTGTTCACTGTCTCGCTTGCGATTGTTTGCTCACTGCATTTGCGACACTTGTGACTTGTGCACAATAACAATCAAGCCACTCTCAACTGTAGCCTGTACACTCGTTCCACTAGCTATATACATATATATGTGTGTAGGTATATGCGCATGCGTGCGTACACATATTCAAGCCACACGGACACTTGTTTGCGATGTAGAAGCGCTGCGCGCGAAGCGCGCGCGAGTGACGATAAGCCAGAGTTCATTGGCGTCTGAGCGCATCCTGAGTCGTTTCACTGGAATCGCCGCTGCCGCCCGACTGCGAATTCGCGGTCTCCGCTAACGAACTCGCCCCGCTCGCTATTCCGGATACTCGGCGAGCGTTGCGTCGCGGCGGCGCCGGCGGCTTCTTCCGAATTAATCAGCGCTCGATGAGCGTGTAAACTCGCACGGCAGCCGCGCAACGCGCGAAGCGAGGCCGAGTTAAACGAAGCGGCGGCACCGGCTTCCGGAATTGGCGTCGAGCGGCTTTGTCGGGCGGCGCGCGAGCGAGCGAGCGGCTTGGCAGGTCTGCGCCTGTTTGCGCGCCCGCCGGAGCAAACAGCCTGCACTGGAATTGCCGCCCTCGCTTCGGCTGCCTGCGAGCAAACTTGGCCCGCGCGTCCTCTCGTCACTCGCGCGCGCGCGCGCCCCGGCAGCCCGGCACACGACGGCACACACGAGCGCACAGTCGATAGCCAGCACAGGCCGGGCGCGACGCCCGCGACGCCACGACAGCCCACACAGCGACACGCGCGACGAGGCGAGGCGAGCAGTGCGAGCAGCCCAGCCGCAAGCCCGGGAGCTGCACGTGCGCCTGTTTCAGAGTGGCAGGTCGCCTGGCTGGACGAGCTCGCCGGGACCGACTCGGGCCTGTACCTCGGGCGCCCGGACCAGCAGCAGCAGCAGCAGCAGCAGCAGCGCCCGCGCCAGCAGAGCGCCGACCCCGAGGCCACCAGGGCCTACCCCTACTTCCTGTTCCCGGCCTCGGCGAGGGAGCAGGCCGGCCCGGGCCTGTCCTCGGCCTACTACGAGCTGGACCCCGAGGTGGCGCGCAGCCTCGAGGAGCACGAGCTGGCCGGCGGCCAGCCGCCAGTCGGTAGGCCCAAGATCTTCCTGCTGGAGCCGGACTCGGCGGCGGCGCGCGGCTCCGCCTCGCGCCCGCTGCGGGTCTTCGAGAACGAGCGCTGGCACACGCAGTGGGTGCACCTCGCGCCCTACCGCCCGCCCAGCCCGAGCTCCGGCACCGCGCCCGCGCGCGCGCCCGCTAGCACTCCCGTGTCGCACCGTCACCGCCACCAGCACCAAACGCACCAGCACCAGCACCAGCACCAGCACCAGCACCGCCCCGGCACCGGCACCGCCACCAGCACCAGCACCAGCGCCGCCGCGCCGGCTCCCGGCGGCGCGCCCGCCGAGTCGCCGCCGCCGAGGAGGTTCGCGCCGCGGCCCACCTACGAGCACGGGGCCGCGGGCTTCGAGCCCGGCGCCGACGACGAGCAGCGCCGCCTCGAGGCCGCGGGCGAGCTCGGGCCCGCCTCCCCGGAGCGGCTGCCGATCGAGCGCCTCTTCGACTCCTCGTCCCTGCACGCCGGCCGCGCCCCAGGTAGCCGCCCCCGGCCGCCCCCGACCGATCGATCGCCATTAGCCCGATGGATTCGGCGGCGGCGGCGGCGGCGGCGGCGGCGGCGGCGGCGCCGGCAGCGGCGCGACTGCACTCCGCTAATCGAGCCGCCCCTCTCGCTCTCCCCCGCTTCCTCTGTCGCCCTCTTCCTCGCCGGCCCTCTTCTCGGCTCGTGTCTCTACTCGCGCTCCCCTGGCCGGGCGGCCCACCTCCCCCTCCGCCTCCTCGCGCCGAAATCCAACAAACATCTCACAGAGACCTCCATTTCGGGGCTGGATTCGCGTGTCTCGTCGGACTTGTCCCCCGATTAGTCGCGCGAGCACGTAGGCCCGAGCTTTCCGCGCTCTCCACCGGCGAGCCGTCTCGAGCCGCCTCGAGCCGCCTCGAGCCACAGACTGTTATTTTTTTTTTCATCGGCTCTGTTTTAAAAGACGGGAAAATCCAAATTCTAACTGCACACCGAGGCTTCGTCGAGCGTCGGCGATTCTCCAAACAAATCTGCTCGGCTATTATTCTAGTTGGCTTAAAAACAACACGTCGGCATCCACGTCCCTTCCCTTAGATTCTCTGAAAACCGCAACGAAGATCCACAGGTCAACCAATAATGCAGTTTCTCTGACCGAGAGGCGTTGCGTTTCCATTTTGTTTCGAGCATTTCGCCACGTGCCACACAACGCGCGTACGCTCCAGAATTCTCCAAGTTCGTTCGTTTTTTTATGATTTTTCATAGACGCTGAACGCAGAAAAAAATTGAACGACTAAATAAAAAGAGAGGCCGTCAGGTTCCTTGAAGAATAGACGGACAACAAGCGTATTCCCATGTATTTCGACCTGCCAAACCCGTGCGCGTTGTTCACCGGCACGCTTCGCGCAAATGGATTTTTCAATTGTCCGTTGTTTCGAATAGAGGAGCTTTCGCGAGCTGAAAAGAAACGGTCGGGCGATGTAACGGTTCCGACAACGACTCGCGCTCGGCGTCGCGTGCACGGGGAGCGCGCGAGTTGCGCGTCGCGGCTCGCGCGGAAAAACCCGTTTATAAATTGCAGGAACTCCAGACAAACGGAAGCTTTTATCCGGGGAAGCGAGGGCGCAGTCCAAGTTCGAGCGCGTTCGCGTCGCCGAACGGGTGCTAAGAGCACGCCACTCGGCTATTGGTTAGTTATGACGGTGCAACAAGTTACTCGGCTACTCTGTTGTCGAAAACGTCCGGAGCGACGAATGGTCATTTTACAGACTTCGTTTTTAAAGCTCAATTACCCGATAATGTTCCGATATCGTGACGCGCGAGGGCTGGTCGGCGTTATAAATTCCAAAACGCTCACACACGCCTGCGCGAGCATTCCAGTTGCTCGTGTGATCGCATCGCCGATCGCGCGCCGAGGTGATCGTCGCGCAAGCCCATTGTCGAAAAAACTCGCCGAGAGCTCGAAAGGCTGCGGACGCTCGAGCGCTTGAAATTGGATTGGGCGCTCGTGAAAGGTCAGCTCGCGAGAAACAGCGAAAAGTCGAGCCGGTGTTGCGCCGAGCGAAGCACGAGTCGAGCGGCGAGAGCCTCTCGGTATCGAGCGACACGGGCGTACATCTCGGCCGCGGCAAACGTGTCTCTGTGAGATGTTGTCCGGGGCGGGCCAGGGACGCAGGCACTGACCGCGGCGCGCGCGGGCATCGCTGATTGCAGTGAACGTGATCTCGGGCGTGGGCGACAACGCGACCAACCTGGAGCTGATCGAGTCGCAGCTGGAGAACCCGCTGATCGACTCGGAGCAGCAGGACCTGCACTCGCTGCGTCAGCTGCCCATCCCGAGCATCCACCACCACCGCCTGCACCACGGGCCCAGGAACCAGTCGCAGCACGAACCCGAGCCCGAGCACGAGCAGCATCCGGGTAAGTACGCGCAATACTGCCGCGTCGATACGCAACCCGGCGCGTAGCCGGCGTAGCTTGCGAAAAAGGCAAATCGGATCTGGCAAAGTTCGCGAGGCAGAGAGAGAGAGAGAGGGCGCCGTGCCGGATCCTCGCTCGAATTAAAGTTTCGAATCCGGCGAAGGCTGCAGCTGGAAATAATATGCGATACGCGCTCGCGAATCGAGCAGCTGCGCGGGCGCCCTCCGCGCCACGAGCAACGCCAGGAAATGAGAGCCCGCGCGCGCTTGCGCCAAAGAGAAAGAGACTCGAAATTAAATTAAACTTTGGGCGAGAGAGAAGAGAGAGAGAGAGAGAGAGGGAGAGAGCGCGCGCGCGCGATTAATCTCCGCGAGCAGCGCGCGCGATGGAAATAAATCGGGCTGCTTCGCAAACTGTCAACCGTATGCGGGCCGGCGAGCTGTCGCCATTCAAATTCTGCACTTCCCCACCCCACCCACGACCCGCAGCCAAGAATAGCGCCGCGGTGTTCGATTGATAAAGCACAGACGCACGGCCACGCCGCTTTGAATAATTCCGCACGCGAGTTATTTTGCGAGCGCGGCGAATTCCATTCTCGAAAATCAATCAGTCGGAGGCATCGCCGGGTAATCGCCGGATTAAAGGATGAGCGCGGGAATAATCACTCGTGCAGCCGATTCGGATGCAATCAATTCGCGCCAACCCTCCACCTCCCCCTCGCCCCATCGCTTGTCCCTCCGCCCGGCCGCCCTCTCGCTTCCGCGCCTTGTCTTCCTCTCCATCTGTATTCCTTGCCTCGATACAATCCGACTGCTCTCGGCTCCTGCCGGTTTTATCGGCCGGAGCGGCGTCTCTCCGCTCTCTCTCTCTCCTAATTATTTCCCTCTTATCTGCCGTCCGCTTTTATTCCGCGCGCTATTACTGCGCTGCTTCGTTCGGCCTCGCGGGCTGCCTTATCGGCGCGCGCTCGCCGCGCCCCGTCCCGTCCCGCCCGCGTCCCATTGTCCGCGGCCCCGCGTGTTATTTTTCCGATGCGATCTCGCGCGCTCGCATTTGCATTTGATCCGACCGCGGGCGGCCGCGCCTCGCGGGCCCCGCGCGCCAATTAGGCGTCGCCGCGATGCTCCTTTCGCGCGCGCGCCGGCCGCCCCATTCGTGCCGTGTAATTGCGAGAGGGCCGCTGAAAAAGACGCCAAATTGGGAGGAGGCACTCGCAAGGAGCGCAATGAGCCGGGGCGCGCGCTGAAAAGGGCATTCGGAAAGTTTTGACGAGCCCGCGACGTAATTATAACGCGGTAGCGCGCGCTGCTTTTGATCGCGCCGCGCCGGGCTTTTCAGTCGTCGAGAGTAGTCGCTTGCAGGTCGCCCGCCGGTGTAATTCGGTTTGGCTCTCAGCTCCTCGGCGAGCTCCCGCGTCCGCGGCCGAGGAGAGCGGCGGGGCAATGACTGATGGACGCAGGGACAAGGTTACCGATGTCGGCTCGTCCATCTCAATAAAAAGCCGCGGACCGGCTCGCTCGCTCTCTCTCTCTCTCTCTCTCTCTCTCTCTCGTTCTCCCGCGCGCGCATATCAGACAGCCAGAGGAAGAGCGAGTGCGCCGAGTGGACTCGGCCCTCGGCGCCCGTAATTAATCGAACGGAAGGTCTCCTCGCAAGGAGGCTCTCGGTGGGCTGATCGCTGATTGGCGATCGGGATCTGCGGGTGATGGATGCCCCCGGCGACACTGGCAGTCGCCGCTGGAAGGGCGTCGTTTGTCAGGGGGGCCCTCGAGCGGTCGACCGGCGGCTCTCTCCCTCGCCCCGCGTGACACGGTTCGCGGCTCTGATTGCAGGTGGGGCGTCGGGCAGCGGCCAGCCGGAGCCTAGGCTGGTGCTGTCGAGCACCTGTCAGCACGCCTACGCCGCCTGCAAGTGAGTACAGGAGAGCGCTCCGGCCATCGATTGGATCGACGCGCGCCGGCGGCACGCTGCACGCACCGAGCCGGCCGGCCGTCCGCTTTTAGCCGGCTTATTTTTAGCCGGCCGCGGGCGCCCTTATCTCGGCCGCGGCGCGCGCGCGATCGATCGGCGGCCGGCGCGCGTGCACGCGCATCTCACGCTGATCGATCGGCCGTAGGAGCGACGCCGAGTGCAAGGGCCTGATGCAGCCGGTGCTGTCCCACTGCGAGCAGTCGTCGTGCGCGCGCAACGAGTGCATGTCGGCGCTGCAGCACTTCTACCGCGGCGCCAGCCACAAGCACTCCGTCGAGATCGCCTTCTGCCTGTGCAGGTGAGTGGCGCGTGCGCCGCCGCCGCCGTCGCCGCCGCCGTTGACAGCTTGTGAACGCGATGCGTCTGTCGCGGCAGGAAGGAGGAGGGCCGGCGCAACGAGTGCATGCTCGCGCAGGAGAGGATGCACCCGGTGTGCGCGATGCGCGCGGCACCGCCGGCCGAGACGCCCAGCTGCTCGCTGCTGGCCGAGGAGTGCCGCGCGCGCGCCGCCTGCAGGACCAGGCTGGAGCACTACGAGCAGAGCTGCGCGGTCGACAGCGTGACCAGCAAGTGCGCCGGCCAGCCGCAGAACTGCCGCGCGGCCCTGCTGGGCATCCTCGGCACCGAGCTGCGCACCAGCTGCACCTGCAGGGCCCACGACGCCCAGGGCCTGTACCGCTGCCTCGGCTGGCAGCGCCTGCTCTGGCTCAACCCCTGCCTCGGTAAATGCGAGCGCACCGTCGCTCGGGGAGTCGGAAAATTTCCCCGGCAAATTCCCGGGATCAATGGCGACCGAGGGAAGATCGAGCGATGCGAGAGCCCGCCGAAGGAAAAAGACGTTTGCACGCGCGCGCGCCGGGGCTTCGGCTCGTGTGTGGCGGGGCCGCGGGGGGTGGCCAGCCGTAACGCGAGCTCGGCTTTTTTCCGCTGCAAAGTTGAAACGAGTTGCCGGCGCGCGCGCGCGCTGTCGGCCAGTTTAACCGCGTCGAAGGCGCTCCGCGAGCCCGCCGACAAAGAGAGAGAGAGAGAGAGAGAGAGAGAGAGAGAGTGGACGCGCCGGAAAGAACGTCGAGGAGAGCGACGCGGGGGATGACAAAAGGACGAGCGAAGAAAGAGGGCGGCCGCGTCGCCGTATCGGGCTTAGTGCGCGCGACGTGTGCGAGTAGCCGCGTCCTCGCTCGGTGCCCCGCGTGTCGTGAACGCGAGCGCGCTCTAAAAGCCCCCCCTCTGCCTCGCCGCTCGGCAAACGTTTCCCGCGCTGAAATGCAACGACGCCCGGCTGCCCACCGCGTCCAGCATCTGCCACCTCCGCCGCTTCGTCCTTTGGATTGGACAGCGAGCAGTCGAAAGCTCCACTCGCACATGCTCGCCTTTGTCTGTTTGCAGCGCTTTATCGTCGCATCGCCCGTGGCCCTTCAATCAACTCCGCTGCTTTTCGCGATCGCAGTTCCACTCGCGAAAGTAGATTAAAAGCCAATGGGGGATCCCAACGAAGCGAAACTCACGCCCGAGCGCGTCGATCGAGCGAACGCGCCGGAGAAAGCGTCCAGCATCCGCTCGGCGGATGCCTAATGCCGCTCGACTTGAGAGAGCCGGCGTCGTCGATGCCACTGGCCGCCTCGCGATACGAGCGAAGATAACCAAGCCGACAAAGGCAATTATCGCACAATAAGCCGCAAACGCGCGACCGAGAGGATCTCTGCGTCGCAGCCGTAAGCAGCGAGGACAATGGCAGCCGCGAGCGAGAGCCGCTTTCTCGACGGCAGTCGTTTATCGCCGACCCCGAAACGTCAGTCGTGAGGCCGCGACATCGAAGATGAAAAGGCCGACTCGCCGCGCCCGAGGACAAACGAGAGAGCCGCTGCTGCCTCGCAGCGACATTCGCTCGGATCTTCCACTCTTGTCTCGGCGCCTCATCCCGTCGCGATTCTCCCGTTCGCCGTCGACGCCGCTAACCGGCGCCGCGAACACGTCCGCGTGCTTGCGTTGCAGTGGAGGCCCAGCGGGAGTTCCACGCGCGGCGCAGCCGACAGCACCTGCAGCAGCGCATCACCACCAGCAGCAGCACCCCGGCCACGCGACTGACGCCGACGCCCCGGGCCCCGCTGATGGCGCCCACCGCCGACGACCTCGAGCAGGAGGACAAGCAGCTGCTGGAGAACAACGCCGTGGGCTACGCGACCATCGAGGCTACCGAGCCGACGCTCCAGCCCAGCAGCAGCGAGGGCAGCCCGCCGACTGGGACCGGCGCCGGCGCGAGCCGCGGCCCGCTGCCGACGACCGCGACGCCGACCGCGAACACCGTCGCGACCACGACGAGGCCCCGGACGACCGCGGCCTCCGGCAGCAGCAGCAGCACCACTACCACCACCGCCGCCGCCGCCACCACCACGACCACCACCACCACCGTCACCACTAGCACGACCGCCAGGCCGGCCCCACCCACGACGCCCAGCAGCACCACCACCAGCACGCCGCCACCGCGTAAGTCTCCAGCGGCTGTGAAGAGCGGCGAGCGAGGGCGCGTCGCGGCGGGGCGCAGGGAAATTCGGCAAGGCGCTCGCCCCCCCTCCGGCGGAATACGTAAGAATGCGATTTTTGAAGGAGGGATTGGACGTGCCGGGGCTGCGAATCAGCGGCGCGCCGCCCAGGGCGGATAATCGAGGGGCATTCAACTCGAAAATCGCGTCTGGCCCGGCAACCGACTCCGCTCCGGCTCGGCGCTTTATTTCACGGCTCCGTCGCGTCGCGGCCCCGAGCCCCCCAGTCGACTCGCGCTCGTCAATTTTCGGCTGCGGCTCAATCCCGCGGCACTCGCGCGCGCGCGCCTGTGCGTCGCTCGTCGCGCGATCGCTTCTCAAAGGGATCTGCCGGATACGCCCAGGCGCCCTGCCTCACTCGATCAATCGTAATTCCAGCCTTTTGCCAGCGCGCGCCGCCTCGGGAGAAAGACTCGCGCGCGAGGGCGACTGAAAAAAGGGAGCAGACAATCATCGACTGCTAGGCCGCGGCGCGCTGTATCGCGCGCGAGCATTCGCCGGAGGCTTTGGCTTTGATCGAGAGCGATCGACTTTGGCCGAGTGCCGAGTGCGCCGGGGGCCTCGGGGCGGCTTTTCGCCGCTCGCGCTCATCGCCGCCGAGCGAGAAAGCGGCGAAGGAGCGAGCCGGTCGCCCGCGCGCCCGCGGTTAATTGGCGAAAAGCGGCGGATCGCGCGGGGCCGGGGCGCCGGGAAGGAGGGGGCGCGCGCGCGCGCGCGAGAGAGAGAGAGAGAGACGCAAAGAAGCCGAGCGCAAACGGGAAAAGCCACTTTCGCCGAACAAAGCTTTGGCGCTTTGGCGCCGAAGAGCGCCGAGCTCGCTCGTTCGCTCTCGCGGATAATAGGCTATTTCGCTCGACTGCGGGCGACGCGCTGCGCGCAGCCATGGACTGGCGTTCGCCGCTACTGTTGCAGGTTTCTGCGTGGTTCAAAGGCCCCGTCAGTCGCACCAGTACATCCGCGAGGGGAAGACCAGGCGGGTAAGTCTCGTGGCGCGGCCCAAGGTCGCGCGGCTCGCTGCCCGTCGCTCACCCGTTTGTCTTGTCGGGGCGCAGCTCTACCGCGAGGACGAGCCCGAGTGCTCGGAGCTGTGCAAGTGCGGCCGCAACGAGACGCTCACCTGCAACACCATCTGCATCGAGTCGTCGCCCTGCAAGACCGACTTCGCCTTCTACAACCACGCGGCCCCGGCCTACCAGGCCTACCGGGGACGCTGTCTCTGCTACAGCGGCCGCTTCATCTGCATGAGGCCTTCGCCAGGTGCTCGCACTGTCGATCGGCTAGCCCCCCCCCCCCCCCCCCCACCCACCCCCAGCCATCCCCCTCTCCTTTCCGCCGCGCACCCCGAATCGCATTCGCGCAAATATTTTCGTGCCGATGCTCCCGCTCTCGGCGCTCTTTTAATTTTTCAGCCCGGCCCGGCTTTTTCCGCTTCGCTCGCCGCGCTCCGCTTACATCCGATTAGATACAAAGAGAACGCGCGCGCGAGCGAGCGAGCGAGAGCGGAGGAGAGAGCCGAGCGAAAAAAAGCTTTCGCAATGCTCGCCTAATGCTCAAAGCGCTTATCAAACGCGGAATCGGCCTCGGGAAGCCAACGAGCGCGGCACGAGAGTCCAAGCGCGGGAATAACGCTCGGCCGCGGCCCCGCCCGTCTGTCGCCAGATGCTTACAACATACCGCACGGGGTCTTCATGTTCCTGGGCTACAGCGAGACGGACGAGACTCTGCTGAAGCCGCACAACAACCTGAGCGTGGTGGACGCGGTGTCCTCCCTGGACAGCTTCATGCGCGAGGAGCTCAACAACCAGGTGGGTGGACGCGGCGCGCCCTTCCGGAAAAGGCCCTCTGAGACGCCGCTTGCTTGCAGACCGTGTGCACGCTGTTCCTGTACAACGCCACCAGGGAGAACGTGATCGCGGCCGCGCGACTGCTCACCGACGCCGGCCAGCTGGCCGCCAATCTCAGCCAGGCGCAGAGCCTGCAGCACCTGCTGCGGATCAAGGTGAGTCGGGACGCGGCCGACTGGCAAAAGCTCCCCCTCGGCAGTTCGACAAACGACCGGCTCTGATAGGATCTCGCTGCCTCCTCGACGAGATAAGTAGTGCCGGGACACGTGCTCCCGCCGCCGTACGCCCTTGTGTGCACGAGCGCTAAGTCCGCTTGATTGGACGGATGGCCGGATAAAGTGAGCGGGACAAAGAGAGAGAGAGAGAGAGAGAGAGAGATGCGGCCGGGACAATAGACGAAATGAACTGCTCCAGTTTCCCCGCCGCGCCGGGCCTCGCAAACGACAACAACGACGACGCCGCCGCCGCGCCCATTATCATTTTTAATCGGATGCCCGGGGCTCGCGTGAAGCCGTTTTCATTCGGTGTCGGCGTGTGCCTCGCGACGATAGGTGGTGCGACCTTGATCGGCGCACCGCAGCGGACGGGCACGCGAACCGATCGGTGGCCAGCCTACGGAACGATTCCCATTCCACTTGTCCGTGAGAGATAGAGAGAGAGAGAGAGAGAGTGAGAGAGAAGGAGACCGAGTGAGCGAGCGGCTTTAGCGCAGCGAAAAAACTTTTTTAATAAGACAAAGCCCTCGAGTGGCTCCATCTCGGCGGAAAGTTGTAGAGTCAATTTAATAACTAACAAGGAAGTTGGCAAAAATAGAGAGGAAGCGCTTGTAAAAAGGACGATGGGAAAAAGAGGGGCCGGAGAGCAATTGGAATCGGGCAAGCGAAATAAATCGAGAGCCTCCGATAGCCGAGCGGAGAGCCAGCGAGGGAAAGGAATTACGCGCAAGACCAAGTGCACTAAGAGTACGTGACTGCGAGCGAGCGCGCGCGCGCGTGTGTGCGCTACCGGCGTAGGTGTGGGCGCGCTCGGCTGGCTCGCGGATTCCGTTGCCTGCCGCCGAACCCCACCTCCCCCCCCCCTCGCACACCCCCGCGCGCGGATTCCCCGAGAAAAGGAATTGGAGCCGCGAGCCGATATCGCCCGGCATTATTTTTGGCCGAGGGGACTATCGATCCGCACGCGCGACGGCCGACGGCCGGCACTCGAGGCGCGCGGCGATCAGCGGAGCCAAGAGTCGAGGGAGCCCGCCGGCCGCGCGGTCGATAGCGCGCTGCGGACGCGGCGACGCCGAGCCGCGGCGGCTGGCTCGCGGCCAGGCCGGCGGCCCGCGACACCTGGCTCCTCGCGGCCGCGCCGACGTCGCCCGCCCGACGAATCGCGAATCATACGCCCGGCTGGCAATTAGCCGCCGGCCGAGCTGCATGCCGATGGCGGAATCTGTGGCAAGTTTGTTGCGCGAGCTTAAGATTGCTATCTTGTTGAGCAATTACCGGCTTGCGAGAGCGACTGGGCCAAGTACAAACTTCCAGAGTCGGCGCAAGTTTGTCTGAGCTAGCCGATTAGCTACTTGCTCTTGGCTTTTGGCCTGATCTGCCTCTCTAATCTTGTTTTGCCCCTCGCCGTCCCGCCTCCCCCCTCCCCTGAATTGAGTGTGCGCACTTTCCGGTGATGAAAATTGAGAGAAACGGGCAAGAAGTCGAGCACGAAGAAGAAGAAGAAGAAGCGATGGAAGAAGTTGGGGCGGCTGTTTGGAAGCGCGCCGGAGGGTCGGGGGAGATGCGAGTCGAGGTCGTACACGTACTGGCCGAGCTACATTCGTTAGTAAGTTACTCTCCCTCTCGTATCCCTTATCAGTTTCGCCGAGTCGCCGTGCGCGTCGTCGGGCGGCCATGGGTGGGCGGCGCTGATACATAGACTGTGGCAGGCATCGATCGAGCGGCGCTGGGGACAGATTATGTGTCCCTAACGAGCTTATACACCTCGATTCCGAGCAGCGAACCGGCGGACATTCCGGCGGCTCTCGGCTTGAAAGCTGCCGGCCGCCGGACTACATTCCGGCCCTCCTCAAACAATGCCCGCGCGGCCGACGCCGCCGCCGCCGCCGCCGTCGTCGTCGCGAATTCCCCCAATACTCCGCCTGCCAATTCGGCGATTCGTTCGTTCACTCGCCCGCGACCAACTTTCGCGCACTTTGAATTACGCGCATTGGCCGCATTCCCCTGCGAGCTCGTCCTCGCATTAGCAGTCGATTAGATCGAATAGGGATGGACGCCGGCCGATCATAGCTAATAGTTCCGAGAAAAAGGACGGATCAGTAGTCGATGCAGCCGATGCCTGCAGCGCTAATTAATGCCGCCGAGCTAATTAAGCTCGTCCCAATAAACTCGCCGCTACGTCTCTCTCTCTCTCTCTCTCTCTCCGTGCCGTCGCGTCCCAGAGGAAAAGTTGCTTTGTTCGGGCCGCCGGTTCGCTGCTTGCCGCCGCTTCGTCTGATTGTTTACTCAATTTGCATGAAATTGCAGCGATCGGCTTCGCTCGCCGTCTCGTCTTGGAGGGCCGGGAGGGGGGCAGGCTACTTTCCGCCCGATTGACCGATAGCCAATTAGAGAGGCGCGCGGCGACTCGAGCGCCTCGGCGATGGTAAATCAAACAATAACGGGCGAGCCGAGTGCCGCGGCGGCCCCCATTAGGATATTAGTCCGTCCGCCCCCGCTGCGCGCCGCGTCGCCGGCGAGCGCGGCAAGACGGCGCTCCCTCGCAGCCGAAAAATCGCTTCCGCGGACCTCCTTCCCTCGCCCGCCGAGCCCGCGCGCCGCGCCGAGCTTGCAGCCAATTAACGGCGCGAGGGTTCAACGTCCTGCGGCTCTCGCGCACCCCGCCGGTAAATAAAAACAAGAGCTGAAAACACGAGTGCTCGTGCGCGCGACCGTGCGCCCGCGGCAGGTGGGGAGCCTTGCGCGCCACCAATTTCCGAAGAGCTCGCTCGAATGCAGTTGTCGGCCGAAGAGAAATCCAATTAAAAGCCGCGCGGGCTGCGTGTCAAAGCGCGGCACTCGTTTGCGTTGCGTGACCGGCCGCCACCTCCGCCTACGTCGCCGCCGCTGCTTTTTTCGCCGATGCCGCAATTTTCTTTATTCTCGCGGCGAGCGCGCGACACGCGAGCCTCTTTTCCTTGCCCGGCGCTCTTTTCTCTCGCCGGCCGTGCGCGCGCGCTATTTCGCAGGGCGAGCCGCTGGCGGCGCTGGAACGGCGCGGGGCTGCAGTCGACGCACTGCGGCTCGCGCTGCGGAGCGTCCCGGACGGCGAACGAATGGGCGGCGCGCGCGCGCGCGCGCCCGCCGTTCGCCTAAGTGCTCGCCAAATTAAAATGCACAATGCGCGTCCGCGTCGCCGGGGCTGCCGCTGCCGAGCCCCCGTAATCCTCGCAATTATAAGCCAATCCCGTAATTACGCTGACAGTCGGAGCGCCGGCGGAGCAGCCGAGAGCCGGCGCGGGGCCGCCGCCTTCGCGAAGATACAATTGGGCGCATCTGCAGCTGCGCCGCCGACGGACCGACGCTAATAATCCGGCCTCGTTAATAATCCGCCGCCAGCAGCCGCTCCACCCACCCCCGACCCCTCGAGCCGCCCTCCGTGGCGCGGCCTTTTGCTAATTAAGCGCATTGTTCGTCGAGCCGCCCCCTCGCCGGCCGCGCCGACTCGGGGCCCGATGCCGAGCGGCGATCTTCCAGGCGTCGCCGCGGCCGGCGAAGGTCAAGGCGGGCTGGCGCGCCTACAGCTAATCCGTACCGCTCTGCGCCTGTTGCAGGAGGAGTGCGCGGCGATGCTGCAGGAGCTCAGCGAGAAGATCAACAACCGCCACCAGGAGGTGCACAGCCATCCGCTGCTCTCGATCTTCAAGATGGCCGAGGTGGAGATCAAGCTGCCGCGCGCCAGTGGCTCGGCCGCGCGGACGCCGCTGCTGCCGCCGGCGCTGCTGCTGCTGCTGCTGCTGCTGCTGGCGTTGGCCTCCTCGTGACCCGGCGGTCCGCTCCGCGCTCTGCTCTGTACATAAATTCGCCCCCGCGCCCCTGCCCCTACCGCCTCCCCCCCTAGCAGTCTATCGACCGCCGAGCGGCGACGCTAATCTCGATCGTCGCTCCTCTGTACATAATCACCGCCTCGCCTCGCCTCACCTCAGCGCACCGCGTCGCCGCGTTTTTCTCCGCCCCTCCCCCGCCCCCCCCGGCCCCGGTCACCCGTACTCCGCGTCCGATGTACAAACTGTACAGCGCGGCCCGATCGATCCGAGTCGCACGCGTCGGCCGATCGGCCGCGAGTACCGGCTGCTCGTAACGCGTCTCCCGCCTCCGCCGAGCTCCGCGCACGGCGGCGCGCCCGATCAGCGTCACAGTTCCTCCGCACTTAGCCCCGCCGGATCAGCCTGCCCGACACGGCCGATTCCTCACGCGGCAGCTGCGGCCGCGGCTCGCCCGCGCGCCACCGCACTCAGGCTGATCAGGCGCGCCGGGTCGCGCTCTCGACACGCCTCGTGGAATTTACTCTCCTCGCGCGCAAAATAATAATGATAACGGTAACAATAAGACGAAGAGGAGGAGGAGGAGGCCCGCCTTTCTCACCCGCACGTAGTCATGTCTCACGCACGCACACAGGCGCGCTCGGGTTATCGCACAGTCTTCCGGCGTGCGCCGACGGCGACGAGCCGCCGGCGCACCGTTTTTTTTACGTTCGTTGCGACCTTCGGATGCGCCGACAGTCGACACTCTCGGGTGACGCCACCGTTCGTGCACGCACCTGCGGTGATCTGTCAACAACTGGCGCTAAATATAAATAAATGAATATATATATATATATATATACATATATAAATATAAATATGGTTATATATATAGTTGTAGAGGTTAACGCTTGGGGTTAGATGTGTTGCATATGTAGCTGAAATGCATAATACGAAGGTGTGCTAGGTGCTAAGTTGTATTCGTTAGACGTCGAACGAAGCCGAGGGGGACGCGAGCCGCGATTGATACGCGCGCGAAGCAGCGGCGCTGACGGGCCAGCCGCTGTACACGCGCGCACCAACGGCGGTGGCGACGGCGGCGACGACTTGTAATAATGTGGCCTTTTCTGCCTGCCTGAAAACCCGCTGTCTGCGACCTCCCGTCCATTCCTTCTCCGCTTCATCCATCCGAAGCTTCCTGCTCTCTCTCTCTCTCTCTCTCTCTCTCTCTCCTCCACCTCTTTTTCTTCGCGCCGGCGAGCTTCCTTACTCCTCCTCTCGCTGCCTGCCTTTTTCCATTCCTGCCGCTGTCCCACTCCGCCGCTCCGACGATATAACGGCATTTTCATAATATTTCAGCACGTGGCAACCGAGCGACTCAGTTTAATTTTAAAAAAATTCCATATGAGCATCTCAAATATTCGCAGGCTGCCTGCTGCCTGCTGCCTGCTACCGGCTCGCTCATGCTTATTTGCCAAGATTAAATTCCGGCGAAATACCCATTTGCTCGTCGCGGCCCAACGGTCCGTGCGCCCGCGGAGCCTCGACTCCGCGCGATCGCCGAGCTGCCGTCGCGTCCGCTCGCCCCTCCGTCCGCGGACGCGAGAGGGACGCGAGTGGCCCGCGACCGGCAACTGCCACGGCAAACTCCAGCAATAATTCAGCGCCGCCGAGTGGCGCTCGTTAGACGCGGCCCGCTAACGGGCTCGCGCGGCGATCGCCCGCGTCCCGCGGCCGCGGGGCGCCGAGGCAACGCGGTCGCCGGCGTCTCCGCGCCCTGCCCGCTGCGATCGATCCACTTGGCCGCGCCGCGCTGCCGCAGCCGCCGTCGCCGCGGCTCGGCCAACTCTCGATCAGCCGCGATCGCGGCGGGCCGATTCCTCGGCGCGCTGCTCTCCGCGGCCGCGCGGCCGGGGCACGCCCGCGGCGCCGTTCGCCGCAGCCGCCGCTGCCGTCGCCTGCTCGCGACAGGGCGGGATCGGGGGCGCGCGCCACGCACAACTCGTCGTCTTAGCCCGTACCCTGCGAATCTTTCGAGACTGTCGAGACAAACGAATCGTCGAATTGTACAAAAACGAATTTCCAACCGTTAAAAACAGAGCAATATGTGAGTCAGTTTGTTTTTACGTACGAGCATGTGAGTGCAAATTGTGAAATTTCGATGCTTCCAGCCAATCTGTTTCGTTCAGAGATGACGCGCGTTAAGTATGAGAACATGATGACGTATACAAGCTATAAGGAGAATATATATATATACACACACACACACACACACACAAATATGTATCGTATATACAAAATGTACGCACATATACATGCGTGACAAGGTTGAAGTTTGCGTAACAGCGCAGACAGCTAACATATCAGGTTTCCCGGCGGATCAGCCAACGAGCATTTACTCGAATCGTTTGGCATACCCACAGCCTTCGGTATGAAAAAATAAATAAATAAATAAAGGAAAAGAAAAAGAAAAAAATTGTACCTATAGCATCGAGAATATCCTCGCGGGAGCAGCCTATTTATTCATTTACCAAGAGACCAAATAAATTGTTTGTATGATCACCACTCGTGTCGATTTGTTCATTAAAGCAGCCCCGACCTACCCAAGCTCCTATCCCGCTGAGTGCAGCATCGCACTGGCATATAATGATCGATAGCCGGACAAAGCGGGAGAAAGGCAGTCGGCTCAATTGGGAGGCTCAATGCGCGGCAGCGCTGGCGGAAAAAATTGAGGGGAGCGGCGGGGGGGCAAAGGGGATGGGCGAGGGGCGGCCTAAAAATAGAAAACGCCGGTAATAGCGGTGGCGGCGGCACTTCACCGCAGTGCTTTCGTTAAAAATGAACGAGCGCGGCTCGGTGACCCGAAAGGAGCGACGCCGAGGGAGCCGCGGGACCCCCGATCGATCCACCCCGCCGACGTCTCAGGCCGACAGCCGGCAAGCGCCGAGCGCCCGCAGCGGCCGCCGGCAAAGTCGCGCGCTCGCTTGTCCGCCGCCGCCGCCGCCGCCGCCGCCGCCTCCACCGACCCCCACCGCGACGCGGCCGACCGCGCCGGGCGTGATGATCCGCGCAATTGGCTTCGCAGCCCTAACCCCATTAACGCGGCACTGCAATCGAGCAGCCGCGACGGACCACCGGCGACGCCGATCCGCGACGGGCCGCGGGGACCGCCACGAGGAGCAGCAGCGGGCCAGCGCCGCGAGCCGACGACCCGGCGCGCCGCGAGCCGACGACCCGGCGCGCCGCGCGCGATCGGCCGGGGCCGGGCCGAGTCCGAGCGCCGAGCCGCGCGGCCGCGGATCGGCGGCGATTGACGGCCGCGGTGGCCGGCGCGATCGGCCGGCGGCGAGTCGCGCGCAGCGATGAGCGCGCCCGTCGATGAGAGAGTAGTAGGGCTTAATCAGTTCGTCGATAGGGAAATTGGCTTAGGCGCGGGGTGGGGGCCGATTTTCCGCGATCGCACGCGCACCCCCGCCACTGGCGCGGCAGTGCGAGCCTGCGACGATGCCCGGCGGGCGCGACTCGGCCCGGCCTGACCGTTGATCGCCCGTCCTCGCGCCCTCGTCGAGCAGCATGGGGCCCAGTGCGGCCGAACGGCTGGCGCGCCGACGCCCGGCCCGCGGAGCCGCGCGCCAGTGGTAGAGCCGCGCGCCCGGTCGGCCCGCGCGAGCCGAGCGCCCAGGATGCCGCGGAGGCGCTCGCTGGCGGTGCTCTGCTGCTACCTGTACACGCTGCTGGACATGGCGGCGCTGCACTACCCGTGAGTAGACGTCGTCGAGCCCCAGGGTCGACCGCCCAGGCGCGCCGCGCGCACTGCGCCTGCACCGCTCTAACTCTGGCCTCTTCTCTTGCGTGCCGCGCGCCCGCCAGCGACAGAGTCTGCGAGGCCGTCCTCTCCACGCAGCTGGAGGCTTGGCACCTTAGCTTCGATAGCCTCGGCTCCAGTCGCACTATTCGGCTCTCGGCCTCGATGAGAAAACGCGACTACCGCTTTTTCCCCAAGATCGCCAGGTAAAACTCTTCTCACATGGCATTTGCTCGGCGCGCTCCGACGCGGGCCCCCCGCGGCCGCCGCCAGCGCGACGGTCGCTGGGCGGCGGCCGCGAGCGGCCGAGCGACGGCAGGTAGGCAGCAGGGAGGGAGCAAAGACCGTTGTCGGATGAACTTTAGGGTATGCACAGCACGAAGTCCTCTTATGGCTTCTCCCTTCGGATATTGCTGTTTCATCGGAATCGCTAATATTCGATCGACGTCTGCCTGTAGCGGCTCGCTCGCGCGCACTCGCGGGGGCGCTCGCGGAAGCGGGGCGCGCAGGCGGTCGGGCGCGCGGGCGCGCGGGCGGACGGGCGGGCGGGCGGCTCGGCTACAGGGCCGGAGGGGCCTGTTGCAGGGACGGCGGCGCCGACAGCGAGGACTACGGGCGCACGGAGGTGTCGCTCTCGCTGCGGGACATACTGCCGCTCAACCCGAAGAACTACGACAAGCACCGAGCGCCCAAGTACCTGGGCCAGCCGACCATCGTCTACTTCCACGTGACGGTGCTGAGCATCGACTCGATCAACGAGGAGTCCATGACCTACGTGGCCGACATCTTCCTGGCGCAGAGCTGGCGCGACTCGCGCCTCCGGCTTCCCGAGAACATGTCCGAGGAGTACCGCATCCTCGACGTCGACTGGCTGCACAACATCTGGCGGCCCGACTGCTTCTTCAAGAACGCCAAGAAGGTCACCTTCCACGAGATGTCCATACCCAACCACTACCTCTGGCTCTACCACGACAAGACGCTGCTCTACATGTCCAAGCTCACGCTCGTGCTCTCCTGCGCCATGAAGTTCGAGTCCTACCCGCACGACACGCAGATCTGCTCGATGATGATCGAGAGTCGTGAGTATCGACGCCCCCCGGCCAGCCGCTCGACGCTCACGCTGGCGCCCCGATTCCGATTCCGCAGTGTCGCACACCACGCAGGACCTCGTGTTCATCTGGAACCTGACCGATCCGCTGGTCGTCAACCCCGAGATCGAGCTGCCGCAGCTCGACATCGCCAACAACTACACCACCGACTGCACCATCGAGTACTCCACCGGCAACTTCACCTGCATCCAGATTGTGTTCAACCTGCGGCGCCGCCTCGGCTACCACCTCTTCCACACCTACATACCCTCGGCCCTCATCGTCGTCATGTCGTGGATCGCCTTCTGGATCAAGCCCGAGGCGATACCCGCGCGGGTCACCCTCGGCGTCACCTCCCTCCTGACCCTCGGTGAGCAGCTCCGCGCCGCGGCTCCCCGTTTGCCCCGGCCGCCCGCGCCAACTACTCCCGCGCTCTCTCGCTCTGGTTTCAGCCACCCAGAACACCCAGTCGCTGCCGCCCGTCTCCTACGTCAAGGCCATCGACGTCTGGATGTCCTCGTGCAGCGTCTTCGTCTTCCTGTCGCTCATGGAGTTCGCCGTGGTCAACAACTACATGGGGCCGGTGGCCACCAAGGCGATGAAGGGCTACTCCGACGAGGACCTCCGCGAGGCCATCGACGAGTTCAAGGTGAGTCGGGCGAACGGCGCGGCGGCGGCCATCGCCGCGAACCTCCTCTCAAGCGACGCCTTCGTTGGCAGACGCCGATCAGGGGAGCAGCGGCCGACTCGGAGCGCAGAGGCAGCCCCTCCAGGAGCCAGGCAGCCCAGTCGCCCCAGTACGACACCTGCTGCGAGGGTCGCGCCACTGCCATCTACATCGACAAACTCTCGCGCTTTCTCTTCCCCTTCGCCTTTCTCATTCTCAACGTCGTCTACTGGAGCACCTTCCTCTGATTCGACGCGCGCGTTTGACGCTGCTCCAGCAGCAGGACTCTTCGCCGCCCATCGGTGTCCAACGAATCGAACGGCTGTTGTTCGCCTATCTTGACCTCCTCGGCTCGGATTTCGGTGGCGCTGGAGCTGTAAGTGTTTGCGGTGATTCGTTGTCTACAAGTCGACTGCTCGAACGCTCATCAATTTTGTTCTATTGCAGTCGTAGTTCCGAGTGGATTCTATCGTCGATGAGAAGCGCCTGGCTTTTCTCGAATCGCAAAAATCACAAACGACCACAAACCTACGATTGCAACGGAACGAAACTGCTCGAACGATTAGTTCGTTGAAAAACAAAAAAATTGATGCGAGCACCTATCAGCTTGGCGCCATCGGGACTCCAGTTGTGGAGGTCAAAGTAGATGGAAAACACCTATCCCTCGATAGGTAGAAAGCTCAACCTGCTCCTAGACTACGCCGCGAGCTATTAGCAGTCGGGTCAGCGCCCCCACATGGTACCGTGTCCTCCGTCACACATCCCTTTCGAGTTTCCGTCTGGCTTAGTTTTGCGGCATCGTCAACCGATCAATTTGCGCGTTCCGGACTAACGTTGTCGCGTCGTCGCCTACCCCCGTCCACCCGGGCGTGAAATTCCCGAGCGCGCCGTGCTCGTACGTCGAATTCACGCGACGAGCCAGCCAGCGCGCGGTGTATCGGCCGAGCTGTGCATAATTCGAACGCCAGGAGCGCTGGCTTATCGTCCGGCTTTGTCTGCTGTCGGGGCACAGCGTCACTTAAGTCGGAGGCGCCGGCGGCTCCGCCGGGAGCGCGACGCGCCGAGCGGGCGTCTTTTCTAGCCGTATCGCCGTCGACCATTTGAACGGAGTGTCGCGGCATTGTCGACGAGCACGAGATCGCTGAAAAAGACGCTCGCCTCGCGAACTTCCGAATGACACGCTCCGAAATTGATTGAGCGACGTCCGGCCACTCATCCGGCGTTTATCGATGTCACTTGTCGTTCACTTCAATATTATACGACTGTTTGGAAATCGAAATTTATTATTTGTCGTGTCAAATTTTCTTTCGGCGGAATATGATACGGAATACGATAGTACGGAAATTCATTGAAAACCAAAATCTTTCGGATTTCCCGTAGATTTTGCACGAATTTGGCATCCAAACGGCTGCGCTGAAATAACGATTGCACTGATAATTGTTGGAACAAACGATAGCTGCAAAAATGTATCCTTCGTACAATTTACTATTCTCATACTGGCCGATCCTATATGCCCCCCCCCCCCTCTTGGCAGAATATGCATTGCCGATTCATGAGTTGAGCTGCACCTTTTATATGTCAGTTCTTTTAGTCATTGTTATACCGTTTAGGTACTACGATTGCAATTTGTTGATTCGCAATAGATAAAGAGTCGAGAAAAGCGACGATTGCGACAATGTATAGATTTGAGAAAATATAAGATTTGTACTTACCCTGTTGCGTTAGCGATACACGTAAAACTGCGCTCGCAGTAATTGAAAGTAAGTTAGCGCTTAATTGCCAGGAATAGTCTACGTATCAGGAAGGTTTACGTTTAGTTTGTCACGGTTGAAGCGTTGAAAGGTAGAATAACAAGAGAAACAAGAACAAGACGTTTGAATAAAGAGAGTTGTTCTTTTTTTTTTTTAAATTTATTATTACTTCATTCATATACTCATCTTGTCTTTCGACATAAGCTTTGATAATAAATATACTTTTTATCTGGTTTTGCATTCTCAAACTTCTTTTCATTCGCCAACGAAATGCCGGAGGATCGTGCCTGGCCGCACTTCTCGCGGGCTAATAACTGTTAATGCAACCGGACGCCGATATGATCGAGCTACAATTTTCACTTGTTCGCAATCCAGACAATCTCAACCAACGCATCCGCCGGTCGGACTGCGCTTGCGAGCTCCCGGCCGTGAAGTCTGCGCGGTTGGTGCATCGCGCGCGCGTCCCGCCGGCCAACGCGTACCTTACTTCTCTCGCGGAAGTTCGCGCCGACGTGTCTGCCGTTGGTTGCCCTTGGAATCGCCTCGATTGGCCGCCGTAAATTGCCACGTCGATAACAATCATAGTCGTTGCGCGCGCCCGAGTGGCTCGCGAAGTGCGCAGCCGCTCCGTGAAAATATATATAGATTTCTCGTGTTTGAGTCATTGGTCCGAAATTACGAGTGTGTTGACGCCGGCCGATCGAAGCGACCGTCAATCGACACGCGAGCTTGAACGAAACGCGCGCGGGCCAATTTGCCGCTCTGCCCCCTCGCGCTCGGTGCGCTGCACCGTTCTCTCGACTTCGTTCTCGCACTGTCACACGGTTTTCGCTCCTCTCCGCGCTTTATTGCATCGGCTCTCATCGAGGATTTATCATTTGGCTCTAAGGCTACGACGCACCACGTGCGAATTTATTTCTATGTGTGTGTGTATATATATATATATATTTTTTTTTCTCTCACTCTATCTCTCTTCCACCACGAAAAATGAACACTCTATTATATATCATTCAGTTTTGTGTTTGTCTTACGTAATGTTCTTATTTTCAATAGTACTCGCAAAAGTCGACGAGGTATCTGCACTAATTATACATTTGTTTTTACTTTTACTTTTTTTACGATTATTATTTTTCACTCTCTCTCTCTCTCTCTCTCTCTCTCTCTCACAATCTGGATTTCATTGTTTTTCGCGTTCGCTATTCCGCTCTGCTCGGCCAATCTCTACCCGCGCACCGATCCTCGCAATCATATACCAAGTATCTGCTTCGGTTTCCTTTCTTTCAACGGGTGTATAAGTAACAGTGAATGCCCAACGAGGGAGGAAGATTTATTCGCGCGTAACGACAGGCAGGTAATAACGAGTACAGCGAGACTTTGCCAAGAACGGACAGCCGGGCGAATCGGTAAACGAAAGAGTGGCTTTTGGTCTGCAATGGAAACTGGCTTGCAAAAGCAATGGAACTTCTTTCAGTCTAGCCTAGTCGCGAAGGTAAGTCCAGGACGAGAAGGAACGAGATAGGCAGTGGGCGCGTGCGAAGAAAACGTGCGAGAGCCCGGAGAATCGGACAGGGTCGGGTCTCGGCTCGACGCCCGCCCGTAAATGGCATATGATCGCTGGTCCTCCCCCCCCCCCCCCCTACCTCCCCAGAGCTGCACAGTCTACGTGTTTAATTCTCGAAAATTGGCAGTTTTACGGTAGTTCATTTGAAAGACTCGCGTTGTTCATTGTGACCGCGCGTTGCTTTGCTGCTAAGCAAACGATACCTAGAGATAAACTATACTCGTGTTGTCTGTCGACTCGACTCGTCGGCGAGTCTTCCAATTCGCAGCGACTCGCAGTCGCGGTGTACGTATACAGTCAGCGCGCCCACGACTTATCCCGACTCGGTTCAATATTTGCTTCTTGTCTGCGTTGCCTTTGAATTCGCTCGGATGCCTGGTCGTCGGTGATTCGTTCTGGTGGCCGTTGGATCGGCATCCAACGACGGCACTGCACTTTCCCATTGTATTCCGGTTCCGTCCACAAAAGCAATGCCCGTGTGTACGATTACTATATTCTTTTGCAGTTCTGGTTCAATGAAATCAGCTTCCGTTGTATTCCTGCATTAATTCTAATTGGATATCGCCGATTCGCGCGGAACGACTCTTACGATAAATAATTCTTTGCTCCACTTAAGGCTTATTACTCTGTTAAAAATTCGACGAGGATACATTATACGTAATTATTACATAGTAATTCTTTGTCTCTCTTTTCGTACGCCTTACATGTAGGAATGTGGAAGAGGAATTGAGTTTCTTTATTCGTCGAACGACGGCTCCATTTTTGTTATTCGTTCGCATCGTGTGGAGACACTCGAACGACACAAATGCTACGAAACGCGCTTCAGTCGAACTCCAGAGCTGTACTGGCGATATGCGACTCGTCGAGCGATCTTCTTGCTTCTCATTCTGACTGACGCTTACCCCCGAGTCATTTGCAACTTCAATCGAATGGACAACAGACTCGTTCGTGAACAACCTCTACTCTCGTTTTTCTTCCGTTTGTGTGTTTTCTCCCCCGCCCCATTCCCCCTTCTGTTTCTCTCTCTCTCTCTCTCTCTCTCTCTCTCTCTCTCTCTATCTCTTACCGTTCGTTTATCTAAACTCGCCCGCGTTCCCGTGAAATTCACCTTGCGTTCCGACTTGTCGCGCAGCTCGTGCCAACGGCAGTTCTCCACACGCGAGGTGGCAGCTTCGTTCGCGCGGGCGTGTTCGAGTCGCGAACGGCGGTGGCGAGCGAGCGACGTGTTTGGTAGCGGCTCGACGATTCGTCTACGGAAAGTCGAGTGGAATCACGTTGAGTGGCGTAGACGAGGCGATCGTAGCAAAGAGGCAACGCGAGTACGGCAGCGGCGTCGCGTCACGCGGACTAAACTTGGACTGCGTGTATCCGTGTGTGTATGCATATACATATATATATTCATACACGTATACGTGTATATATGTATATATATGTACTTTATGTACAATATTCATTTGTCTCGTAGTACAACGGGCGCCGCTCGCACGCGGGCTTGCAGCTATCCGCACGCGCGTGCGCGGTGTGCCGAGTCGTCGTCCGGGCACGCGATCGTCGACGAAACTCGCCGAGGTGTGCAGTCGGACGAGCGAGCGACGCGAGGGCTACGTAACGCGGACGCCGCGCACTCTTGACACACTTAAGTGGTATATACGAGCCGCGCAAGCGCGAAGTTTGAAAGAACGAGGGCATCTGCTTACTTAATAATTACATAGGTACTTTCACGCTTGCTCTCTTTCGCGCACGCACGCACGCGCGCGAACGAGAGCCCGAGTTGTCCTTGCCTTCTCTCCTCTCCTCTGCGCTTCGTTTCCTGTCGTCTCTTCCTTCGCCGCGCGCCCGGCGCGTCGGATCGAACGGTGGATCGCGGCAGTCGACGGCCGAGCGTGTCGCTGCGCCAAGCGGTCGAGGAGCTTGGCGCTCGTCCAAGGCCGCTGCTCGACGACAACCCACGCGCGACGCACACGACCACCGCCTCTGCGCTTCGCCTACCTATCGGCTATCCGACCGCGCGTGCTCACAGAAGGCAATTTCCAAAAGTCCAAGACCGAGTTGGTCCGACTGGCGGCGGCCTTGGCGTTTGGTCGCTTGCCGCGCGGGACACCGTCGACTCCGTTCCCTCCGTTCCCTCCTTCCGCGCTCTCCCGGGAGAGCACGGCCCGAAGCCGGCGGTCTCGGCTAGAAAAGAAAACCAGAGATCTGCAGTTCGAGCTGCCTTCCGTCCCTTCCCTATCTTCCCTGCCCTTGTCTTGCGTGGATGTAGGCGCGCCTGCGAATGGGTATGACGAGTGTCACGGTGTGTGAAGATCTGATCGACAGCAATTCGAATCGACATTGATTATCTATCTATCTAACTAACGAGCTATCTAGAGACCAGTGGTAGCAGCGGCGGCGGCGGCGGCGGCGGCAGCGGCGGCGGCGGCGGGTCCGAAGTAGCTCCGGCTCCTCGACGACGCACGAGCGCTCTCAGCCTCGGGCCCAACTGGGTCGACCGGCATCGCTGCTGCAAGCACAATTCGCCCGGTCGGCATTATTACCGTCAAATCGCGAGCGCGAGGGGGACGGGGGCGGGCGGGACGGCAAGCGGGACGAGGTCGCTCACTCACTTGCGGGCTCGTCGAGCCGAGAGCGGGCGGCGGCGGCGGCGGCGGCGTCGACGGCGGCTGCTGCGCTAGTGCTAGAGAGAAAAGTGAGAGTGCGGGCTGGAGGTCCGGCTAGGCGCTCTCGGCCAGCGGGGCCTGCTGCTGGTGGCCGCCGCTGGTCGCCGGGCTGCCGATGTTGGTCGTGGCCGAGTGACCGCTCTGTAGCTGCTGCTGCTGCTGCTGCTGCTGCTGCGTCGGCGTCGGCGACGGCACCGACAGCGGTCGCAGTGCCTGCATGTCGCAGCCGTGGGAGCCGCGCTTCTTTAGATCCTGCGAACAGTGGCCAATCTGTGACACGGCTGGAGCGGCGCGTCGCTGCGCCTCGCTGTCTCACTCACACGCCCAGTCCCGCGCTCACTGACTCGTCGCAAAAACTCATTCACTCGCTTGTCGGGGCTTGGGCTGCTCCGAGCCGAGCCGAGCGCGAGGCTCTGCTCGCCTCGTCGACCAGACCAAGCGCCACTCCGCTTTCTGCAGCGGGTCAGGCTGGCCGCATGCAACACACTACAGCACAGGCGGAAGCGCATGCACCGCGACAGGTGCGCGACAAGGCTCGGTCAGGCACTACGATCATTGCAAGCTATAGCATTCCACAATTCGGAGCTGCGATCTTCTACGCTGCTGGGAAGCGGCGAACGAAGGAGCGTGGATAAAGCCAAGGCCACGGGTGTGCTACGCTGCCGGGACTTTGCTGGTGGAGGCTCCGCGGAGTATACGCGCGGATGAAGGGAGGCAGGCAGAATGGGACGACGCGCAAGCGGCTAGTTGGCGAGGGCGATGCAGAAGCGATCGGGGCTGCAGCGACTGCGTGAGTATGATATCCGTCGACGTGCGACGCGCGACCACTACCTTTCGCGGGGCGACCGCCGCGCAAACATCTGCGCGAGGAGTCGCTCTATGCTCGGCGAAGCCTGTGTGCACGCGCGCCACGCTCTTACGTGAAAAAGAAAAAAAAAATATATATATATATATCTGTCCTACGGATCAACACTGTCTCTATCCCTCCTACGTGATGACGTGTAGTCTTGAACCTCGGCTAGATCCGTGGCTACTGGTGAACTGATCGCACACGCGCACCCTGCATCGAGAGCAGCAGTACAGCTTGCAGCACATAGAGTTACGTGAGAGTTGCGTGAGTGTGTGCGCGTGCGCGCGTATGTGTGTGTCTGTGGGTATGGTTGCTCAACACTGAATATGCGTACTGAGTCAGAGGTACGTATAAGTTGGAGGTCTCGCGTGAAGATTATGCGTGTAGACATCGAGAGGCAGATATCGAGCGCTATATACGACACACGTCCAAGTCGAGAGACAAGTGTGCGCGCACATCGCCGGCGGCTGCGTGGCTCGCTGGCGCGAGCTGACGGCCGCGCGGACGGTGCCCGGGCGGGTGGGTGTCTGGGGGAGGGGGGACGTTCGGAGGCCGGTTACCTTGGTCCTCACTCGGATGCGGTCGTCGTAAACGAGCACCATTCGGTCCTGGCTGGTCTGGAGCTGGCTGGCGCTCAGCTCGGTGAGGCAAGCGAGGCTCTACCGGTGCCCACACGTCGAGTAGAGCAGCCGTGCGCCGATAAACAAACACACACACACACACAACATATTTCTTTTGGGTCGTTTGTTTTTTATTGTTTTTTTTTTTTCTTTTTGGTTTTGTTTTTTCTTTATTTTATCTTCTCTGCTTGCGACCGGGACGCCGCGCCGAGTCGAAGAATATCGCGAGCGCTGCTCCCCGACAAGCCGCGAGCTTGCGATTCGATCGCACCCGCCGATCGCGCGCTACCAGACTACAGCTACGCTACCAGACGGCAATAATAGTTGCGAGTACAGCTGGATGGCCGGATGAACGGTGGGCGTGTACGTGCATGTTTGGAGTGTGCGTTGGGGGAGGCGAGCGATTGATGTATACTAGCGAGCATCGCCGTGCCAGCTCGGCTCAAGTTGCGCACGTGCAAGAGGGCTCGCCGAGACCCTCGGCGAGCGTATGCAGACTCTCCGGAGAGCGAGAGAGAAAGAGAAAGAGACGTGTAAAGAGCTAGAGAGGGGTGAAAGAGAAAGAGAGAGAGAGAGAGAGAAAAAGAGAAAGAGAAAGAGAAAGATATCGCGAGAACGAGAACTGCGGGGTGTGCGTGCGTGCCTGTGGGCGGGCTGGCGGAGGATGGTGAACTGACTATTGCGCTAGCGATGCTGGATTCGGCTGTGCTCGGATGCGGACTCAGAACGAGGCCTCGACGAGGTAGGTTTGGTCGGCGCCGGTGGCCCCCTGACTGCTCGACGGCTGGCCGAGCTTGAGCGTCGCCGCCGCCGTCGCCGTCGTCGCGGGCGATGCCTCGGCTGCCGCCGACTGCTGCTGCTGCTGCTGCTGCTGCTGGCCCGGCGCGCCCGTCACGCTCGCCGTCCTGGCAACCCTTGTCGCCGGGATGTACTGGCTGTAGGCTTGCTGAAAAATCCACAAGCACAATGCAGCCCCGCCGACGGCACTAACTGGCACCACCGCAACTGGCGAGCTGCGACCGAGACGCCCGCGCGACCATAGCTATGTAGCCCCGCGACGCGAGCTGCAGCCTACGACTATGCGTCTACGTCTGGTCCCGCGGGTGCGCTGTGCAAGTACCAAGTACTCGATCTGCAGTGGCTCTATCCTACGTGCCTAAGCAAGCCGGTCTGCCGCGTCGCGTCGGTCCGGGATCGTGCGCGCGCCAACGGATCGGCTCGTGTGCGCGCGAGACTGGTAGCCGCTCGGCACGGGGGAGGGGGCTGTGTCGATCGCCTTCGTGTTTGCGTATGTGGAGTCGCGCGTGTCGTTCAACAGCTACTGGCCAGGGGTAGAGATCGAGCAGTAATCGTCGAGCTTGCTGTCTTTGTTCTATATACAGTTGTTGAATATTGAGTTATGACATGAATCACATGTATATACGTATTGTTATATATATATATATATACTGTAGCTGATGTGGTACGAAACATACGACTAACTAACACTTATGATTGCGGCGTCGGCGCTCGGGTTTAGCTTTGTACAGAGTCGACTCGACTGTCGCCGAGATCGCTCGCCGGCCAATGGAGTGAAAAGCAGCGAGCCATGTACTTGGAGCGCCGTTCGATTCGAGTACACATTTACGGGCGGGCAGGCAGCCGCGAGGAGCTCCAGGTCCAGCTCGACGAGCTCGATCGCCGCGCGGACGCGGCTCGAGTCGCTCGCGACGGAGCACTCGGACCGCGGCCACTCGCCACGAGGAGATGGAGAGCTTGGAGCTTCGTCGGCGCTACCGTGCCGCCGCTCGGTTGCAGTACTGTACAGCCATTGTAGAGGGCAGCTAGGGGGGCGGGGGCAGGGGCAGGGGCTGGGGGGTCGGAAACGCAAATCGTGTCGGGACAACAGCACACTCAAGTACGTATACGATAGGTTGCGAGGGTAAAGCCGAGTGGCTCGGTTCTACTTGCTCTTGCCTGGCTTTTCGTCTGGAGCGGATGAGCCAGCTGACTCGTGGCCGCTGCGGCCGATTCTCGCTGCTGGCGCTGCCTTACCTAGTCCCCACACAAAGTTGCCCAGGTTACTCGCCGCTCGGCCTTTCCTTGCTCTTTCTCTCTCCGTGGCGTCGGCGCGCGGCGAGACCAAGCGCAGACTTCCCGGACGTGCGGCGAGCGCGAGTCGCGGCGCGTCGGGGCTGTCGCTCGAGCTCGCGCGCGTTACGGCAGCCTCGAGGATACGGGCGTTCGTCGCGGCGCGTCCGTCCCGTCGCGAACCCTCCGCCATGCCGCCAAACGCGTTTTATCGGGAAAAAAAATCTCAGCATCCCACTCGCAGAGAAAGAAAAAAACAACACGCGCGTTCGATTGACGTGCCCACACCGGCAGACGGCGTTCCATTGACGATCTCATTTTTATCGCGATTCACTTTCGAGCGCGCACGCGGTCGATGCAAGTGCGCGGCAGCGGCAGCGCGTCCATACGTTCAGCGAGCTGCCAACTCGTAACAATTGGTTGACGGTCGAGACCGCATAAGAGCGAGCCTGCTTACATGCCGTCGAGATCCAATCTTGGCCGACGGACGCGATTCTCGTTCGCTCGACGGCCGCGTTCCAATACAACGATAACAAAGTCTGTCGGCTCGCTCGATCGTTGCCGGGCTGAATGCGCAGAGCGGACGGTGACCGCGCCTGGAATGTGTACACGGACTCGGACGAGTAGCGTCGCGCGGTGCGGAACGCTCGGTGGCGCTTACGCGGCGTTCGCAGCGCTCTCGGGAACGCGATTATCGACGGGAAGCGGCAGACGAAGGCGAGGGGTGCGGCAGGGTGGGCCGTTCCATTTTCCCGCTTCCGTGCAATTTGGCACGCGCGCGCGCGCGCGATTCCTCGATCTGGCGACGATCGAGCGCTCTCGGGCCGTCGACGCGAGCTTGATTGGCGCCGGGCCTCGGCCGAAGCCTCCCGGAGCTTCGTCGAGCGGCGGCCGGCCCGGAAATCGCAGTTGTCGGCGCAGGGCGCGAGTGCGCGACCCGTCGGAACGCCGCTCACTCGAAGCTCGGCATTGCCGCCACCGTGTCCGTTTAGCTGGCGCGATCGGCCAGCAAACGCAGATAATCAGATCGGAGAGCAGACGGGTGTGCAGGTGGTCGGCTGATCGCGGGGAAAGAAGCGGGGAGCGAGCGTCGGCCGGCCAGCGCGGGCGGCTAGACGCGCGTCTCGCTGTAGCCGCCGAGCGCCGGGCGACTGAAGGCCACGCTGGGCAGGCGGGCCAGCTCGTCCTCCCCGGGCAGGGCGGCGGTGGCGGCCGGGCGGTCGGCAGGCCCGAGGAGGCCGGCCGTGGGCTCGGCGATCGAGGTGCTCGAGGCGGCGAGGATCCGCCGAGCGCCTACCTGGTAGCGTTGCGGATAGCAGCGGCCGCAGCACTGGGCCAGCAGGCCGCCGCGGGAGGCGGTGCTGTGCGCCGGCGAGGTCAGCGGCGAGGGCGAGCCCGGCCTCTTGGGCGCGCCGTTGAACGGCACCTCCATCTCCACGAACTCGCGGTCCTGCGGGCAGAAGCACGTTGGCTGACGGCGTTGGCGGCGCCCCCCACCCCCCCATCCCCGCTCCCTACCCGCCCTACTCACCGTGGTTTTCTCCAGGCAGCGCAGCAGGTGGTGGTGCTGCAGCTCGAATATGTCCTCCTGCCTGTACGACTCGTCCAGCTCCAGGCCGCTCTCCTGGGCGGCCAGTCGCGCCTCCGCGGCCTTCTTCTTGCTCACGAACGCCGCGCCGCTCGACGCCTTGGCGATCCGGATGCGCGCCAGTCTCGCTTTCTGCAATGAGGGACAGTGGCTTTAGCCCGAGAGGGCCGGCGACGCGAGCCGGCCGACGCACGAGAGAGGCAAGCGCCGCGGACGAAGGATAACGCTGGGCGCGCGCAGCCGAGCCGAGTAATGAGAGCGAAGGGCCGAGTCGCGACGAGCCGCCACTAGACAAGACGCTCGCGGCTCTCGGCCGGATTGGCTCTCGCCGCGCGAGCTGTGGCTGCTTCACTTTAACGAGGCGCGCTGCGCGGCGCACGAGAGACGACGACGCCGACAACGAGAGCGAGCCAGCAGCTCGCGCACGTACGGTGCGTCCGTCTGCAGCGTGGCTCGCGACCTCGTCAAAGCGGCGTTCGCGGTCCGTCCGTGGAGCGCCTCGGACGCGGGATCGACCGGCAAGGGTCGTCCAAGCACGCAAGCTTCGATGAACGGTCGTCGAGTGGCCAAATCCGACGAGCGAGGGGGCGGCTACGTACCCTCTGCGCTTTCCTCTTGTCGGCTCGCTGGTTCTGATGGTAGATGCGGCTGAAGTTACTGACGATGACGGGCACGGGTAGGGCGATCACCAACACGCCGCTCAGCGAGCAGACTCCGCCGACGATCTTGCCGGCTATCGTCTCCGGCACCATGTCGCCGTAGCTGCGAACAGTGAAGAGCATTAGGGACGCAGCCCTCGGATGGATCGGTTGCCCCACTCGATCGCGGCCGACCCGGCTCCTCGATCGGCGGCGGCCGCGCGTCGGCTCTGGAAATATGAGTCCCCGACCACGGCCTACTTGCGGCCGCAGCACGCTCATCTTCGACCTCTAGGCTAATCCCGTTTGCTCTCGTGCGATTTCACGCGCACGGCTTCCTCCCCCACGCGCTCGCCGCGACAATTACCGGAGGTTCGCGGCTATTTGTCGCGCGCTCGAGCCGACTTGACCTGTGCTATTACGGCCGAAGCCGGCCGCTCCTTCGCCGTCGACTGGCCGACGATATCTCCTAGCTCGATCGCTCGTCCTCGGCGAGACCTCGCTCCGCGATCAGTCCATCGTATTCTGACGTCGGCGACTTGGAATTCGTGCCTCGACCCCCAAAGTTCGACGAGCGCGGCCGCGCACTCGCTTCCGGCGAGCTTTACATCGAGGAATCATGGGATCGCCGCGCGAGGGTCCAGTGAAGCGAGGGAAATAAACGCGGACGTGGTATTCATCGAAAACCCGACGCGACGCTATATCGCGCATCTCGACCAACTGTCGCGAAACACCGATGAAACGAAAGCGCCAAGTTGTTTTGATTCAAACGACCGCAAAATTTCAGTCAGCGGCAGAGTGGGACTCTCCGAACAGATGGCACTTGGACGAAAGCCCAGGCTGGACGACGACCGTGGGGCCGTCAAACTGGAACGGAGCCAACCGCGCAAGAGCCGCGGCACGGTGCGCCGCCGTTGACGGCGCACCGTCGCACTTCGCGCGCGTGCATTCACGCGCGATGTTCCGCACCGGATCTCGGCCTTGGCTTGGCAATATTATCAACACGCTCTACCACGCTTGGAATCGCGCTCTATTTTTAGCCGTCAGTGCGTGTGCGCAACACTTCTCAAATCGCAACGCAACGCTCTCCTCCCGCGGACGCAGGATTCATGTTGATGTCTTCCGTTGACGAGGAGCACGACGACGTAGACGAAAATTGCGCTCGGCGACACTGCGCGAGGGAGGCCGCGAATCGACTCGACCGCCGAAGCGCGTGCGTCGGGTTCGAGTTGCGTTTGCCGTCCGCGCGAATCAACGTGCCAATACATCGGACGCGCGTCGGCGCAGGGTTGCGCGCGGCTGCTCCTCGCGACGATAACGACGCTCCAGGACGCGCGTACATCCGGAATAGATCGAGCGCCGACTACAGCCGCGTGACGCGTCGTGGTCGCGCTGGGGCACGTTCGTCCAGCGGTCTGCCGCACTGGCCACTGACCTCCGTCACTGGCGGCGAAGCAGCTCGCGCGCGCTAGCTCTCGGCTGGCGACCGACGCGATGCACGCGCCCGCGTCCGTCTGGCGTGCCTAGCGTGCGCTCGCTCGCCCATTGGTCAAGGCCCGCGCGGTAGTCAATCTCGAGCCCGGTAATGGCTCGTCCCGTCGCATTTCAACGTGCTTCCGCTCGGATTGATATCGCGCCGACACTCGGCCGGCCAGTCGCGCGGCGCTCCGGCGCGTGCAGTCGCTTCGCTCGGAGCCGCGCGGGTCCAGGCAGGCCGAGCCACGAACGATCAGCGACCCGTGCCGAACGATAGGTGCGACGCGGCGCGTGCCGCGAGAGCAATCGCTCGGCCCGCAAGCCAATGCGAGAGAGGGTTCAATCGATAGGGGCTGACACACATCCCGGCGAGTGGACTCGGTCTTTGGTCGGCGCTCGCGGCGTCTGGCGCTTCGGACGTAGCCGAAATAGCAACGGAGGACGCGTTACGGGGGAAGTGTGGGGGGGGGGGGACTACGCACTCGGGCGGTTTTCGGCGGGCGGACAGGAGGGGCCGCCGCCGCCGCCGCGGCCCCGCCCGAGGAGCCGCGGCGCCGTTGCCGTGGCCGGGAGCCCGGCGGACCGGGTGGCTCGGGTCGCGGGCGTCGGGCCTCCGGCGAAAGTGGGCTAGCGGGCTGGCTCGAGCCTCGCGCCGCTCCGCCGAGGCGTGCGAGTCACGTGAGCGCGGAGGCCACGGCGGCGCAATCGATACGCCGACACGCGCGCACGCGCCCCACGGCCGCGGGCCGCCCGCCGCGTAGTACGCGCCTCGCGGAGCGCGTTCGCCACGCGAGCCCCGCGCCGCCGAGGAGCAACGTTCTCGAGCGGCGCGCGCCTGGCCTCCTCTCCGTGGAGCCCGACGTCCGAAATAGACGCCGGCGCTGCAGCTGCCGCCGATGACGCGCGCGTCCTATATATGGCTCTGGCGGCCGCCAGGCCGGATTGTTTACGCCGACGGCTTGACGGCTCCGCCAGCCCGGGGTCGAGGGCGCGCCGGCCGAGCTCCGGTCGGCGGCGCGGCTCGCGGTTGGACCCAGCCGCGGCCGCGCTCAACCTGTTGCCGGCCACGGGGCCCGGAGCCGGCGGCGAACGGACTTGACCGAGTTGCGCGTGCTGCTGGCGCGGCGCGCCAGTGAACTGGGCGCGCTGACGTCAGCGCGCGCGACCGAGCGAGCCGACCGTACTCACCCGAGCGTGGTCATGGTGACAATGGTGTACCAGAAGGCGGCGGGGATGGAAGTGAAATTGGTGCCGTCGACGTTCTTCTCGGCGTAGAACATGACGGTGGCGAAGATGATGATGGCCATGGCGAGCGAGAAGACGAGGAAGCCGAGCTCGGAGGCGCACGACTTGAGGGTGTAGCCGAGGATGCGCAGGCCCTGCGAGTGCCGCGAGAACTTGAAGATGCGGAAGACGCGGAATACGCGCAGCGTGACGAAGGCCCCGCTGACGTCGTCGTTGTCGGTGATGCCGAGGCCGATGTAGTACGGCATGATCGCCACGACGTCGATCACCGACATAACCGAGCGCGCGAACTTGCAGCGCGACGGCGCGGCGAACAGCCGCAGCAGGTACTCCGCGGTGAAGATCATCACGCAGGCGGTGTCCAGGCAGAAGAAGACGATCTTGTAGCGCTCGCCGCAGCTGAGGGTGCCCGCGCGGCCCGGCCGGTTGCCGCACGGCACCGTCTCCACCACGTTGGCCAGCACCGACACGGCGATGAAGAAGCCCGTGACGTAGTAGAAGACCAGCGCCGCCGTGGAGATGTGCGGGTTCTGGAAGGCCCGCCACATCTTCTCGCGCAGGTCCGTCAGCTGCTGCAGCGCCTGCTCGCCGTTCTCGCTGAGCTTGTCGTCCATCAGCCGCTCGGCGTTCTCGCGCTTGCGGTCGCGGTAGTCCTCGTAGCAGCAGTCGCCGATGACGTCCGGCAGGATGCCGAAGAAGCTCAGCTCCTCGTCGTACGAGGTCAGGCACTCGTGCTTCGGGTAGTGCAGCTTGCCCGTGCGGTAGTAGTTGAGGATGTGCCGGAAGATGTCGGGGTCGCGGTCGAAGAAGTACTCGCGCGACTCCTCGTCGTAGAAGAACTCGCGCTCGTTGCTGCCGAGCAGCGTGTCCGGGTACTTCTCCAGGGTGTTGCGCCAGGTCTCGAAGCGCCGCCCCGACACGTTGATCAACAGCTTCTCGTCGTCGGCCTTGCGCCGGCCCTTGGGGATGGGCGGCGGGGGCAGCGGGTGCGTGGCGATGGGCACCCAGCCGATGGCCGCGGCCCGCGCGAACGGCAGCCAGGCCGCCACCGAGGCCATGTCCGCTCGCTGAGCGCTCTCGCGCGCCGCTGCTGCTGGCTCACGGGCGCGCCGACGGCGAGGCCGCGCGCTGCCCGGCCCCCGGGGCCGCGGGCCGCGCGCCCGGCGACGGCCCCGGCATGCGGCCCTCGCAGCCGCGCACCCCGCGCACTCGCTCGCCCCGGCTGCGCTGCTGCGTTCGCTCGCTCTGGCTGGCTGTCGCTGCGCTGCTCTGGCTCTCGCTCGCGGCTCGCCTCGTCGTCGGAGCAGCCCCGCGCTCGGACTGCCGCGTCGAGGCAGCGCCGCCGGAGCGCGGCCGGCCCCCACCCGCCGCGCGCCGCGCCGCCCCTCCAAGCCCCGTCGGCGCTCCGCTGGTGGCGGCCGCGGCGGCGGCGGCGGCGGCGGCGGCGGCGGGTCCGATTGATTTTCGGCGGGACGGCCCGCTGCCGATTCGGCGGCAGCATCGCGTTGCCTGGGCGACGCCTCGGCGCTCCGGCGTGACGTCAGGCGCTGCCCCCTCCGCGCGGCCGAGCTTCCGAAAATACGGAGCGCCGACGGCGGGCCAGGCGCGCGCGCGCGCTCGCATCCCCGAGGCTCCCGGCCCGTCCGTCGGTTGGCGCTGCCTCGCTCGCGCGAGCCGGCCACCGCCGCCGCCGCCGCGACCGAGGCCGACCGAGTCGCCCGAGACGTGCATAGTGCAGCCGCTGGCGAGCTCGTCGAGTGCGCGCGCGAGCCTCGCGCTAATGAATGCTCTCCCTCCCCCCTCTGCCCCCGGCCTGCGCCCCTTCCTCCGGCGTTTACCGCGCGATAAGCAATCGTCCTACTCGCGGAGACAAAGGCGGGCGGGGAACAAATGGGGCGCTCGGCGCGAAGTAGTCCGAGTCAAGATAGGACGCGGCGGCCCGAAAAATGAGATGCCCCGGCGCCGCCGCTGCCTCGGCTCGTTTGGCTCTAGGCAGGCCGTTACCGTTGAATCGATTCGACGGCGCCGCCGTACGCGCGCTGCACCCTCCTCGCTGCCGTCCGCTGCAGCTAAATTGAGTCGCTGCTGCTCCAGTCCCTCCGCCGCTCCGCTTCATTGGGCGGCCAATAATAGCGCCTTGGCCCGCTGGACAATTAGCCGCCCGGCCCGTTTTTACGTTCCTCGTCGCGTGCGCCGCTTGAATAAACGATCGACCGACGGGTTATTCGCGGCGGAACTCGGTCCGGTCCCGCGGCGCAGTTTTTGCATCCTCGCTCCGCCGGCGCTCGCGAACAATCGCCGAGTCATCGAATTGCGCGAGAATTGGGTCAGACAATCGTGGCCGAACGGCAATCTCCGCCCCGCCAGTTTGTTCCAAAGTTGCGGTAAGCAGATAGCAAGTCGCGATCGACCTGCGACCTACACTTATCTACACCAGAGAACAGAGAATATAGAACGACGTGTCGTCCTCCGTCTACCACTTACTTTAATCGATGCAGATCAGCTGTCGCTACAATTTAGTCTTGCCTATTAAAAATAAGTTCAAGTAACGACACAATATGTTAATGTAATTATGAGCTTCAAGAACTTTACTACGTACTCTGGCAATGTCCCTCGTATACGATAAGCACGCCGAAAGCTGCCTTCCTTGCTCTAATGCAGCAATCTCATGAAATGCCAATGCCGAAATGGCGAAATCAATTTACCCGTTTTCCAAACTATTGTCATTTGTCTATACAGTCTTGCATCCTGCCTACATTAATTCTCGTGAAATGTGATGGAGGCAAGAGTAGTAAAATAATCCTTGCAATAGACTGAAATTGCATAAATGCAACGTAAAGCAGTGCCTCCCCGTTCTTCGTTGGGTTTTATTTGAAATGAAAATGCCACTTTTCAAATTGTACATAAAGACGATTTTTATTTTTAAATACTTCTTGGACATCAATACTTTTTCTTCGTGCACTCGCGATCATTCAACACGCACATCTTGCAAAAGGACACTCACTCGTATTCTTAATGTATTCCAGCACAGTAGCAGTTATTCCGCCCTTCCCGCCCTCTCCTACTCGCCGTGCAGCTCGGTGGTCGCGACTTTTCACCTACCTGCAATCTTACTTTCTCGCCCTTTACCTCTCTGTTCAGATAAACCACTGTTGTCTGGCCCGTTATTTTGATTTATCCAATGAGCAACTGTTACTCTGACTCAATGGATTTCCCCGTTAATCTAATTGCAGACGCCGACTTTGCTGTGAAAATAACGAGACTAAAACTGTTGCCTTTCAGCCGTTGATCAAGTTTTAAGTTATACTTTTATTGCGCTACATCGATCTTGCATTACCACATATTATTATTATTATTTCTCCCCATCAACTCACGGCTCATCGAGTTCAAGTGTGTTCAGCGAATTATTAATCTCCAGCGTTTCGCATCTGTACGCAGTCCTTTGGTAAAAGTCGCGATGAACATATCATTACGAAGGGTGGCAAAAAACGCACAAGCAACAATATATACACATGAAAAGCGCCATTCACCTCCCCCCTCTCTCTCACTACTCGCCTCATTTTTTAATTCAACTTCGAGACCTGTGGGAGAGACGTAAACCAATTGACTTAACTACACACATCCACTGTATCTTGCTACGCTGCAACGTCCGACTTACGATTTTTACTTCTATAAATATTGACACTTTTAGGCGTCTTGAAACTCTTGCATGCCTGTTGTATCAGCTTTCACTCGCTCATTCGCTCGTTCGTTGCACGTAAAAGTTTGAAAATCCCTCTAGTCTAGAATTTCATAAAAATTATTTTTGCAAAAGGTCGACGGTCTTACAAATATCTTTATAAACGATTTCTCATCAATATTCCATAATACTTATTACATTCTAAATAGTAAAATTCCACTGACATTCAAGTATTGCAACATTCAGGCGATTATTTTAATTTCCGATACAGCTAGAAATATACTTTAGGTTGCACAAAAAATCGTATGACCGATTCTTAATACTAGGATATGCGACGTGTTACGCGGACAAATCAATCGTAATAATAATTAAATACTTCTGATAATTAATAGGATTAATCAAGCGATTTTACGTACAAACAATCTTCATGAAATTAACCTGGAGAGCGCGAGAAAATAATTTTTACAATGACTCGGGACATTCGTTATTAGATTATAACAACTTTTTAATTCGACGTCTCTCCCTCCTCGCCTTCAACCGCATCTAAAAGTACACATCAAGTCTCATTCATACTCGCACGCTTCGATTCATTTCTACTGACTCTATTGTTCGCCAAAATGACCTGTTATAGCTCAGCGTCGCAACAACAAAGTGCTTTCAATTGTCATTTTCATCAGCAATTACTTCAAATACACCGATTATTAGCCACCTGACAATTCTCACTCGAACAAAGAAACAATTGATTGTGCGCAATATTGACAATCTTATTTGATCCTTTCGCTAATTAACATTGCCTTTTCTCGTTTCTTGGACTCCGTAAAACGTCCGACTTTCTACTGCTTCGACGCGATTTCTTTGTTTCACCTATGACCACCTACGATCGACCGAATAAAGCCTAACGAACGTTTTATTAATAGTGCATGCTGCAAGAAAAGATACATTTATTTTGTGCGTTTGACTTGCATGTACAAAATGACGGTGAAGTCGATGCTTGGCGGTGAGACCAACGTCGCTTTTTATTTTTTTTATTCTCGTTTGCATGCGTCGCTGAAAAACGCTTAAAGATTTTGTATGTTTCTCCGCGTAAGGCAAGCCCAAGTCACGAACAGCGCTCGCATTTCCCGCCCAATTGTGCTGCCCTCGCATAAACGGATTTCTTTACTTAGGCCCTCGTGCGATACATCAAGATCAATAGTTTGAAGTAGTTTGGCCTGATTGGCCGTTTTCTGACGAAACCAGGAATATGCCAAATTGTTTTCGAGTATCATGGAATTTCATATGCCTTATTGACGTGAAGAAAGCAAATATCATACGTGAAAAAATATCACATGAGTAAGCATTTGACATTGCTGTAAAATTACAAGCACTCAAAGAAAATATCGGCGTTGTCCTATCAGTACTACTACTTGTTATTTTATTCGTGTAAAGAGTCATTTGTACAATTCTTATTTATAGCATGTCTATAGAAAAAATTAACTAAAATAAATTATGGCGAAAAACGATTAAAATGTACAATAAAACAATGATCATGTTCAAAATTATTTTATACAAATTCACTTAAAACTTTACTAACTAAGACACTTTTTATATAAGAGATCATCGGACGTGAGACTTCGGAAGTGCATACAGGTGGAATATTCAAACGATTACCGTTAGCCTGTAAAACCGAAAAAGTTAAATTACTGCACGTGAAACATTGACAGAAATAATTGAATGTTTCATTGAGCGATTGCCCTATGGGTGTCATCTGTACGGCTGATTTTAATTATGATTCATCTGACGTCCAATATCTCTTACGTATAGAAAGGATCTAAAACTTCAAACTAAAGCCGCCAAGGTCAAATAACGTATCAAAAATATTTTATCCATAGTTTCGGCAAAAAAGAATTGAAATAGATAGAAACTATACATAAGAACAATCGGATCGTAATCTCACTCTTTCGCACTTTTCTCTTCTTCGAATATCGTAAAAATCTTAAGAAAGAATGGCGATATTTTGCATAGGAGTTGATCCTTTCTTAGGCTTTCGTTTAGCACATTACACTTAATCGATCCTTAAGTGTAAAACGTTAAGTATGAATGTATAAAATTTTAGAGTCGTACAATTTATCCTTAAGAGTCACCCAGTGGATCAATAGAGGTATACGAATGAACGACTTTTTTCGGCTGGATGTTCGTGTCAACTTTCGGCTAATCAGATGGGCTTGAACAGCTTATAGCAGAATATGTACAAAATTTACTGCACGTATGCAAGTAAATCTGTAATCACTGAATCTTTCTACAAGCTTTATTTTCAACTATTTGAACTTTTGATCGTTTTTAAAGCAAGCAAATAGTTACTTATTCGAGTTTACTTGAACTAGCATCACGAAGGATATTATATCCGCGTTATTTGTTATGTTTTCAAGCCTATTTGATAAGCCATTACACCAAGCGAATTGAGTAACGTCAAGCAAAAAATAACCATCTTTTATTATTGTTGTGTTGATACACTCTAAAATTTTCAATGTTAAGTTATACTTGATACTTGCACCTCTCACATATATCAAGAAAAACGCTATATTTTTTTCTTAAACGGCACTAACATTGCATTTCCTCCGTTTGTTATCTATTTTCTTTTTGGCTTCAGATTATAAGTCAAAAGTTAAAAAAACGAAACGCTAATATTTCATTATAAAATGTTTGAACATTGATGATTCGGTACTTTGCAATGGCCCGCCATATAAAAAATCGACGAGATAAAAATTGTCCGACAAATTCGTTGAGATGAGTGAGCGATTGATCAACGATGGATCGTCAATCCGTTCAAGTTGTATTTTACAGTAACGCAGCCTTGATACTCATAATATGAGGTTTACCTAGCGAGTACATCAATTATTTTTTTCAAAAAGAAAAATGGGAATGTTCGCTTTAAATCATATTTCTCTCTCATCTCCACGTTCACTTGACATGGCACTAACTAACTTGTTTCATTTTATGGAATGATTATGGCGCAATTCTTTCTGTTTAAAAATTACATTATAAGCGTCAATTTATTTTGTCATAAGATATTTACTTTTTTCTTTTTACTGCTCACTGTAACCTCGGCAGTTTTGCTGAAAAAAGCCTTTTCTGTTTTACGATTCCAAAGTACTGTCAACTTCAAATTGTGAAATGACATGTCATTTCGTGTTTCCTTTTGAATTTATACTTGTTCGTACAATATTTATATAAACAATTTCAAAAGCTACATAAAACTGCTTACCTATTTCATTAGACAAAGTATGGCTAAAAATGTCTTGTACACAACCGCGGCTTGGTTAACTTCACCAATAATAAAACTGGCGACAGAGTTATTCTTTCTGTCCGTCAAATTTATCATTATTCGTTTAATAACAAAAACGTTTGTTCTACTTGAGAATAATGAGGATTAGACTCGGGTTTAGCATGGAAAAACTAATCTCATCATTCCACTTGAGACTACGATAACAGTTTTCTCGGATGTTTCTAGATGTGCTGTGCGCAAGTGACTTCGTGTTTCGCAAGTCTTACATTCACACCATAACGATAGCCTCTTTACCGCAGAAAAGGAATGGATACTGGTCGATCATAGTTTGAACAACATCTTCGAGATATGGCCTCGTAGCTTCGAACCTGCCGAGGTCATTAAACTCGATTGGCAGAAGTGTTGGCCACCAACAGATGGCCAAATTCTTGCTATCCATATTGTTCAATTTACAATTTTCGGCAACCCTACGATTGAAAAATATATAATATGCACTTCTTTACAAAATAATTCGATATTTTAGATGAGCCTGCCAAGCTTTTAAACTAAAACGAAACTTACTTGACAAAATGTTGGAATGTATATTTCAGTACGTCAAAATTGACAGGTTTCAGTTTATTTAGCATCATTCTCAAAGCCAGTAGCCTACCGCTCCGATCTAGAACGCAGCGTTTTCAGAAAATAATGGAATTAATGTAGCCAAAACAAACTATCATTACTATTACAACATCAAAAGCCGAAAGCAATCAACAATTTATATCAACGCATTGAAATTTTTACGTTGATTATCAATGATTGTTCAAATGTCAGATGACTTTTAGTATGCGCTTGTCAACTTGCTCAATCGCTCAGTATTACTGAGTTAGCAAATGAAACACAGTACATGATTTGACAATTGACGTATCATTGAATTTTTTTTATCAGATAAACTAACTTTCAGTAAAATGAAATTAACCAATTAAAGAAAAACCAACCTTCCATATTCATGCATGTTGCGGACATCGGTTTGCTGATACCACGAGCACCTTTAGATTCAAAGAAAATAAAACGTAAATATCGACACAAATGCATCAATTTTCTTTGATTGTAAATATATTAACACGTAGTAAATTAAATAATAAATAAATCGAGACGCAAACTAGTTAATCAAATTGAACGTATGCTGTCTCGCAGATAGGAAAGCGATGAGTTTTGTGATAGATAAAAAAGAGAGATTGAGATGGAAGTGAGGGTGCATGCCAAACAATAAGAAAAACTAACCAGATATATCCTCTAACTGGCTCATGCTCTCTTTATCAATAAGAGGTGGCAATTTCTTCGAGAAAAAGTCTTTAAGAGCGGTGGCGACAGCGTTCACGGGGATATCGAGTGAGCGTATATCCAAATTACCATCTAAAAGTGTAAATTTTGTACTGAGTTGTTGCGCAAACAACATTGATTATAATTATGAGATAGTTGTGTGATTAACCGAACCAACCTTCTTCAAATTTTTGGAATAGCAACTCGACGTGAGCGCGGTTGCCAGGCACTCTATATATTCCCTCGGAATCAAGACCTTCATCCTCAACGAATCTGACACATTTTTCAAGAAACAGAGGAATAGGATTAGTTTCACTTTGTGCAAAATCTTCAATGAGCGGCATCGGTTGAAGGGACATGTTGCTTTTGGTTTGTTTAGTTTTTTCCTGCTTCTTCTTCTCACGCTCACGTTCTTTTTCCGCGTGCCTTTTGAGCTTCTCCTCCTAGGCAAGAATAAATCGACCATTAGCAAAGTTAGTGCATATCGACCAGAGTCTCGACGATTCGTTACCTTGAGACGTCGTTTTTCCAATTTTTCATCTTCTTTTGCTTTTTGCTTCTCTCGCTTACGATTGAGTTTGTCCAGTGTTTCCTTATTTTTGGCCAGTAAGCTGAAGCTCGGTGAATTAATCTCTCGAGGCGAGGATACGTCGAGGCTTGACTCGTCGTCAGCTATACTACCGAAACTATTATCGCCGATGATGTTACGTTGTTTCAGAGACATGAACATCTCTTGCGTCATGTGCTTGAGATTCAAAGGATGCTGTAGAGTCTGCGCTACTAGTTGCTGCTGCTGTTGAATGGAATTGCCGAATTTTTTGCGCCCTATATTTGCAGTTGGATGCTTGGGGTAGAGCTTGCTGCGGGACCTTGAACGATTATCCTGGTCGCTCGAATCCGAGCTGTCCGGTGAGTCGCTTGAAACTGCTTGATTAAAGTATATAATCAGGATGTCGGTCAGTCAATGAATACGTGTACATATCGGAAGCAGGCGCACCTTTTTCCGTGGAATCGATTCGCCAGCCTTTATCGTCCTTGACGGCGGTGTAGTTCAGGCCGACAATACCATCGGTCAGGACGGCTCCACCTCCACCGGCGATGCCCGCGAGCGTGGGCACCTTCGGCGTGGCCACGGGAATGGCAGTGCGCTTCTTGCGTGTGCGCTTGTGGGACGAGAGCTTCTTGTTGTTAATGGCTTTTCCCAAGGCTTCGGCAACTTTTTGGCGCTCTAACGAGCTCCATTCGGAGTCCGAGTCGCTGTAAGCCGCCGACGGCGAGTCTTCGACAGAAAGAGCAAGATCATATAAATAAATATAAATGGCTTCGATCTCGACATTGCAAAGTATTACGTTTATTGATATGCTTACAGGGCTGGCCCTTTTCTCGCCTATGACGCATCTTTGACTTGTTGTTACCCAGGGAATCATGCACTAGCGTGTAGACATACTCGCCGTCATAGTGCGAGTACAGATTTGGCACGACGTCCTTCACCTGTGCGTACTCGTTGCCGAGGTCCATTTCGGGGATAGCGAGGGGGGCGTGTCCCATACCGATCTTGCCATGATGCTGCTGCTGCTCATCCTTCTCGCCAATGGCCATTCGTGATATGACGTCGGTTACGTTAGAGAAATCCTTGAGATTGATTTTGCCGGGCTGTTTGAGCGTCTGACTATTGCCCTTGGGCCTAGATTTGGTTTGCTGTATATGGCGACGGCCGGTGGTGAAGGCTCGCTGCGAGTAGCTATTTGTCACGCCGTCCTGCTGTTGCTGTTGCTGTTGCTGCATAAAGGTGTCTTTGACCCAACCTGAAATCGTGCGAAAGTGCATCATTGCTTTTCGCAAGAATAAAGGCCTATTTGATCAGAGTGTCCGATTGGTGTTATCATTGGTTTTGTTTTGTTTTGTTTTGTTTTATTTTGTTTTGTTTTGTTTTTGCTGAACGGTAGTAGCGCTGCTCGCGTAAATCTCATGGTCCACCTACCGGACATCTTGGTCACAAATTCTCCGCTGGTCTTTAGAAACTCTCGATCTCGCTCCTCACGCTGGAAATCGACCTGACTGTAAATATCACTGTCATCGCTGGGTGTGGCCCGACTGTCGGCAAAATGCTCGTTAAGGCCACCATCGCCTAACTCGCCGTCCGGCGTAAGTTGCTCATACGACTCGGAGCCGCTTCTGAAAGTTACCGACATACTGCTTCACGTTAGATGAGACACGCACAATACCAGTGCGCACGCTGGCGAGGCCGAGCAACTTTGGACTGACTTACCCGTCATCGGGCGTCTGCAGATGGTAGCTCTCATGACGCGGCGGGGGCATTGGGTGTAGTGCCGAGTACTCCAAGGTGCCCTCACCACTGTCATTGAGATTGCTCGGCTCCTCCATGTTGAATGCCTGCTCAATTTCGGGCTTTTTCTCCCAGACCTCCTTGAAGAATGGCGTGTAGAAGGCCGCTGTAACAGTGGAAAAATCGTAAATAAGCAGCTAAGTTGAGAGTGTTAATCTCGACAGAGATCGTCGACCAACTTTTTTGCTGGCAAGACGAGGAGAAGGTCATAAAGTGGGCTTGGAGCTTGTCGGCCGTGGCATTTCCCTCGGTAATCAGGTGATGACTCAAATCGTTATTGAAAAATGCATTGGCACCGCCGCTGTCTGTCACTGCCATTATCTGAATGGGCAAATTCGGAATGTTGTGCGAGAATGCGCTGAAACCGAAAAGGTTTTGTCTAATTTAGTTGTTTACGCCATATTATTTGCTGGGGACGCCGTCGTCTGTCGCGCGCTCGGTCCATGATGAAGGTGTGATTACGCACTTAAGAGTGGCCAATGATGCCTTCCTCTTGGTCGAGTAGACCAGTATGAATCCATGCACTAGCTCGTCTCTGAAGGCGTTTGCTCCATGAAAGCTGGAAATGGTCACCTCCACACGGCGCTTTGACTCGCCGAGGAACGTTTCCAGGACGATCGAGCGCTCACTACTAAGAAAGCAGCATTGATGGCTGAGCAGCGGGCCAAGGACGTTTTCCACTGAATAAGGGTCACCGCAGAACATGCACATTATTATTCTGATGTCGGGTTCTAAGCACTCGATTACGCTCTGGTAGATATTCAGAAAGCCCGCGCGATGATTTATCGCCTGGACAAGCTGCTGCAGTGCCTCTTTCACCAGCGACGTTGGAAATCTCTTGTCCTGCTCTAAGTCCTCGATAGCCACGTCGATGAAAGGACACTGTAAGCTAACAATCCAACGCTTGTAAATAATTCATGTCAATCGACCGACCCAACCCGACTACTGCTACTTCTATGGTCAACACTATAGTATATACCTGTCCGCGAGACTTTGACCCTCCTCACGCAACCGGATCGCCTCCAGCTCATCGATTATTCCATCTGGAACGAATAATATGACGATAGGAAGGCCTTGAAAAGGTAGCCGATCTTCTTGCTCCAGATTTGAGAGAAGCGTTTTCTCTAGAGAAGACCGCACGTATTCGAACGTCTCCTCATTAGAATAAATGCAGAAAGAGCCTGGAAAACCAAGAGTCGATGACATTTAACGTTAATTTTACGGTAACTGTAGATAAGGTCTACACTGACACTCATGGAAGAAATAATGAAGTCATTGCAAGATCATTACCATGAGGTAGGAAATCCGAGGTAGTGAAAGAGTTGTGAGGCAGACCAACGTCTCCATCGATCACGCGATAGCCGAGTGTATATAGCTGGCAGTCGATCTCGACCTCGTCATCATCCGTCTGCGATCGTATTTCGCGAGCGAATTCCTCACCCAGGCTGCTGCTTCCAAGTATAACTAAATTCAATTGATTGTTCTCGGAATTCAGTTGCCACTGGTTACTGTGGTTCCAAGACGATGGCCTTCAAATTAATTTTACAATTATTTTCACATTTGCACTCTACGCAATTTTCTAGGGCAAAAGACCATTTGATACCTGTGGGCTTTGGTTCCTAGTATTCGCTCGATTAGTGCATCCATGCAATTTGGAAAAGCTGGGCAATGTTCACGAATAGGACAATGAACAAAACCAAGATGTTGGAACAGCATTAGTTTTCTATCTTGGTCCAATCTGTCCAGTGCCTTGTACCTGTGAACGAAGCAAATTTATAATCGTTCAACAAGTCTCATCTCGAGCTCGGCTGGGATATTCAACTAAGCAAACGATTCTCACCGAAAGTCATCGATTAAAGCGTCAGTAATCTCTTTGATATCATCCTGTGTTATTGTGCCCGTCGGAGCGATACTCTTGTAGTGGTAAAACAGATCTGCGTGCTCTAGTAGTAGCTCCTTGTAAAATAATAATGTCAATTATTGTTTCCTAAACTTGACTTGATATCAAGTACTTGAGTCCAAAATGTATCATACTTGGAAGTTGTGCTTAGCTTTCTCAATAATTTCTTTCTGATGTTGATCGTAAACTTCCTGGCAGTCATGATGGGACAGTGCCTCGAAGCACTCGCGACCCATAAACAGCACTCGCACTTCCGACAGTTGTTTGCCCGGAGTAACGTAACCCGTTTCTTCCAATAGTTGTTTAAACTGCTTTTTCCATCTGCAAAGGTATAAAACAATTGATGAAACTTCATTAAAGATACTTATCATGACGAGTCTAACTTGCACCAATATGTAGTATTTCGTTATCAAAGTTTGACTTGCGGCGCTATTAAACGGAAATACGTTGCATAAAGCATTAATGTTTTATGCGCAATAATTATAATGCAAACTAGGGATCCAATATACGCATTGTCAAAGAATAAAAGCAAACAAATGTGATGTTATGAGAATTGGTATTTACCTTTTCGGAAGTCTGCAAAAAGAAAGACGCCACCCAGAATAAAGCAAAAAGCATTAGTTATGTCACCTCAACGTCTAATAGCATTAAAAGTATATTTGCCATAAGGATAATTAAGCGCTAGGCTTTAGGTTCATTAAAAAAAATGATATGCGTAAATTATGATCGAAATCATTGATTATTAAAACGACTCGACAACGACTTAATACGAATTTGTTAGTAAGTAATAAAAACTGCAGTCAAAGTGCTACGTACAAGTTTAAAGCTTGTTATTGACGCTTAAACGAGTAGGTATTACTTCAAAGTACAATGATATAGCAAGGAGAAAGTGAAAACTCACTCGAGTCGACGCTGCTCTTGCTGTAGGGCATTTACGTGGTTTTTGAAAACGGTTTCGGCCTCTGGTGTTTCCAGCACATCATACGGTATTTTCGACGTTTTATTCTCGCCAAAGTCATAATCTATCCAGGGTATATCTTCAGGGCACTCGTAAAAGTAACGATCGAATTCGGGATGCTCTTTAATGTACTGCTGTACATTCGACCATTCTCTGAAAATTAAAGATCAGAAGAGTCAGTCACGGCTGAAGCGCTGAAGTTGCAAGCGTAAAGAGCTAAGGCAATTACATACTCGTTGATCAAATTGGCAATGTCGGGAACCAATTCGTGCAGAATGTCAGGCAAGGTATCGAGATAACCTTGTATTTTCTTGGCTATCTGCTCATCCTTGAGCTTTTTTATATGCCGGCGAAAGAGTCGCTGAGTCGCGTCGATGCCAAACAGCTCGACGAACGTCGTGAACTCTCGATGCTGGCCGAGCTTCTTCGAAGCCTGTGACCAGGTGGCCCGGTAGTCCTGCACGTGCATGCGTATGAGCCTTTGCAACGACTCGGTTGATGCATCCATCAGTTCTTTGCGCTGACGCGCAGCCTCAGCGAATGCGACGACCTTAACGAGGAACCATCAGCAGTTGGTTTCAGTCTGCTCGGCGTAGGCAGTCTAACGGAGCTTACCTTGTTGCGCAGCTTTGACTTGTCAACGAGTTGAGCAATAGTCATGAAAGCCAAATCCACGTTGATATTCTCGTGCGCTGAGGTCTCGACCATCAGTATCGAGCCCTTGTACTCCTTGCGCATGAGTAGCTTCTCCGCCTCCTTCACGAATTGCTCATTCGCGTCATCGTTCTTCGTCGTTACCAGAATTATTGGCTTCTTAGTCTTGATCAGGTTGTTCAAAATGTTGGCAACGATTTCCACCTGTTTCTCGATCAAACGATTCGGCACGACGCTTACATCGAATACACACAGAAAGCCGTCAATGGCCAGCTTGCCGTCCGGTAAAACCTGCCCAATTGCCATTGTTATAGATTGCGCTGTGGCCTGATCGCCGTCACGAGATTACTAGAGTGGCACAAACCTTTTGCTCGTACTCCTTTTCGATACCCAACTGATTTTTACAAATGTACATGAGCTTCTCGGCGCTGGCGATTTTTGTGGCAGCGCACCTTTTGGCGTAAGGCTCCATCTTACCACCCTTGAAAGGCTGGAATGACGAGTCATCGATGAACTCCGTGTGCTCGATCACTTGAAACTGGTAGTCAGCTGAGCCGTCCTCCGTCGGTTTAATCACCTCACCCCAGTACAGGAAGTGGTCGTTGTTCACTACGCGCCCACTAAAGTCCGACTGCAAAACGTCAACAAGAGTCCTAAATTAGTTCACTATTCATGGCCCCCGCACACTTTGTTGCGCTTTGGTAGCTCCCTTACCTGCGATAACACAGAGATGTGATCGACACTGTAGTCGTCGCTGAGTGAGCGCATAAAGCGATTACATAAACACGATTTGCCGACTCCGACGCTGCCTTTATCTTTCTCCGTGCCCGACAACCCAACTACTGCTACGTTAATGTACTTGACGTTGTCGTTTTTACGTGCCATCTCGTCTTGTCTGCAGCAGTTTTCCTTTGATAAATCTTTATAAACGTAAGATGAAGTATGCTTCACAGAGATGTACCAAACATATATCTAACTACTTCCTCTTTGCTTCTCAACTAAGCAGTTAGCCGGCAGATTCAGATTCTGGCTATCGAGCTGCATGACAACTATGAATATTTCTTGATTAATATTTTCTCTGCCAAGTACTAACATTTTCAAGGCTGAAAAAAATTGTATTCTTTACCTTGAAGATGGTCCCTTCTCTCTCTTGGCAACATACTTGCCTAAACGATTGAACTCAACTCAGTAATACAGATTATTTATGTTATCCACCAACGACATCACAATCCAGTGAATTGATATATTTTTAACCTATATGGCAGTAGCTCTCTAAGATATTGTATTGCTCAAATTTAATGAAGTTTATCACTGTGAATACTTCATTCCATTGACTCTATCTGCATACTAGTACTGCATGTATGTATCTGGAATGAAGATACACAATTGAATTACATCAAATTAGATATTTCAGATTACAGCATTCATTTTTGTTGGCAACCACGTATAGAAGTAATCAATGTCGCATCACGGTTGTCATCGTCCAGTGTATTGATAACAACAATGACATACCACAAGTGAAAGCAGTATTATCTTCTAGTACATCAAGTTATTTCATAAATAAATATCAACAAACTATATGAAAGATTGAATTACAATGATTGATAACAATGAATGAGCCATTGTTGAGAAATTGTATATTGATGTGAGAAACTCAGTGAACTCAATGCTACAAATTGCGATCAAATTTTTTATTTGAGATGTTATCAATGACAAGCAGGGGATGAAATATGCTTATGAAGTAACTAATTTCAATGATTAAATATCTTGGGCAGCGCAAGGTGATAAAAATACAACTGAAAAATGAAACTAAGTGCAAGCATCACATACTAGCAATAGTCTAAACAAAGCACAATACAAACGTTAGATAGTAATAAAAAGCAACCGAGGATGTCGGCGGCAAACGTTCGTTGATGGAGGCTTTGACATACTCTCCTGGTCAATCGCCTATGTAATCGGACAACGGGTGGGCAAACGCGACGAGGGGGTAGTGTACATGGGACAAACGAAGGTTTCGAGAGCGTTGAAGGTGAGGCGAGGCTGTGCTATCCAGCTGGCAAAGGGCAACTTTCACATGCTTACTTTTTTGTCGTCTTCTTTCGTTATTTATGTTTTTTGATCTTACCTAGCAGACCAAAGATAAAGAACACGCGCGGGCACACCAGGCGCACACAGGCTAACACGCGAATGTACTGTAAGGAGCGTCCTAAGATACATACTACATAGATAAAATGTAGGTACGCGCGAGACTACATAGCACGAAGCTACAAGACATACATCTCACGGACTGACAACGCAGGGAGATATTTATGCTCTTGGAATCATTGTGTACCTATATTGGCGTGTACGCCTGTGTGTGTGCTGCCAGGGTCTGCAGCTCACTTTACAAGGGCGGCGTTGGCCCCTCGCGGTGATGAGTGATTTGGCAGTGTATAGGAGTCGTGTCCACGAAATGACAGGGCCACAGCGTCAAGCCGGCTATTGCAGGGCCGTCGTAACTTGTAACTATGTATCAGAAGCGAGATAGGCAGTGCGCGTCGTCCGAGTTGTTCGCGATAGAAGGAAGCCTGTCCGCTAACCAGCTGCTTACAGCTAGGCTGAGTCGTTGAGTTAGCCAAGCTTACAGTGCTGATCTGACCATCCGTCCTTTTCTTCAGGTCTCGCGCCCTCAGCGCTCACGTCGCAGTTTTTACGTCAAACGCAGCGCGAGCACTGGCAACCTCGTCGCGAGGAGCCATCTTTGATGTGTCTGCCTGCCTCGGCGGCTCTGTCTGTCTCTTTCTCGCTCAGCAGTTTGCAGGGACACCTATACATATTAAGCGACTGCGGCTTTCATGTCCTCCGTTCCGTTCCTATTTCTGATTCCTTTTTTTTATAATATTTGTAATGACATTAAAAAGGAGGCAGTTGTTTAAATCGCACCTACTCACAGTCACAGAATAAAAAAACATTATATAACGCAATTGAAATGTTCGAAAATTATAAAAGTATAAGAATTATAGATGAAGGCAAATTAAAAACACGTGCTTTTATGTCATTTACTAATGAAGTCTTAGAAAAATTTAAATTACCTGTTATCGACCCATATCATAAAGAGAAAGAGGAATAAAAAAAAACGAAGGTATGCTGCTGACTTCAAATGGTGTAATGTTCACGCGGATTTGTATCGCGGAGGACAGATTCCTCTAGATAATTGCATGGGAAGTCCTCTGAAACACCATCCGTGTATTGTGTTCTCCTGATGTCATTTAAATATAGCGCGCAATCGGGATTCTGGACAATTGCACGTGTGCGCAGTCGCAGCGTTATAAATTTTCAAAATGGCGGAAATGGCAATCGTGGCTACTGCATCAGGCGAACTGTGCGGATCGGAACATACACATGTTTGTCTTCGCACGCGCGACTTCGTCAAGGAACGTTTTACTATACGGTTATCATTGATTAGAGTGAGTTAAACAAGGGCAAAGTCTCCTTATTTATTGATATACCGTGATCAATTTCAACAACTAGCTATTAGAGAGCAAGTCGCAGTAAAGGTAACAATCTCGCTTTATTTACAAATGCGTCAACTTTCTCATTACTTCCAAATACGTATTTTATTTTTGACCTTCAATAGGATATTTAACAAATCAGTCGCAATTTCCAAGTATACATTACTTATCTATGGATTTGTCCATCACTTATTAAAATTTTGAAATTGCACGTGTTTAACAATTTACTCATATTACTATTCACTGTACCTATGTACCTTCATTTTTCATACAATCTATTTTGGATTTTTTTATTTTTGTTTTTATATTATTCCCAAGTATTATTCAATTACATCAAATAAAACACTGTCAATGCTACTTATTTTGTGCTTATTGTATTCAACTTTCAACGGTTACAATTATTCATTTCAATTTCAAAATTCAACTTGTTTCGATATGATTTCAATTAATTTATATTAATTTATATTAATTATATTGATAATTAACTTATATTGATATATATATATATATATATATATTATCAATATTTATTAGGTTTTTATTTTACTCTAACCTTTAAGATGCTTCATCTAGAAAATATATAAATATCATCAGCATTAAATTGATATATTCTTTATTGAGAAATTGTATTCTAGCACTATATTTTTAAAAATGTTCAATTGAACAGGAATAAATTCATAATATTTATCTGAATAGAAGTACGCCTCTCAGGTGTGTGGATAATGTCATCCACCTGTCGAGCAATGTAATGAGTAGCTGTGGAAGTACTAGCATTAGCACAAAGCTAAAGAGTTCTAGAAACGACAATAACCATCAGGATTCAATAATAGCAAAAAAACAAGATGGCAAAGATATCGAGAATATTGAAAATTCTAAAAGTTACAGCTCTAACGACATTTTAAAAGTTCCAAAGACAACTGTATTTATCTGTGAAAGAAACTCTAGCAATCACTTGGAGGACTATAGTTTTCCAAGATTCAAACAAAGGTAAAGTTTTTTTTCTTTTATCAACAAGTATAATAATAATTTTGTAATAATAATATGTAATAATAATATTGACTGAAAGATTATTCCATTCTATTCAGATCTTGTGGTGAATTAAGAAATGAGATTCGAATGGCTCGCGGAGGTATTAGTAGTGAACGTGGTCGAGGTGGAAGTGGGAGCAGCGGTGGTTCAAAGAGTCGAGCATTTAAAAAAACAGTTGATCAAGATGCAAACGCAGATAGTTGTTACTCCCATCCACCATCAAGACCAAAATTTCAAGAATCACTGAAAAATCAAGAAAATAAATATTGTGATGATAAAAAAATTAATGGTAAAACAGAATTTTGTATTCTCAACCATTGAACTATTGTCTTTTTTCATTGATACTATTTGTATACTAAATAATAAAATAATGCACTTTGCAGAGGATTCTAGAATATCAAAGCTTTTAAGACGTCTAAGCAGAGAAGATGATTATGACAATTTTTTGGTTCTTTGCAAGCAACTGCAAGAAGGCATTGTGGCTCCTGAAAATCAAAGATATATCAAGCGTAACTTGGATGTTATTTGCGATAACTTATTAGATATTATGCATGGTGGCTTCAGTCTTGATACTAAACATCAAATTACCAAGTGTTTAGGATATCTTGGTTACATTGCAGATCAGGATTTCAAACGGTAAGAATTTGAAACCTTAGGATTATGAATATGAATATGAAAAATGTTATTAATGTTGTAGATTTATGGATTGGTTATTCAATAAATATTCTGCAGAGCGAAAAGATGATATAAAATGTTTACTTATGAAATCGTTTGGAGAAACTTTGAAACTTGATATGGAAGCACCGAAATACAAAGATCATTCTATGGTAAGAGATTCATAATTAGCTCACTTGAGATTATCGTTAATAGAAAAAAAATATTGTCATAAATTTTCAGGCAATGATGTCACAATTGCAATCTGCTCTAGAAAATGTTGATCGTCCGGAACTTCTCATCGCTACTGTCGATTCGATTCTTTTGATAACTGATGTCTACCCAGAATGTTTTACTGATCATTTTCGTGACACAGTAGATATTCTTGTTGGCTGGCACATTGATTCTACTCAACAAAAATCAATAATCTCCTACGCGAGTCGCAGCTTACAACGCTTACGCAATTTTTGGATAGCCGATTTACAGTTTACATTAACTTTATTAGGGCAATTTCTCGAAGATATGGAGAGCTACGATGAAGAGCTATCACTACCTGGCTCTGGTAGAAGTTCATCTGGAGAAGAAGATGCCATTCCATGTCCTAGAGATTGCATACTAAGAATTACTTCATTGATATCTGTTTTTAATACGGTATTAAAATGCATTGAGGACCATATGAATCCAACTTCTTTACCAAATATACAGTGGTCTTTTTTAATGGATTGCCTTTTGAAAATGTTAAAAACGGTTGTCAAAGCTTTGGAACTGGATGATGGAATTGAAATTTTCAACGATAATGAGTTAGGACTGTCACAGGTGAGAGATAAATTTGATTTGCTATAAAGAGCAACGATCTTAACTGTAACTTTTTGATGCGGTTTTGTAGGAAAATACTGAGAGCATTACTAGATTCATGAAAAATATGAATCTCTCTCAAAAGAGCATCGACACTTTGTTGAAAAACTTGAACAAAGACGATGAAATAAATGAGGCTGGCCTTGCTAAATTGATAAAGTCTTTAAATCTGAGGAAGTGTGGTGATAGAAAAAACATTAAATTCAATGACAAAGAGACTATTTCGAAAGATAAAGAAGAATCATTAATTAATTTACTCAAATTCATGGATTTACGTCATAAAAAAAGTTCGGATTTATCACAAGAGAAGGAGGAATTGATCGTCGTTGCCAACGAGTGCACGTACTTGTTACTTGGACATTTGCAAAACAGAGTTTCTAAAAGCCACGATATATTGTATAAATTTATTGACCTCCAAATTCAGCGTGTAAATATTTTTTGGGACGACACAATCATATCCATGCTGAACACTATCTCTAAAGTAGTCAGAGAGGTATTCTTTGTAACTGTAATTATAGTTTTATACTGATTAGTATACAAAATCTAACCTGCTTGATTGTTATATTAGGTATCGGCGAATCTTCCTTTGGATTTGGTACACAGTTTGCTAGGAAAAAATTCAGAATTAGTCAATTTGCGCTTTCGCAGCAATATTGGTATTCAGAACGCAGTTCTAAATGTTTATCATAGCCTATTGAGTCTGAAAAATATTCCTCTTCTGCAAGAGGCATATCGCTATGTTCTTGGCGATCTTGAAAATGCCTACAATACAATAATGCCTTTGACTGAACCACTTATTCCTGATAATCCTCTGACAGATTTGCATTATCAGAGGAGACATGCCGAACTAGTTTTGATATTTTTGTTACGTGCAGTTTCTGAAATAGGCAAGTATAAATGGTAAAGTATATTGGTTGAGTAATTTATTTATTTATTTATTTGTTCTTTCCAGCTAATGCAAGCAACTCGATTATTGGTATGTGGGCATTAAAGCCTAGCATTTTAGAACTCTTAGCTGTAAAAATGAAGCCGCATGACGTTACATTATCTATCGAAAGTCCACTCTTGCAATACCACATACTATTTTTACTCTACAATCACTGCTCAAGGTGAGAAATGAAGCGATACAGTAATTTATGGCAATATAATTTATGATTATTTTGAAATTGCAGATACAACCACTTTGTGCCAAGTTCAAATTTGATAACAGGTGCAAGTGCCTGTCGACCTCTAGATTTGTTTCCCGGTACATTGGAGGTACCCACAGTGTCGCCAACCAGTGGACATTTGTCCGTGATATTGAGTCTTATCGTAAAAATCATCGAGAATGAAAAACTACCAAAACAAACTCTATTACTGCAGCTTAACTGGATTCAAGAAATTTTTGTACAAGCTGAAAACTATATTGGCAAACTCAGCAAGACTGAGGAGTGTAGAAAAATTATTCGCAGTTTAATCGCTTGTGGGGCGACCACCAATCACAAGATTTCTCTCGTGGTTAGTAGTGTATTGCTTGAGCTTGAAATCGGTAATTATTTTTTTACACAAGTAGATTAACGGTTTTTCATTGCTTTTACAATTAGGTCTGCAAAAATATCGAGAGTATTATGAAATCCAATCAAGTTTGTTGGTCTGACGAAGAATATTGTAGCATTCTTGATTTGATAACTTTACATTTGACAAGTTTCGACAAGACTGTTTGCGAAGCGTATAGAAATCTTTTAGTACACATTCCACTGAATATAGTAATAGCGAGAGTAAATAAAGCAGGCCTACTCTCCGACAACAAGGTATGAAGCATATCGAACTGTAATGGGGAGGTGGGATTAGTCCAGGGGCAGAGGATTAGATGTTATCTAGCTGTTTTATCTTTCAGAAATCTCGCTACATCAAAAACTACTCGGCCGAGTCATTGATATTGGCCCAGAGACTACATATGCGCAGTAACATTGGGGAAATGCAAGCCCAGCATTTTAAGTCGTACATGGCTTATTTGTTGCAAGAAAATCAATTTGATGCATTGGGCCTGTGGGAACTGTTTAGTTTGTGCTGGCCAACCATGTGAGTAGTCTAGCGAGTAGAATAAGCGAAATTCGAGAAATTTTTAAAACTCTTCTTTTACTCCTCTAGATCGGATAACGAAACTATGGCTAAAATGTACGAGTTAGGCTTGGCTAATCGTTCGGTTCTGTTCTTTTGGGCTGGCTTCGAGGCGGCGCAACATTGCGTACTGAACAAGTTGCGTACTCCGCTGGGTAAGCCCCAAGAGACTTTCACAACAATCGAGGGTGCGCTGAAGATGTTGGCCCGCGAGATATCTTGTCCGGGAACGACGACCACGACGGCGGCAAGCGGAGAATCGTGCTCACTGGACTCTCAGCTGCAGGAGCATAGCCGCGTACGGCTGTTCATCGATTTCTTGGAGCACCTCGAGCGTGTGATACACAATGCGGCGGAGGGCTGTGCTGTCGCGTTGCCGCCGCTGTCCAAGCCCGTACGCACGTTTTTTCATACCAACCGGTCGACTTGCCGCGAGTGGCTGAACCGCATCAGGTTGGCCTTGTGCGTGGTCTCGTTGCACGCCGGTCTGGCAAGCAGTGCCCTGCGGAACGGCCAGCGGTTGCTCGACGACCTTAGCGCTCAGGGTAATTGCCAGACCGCGGAGTTTGAGCGAGCAGCCCTCTGCACCGCGCGCGCCATGGTCATGCTGTCCGAGGCCGAAGCACTACAGGGCCTTTACGTTTACGCGAAGGACCGCGACCGCAAGTTCACTTGGCTGAAAGCCGCCGTAGAGGAGGCCGCCGGCAAGTACGAATTAGCCGCCGAGAGTTATCACCAGGTGCTGGCCGAGCTGCAGTCGAACGGGCTGGGCAGCGCGACCGGCCAAGATTCGCCATCGACACCGAGTAGCAACGCGGAGGCCTGTTTCCCCGAGTCGCCGGCCAAGGTGACCGGAGCCGCCACCAGCAGCGGAGAGCTTGCGGAGACAACTCAAGTGGCGGCCTTCTGCATGGAGCGTCTGGTCAAGTGTTACCGCGCAGTCTGCGACTGGAAGCGTCTTGAGCAATGGAAGGTGCGTGAGACCGAGATCCTCGAAGAGAACTCGTGTCTTCGCCGACAGCTACCGACCAAGGGTCTGGTGCTAACGCCCCAGCAGACCACCTGCCTGCGCAAGTTTGAGTGCGGGGAGGAGTTGGCGTTGCGTGAGCTGGCCGACTGGCAGCTGCTTAACGTTGAGACCGACTCGGTCAGAACCAGCTGGAGCAGTGCCAAAACTATGGCTGAGTGCTCCAATACTCTGACCAACATCGCCATGAGGATTCACGTGGATCAGATGGACGGTGGCAGCGGCGAGCCCCCCGTTGACCAGGACCTCGTCAGCAAGTGCATGAAAGTGGCGGCCAAAACTCTGGAGGAGAGCCTGCGAAATTTACCCTCGGAGTACTTGAACGAGGCGATACTGGCCCAGTATTCGGCCGTTGGTCTGCTGAATCTGCTTAAGTACGAAAATAGCACTGTCGGTGCAAAAGTCTTTCAGATCTCCCAGGTAAGCAATGAGTAGACAAGTAAACAAAAGGCAATGAAAAACTAATAAACGATGTCACAGGTGGACAAGCTCGGTCTGCTAGACTCAAGCGTGCTCACTCAGATTCTCTGGTGGTCGGACTATTTCAAGCGCAGCGACAAGAGTGGCGGCTGCTCGCTTAGCGAAGTCAATGGACTGCGCTTGCACGTAGCGAGAAGTGCGCGCAAAGAAGGAAACTTTGCCCTAGCGCGCCGCGAGCTAGCCAAGTACTTTGCCATCTCGGGGCTTGGCGGACCAGGTCAGGATATCGACGATAACGCCGGTGACGACGATCACCATCATCGTCGCTTCCAAGCCGTCGTCGATGGGATTATCGGTTGCGGTAGTGAGAGCCTCCAACCTATTAACTGGACCAAGGACAACATGCGGGCTTTTCGAGAGATGTCCAAGTTGCTCTATAATATGAACCAGTGCGAGGAAGCAGTGAAAGTGTGTAGCGTGACGGCCCTGGGCATCTCTAGAAGCATCGTCGACAGCGGCGAGCAAACGTTGCCGGAGGTCCGCGAAGTCGGTACCAAGGTGTTGCTGACTCTCGGCAAGTGGATTCAGCTGGACGCTAAGCTCGACGACAACCCGCAGCTCGATGAACTGTTGTACTTCGAGTCGCTGCACAACGACGGCCTCATGGCTAAGCTGTTTGGCAAGACCACCGAGCTGATTCCCGCTGCCGACATCATTGTTGGTAAGCTCGTGCAGCTTGGCGTCAATCAGTGCCCGGACCTGCCGACCGCGTGGTCCAACTTTGCCGCTTGGTGCTACAAGTGGGGCCGCAAGATCGTCGACCACTCCGGCAGTGGGCTTCTTACAGACACCGACAAGGCTGCCATCCAGTCGCTGCTCCCCGTTGATATCACAGAGTCCGACCTAGATACCATTTATGAGATTTTGAGTCAGAAGAATCATGCCGCGGCTCTTGAAGATGAAGGTAAGTCATCTACTATCTGCCAGTATCATACACACACACGCTCATGCGCGCGTGCGATGTATCTCGCTAATTCCGACAATTCCAACTTGTAGGTGACATTGATACTAACGACATCAATCCCTTGGAGACCATTGAGCAGCTTTTGCGCAGCGTTCCCATTTTAAGTTGCGCAAGCACCGATCATTTAGCTGTTTTGGAAAACGTGTGGCGGCAAGCCGAAGCTAGAATTTACGCTTATTACGAGCTTTCGGCAAACGCCTACTTCAAGTATCTGCAATTAGGTAAGTATAGCATCATCGCGATCGATCGCGCTTTTTCTTTTCTGTTACTCGGCAACTTTTCATAATCTGAATTTCCTCAGCGAAAGACGCCAATAACTGCGAGACCATCACGGCAACTCTTCGCCTGCTTCGCCTTGTCGTGAAGCACGCGTCCGAATTGCAAAACGTTTTAGAGTCTGGCCTCTCGACGACCCCGACGAGTCCCTGGAAGGAGATCATCCCTCAACTTTTCTCACGTCTCAGTCATCCCGAGAGCTACGTAAGAACCAGGGTATCGGAACTGTTGTGCCGTATCGCTGAGAACTCGCCTCATCTTATCACCTTTCCCGCGGTTGTCGGAGCCGTGTCATGTGGACAGATGACAAGCCAGTTGCAGTCTAATCATCGACATCAGCAGCAACAGCACTTTGAGAAAGACAACGCCGATGAAACTGTCGATATGGATTACTTTTTGGGCGAAGACCTCGACTGCCAACCAGATCCCAATCAAGTTTCCATGGATGCTTGCTTTGTGCAATTGGCAGACTGCTTGTCCAATAGGATTCCGGACTCGGTTGATCAAGTAAGCAATGGCGCATTGAGTTTAGTTTTTAAAAAGTTTCGTGATATAACAATAACAAAAATATCGCTTAAGGTGAAAGTTCTGGTGAAAGAACTGCGAAGGATAACGTTACTATGGGATGAATTATGGCTTGCTACTCTCTACCAGCACCATTCAGATATTTCAAAACGTTTCGAACAGCTTGAGCTTGAAGTGCAAAAAGTTCAGGACAATATATGGCTTTCAAATGAAGAAAAAGAAACGCTAATTGCCGAAAAGCACAGGATTATTATGAAACCCATCATTTTCATTTTAGAAAATCTGTACTCCCTAACTTCAGTGTCTCCAGAAACTCCTCATGAAAAGTATTTCCAGGTATTTACAATCTCTCGTAACAAAGAAATAAGAAAGAAAGAGAAAGGAAGATAAAAAGTCTATGACTTTAATTGTTGCAGGAGAAGTTTGGGGCATGCGTTGAACGCGTTATAGACAAACTTAAAAATCCAAAGAATCCGTCGAGGCCTCAGACAGCCGCTTTACCACTGAAGCAACTCGAGAGCAAATTAGCTCAAAAAATACACAAACGCGGGGCTTATTCATTGTTGATGTCAGATATTAGTCCAATTTTAGCCAATTTTAAGGATACCTGCATTGCGATGCCTGGAATTTCTACCTCAAAGTTAGTAGTGAAAAAAAAATGTTACAGTTATTAATTATTAATTGCGTATGCATAATTTCAGGATGATTACGATAAAATGTGTGGAGAATAGTGTTCAAATATTGCCAACGAAAACTAAGCCGAAGAAGCTAATGTTCCGCGGTTCAGACGGACAGGTGTACACGTATTTGTTTAAAGGCTTGGAAGATTTGCATTTGGACGAGCGAATAATGCAGTTTCTGAGTATTTGCAATACAATGATGTCGAAAAACAACGACAAATCAGCGAAGAAAGTGTACCGCGCGCGTCATTACTCAGTGATACCTCTGGGGCCGCGTTCCGGCCTCATACAATGGGTAGACGGAGTGACGCCGCTGTTTGCGCTTTACAAACGCTGGCAGCAGAAGGAGAGCGCGATGAATGGTAAGGGCGGTGGCGGGGTGCTGCGACCATCGGAGCTCTTCTACAGCAAACTGACGCCCTTGCTCAAGGAGAAGGGCATAGCCAGCGATAACAGAAAGGAGTGGCCCCTTTCCATACTGAAGCAAGTTCTCGCGACGCTTATGGCCGAAACGCCCAAAGATCTCTTAGCCAAGTAAGTTGAGAAACGTTGGTTCGATTCGATGCGCTGCTGTTCATTCACTGGAAAAACAATCCAAAATAATTGTCGCTTGCGTGTTGCAGAGAAATTTGGTGCAATAGCTTGAACGCCGGAAGCTGGTGGCAGGCCACTAAGAACTATTCCTACTCCATGGCAGTAATGTCGATAATTGGCTACATCATTGGCCTGGGCGATCGTCACTTGGATAATGTCCTCGTCGACCTCAACACTGGCGAGGTCGTTCACATCGACTATAACGTTTGTTTCGAGAAGGGTAAAACTCTGCGTGTGCCCGAGAAAGTGCCATTCCGTATGACCCCCAACATCAAGACTGCTCTAGGCGTCACCGGAGTAGAGGTGAGTAACACGCGACAATTCAATGGCAAATATTTTTATTTTAAGGAATATTAAGCGTTGACATGTCTACATACGAAGTGTGTATCTGATGATAAAATATGCGCACTGATATGTACAAGCGAAAATGGCAAGTTTCAAACGAATGAGCCGGGGGTTAGTGTGATCTCAACAAGCGGTGCATTGTGTGAGTTGTTGATTGGCGCAGGTTGTTGAGGGAGAAGTGATGTCGACGGCGAAAGCGGCCGTCTCGTCGAGTTCTCGCTTCGTAAGCTCGTTCTGCTTACAAGGGTAATTCTTGAAGCTGGAGTTGTAGTCGTTGTAGTCGGACGATTGCAGCCGCAACAGTCGGTGGAAGGCCCTGCGAAAGCCCGAGTTCTTCCAGGCGTAGATGATAGGGTTGACGTAACTATTGCTCATGGCAATGGAGAACATCACGCGGTAGACCGTGGGACTGAAATTGCGCCTCAGGTCTATCACCTGAGTTACCGCTAGGATCACATAAGGCAGCCAACAGATAGAGAAGCAGCCGAGGATCATCAGCACCACCTGCAATCGCTTGTTCGTCAATCGATCGTTCGCGATGATTTACTTTGGCTTGCTTACCTGAATGCTCTTCCGGTGGTCGACGTTCACAGAACTCCTCGTCTTCAAACGCTGCGCGTGGCTCTTGGCCTCCTTCCAAATTCTCCAGTAGAGTAGAATGATGCTCAGCCATACCGTTATGAAAAACGGAGCCATTACTGTCGCGATTAAGTATCTACAATAGAGTAGATTAGAGAAACGGGCAAAAAAGAGAAAAGATAGACAGATACCTGGGCACAACGCTGATGAATTCGCAGTCTCTCAACGCCTTGTAGCCGTAATTGTTCCAGAAGAAGATGCTCGAAGAGAGGAGCAGAGCGCAGAGCCAGTTGAAGCCGATGGTGGCGGAGACCAGCCTCTTGGTCACGTACTCCGGGTACTTGAATGGATGAACAATGGAAAGGTAGCGGTCGACTGCTATCGCCGTCAAATTGAGGAAGCTCGCGCAACAGCCGCAGGCCAGTAGCACGAACCTGTGGCCAAACATTGTCTTTCTCTCTCTCTCTCTTTCTCTTTCTCTTTCTCCCTCTTGCACTCGGTTTGCACGAAGCGCGCACGTCATGGAAAGATTGTAACGTAACTAATCGCCAATGCGGGGAATTAACGACTGACCTCAAGAGGCAGGTGGTCTTGTATCGACCGAGGCTCGTGCTCAGGAAAAAGAAGAGGTGGTAGAACAGCGAAAAACCGACCACGAGGTCGGACAGCGCTAGGCTCACGATCAGCCGGTTCGACACTACATTTCTCAATCGGCGGCTCAGCCGAACTGCGAGGATCGTTAGCACGTTGCCCATCACTATGGCCACTAGCATCGCAACGTCCACCAGTACCCAGCACAGGATCATCGGCCTCGTTGCCATGTCAACATCGGGCCTCAAACTTTTTCCAGCGCACCAACGTAAACGATTGTGTCAGTCAATTATATTCGATCCTATGAGAGGAGAGCGAAAGTTACCTTGAAGCGGGTACTCCGTCGAGACTGTCATTGCCGTAGCGCCGAGTTTCGAGATATTCCACGCGATGCATCACAGCGAATCCCAGTTGACGATTGTATACGTGCAGGTCGCCATCGATGTCTGTCTCCCACTCCCCGCATCTTCACCCTTTCTCCTACTCCTGACTCGCGATAACTGAATTTTCGGCCAACTCGTCCGCTTCTTGTGCTTATTTGGTCTTCTTAGTTTTTTACACCGCGAACCGGTAGGTGTTGTTGATATCCCTGCCGACCGTTGATCGTGTTGCGAACTGATTACCAGTGGAGGCTATCTTCGGCTCTAGCCTGCACCACCGATCGCGATTGTCATCGAAATAAGTCGATAGGACGTTGCAGTCCCCATTATACTGACAGGGTGCAATGAACGCTGTTCGTAGGGCATATTCCGCGTGGGCTGCGAGGCGACGCTGCGCGTGATGCGCCGTGGCCGCGAGACCCTGCTGACCCTGCTGGAGGCGTTCGTGTACGAACCGCTTGTGGACTGGCGGGCTGGCGGTGACGGCGGGGCGATCGGCAGCCTGGCGCGCCAGGGCAGTCGCGGGACGGCAGAAGCGGGCGCAGGTGCGCTCGGCGGGACCGGGACCGCGGTAGCCAGCCGCCGGCAGCAGCTCGAGCACGAGCTCACCCAGGCCATGTTCGCGGTGCGCCTGGCCGAGATGCGCGCCGAGTGGCTGGCGAACCGACAGGAGCTCGCCGCCGCGTTCCCAGTCCTGGCCCAGCGCCTCGGCTGCTGGATCGAGCTGGGCGAGGGCGCGCGCCACTGCCAGGAGCAGCTGCAGGACCGCCACCGCCAGTTGGCCCTGGTCAAGGAGGCCCAGGCCATGGGCAAAAGCCACGCGCTCTACAGCCTGGTCAAGCGCTACAACACGGCCAAGCGCGCCCAGGATCTGCTGGAGCAAGCCAAACTGGGGCTGCAAGAGCGTCTGGACGACTGCCACAAGCACATCTCCAGTCACAATGTGAGTATCCCCGAGCGCCCATAGTCGGTAACGCGTTCGCCGAGCTGATTTATCCTCTTCTGCCGCAGCTGGCCTTGAGCGCCGTGCGAGGCGGCCAGCTGGGACGCTGGATCAGCGAGCTGCAGGCCTGCGGCGGTCAGGAGGAGCAGCTGGTGTTCGAGCTGGTGAAGGAGTTCCTGCAGAACGCCGGCCAGAGCCAAATGATCGCGCAGTGCGAACAGTCGGAAAGCGAGCTGGGCCAGCTGGCGATGCAGCAGTCGGTGCTGGTGCGCAGCTGCCTGGATCTGCTCAGCCAATACTCGGCCATCTGTAGTCTGTACCCGCTGAGTCACATGGCCCAGCACCGCTCGCTGGCCTACGCCGGCTGGGCGGGCAAGCTGCTGCTACAGGCGGCCTCGTTGTCCGCGGGCAGCTTGGAGGCCTGTCGCGAGGTGCTCGGCCAGCTGGAGGCGCTGGCGGCACCGGCACGCCCCGGCAGCCCACGTCTGCAGCGTACCGTGGCCTTCTCCTACCAGGTTCAGGCCATCTTGGGCGAGGCTAACGACAAACTGACCAAGGCCTACGAGCGCATGATCACCGAGGGCTTGCCGGACGCGCTAGCGCGCATCGACAAAGCCCACCTGGACTCAAAGGCGCAGATCGCGCAGTTCCTGCGCAGCAAGGAGCAGGGCGCAGACAAGGCACTCGAGTGCGTGACCGTCGGCGCACTCTGCGCCCTCAACAAGAAGTAAGTCGATGCTCTTGGCCCTGTGCGTCTATGACCCTCATCGATTGACTCTCTGTCGCAGGTACCTAATGATGGAGGGTGCGGCCAAGTGCGCCGGTGACTGCCTGGTCGATCTCACCTCCCGCGACGGCGACTGGTTCCTCGACGAGATGCGACTCATGTCGTCGCTCATCGTCGAGCTGCTCTCTCTACTGCCGTCCCTACTGCCCACCGACGACGGCCACGAGTGTGCCGATCCGAACGTTCGTCTAGTCGTACGCTGTCTCCGCAGCGCCGACTCCATTCACAAGGGCCTGCAGGAGCTCAACTACAACTTCCACACCATCATACTACCCGAGGCCACCAAGACCATCATCACCGAGGAGCCCACCGTCATGCGGATGATCAACGAGCTCGACGACGTCATCGCCTCCACCGGGTTCTCCCTCATGGAGATCCTCGAGCAGCTCGAGATGCACATGAGATTCACCATCATGGAGATGGACAGCCCGCACGCCATCATGCAGAACATTGTCGAGTCACTAAGGATTCGCTTTGAGGCTTTGCTCTCACGCCCGGCGGACTTGCAAGAGCTTAATCAGGAGGAGACCCTCACTGCCGGGCAGATGCTCCTTATGGGCTTCAATGGCCTCTTCGAAAAGCTGCAGATGGAGGGTAACGCACTTATCAGCACCCTTAGCTCTGTGGAAATACCTGCAAGCTGGAAGAAAATCGACCAAGTCAGAGAAGCCAAGGACATGACTGCACCTATCTTTAACCAAGCCGCGCGAGAGGTATGTCTTTTCCATTGTGGCCAGCTCTGAACTGAAACATCGCGCCTTGAGAATCAAGTCATTTTCTTTTTAATTTTGTTTTTATATACCGATGCACTTTACTATAGGTCGGTTTAGAGCTACCTCAACAACTCATTTTAAGACTAATTGTGCTGTAATTGAATGAATAACCGTGTCAACGTTAGGTGCTAGAGGACATTTTCCTGGTGAAACGGCTGTGCACCATTCAGAGGTTCTTCTCCATGTGTCGCGAGATCGCCGCGGCTTTTCGTAGCGAGCCCGCAAGTGTATTTGAAGGTGGCTTGTCCGGTGTCTACAGCGATGAGCAGCTCAACAAGCCGATTCGCTTCTTCACCGCAGACTATGTGTCTCGCCAGTTGATCGGTGTCACCTCGCAAAGTCTTGCCATTGCTTTATGCTTCCTACTGCAGCGCATGGGCTTAAATGTCAGCACGGAAATCGAGCAGCGGGATATTGGCGCGGAGAGTAAAGTGCCTCTGGAAGAGCTTTGTCGAAAGGCCCTCGATATCGGTCTGAAGAGGGGCCTATTTAACGGTTCCGCTCTCGCGCAAGCCAACGCGCTAAGCAGCGCACTCGAGAGTAGTTGGCGAAGGATGCAAACTGCCAAAGCCACTCAGCAAGCAGTGGAGGTCGCCAGAGCCAGTGTCCAGAGACTGCAATTGCAATTAACCGCCCACTACTGGCTACATGAAGACTACCTACTAGTCGGCTCCAATATCAATCTGATTAGTCCACTAAGTGAGTATCCCAATCCTACCTCTAGCGTTCCATACTTCTCGAGAAAGCTGACTCAACTTGTACTTGTGTAGATCGGGCGTCGTTCATGCTGGAACTACGCAAGACCGCCGCTGCTCTATCCAGTTTGCAGGCTAGGGTGAACGAGGCGCGCGAACAACAGCAGAGCCTGGTGCAGAGCGCGGTACAAAGACTCAAGTGGGCCGCCGGCGCGAACCCTGCGCTCAGCGAGGTGATGGCAGCCTTCGACAATGCAGTAATCATCAGCTGCGAGAAACTGCAGCGACAGGCCAACCTGTCCGGTTTGGTGGCTAGCACCTGCAACTCGATCCTACACTACGAGGCGATACGCACGCGCACTCAGGAGAGCCTGGCCAACGACGCCAACTTCGTGAAGCTGGTGAAGCACTGGGAGGAGAGCTGCGTATTGGGCATGAGCCTGACCATTACGGTGACGCCGGTGGAGGAGGGCCTTGTAGAACTGCTGCAGAACAGCAGCAGCTCGGCCGATGGCGGTAACATCGACGCCAACTGGCTGCGCCAAACAGAGAAACTCATCTCGGAGGCTATTGTTGAGGCGCAGAAGAAATTGAAGGAACGCCAGGAGAGTCTGGCCACGGCGCAGCAAACGCTGCGCGAGCAGGTGGCCCTCTTGCAAGCTATCGTCGCTGAGCACCATCGCCTCATGAACGATGTGCGGCTACCGCTTCGCAGCATGGCCAAACAACAGAGCCTAGTGGGTCTGCGGGACTTCTTGCTGAACTACCGTTCGTGTACGGAGAGCCTTTCATCCACCGTGAAAGAGCTAGAGTCTGAGAATCTGGAGCCGGCGCGGGCCTCGCTACTCAAGATGGAGTTGGAGGTACTCGCCGTTAAAACACCTCAACTCTACGACGAGCTGCTGTCGTTCGCCAAGCCGCCCGCTGCCGGCGGCGGTGAGTCGATGGCGGCCGAGGCGACGCCGGCCCCGCCCACGATCACAAGTAGGGCCAAGCTCGTCAGGCAGGACAGCATATGCCTAAGCCCTAGAAAAGGAGTGCCGGCACCAGCTCGTGACCCAACCACCGGCAAAGGTAAGATAGTGGCTTTTGATCTTAACCCCTACCCCTCTCAAATGGTTCATCCCTATTTTGTTTTCTTCTTTCGCAGCTGTGCAAGAGCGCAACGCTTACGCGCTGAACGTGTGGCGCAGGGTGCGCATGAAGCTCGAGGGCCGCGACCCCAACCCTAATCGCAAGTACTCGACTGCTGAGCAGGTTGAGTACGTGATACGCGAGGCTCAGAGCATCGAAAATCTGGCTCTCCTCTATGAAGGCTGGACGCCATGGGTTTGAGCGGCCACGTGGAATACGCCTTGCACGGCGTCCTGGAATTTATAAAGCATGCGCAAATCCACGATAACGAGCCAAGCAACAGTTACTCAGCCAGCCAGTCGGTGTCTCTTTTTCTAGAAGAATGTCAAAGCTATCGACCAAGAGTTAGATAGGCGAACAAGGGACAGCAGAAGGAGAACGAAGCAGTCAATCGTGGCTTTAGCCACACGCTGCTATTGCTGCTGCTGCTGCCGCCGCTGCCGCTGCTGCCATTGCTGCTATACCGTGATGCCTCATTTAACTGGCGGCTTGACCAACGGCCAGTCCATCAACCTGCGTTAATCTGCTCACCGTAGATGTCTCAATTCAAAACCTCCCCTTCTCCCTCTTTCTCAATTTCATGAAATAGTCAGGAGCCTTTCGACCTTATCGAGACGTACAAGCACCGAGCAGAACCTAACGAACAAACATTGTTATTCAATCAATTCGAATAAACAACAATTGTAAGAGGGAACAAGATTGAAGCGACGTTTTATCGACTTTATGAATGGATTTTGACAACAGATTAGAATTTGCGTTAAATAAATTGCTTGGGCAAATCAAAATATTCATACGCATCTTGCCCTTATCTCAATTTTCGTTTTTGTCCCATTTATCCATTTAATATTATTTTTATCATCATTACTATTACAGCTACTACGACTATCATTATTATTATTATTATTATTATTATTATTATTATTATTATTATTATTATTATTATTATTATTATTATTATTATTATTATTACTACTACTATTATTGTTGTTACTACTATTACTGTTCTCTCTGGCTATAACCACGCTCACAGATCTTACTGACTCTCGGCCATTATACTCGATGGCAAGATATTTTTGCAGATTTAAAGATAAATTTTTTCAATGCAAACGAGTGACTATTTTGAAAAATAATGACACATGGCTTTTATCGTCACTTGAACCGGGACAACCGAAATTATATAAAGAAGAATTCATTTGGGACAATGTTCGATATCAAAAGCTCATTTAGGATGTGGATATCATATGGGTAGAAGAATCTAGGCCAATAGCATAATAATTAGCGAAAGTGCGACATTTATTCAAGTTATAATGAAAATCTTCTCGAATTACCTTGTTTGATATTCAATTAGATTACGTAATTTATACTCCGGTTTATGTGTTGATTTTCTGCAGAAAGTTACAAAAATTTTTAAAAATTAATCAGACGCATACAAATTTTGATGACCTAAGAAATTTTTAATCGTGTTTTTGATAAAAATGTTATTATATTAATTAATCGTGATCGCGGAAATTTAATCCAAATCAATATTATTTTTCATTAATTTTCGCAAAATCATTTTTTCATTGAAAGTATTTCCAGATATATTATATTTATATGAAAATTAAAAAACAGTTTGATTGCCACGTGACTCATAATGAGCATGATTGTTTCTATTTAAATTAACTGATTTTATATCTCTAAAAAAACACTACTAAAAGATTAATTTTAAAAGATATATTAACCCGATCTATTTGATGTGATGTATACTTCAAAATCAGCGTCGCAAAACGATTACGTTTTGACAGTTATTATTGAAAAAATAAATTATTTTATTTCTAAAAATATATAAGGATAACTTGAAATAGATAAGCTTTTATGCGTAATTATTGTAGAAACTATAGGATGCAAACGTCAATTTTACAGTAAAAAAGTTTGTGAGAAACATTGCTTATTTTTGCAAGATGTCAAAAATTTGACCAAACCATTGTACGAACAAGAAATTTTTGAAAAAATCCTTACATCTCGTATAAGAAGGATCCGAGAGTTACATATAAGTAGTATAATTTTTTAGATATATTGCAAGTACAGCGGGTTTTCAAACAAATTAAAAAATAGGGATATTAACTGTTGATTAAAAATCAAAGCCATTTTAAACAGCCAATAATGTGAAATAGCTAAAATTTATAATATGCTTCATTTTAAATAAATGAAATTTTGACACGCGGAAGAATTCAAATTAATAAATTATTTTTGTAACTTGAGTACAATTTTTTAATTTATTTGGGTATAAACATTGATTCATATAAATTAATTTTTTTAATTAAATTTTCTATCTTTTATCGATGATTTTTTGGTAAACTGTCATTCGACCATAGCTGTTTATTTTATGACATCACGTTTATGCTAAGGTGACCGTATGTTGAAATCTGGTACATTGAACACATGTATAGATAATTTCAATAAAGATAAAAAAATATGTATGTAGCACTTGCTAGTCACAAACACTTTTCTCCACTTACCCTTAATTTTCTTATCACGACTCGACAAGGATGACCTTTCTGTAGGCTTGTTATTTTTCCCAATGTTGCTCATTGACAATTATACTTTTTCGTAAGACTGTAACACTTATAGAATAACAGTAACATCCAATTCATCAGCTAATCATGTTGTTTCACTTGCATGTTATTATCGTATCCGTCAGAACATTATGTTAAAGGAAATACTAAAAAAATAATCTAAATCATGCTCACAACTTATAAGTCAATTACGATCAATTGCAAACTTTTGTCCTCCTTCAAAAATGGATTAAATTCATATTCTTGAATAAATTTGTTACTTAGTTAAAATAAAGAATAGAAAAATATTTTTGTAGATCTTTATACATGTTTAATTTATATATGAAAATTTTTAACAATAAACTACTTTACGATGTTAACCTTAGAATTAGAAACTTAACGGTAATTGCCCATCGCTATACAAAAGAAATTTTTTACAACAATTACACAAGTTATTTTTTATAATACATCCCATTATCACATTATGATGGACTCACAGCTCTATTTATACATTTAAGATCAATAGAAAAATTGCGGCGCACCTTTTTCGTTAATCAAATTATTAAATTGCATGTATTTTAATGAGCTTGCACAGTGCATAAATTACTAAAAAAAAAATATTAAATTGCACGTCTGAAACGAAATGTTTTTCAAGCAATATCCCATGATTTTCCACGCTTGAAAAATTTTATACAATGTATTTCAAACAAACGTATTATAATGGCAAAACCATTTTCATCAATTTGTAACATAGCAGATTACTATAAGAATTGAAAAACTAACATGAACTATTTCAAACGTATATCCATTATCTGCCAGTAAGTTATTAAACAGTATATAATAAAGAATTATAATGTCAGAAAATAACACCAACAATTGTTTTAACAAAAATAATACATGGAACCACATTGACGATAAATTAACAAATGTTTCTATAGGCAAGTCACATCAAGCCCTTTCATGTGCTCTAAAATATCTGGATGACTTTTACGTATATTTATTTACCGAAGATACCCAGACTAATACCAATGCACATTTGATCATTTTATTAACTAGATTTTTTAAACAACCATCTATTCAATGATCTCTCTGCAAAAGTTGATCTATTTGTGTCTTATACATTTCTTTCACATCTAAAAGATCAAGTTGAAGCTCTTGATTTTCTTCAACTTTCTCACCATACATCTGTAATAATGCATCGTACTTTGTTTGAATATCATTTAGATTAGCTTTAATTGTCTCCAGCTCCGTTAAATTTAAATTCAAATCTTCAACTTTTGAAGCTAACAATGAAACTTCGGTATTGAGAGCGTCTCTTTCTGTATTACGACGGGAGATCTCCCACTGCAGTTGTTGCACTTCACCTGAAAGAGTAAGTAAGAATAAATCCATTTAGATAGTATGCAAACACTCAATAAAATTTTATAACTTCACTTACCTTCGCGTTGTTTTAACTGAGATTGCAGATTTTCAATCATTGACGTGCTATTGGTTCCAGATCTAAAGCTCTCGTAAACATTTGGAAATCTGCCAGAGCTACTTTCAAACATGGTCTCATTAAACTAAAAAATTAACAAAATTTTTATTAAGCAAAGATTTTGAATATAAACATTATTATGCTACTTCGTGCGCAGCGAACGAATAACTCACAGGTAGCCAATTACTATTTGAACTGCTAACGGATTCTCTTTCCATATCGAAACTCGGACTATATCGCTGCTGTTCGTCGTCAAGACTCTGAAGTTGTTGCTCAAATACTGCGTGATTTTTCCGCTTCTCAGCTTCAGTTGCTGCCTTCTCCATAGATAATTTATTCTCTAAAGAGGTGATTTCTCGCTTTAATTCCTTAATTTCTGTTGCATGCGCCTCTTCTAACATTTTCATTGCATGCTTGTGCCTATAACATTATGACAGAGTTTTTCACCAATGCCGCATAACCATGTAAAAAGCTATTTGAAAATAATTTTGAATTGTTAAATTACTTACACTTCTGTTTCATCAGCAAGTTTTCTATTATTTTTTTTTAATGTTTCCAATAGTTCTTCAAAATTTTTCTTATCAGCGTCTTTAGAATTAACCTTTAATTCGAGAACAGAACATCGAGATTTATAATTGGCGTTCTCTTCGCCGAGCGATCGGTTCATCTCAGTGACCGCCTCCAATTTGGACTGTAGATCGGCTAGTTTTTCAATCATAACTTCTTCTTGTTTCATAAATGTGTTTGACTTGTACGACAAGTTAGACTGCAACTGTTCTATTTGACGAAGCAAAGGTATTGTAGCTTGTGACACAGATTCAGACATATCTTCATTGCGAGATTCCGCCGATTCTAAACGTTTCAACAGATCAATATTCTCCTGTTTTAATAATTTCTCCTTACTAAAAAAAAGAAAACAAAAGGAATAATGTTTCAGTCGGTGAATAGTTAAATACATCATATTGTACTCAATTATTATTTTTTACCCGGCGTGAGCTTCCTCCAATATTCTGAGCTTTAACTTTAAATCGTCAACCTGAGACAATAATTGATGCGACTCGCCGGCATTTTCTGTTGCTAGTTTCAATTCTTCTTTGACATTAGACAACTTTTCCTTTGCCTCGATCAATTCTCTATGTCAAACAAAAGCGTATTCTATCAATATATGGCAAAGAAAAGACGAAAATAGATTTATCACACACTTACGCTTTGGCAGCATCAAAACTTTTCTTGTATGCTTCCATTTTATTTGTAACGTGATCGAGCTGTTCACTGAGACTCAAAATTTCTCTTTCTTGCTTCTTACTCTTGTTGGTAAGAGTATGTACAGCTTCAATTTGATTTCGTTCAACTTCCTCTTTTGCATGTAACGAACGCTTCAATCTTTCCAATTCAATCGATTGTTCTTCTATCTGTTCTCTAGATGTAGAAAAAGTGAGTTAATCTAATTTTTTCAAGAGAATGAGATTTTTTTTATCGTACGATAACAAAATAGAGAGTGAATTACTTTTGATTTTTTATCAGTGCATCGTTTTCTTTTTCTTTGGCCCTCAGTTTTTTAATAATGTTACTCAGTTGTAATTGTTGCTTGCTGAGCTTTTCACCTTCCTCACGTAACTCTTTGATAATTTCATCTTTTTCGGCGTTAATATTCGATATTTCAGCCGTGGAAAGTCTAGAGGCAGCTTCCTGTTTCATTTGTTCGAGGTTCTTGCGCAGCGCATCCCGTTCTCTGATTGCTTGCTGAAACTTCCTCTCTAAAGCCGACAAGCGTTGAGTATAGTCATCGGTTATTTGGGTGATGTCTTGGCTGTGCTCAGCGTGCTTCTCAACGTTGTCCAGTTGTCTAAAATAAGATCATCGATTGTTCTACGAGCACTCAAATAGATAATCAGCGTGGCGAAGCATACTTTTTCAAAGTGGAATTGTGCTCGTGCAGCTCCATATTCGAACGGCTAACTTCGATGAGCTTGGACTCGCGAGCTTCGAGAATCTCGGTCATTTCACGAATTCGCCGAAGCAATCTCTCGATCTCAAGATTCGTGTCGTCCGAGCCGACGCTTATTTCACTCAGTTCGCGCGAGTGTCCGCGTGTTTTCAAGGTCTTGGTCAGCAAATCCGCGCCTCTGCAGGACTGCAGTTTAGCAGGGCTCTGCCGCGACTGCGTCGAACTCGAGTCCCCGTTAGGGCTACCAACAGAACAATGCCGAGTGTAGCTACAATCAACAGGTCGACTCGGTAGCAACCGAACAAATTCGAGCCTACCTGTACCTAGATATTATCTCGATGTCGCTGGATGTCGTGGTCTCCAATTCGTCGCCGCTGGTGTGGCCGCTAGTTTGATCCGAGCCGATCTTGACGAGGTCTGATCTGCAGCGGCAGAGGCAAATGGAGACATGAAGCCGAACGTCCGAGAGAGAACGGAGCGCGGAAGCAAGAACAATCGTACCTTTCCGATGAAATGGGCGAGTTGTCGCGCGGCGGCACGTCAGCGGTCTCACTCTTGTCGGACATGGCCTCGGCGAGCATGCTTCTGACGTAGGAACTGTTGCTGAGGGCGAGGGGCTGCGTGGCCACGGGTGCCCCGATCCGGCAGCCGCCGGCTGCTGTCGCGTTCTCCTCAGAGCTGCTGCCGACCAGCGTCTCCTCGCAGCTCGAGTCCGTCAGCATGAGGTACTGCTCGCTGCCGCTGCTGCGAGCGAGACTCTCGCTCTTATCCTGGTCGGCGGGCTCGATGGTCGTTGAGCACTTGAGCCGGTCGAACGAGCTGCTCTCCTTCGTCGCGTCCTGCACAGTCACTTTCTGAGCGGTCGGCTGCTCGGCGGCGAAATCCGACTTTCGGATCGGCTGCTTCGTTATAGCTTCGATCGGTAGGTGAAGCCCAACCTACAACGAAAAACAAACGAGCTAGGCGAGCTAGAGGAGTGGCGCGCGCGGCAATCGCACACTTACGAGGCTCGACTTGTCCTTCAGCGAGTCCAGGCTGGAGTTGAGCGACGGGTAGTCGACGGGGCCCAGGCCGGAGCTACCCGTAGGCACGACCGAGCGACAGTCTAGACAAGAGTCGTGCACCTGCTGCTGCTGCTGATGCTGCTTCGGCTCCGAATGATGCGAGCCCTGCAGGGTGCTCTCCGTAGCCGAGGTGTACAACGAGTCGTTGGCCAGACTTGGCTCGTCTTGGTCGTCCACGGCGACGCTCGTCTCCACGCTTTCCGCCATGATAGGGCTACTCGTGGTCGAAGCGTGCAGTGCCTTGGAACGCGAATTGCTCAAGCTTACTCGCAACGAACTCGCCAACTGCGAGCCTTCCAGGGTACTAGTCGAACTTTTTATATCCTCTGATATTTAAAACGTGACCCTTATTCAATTATATGTCATTTTTTACTGGTTGCTTATAACTACGTACCTCCGTCAGACTCATTGAAGGCAGACACATTGCTTGGCGTGGGTGTTATGCATGCTTCGAAAAGCCTATCGTCCATCGGCGACAAGTATGGGCTCTCATCGCTCTTCCAATCGTTAATCACTTCCACCGAACTTGGTGAAGTGACCGAACTATCGGGCAACACCTCTACTGACTCCGAATTAACTTTTTGACCCGAGGCACTTGAAGAATTCACTTCCGAATCTGGACTATTGGTACAGTCTGTACTGTCTTCCAACTGAAAACTTAGCGCTTCGACGCTTTCAGAACTTCGCTTATCACTTTCCGCAGACAGAACCGATAGCCGATTCAGAGAGTGACTGGCAGTTTGCTCCTTCTGTCTAACCACTACAATGCTTTTTCTAATGGTTTCATTGCTTTCTTCTTCTTGTCCTCTGTTCTTGTCCTCTGCTCTACTTGATGCTTCTTCAAACCTTGATAAGCTAATTTGCTTATCAGCCGTATGTGTTTTTTCGCATCCTGTAAGTACATTTTATAACAGTTAAAAATGGTCAATAAGACAATTATTCAATTAATTGTTATCTCCAAAAAAATTAACAAACATTCTCACCTTTCATGTCAAACTCCTCCAAACTATCAGACTTTGATGTAAGAAAAGTAAATTCTGGGTCAATTGGCAACTGTAGGTTAGCATGGTCAAGTGGAACTTTATTTCCTGTTTTATTTGATAAACTTTCTGGAAATGACTTTGAGGACATAAGAGATATCTGTATTCTATCTGCATTTTCAGTTGAAACTTTTGAGGACTCGGAACATTTATCGGCGATAGCAGTCATGTCTCCTTTTGGATTTTCAAAAAAGGATCCCGTAAAACTGCCCCAAATGCTAGTACTTGCTTGATTCCTACTTATATTTATCTCTTGGTCCTGATTAACATCTGCAGCTGCTTCCTTAATTCCCCACGTATCAAAAAAATCCAAAGATGGGTCTGCTGTTTGTGCCATGGCTTGAGCCCGGTCTTCATCTTTGATATCCAAGGCTTTATCTATTGTTTTTTGAGCTTCTTTTAGAGCTGTTTTGGCCAAACTAGCAAATCCTGACGTCTCAAACCAACTCATCCTTCTTCATATCTGCATGAATGTACAACCCCGTTTGACACTTTCCACTTACTTGATAGTTAAATCGTAAATTGCAATTAACGTTAAAAAGAGAAATTACCTTGTAAATGAATAAGCTGTATCAATTTTCATGAATAGTGTTTAACAATAACAACTACACCACGTATTTCAACTTACATTCATTTGTTTCAATTAAAGATAACTAGTGCAAAATATTTTACATCTTATCGCTACACACAGTCTAGAAAAAAAAACCAATATTTATACAAATGTTCCTTTGGCTGATAGAAAAACTGGCCTATATTGTATATACTATATATTAGCTATACTTGGATACATGTAACATATATTAGCAGTCGACGCGAGGTTCTCTGGCGTGCTGATAACTGCTAGTTTTGTTGACGTTGCACGAACATACACCCGCAACGGTGCTGCCTGTATTTTTTGAATATACAGATGAAAATAAATTGGAATTTATAGAAGTAATAATATAATGCTACAAGACTTGTAACAGTTGTAATGTAATTTAATCTCGAAATGTCTTGAAAATTTAATATTTTTGGATTTTTATACTTCAAGAATAAAAGAAATCTTTCTTGCCGACTATTGCTATTATTTTATCTTTGCCTACTGAAAAAGGTGCAAGTCGTTCAAAATCATAATAATCATATTAATATTGTGACAATAAGAGCAACAGTATTGATTCGGTAGGAAACGATGAGGGAGTGATACACGATACCTCGTTGCACGATCCGTTTCAAATGCCATTTTCGATCTTATCGGCTGCAGGTGAACAGCTTGCTGTTTGGGATGCAGTTTACGAGTCAGTATCGCGTTATATTTGGCAAATAATGCGAGTGCGACAACAATTATTATTATTATTGAAAAGCGGACAGAACGACGGGATGATTTCCAAACAAATGAAGAAGTCGACGATGATCCGCGGCACAGTGTATGATGAGGTGGAATTTTGACAAAATTCTGATAGATCGGAGCTGTTTTGTAGTAACAATGATTTGAACAAAAACGATAAATAACGAGGTGGCCAAGATGAATGATGGCGCGCGTTGGATCGTTGACATACATTGGAGCGCACAGTAAACAGTTACATTTCTGGCCTTATTCGCCAGCAGCTCCAGTGGCGCAATTGGTTAGCGCACGGTACTTATAAGACAGTGTTCGTGAGCAATGCCGGGGTTGTGAGTTCGAGCCTCACCTGGAGCATTTTTTTTAACACCCTTTTTGTGCGTTCTTCGCCACGGGGGAGCTGTCTCGTGTTCCCTCCAAGAAATCCTGTCCGCTTTCCCTTTTACCTCACCCCGGCGAGTGCGTCGCCTACTTTATATCGAGCTGCACGTCTCAATTGCACGTCTTCGTACTCGCTCGAGTAAAGTGTGTTCTCTCGAAATGACCTTAATGCATTTACCTTGGCTCCCCATTTATGTTGTCTGCTTTTCAACGAACTGCCATTTTCAGCGGCTCACAGCTTTCTGTTTATGGATAAGCTTGACGCTTGTCGCAGCTACACTTTATAATGTTATTGTTTATCACGATATCATTGCATCTTCGAGAGTTCGAGAATTTTCACAAGATTGTCAAGATAGTATGATTCAACGTTCGACTGCGCTGGTGATATTCATAAATCCCTTGAAACGCAGCTTCAATTGGTTTCCGTGATGCGACGGACGCGTATAACAACATTGCGTGCAGCTCGGTGAAAGGAACGCACGAAAATAATGATGTGTTCAGTTGTGAGGAAAAGCAGTTGCGCGGCATTTCCAATTGGACTCGACAATTTTTGGCTTTTTTTCCAATAGCTCCAGTGGCGCAATTGGTTAGCGCACGGTACTTATAAGACAGTGTTCGTGAGCAATGCCGGGGTTGTGAGTTCGAGCCTCACCTGGAGCAGTTTTTTTTTCGCAAGAATTTTCTCGCTCAGCAGCGACGAGTCCCACGGTGTCGTCGTTGTGAGATTATACGAGACAGCGCCATTCGATGCAATCGAGAATCGCGCATTTTATTCGTTGCGCTTCGAGCGGTGAACGAAGATTAATGGCATCTCTCCGACGCAGCATGCGCGTGTCATTGTAGTACCAGCACCGGCGCGATGAACGCCGGGAATCTAGGTGTACGAATGCAGCAGACGCCAGCGATTGCTCAATGGGGAGATGCATCGTAACGCTCGCATTCTCTTCCCCGTATAAGCATACATCATTGACCGAGATCGACCCTTAACCAATTGCCTTGGACGGCAGCCGAATTGTCTTAGCGTGCAAGCTCTTTCCCGATGCCACGCGAATCGCGACTGCGACGATTGAATTTCAACGCAGGAAGGATCGATAATCGTATAAATCGAAAGCCATTAAAGAGCGAGACGAGCGCGAGGTTGTCGCGTCGCGGCTAATTGCCGTGGCGAAGTCTAAGATACGCACGCACGACAGCTCAGAGACGCGAAGTTCACCTTCGCAAGGTTGTAATTCGTATGATCGGGCGCGATCCGCAGGCGCGTCGGAGTGGCGAGCCCCAAATGCCGAGGGCACGCGCGCACGCGCTGAAATAGGAAAAGCTTAAGCATCGATTAAATGCCAGAGTTGCTCTCTCTCTCTCTCTATCTCTATCTCTCTCTCTCTGTAGTTTAGCTATAAACTCCCGTTGAAAAATCAGCTCGTCTCGCACGCGGCCCGCGAGGAATGGATCCAAGAGGCCACCTTTTTTTTGCATTCCTTATCACTTCGATCCTAATGATAATCCACTGTTTCTTTACCGCTTTCAGTAGCAAACGCCGAAGCACCCGTCTACTTTCCTAATCGAACGACGACGAGCATCGGTTTACTTGGCGATAATGGCTTGTTTTGGTATATTCGTACTTCGTAGCGTACATTGCCGCGCGTGCAAGCTCTCGACCCGCGAGCGTCCCCCTCGCTTCCTCATTCTCTCTCGGAATCAGTCTGTTAGTAGAGCAGCCGCATGCGCTGGTGATTCGCTGACCTGCATGTTAGCCGCGCGCGTCTCAGGGGAAAAACCTTCCTTCTTGCCGGGCGGCACTTTACAATTTTTTTTCCCTTCTACGGTACTCCTTCCACCTTGTGAAAACTTGATACGGGTACTACTTCTGTTTCGTCTTTTCCTTTTTCTTCGACAATTTTTAAAGTACCGGCAAGCTTCTGCGAATCGTTTTATTTTCAAGAAAATGAGCAGATTCATTCGTGAGTCTTAATTATTTCGTAAAAAAGAAATGATATAAAGATTTAATATTTTAGATGTCCAATCGTTTTTTCTGGAGGAAAATCTTCAGTTACATGTCCGCGACCGAAAGTGCACTCAGGTAACAGTTGTTCCTTGGCGCCCGCAGACTATTATTATCCGGAACCAACAACTGGGATAAAAAGTAGCTTGGAAAATTTGAACGCAAGCCACGCTGAAGGCGATTGACCCCATTTTCCGCTGCGCAACTTGTATATCCGTAAATATAGCAGCGCGTATGTTTGCGATAAGGCTATTCTCGTTATCAACGTTGCCTTGAAACAAAAATAATGGCAACTCGTCGCTGACAAGCAAAAGTCTTCGCGAAACCACCAGGATTAGGTGTTCGGGAAAGAGGTATCGGTACAATTGACAACGAGCAAGTATCAAGTTTCTATAGGTTTCTTTTTATTATAATTCATATTTAAATGATAAGTATAAAAAAAACATAGTTACGATTGACAAGTGCAACGGTAACTACATGAACAACCTGTCTTTTCTTTCAACAGTCGATGAAACACGTGGATAATACAGTTGGAGATGATTTGCTCCATAATCAAGTATATAAAATTACGAATGGAAAATTTGCGGGTGTCGCGTGAAACGACGACCGAGAACAAGAAGGAGAATGCAACCGAGTGACAGAGATAACAAACGGAGAGCAGTCACTGCGAGCGAAAAACTTGAATGACGAGTCACCACAGTCCGTCTCCGTTGGGCTGAGCGCGTGCACACGGCGACTCCCGGGATCCCCGTTGTCCTCGCACTTGTTGCGTAACGTTCGCCGACTCAGTGCGGCGCGGCTTCCGAGAGCTAAGCTCTCGCCGACTATTTCTACAATCACACCTCTGTGCATCTCTCGTATTCTACAATACTACCTTACACTTGGAATAAGGAAAAATTCATTGCAGTGAAATAGCGTAAGTGGTGCATTTTTGCTGATCTCCTCTCTCCGCTCCATCGACTTATCAAATGCTAGCCTGTAGTGGGTTCGCTCGGCAAGTAAAGCAAGCCCTCGTGCGTCGGGCTCCAAGCGATCCCGCAAGTGCAGGGGATCTCTTCCGAGCGTCCAAACCGCAGACTAGTCCGCCGGCAGTCGGTTCGGTCGGAGCCGCGCAAAGAACGGCGGCCGCCGGTTTCGGAACGAGGCAGCTCGGGCAGGCGAGACTGTCGCGTGCGGTGTGCGGGCGCTGCGAAATCGCGGACCGACTACTGCGTTCTACTGATGAGCTACGTACTATCACAATTCGCCTGCGGCACGCGCACCGCAGGCCGGCCGCGCTCCTCAATTTCGCTCAATTCACGGGGCGACGTTCGTTCGCGCTATCATTGCTGATCCTATCGGATTGTTACGATCGGCGTGGCGTTCGCTCGTACGTAACGGGCCGAATCAACGCGATTGACTCTTTTTTTCTTTTTTTCTTTTTCGTTTTTTCTCTTTTCTTTTCTCTTTCGAACAAGCCGATGTTCAAGTGCATAATAGACGTATATACCGACGACAACGAACGCAGCGCGATGCTGCGCAGAGGCAGGATCGTATAATAATTCAATTCCTATTGTAACGGGATACTGTGCACTCGATTGGCGTCCCCACCGCGTTGGGCGTGCGCGTGCGTTGAGTGGGCCGTCGCGGCGAGCGGTCGCGCAACGACATTGCCCGAGATCGCGAACGACGAACGCCTGTACGGCAGCCCATGGTCGGTGAATCTAGTCTCGCGGAATAGGAGCTGCACGTTTCCCGTCTACTTTCATTTCGGGTGTCCGCCCCCTCCCCCTGCCCCCCATTTGCAGGTTGCCATTCGCGATGTCAGTGCACGCGACCACTGAACGACGGTGCGGTGTCCGAGCGACGTTTCCTCTCGCCGGCCAAACATCGTCGCGCGTGCCATCGCTTGCCGCGCTTATTTACAATATAACGTATATAATAAATATCTGTTATCTACATATGTCGCTCTACGGTAATCAATTGTTCGGCTTGTCGCTCGAACGATATATATATATATATATATATATGTATAGTCCACGCGAGCGCCCGTCCAGTCTTGCAGTGCGAGCCGCGTCGCGGCGGTCGTTTGATTAACGAAGGACGCATCGCACGCCCGCGATCAATTGACGCGCGTTCGCCATTTCGCACTCGCCGTCGGTCGCCGAGTCGCTCGGTCGCCCGGAAGCTCGGAGCGTCCCGCCGCAGAGTCGGCCGAGTGTCGCGGGCTGCGCCGCGTCCGATTCTGCCCACGGAAAGTAGAGGAGAGTCGCGAGGAACGAGTTTACTTTGCTAGGTTACTTGTGAGATACAGCGTTGGGTTCGGAGCGCCGCAGACGAGGCGACGGAGATTCTACTCGTGCGAAAGGTCGCGCGGCAAACGGAGCGATCCGCGCGGGATCGGCAGTCGGTTGGCACACTTTCGGCCGGGCGGGCGGCCCTCAGACGGTGGTCTCCCGGTCCACGTGGATGTACTCCACGAGGCCGGGCTGCAGCTGCTGTCAGGAGGGGGCGCGGCGGCGCGCGCCGCCCAGCAGGCTCTCCTCGGTGGGCGCGCGCCTCGGCGGCCGGGCGCCCGCGCCGCCCTCGTACTGCAGCCGCTTGGCGCGCGCCTTCGACTGGCCGATGACGATGGCGGAGACGCAGGCGGCGGCGGCGAGCACGCCGGCCGCGGCGGCCACCAGCAGCCAGACGGCCGAGGGCAGCAGGCCGAGCAGCCGCGCGCCCGCGCCGCAGTCGGCCTCGTCGTGGCCCGACGGGCAGTGCGCGTAGCCGTCGCACCAGAGCGTGGCGGCGATGCAGGCGCCGAGCTCGGGGCACTTGTGCGGGCAGTCGCGCGTCAGGCTGCCGTTCTCGGCCTCGCGCTCGGGCAGCAGGCGCAGCTGGCTGCGCAGCGCCGCGCGGCTCTTGGAGATCTCGAGCCAGGAGGCGGCGGCCTGGCCGGGCTCGCGCGCCACGAAGTCCAGCAGCAGCGCAGCCGAGCGGCCGGCGGGCGCGCCCGGCGCGCGCTCCTCCGCGCCCAGCCACTCCTCGGAGAACACGTGCACGGTGTACTCGCGCGCGCCCGGCTCCGCGGGGCAGACCACCTTGTGCAGCCGCGGCGGCCAGCCGGAGTAGAGCAGCAGCCGGTTCGCGGTGGGGCACTTGGCGGCCTCGGCGGCCTCGCCCGCGGCGGCCGGCTCGAGCGGCAGCAGCCAGCCCCAGGTGAGCACGAACAGCGAGCGGTTCTCGCGCGCCTCCACCAGCCAGGGCATGCCCTCGCAGTAGATGTCGGGCCGCGACAACGGCGGCGTCACGAAGCGCAGCTCGCCGCCTGCGGGCAGGAGCGGTGCGGCTCGGTGGTCGAGTGCCGGTCGTTGTACTGGTCGTGACAAGGCAACTCACCCTCGCCGCGGACGCGCTGCTTGCGCGGGCACTCGGGCGCGCGCACGATCTCGAAGCTGGCGTTGAAGAACAGGCTGTCGAAGTCCTCGTCGGGGCTCATGCGGTCCACGAAGAAGTGCAGCTCGAGGGCGCGGCCGGAGGTCAGGTGGCTGAGCGGCAGCAGGCCGCCCGAGGACGCGTTGCCGTCGCAGAGGCAGGCGCGCGGCAGGCGCACGTCGCGCCAGGGCGCCTCGAACAGGCTGAGCCGCGCCTCGCGGCTGCCGGGCTCGTGGGCGCAGCGCGGCCGGCCGCTGTGCGGGTCGAGCTCGCTGCCGCAGGCCGTGGCCTCGCCCAGGCTGACGTTGTGCAGCGTCAGCTTGACGCGCTCGCCCGCGGCCGCCTCCACGCGGTAGCGGCAGTCGAGGCGCCGCGCGCCGCCGCGCCCGTAGAGCCGCAGGTCCCGCGGCGAGCTTAGGCGGCCGCTCTTGACGCGCCGCCACAGCCGCGAGCAGGCCGCGCCCTCGACCCACTGTTCGCCGCCCTGCAGCGTGCCCACGAACTCGTACCTCGCCTGCGCCGAGTCATAGTCGCTCTATAGTCAGCCGAGGTGGGGCCGCGCGGCGCGTGCACTCACGTTGAAGTTGACGCTATTCAGGGCCGTGCCGGCCACGCTCTCCATGCGGATGGTCAGGCTGGGCGTCTGCGTCAGGTAGGACTCGTCCGGCCGGCAGGGTCTGGTGCTGCGGGTGGTGTTGCGCAGGGCCGCGTGTGCGCATAGCCGCGGGCTCTCGTCACAGAGCACCGCCAACGGCAGGCCCGTGCTCGCTGCCCCGTCCCAGAAGGTCAACTTGACCGCGCACTCGGGCTCCACCTGCTGCTGCTGCTGCTGCTGCTGCTGCTGCTGCTGCGACAGCGTCGCGTTGCCGTCGGCCAGGCCCCGCAAGTCGCGCTGCGACAGTCGATCGAACCAGTCAGCCGGGCGGACCGGACGGAACCCGCGGTCGCCACTCACCTGCGAGTAGGAGGCGAAGTAAAACCAGACGCGGTCGCCCAGCGAGCCCCGCAAGCTCCAGGTGCAGTTGGTGCCCGGTGGCAGAGCGTGCAGCGGCGCCCGCAGCGCCCCGCTTCGCCTGGCCGTGTCGTTGACCGAGAAGTAGCAGCCCTGGGCCGTCTGCGCGTAGTCCAGGCCGTCCGAGTCGACGTACACCACCTGCGACAGCCGGCGCACGAGCGCGCGTGAGCCTCGTGCCGCCGAGCGCCAGGCGCGCGCGCGCGCGCAGCTCACCTGGGTCTCGAGCTCGAAGCGCAGCGCGGCGGCGCCCAGCGGCACGGCCACCGGCGAGCTGACGAAGTGCACCAGCATCGCGGGCCCGCGCGCCGTGACGCGCGGCAGCGGGCCGCCGCAGTAGACGAGCAGCACCGGGTCCTCGGGGCGCGCGCCGTCGTGCAGCAGCAGCCGGTCGCGGTCCTCGGGGCAGTCCTGCCAGACGCTGAGCGCGCCGTGGGCCGCGCCGCCGCTGGCGTTGCGCGTCTGGGCCGCGGCCCACGGCGCCGGCGGCGGCGCCGCGGCCGGCGAGCTGCGCACCGACATCATGGCGTGCTTGCAGGTGGGCACCTCCTTCTGGCGCAGCACGATTAGGCAGCTCGCGTTGCGCGGGTACTCGCCCGGGTAGTTGGGGCTCTGCACGCGGCAGCTGCGCCGGTAGCACTCGTGGAAGTTGCGCGAGCAGTAGGTGCCGGGCACCGGGCTGCCGCGCTCGAGCGGCGCCTCGGGGCTGCCGAGGCGCGCTACCGCCTCCACCCGCGAGACGAAGCGGTAGCGCAGCCGGAACTCGAAGGGCACCGAGGCCGGCGCGGCGAACAGCCGGATCGAGGCGGTCACGGTGCTGGTCTCGCTGTAGTACGTAGCGCGAAGGGCCTCTCCCGGTCCACACCACGAGCCGCCCGTGAACGGCCTTCCCAGCTCAGCCAGCTGCATTGAGCCCTCGGGACAGCTGCCCCCACCGGCCTCCTCGGCCGCGGGTCGCCCTCGGGCGGAGCCTCGGCCGCGGCGCTCGAGCCGCCCGATGCTGAAGGCGTCCCACAGCAGCTGCACGAGCTCCCCATGGCCCTGGCCGCCCGCCGTGAAGGTCAGGTGGCAGAGGAACGGCAGCCTACCCTCGTCGGGCCGCGCCAGCTCCAGCCGGTAGGTGCGGCCCTCGCGCCCGTGGTAGGTGCGGTTGCAGGGCGTGCACAGCGGCGGCTCGTCGCTGCCGTCGCCGCAGTCGTCCACCCCGTTGCAGTAGGCGTCCACGGGCACGCACTGGCCCTGCCGGCAGCCCAGCTCGGCCAGGCCGCAGCTGGCGCTCGTCGGGCCGGCCGCCGCCGTCGCCGCGGCCGCCGATCCTAGCAGCAGCAGCAGCAGCGGCAGCAGCACCGGCGCCGCCTCCGCCAGCGTCCGCATCCAGCGCGGTGGCCGGCTCGCGTGCTGCCCGACTCGCCCGGCATCAGCTGCTCGCCGCTGCAACAGCCGCGCCGCCGTTACAACCTCGCCACTGCCGTCGCCGTCGTCGACGGCCATTTGCGGCGAGGACGCCCTTCCGCGTTTTCCCTCGCGGCCCGCGATCGTCGGCTGATTCGCCCGCGGCGCGCGCGCGCGACGCCTGCACGCGGGAGCCGAGGAGCGAGGGAGAGCGAGCGCGAGAAACGAGTGACGCGGCACGAGGCACGAGGAACCGGCCGCGGAGCGGTGAGCTCGTCTACAAATCACGAAAGTCTCGGAAAATCAATATGCGAGCTGCTGCGTTACCGAGAGGGAGAGCGAGGGAGGCTGCTGCTGCTGCTGTCGCCGCCGCCGCCGCCGTCGCCGCCGTTTCCTTGACGAGCAGCAGCCAGCACCTGCCGGGCTCCGACCGATTCGGACCAGCCTGCCGGCGCGAAGCCCGGGCCACTCGGAGGAGCGCGGATGCAGCGGAAGACGCGCGCCTCGAGCGTGCACGGGTGCGAGTATCGAGCGACACAATTACCAGAGGCGACGAGGGCCATTTATCAACGGGCGCCGGGTCGACGCTCCGCATTGTCGCCGCGCGCACAGACCCGATCGGGGCGGAGAGCCGAGGCGGCGCCGGCGTCCGGCCTCGTGGCCGCGACTCTCGGCTGCGCGATCCTGCTCCTCGCCGATCACTCGGGAGCGCACGGGACGACCCATTCGCCGGGCCAAATCGATAAGTAGCCGCGCGTCTCGCGAATCCGCGCCTCTCTCCCACGCTCGCCCGCGGTGCAGCCTCGGCGAGCCGAGCGGGCGCCACGCGGGCGGAACTAGGCGGCCGTCGCGCGCGCGTCCGCACAGCTGCCCCGAGTCGAGCCGCGCGGGGCCCGCGTACCATGATCCTGTGTCGGCGGACGGCGCATATCAGCAGGCTGCTAGAGCTCGCGCTGCTCCCTCGCGCTCGGGCGGCTGCGGCGTTGAGGGCGGCGTCCAAGGCAGCGCTCGTTCGCTCGGCGGCAACTGCGCGGAGGCGATGCCCGGGGAGCCAAAGCGAGAGTCGCGGGGCTGCGGGCTGCACGGCCGACGCGCACTGCGGTACTGAGCGCGACCCCTTGGCTGCTGCCCTCTCTGGCCGCCCCGCAGCCACCCTGCCCCGCGCGCACCCACCCACACCCAGCCGCGCTCGGACCGACTGAACTGCCGCGCGGAGGGCTCTCCGCTGCTCGGCAGCGCCGCGCGCCGCTCCTGGCCGTCGCCAGCCAGCCGGATCCGCGAGCGGATCTGCCCCGTCATCTGATCCGCCTTGTAGCCGCCTGACCTATATTCTCGCACGCGCGGGATGTCGCCGGCTCGTCCCGCGCGCGTCGCTCGCTCGGATCGTCAGCTCGGCGAGCCGCAGCTCGTGCGTCCTCTAGATCATCTTGGCTCCCTTGTACGGCTGGAGTGTCTCGAGACAAACGGCTTGCGGACAGCGTTAATGTGTTTTTACGATAGGACACGCCATCGGTGCTCGAGAGGGGGAAAATTCATGTAGCCGATGGCCGAAGGCATTGCTTGCCCGTTCTATCCCGACGGCTAGCTTATCAACTGTACAATCGGCCGGAACGACTTTCGAAGCGCCGTCGAGCTTTCCTCTCAACTTTCCTCGTAAAGAAGTCGAGGGCGGAAGAAAAAACGACTCGCGATCGCAGTCCGCCGAGCGTCGAAAATTCATCGTCGAACGATTGTCGGCCGAGAACGTCGACGAAGGTTAATTGTTTGAAGCACTCGGTCTGGACCGCTGCGTCGAAGACTACCGCGCGACTGTTTGCGCTTACGGTTGGTACGCTCGTCCAGCGAGGGGGGGAGGGCAAGTCGCTGATCACGATTATCCTCGTAACCGCCGAATGTGGTGTGCGCGTGCTACGTAAGTTCTCGCGGGCTGCCAGCCGCTACGTAGCATGTAGTCACGTACACGAGCGCGGCGTAGGAGCAGCGCACACAAGCCCCCGGCTATGTTGGCCTAAGTCGTACGTGCTTTATTAATCCAGCCCTCGGGGCTGTGTGCCAGCGCAGCTCGTTCCTTCGGCTTTGACGACAGCTTTGACAACAGGCAATTAATGGCTCGGTCGTTGTCCCGGCAAGCGGCGGATCCGAGCCGTGTTTGCTCGACGTAATTTCGGCGATCTTGCGACGGCGCTCCGGGCGACGATCAGTCCGTTTTCGCGCGAAACGCGCTATCGGAGCAAAGATTCACGACTTGCACCGAGAGCCCCAGGATGTCCGCCTGGAAACCCGAACCACGCCCGCCGTGGCAAGTATCGCGGAGCGCGTTACATTGTGCTCTGCCAAGGCAAACTACGACGACCACGGGCACCGGTTCGGTCGAGCGCGAGACCAAAAAAGTTGCAATGTCTCCGACGACTCACGACGACTCAATCGTCACCGACCAGCGCAGCCAGTACGACGTGACACGCGGCGCTTGCGTGACCGCAAAATGCGCTTGTGCATACAATTAACATTGCCAAGCACCCAATCGACGAACGCTGTCCACGAAAACAAAGGATTGACAGACATAACGACTCTAATGTGCATACGTCCTCGCTGAAAATCCACGTGACTCATTGACTCGCGCGTATAAGTATGAAAATATCGAATGCTGTTGCTGTTTTACACAAAGAGGACAGTGACGGCACTGAATGACGCATGCCAATTGACCTTTATTTGAAAAGTGTATGGATTGTTTTATTTAGATGTGTGCATATATGGATCACGAACGCTCAGAGATATATATATTTAAAATTCGTCGCCACGGCAAACCCCCTGTCTCTGATAGACATATATACGCAGTTACACGTATACAAGGTTAATTTTTTCAAAATAACTTTCAAAAGCAGTCTTTGCAATTACTTGTCAAATTATACTTCAATCGAGTCAAGAATGAAACGAACTCATCTTTGAAGCATCCCTTTTCCAATGGGCCTACGCGTGATTAAAATTGGGCTTCGACCGTTTCACATAAATAAGCGCAAGCATATCTTAAACAAACGGGTTAAATACGGAACCTTCCCCTTTTCCAAATCGGCAAAAATGAGAAAAAATATAATGATTGAAAGCGCTTATCTTCGTTTTATTGTTGATAAACAGTCTTGCACTGCAACCACTTCGTGAGGCTACTTCATATACTCGTATGCGATTCGATGTACCGCGAGTGTTGATATTGATTTGGATATTATCGTTTTAGAGTAACTAATTTTTTATCCTAATTAAATGATAATTTGCATGAGTTTCTAAATTGTCATTTACTATTCAAAATATATCAAATACACATGTTACATTTTTGTCAAAAATGTCATACAAATCCTACAGATAGTATTTTTTTGAGATTGTTATCTACTCCAAATAATTTTTTTTCTCTTCAGTTATTATTTTTACCATGAATGGAAGATCTCAGAAAAACCACATATATCGTTAGTATTGTGATGTAACAATTAACGCTGTATTATTGTTAGGATTATATGTAGAGTTTTTCATGGTGAATATATTTAATCTTTGTTCACTATCGTTGCGCTCAAATCATAGAAACGCGCGCTCTCTTCTTTATTTTGGCTCTTATATATATAGGACTTTCCTGACGAATTTTCATTCATCCACTCATACACGTATATTAAACTTGTGTATGGCATACAAATATACATTTAACTCGAGTTGAGTTTGTAGGTTAGGTCGCCATTTCTAATCAGAATCATTCACGTAATATTTTACCTCGATTTTTTTACCGTGTATTTTTTTTCAATGTAGTAATATTTACACTTTATCCCTTTCATTTCGTAATAGTAGCACTTTATTTGGACACTTGATTCGATATTTTTATGTTTCTCTCTTTCAGAATTAGTTCAATAATGTGCAGAATTACAAAATTGAAATAATGAATAATCAGCAGTGCAACTGATTCGCATCGAAACAATAAGGTAATGTAAATTAATAACCTTTAAAAGTAAAGTAGTAAAGATCTCAATTTCACGCCAAATAAAATAGCTTAATACTATTTTCAGAACTGTATTATTCATCAAATATTAGTCAATGTACAAGTTATTGCAATGGGAGGTTTTGTTATTCGAGTAAAATCAAAATCTGGCCAAAAAATTGTGGATAGCTTATCACCTCAAGATACAATCACAAAATTAAAAAATATGCTATCAGAATTAACAGGAGTCCATAACGAAGCCCTTTGTGTACTTCAAGGTTTTCCACCAAAACCACTTGACCTCAATAATGGGAATGCCACCTTACACGAAAGTAACATTTCATCTGGAGAGACTTTGATTGTTGAAGAAAAACAGATTGACAGCAATGTTGAACAAACTATGCAAAACGTAACACGAAAACATATAACAGAAAATGTTGATTTTGGCAATTCTCCAGGTATTCTTATGAAAATGGTTGTTCCAGCTGATAATTCATGCTTGTTTACAAGTGTTGGATTTGTTTTAAATGGTATGGCTATTGAAACTTGTAACTATTCATGTATATGATTGCTGAAACTTTGTTTATTGAATAGGTAAGGTAGATCCAAGTTGTGCTCATTCTATGAGAGAAATTATAGCACATGCTGTAGCTGCAGAACCTAGTGAGTATTGTGAAGCTATGTTGGGACAACCAAATACAGATTATTGTAATTGGATAATGAAACCTAGTTCTTGGGGAGGAGCAATAGAACTTTCAATACTTTCCAAATTTTATGGCATGGAAATAGCGGTGGTTGATAGCAGTAATGGTATTATCAATCGATTTGGTGAAGATCAACATTATGCTCAAAGAGTTTTCCTTATATTTGATGGAATACATTATGACCCTCTCTATTTAGAACCACTTGATGTAAGTTTTCTAGATATAACCATTTTTATAAAGTTTTATCATGGAGAATTATACTTTTTAAAGGGTGGGAGAATTCAAACAATGTTTCCAACAGAGGATCAAACAATTCTAAAACAAGCAGACAATTTGGCTCAAGAGGCAAAGTCTAGTCATCAGTACACTGACATTCAAAAGTTTACTTTAAAGTGCATGGTGTGTGACATGAAACTTAGTGGATCTGAAGCTGCACAGAAACATGCTAAAGAGTCTGGTCATCAAAGTTTTGGTGAAGTGATAAATTGATATTTGGGTAAAAAGAAAATGAAAAAATTGATTTCCGTTCATTTAATGAAAAAATTTTCTCGGTTTAATATTGAAATCGTGTTTTTGACAGCATTTTTTAAAATATAGTGAGGAAAAGTAAAATGCATATGGCAACCATAAGAAGGCTGTACAAAACTTATTATTTGCCTTTGGCTTGTCCTTTACCATATACCCTCACTACCTAATTTTCTGTAAACTACAAATATACAGACTTGGCTTCATGATGAAATTTATATCAATGTCAAACCTTTGTCAACCAAATTTATTCAAACTCTCAATTTCTAATATTGTAAATTGACAGTATGTAATTAAAAAATTGTAAGACAGTTTAATGATATTAGAGAGAACATGATCAATTTCTATACTCTACTATCCTTAATTTTATTGTAATATACTAAATCTAAAAATAAGTAATTTTTACTAGTTCTGATTTTTTAAGTAATCAAAATTAAATCTTAAAGATAAAAGGTAATTTATTATACAGTATATAAACTTGTATAATGTAAGTGAAAAGAAAGAAACACAAACCGAGATAATTATGATTAGAAATATACAAAATTATATATCGATTTATTAAGCTTACAAATTTTGTGTGCCAATAAAGTTTAAATCACATCAAGTAAGGTTGCAACTGAACGAGCCGACATTAATTTTCATAAATACATAATTTGAAAATATGAATTGTCAAGAGCGACTATGTAAATTTTATTCTGTAACTAAAATTATTGATTCAACATACGCGAAATGTTAAATCAAGCAATTGATTGCCTTGTACGTGATTTTAGGTATATAAGAAATTTTACGGGATTGTAACAACAAAAGTGATTTGTATTAATATGCGTGATGAATTCGTGATATTGAGAGAAAAAACGAAAATTAGCAATATATAATTGTTCTTATTTAACAAAAAATCCAGAATATGCCATCTAAATTTCAGTAGTTTTACCAACTCAGGGGTCGGACTACGCACATTGCGCAGTACGTTCTACACGTTACGGTTATGTCCAATGTAATGGGACAGTTTTGCTGACATTCGTAAAATAACAAAATAACATTATAACATTAAAAAAATGTTGTTACCCTTTTTCAACGATCAACAAAATTTAATTTTTTTTATTTAAAAAAATTGTTTTTTTTTTTAAGCCATACAATTCATTTATTGTTTCGTTATAAACTGAATTTATTTAACATTTTTTTTATATAAAAAGTATATACAGACATGCTTTCATAAGCATCATTGAAATAATTAATTAAAATGCTGATTTATTATTATTTGCCTTTCTACAAGTCTTATTAAATGATATTCCTGATCATTCTCGACAAAATAAGGCACTTCATTGTCATTTACAGGTTGAGGTATTGGCATGCTGAAAAATATAGAATAGCTTCATTTTATTATTTCTAAAATATATTTATGCTTTTATAACAAAAACAATAACACAAAGTCGCAAAGGCGTAAGTGCTTTCATAGTAGGTTAAACGTACACCGTTATGCGTTAGTACACTCTAAAATATATTTTCATTTCATTTTAAACATTGTTGATCTGAATTGAACATCAACTATTATTGCTGATTTTAAAAAGTATAAAAATAGCGTTGTATTGAATCTTATTATTTATAAATTTGCATTCACACACTACACTGATGAAGCATTAAGGTCTTAAAAATTAGCATCCAATTATTTAAACATCAATGAAATTAATAAATTAATTATACAATTCAATTGGGCATCCCTAAATTATCAAAACCTCATTTTGTGCATCGTTGAAGGTGATAATAATCATGCGAAAATAAAATAAGTTATGGGTGCTGGTACCAGCACTTAAATTTGATTCTCTAAATTCGGTGATTCATATCAATATTGGCAGTCAATATAAAATCATTGAAAAGTTTTTTACTTAATTACAATGATATAATGCTTTTACGTATTTTGATAGGCTATCATCATATTATTTCGCGCATGCGCCATGAATGGAATATGTAATTGCTTTGTATGGGAGCCTGGTGCGAATACTCGGCCTGTTTGAATCCTTCAATCTTTTTTTTGATTTTATCAAAAATTTTATTTTATAAAAAAGTCCTTCTTTTAAGATTCAACGAAAATTTATAGCTTTTTCTATTTTTCTCAACGTTGTTGAAGCTTTTTTTCAGGCGAAAATAAAATAATATAAATTATAGGTGCTGGTGCACCACTCAAATTTGACATGATTATTTTTTAGTTTGTATCGCGAAAAAAATATTTTAGAATAAGCTACTCGTTAATGCGTTGGACCAATTAACGATTGGTTTATTCTAAAAATTCTTTTTACGATAAAGCCACCGAATTTGGAGAATCAACTTTGAGTTATTGGCATCAGCACCTATAATTTATTTTATTTTCTCATGAACATTGTTAGCTTGAAAAATGCACAAATAACGTTTTAATAATTAAGGGATGTCCAATCGAATGGTATAATTAATGTATTAATTTCATTGATATTTAAATAGTTAAATGCTCACTTTTAAGACCTTGGTCATTACGACTCACGTTGATTACATCCTCTATATATTATATTACATAGTATATATGTACTATTTGCATATACGTGTGATTATTATAGGCGCTTAAAAGAACGATATTCGTTGGTATATATGTGAATTTTCGTCATATGTTTGTTACGTATTCATGTACTCATTCCGCCTTTATAATATTTGCAATGTTATAATTATAAATAAAGAAATAACTTTCTAAATATAAGTACTGCATGATTATTATTTACTGACTCATTTATAATAAAAAAAGGAAAAACAAACTCTTAAAAAATTTATAATGGATTTTCCATTTTTTCCATTCACGTAAATTTTCAATGTTCATTGTAACAAAATTAATGATTTTACCCATTGTATTACTTTCCACACGATACTGTTCTTAAGATGTTACAATGTAGTTAATACTTTTATTTATTTTATACATGTGTAAACAATTGAAAAAATTATTTATTAATTTTACAATAGTAATTTAAAGATTAAAATAATTATGACCATTGTGATAAACCAATGTGCCTATACAGTGTATATAATCCCTTTAGATTTAACTATCGTTTCATGAAAATGTACCCTACGACTTGCAACTCAATTAAATATGGCGACAGTGCTGCGCGCGCAACACGGTATTAATCTACGAGTACTAGTAACAGTAATATCATATAATAGTCAGTATTTTCATAAACTATAAGGAGATAGCTTTCTTTTGTAATCTCCAGTACTAGGCTGTACAAGGTATAATTAAATAAAATATTCTCGCGTCCCCCCGGGGATGAAGACTACAATTTTATTGTTTGACTAACGAGCTTGTGTCGTCTTTCGAGCTTTGGTAGGCATAAGCAGATCTAATTTAACGCAATAAAGTTCCAAATGTAAAAAAAAAACAAAATCTAAGTTTGCCTTGGTCGTGTGTGCATTCGTCGTGGGTGTCGATGTGCATTGTAGGAAACAAAACAAAACAAAGGGACGGATTGGGGAAGGGAAGTTGGTTGATAAAGCGTACAAGGTAGCGATGACGGTGTACTAGGACTTGACAAACAAAACAGATAATAAGCATTCAGGGAAGGAGCAAATAATATGTCGCGTGGCGCTCAGCCGATCGGACATCCCTGTACGGCACATAGATTAAAACATGGAAGATGAGGCAGACATCAGAGAGCAGCTATTTCACAACACTGTGCGAGAGTACATAGTAAGAATTGTTAATACGTTGACATGTTTTTGAGGTTATTACAATCCTTTGTTTACCTAATTCCGCTTACCCCTATTTCATATTGTCTTATATAGACGTAGATTTCAAGTGAGTCTAATTGAAACTTTCAAGATCAAATAACTTTTTTACTATTTTTTAATGAATGTCGATTACGCTATCGGCGAGATAAAATTTTTTAGCGATCTTTCATACCAAACATATTTTGTTCAGATTGCTCAGTAAAGTATAATCTAAGTTCGATTATTAAAGCGAGACTATCTTTAAGTACATGTACAAACAAAACATATGTATGCCTACAACTAGAGACACGCATAATTTCTATAATTAATATACACATACATAATAAATATATATACGTGCATACGTGTACGCGCAAACTGTAAAGCGCCTATGCCGTTGACGAGCGTTCGGTAAAATAAATTTTCACGTAATTGGGACGTGTAAAGAGTTCATCGTAATGTTTATAGTATCGAGATAAAATAAAATGTTGGCAGCGATATTTGCGACACTGAATAGACGTATTTAGTCTATAGTATAACTCTGTCGTTCTTATCTGATTACGATTAGTGTACGTAGAAGACAACGGCCGATTTAGTTGGCTGTCATTACAATGTAGATAATAAATAGGTGCCTCAAATCGAGGCTAAAGTGCAGTTGTTGACGGGTGGCCAGATAGTACTTGTTGTCGATAGATCGGTGAAATGACTGTCGTCATCTCGCTGTCAAGACATTGTAGTCTCCGTTAATTGAATTTCATTTGTCCCGCTTGATAAATAGATAAAGATAACCGCCACGGCTTAATGCTTTAATAATGTAGTATCAACAGATTGGATGATACCTTTGTGTTATTCCTCTTTTTATTCGTCGTTGTACGTCATTATATGATTTTATATGTAATTTGTAGATATTTTTGCTGTTGTTCCTGGTGCTGTACATATCAAGCTACGCGCTAATATCGCGCTTCAGGTGGCGAGCTGGTGAGGACTACCTGGTAGCGGTTGACGAAGATGAAGCGACGGTCTACAGAATCAGCCTCCGGCTGTGCGCCTCGGCCCTGGCTGTCTCCATTGGCGCCACTCTCTTGCTACCTGTCAGCACCGTTAGCAACGAAGTACTCATTCTCTATCCCAACAGCTACTACGTTAAGTGGCTTAACAGTTCTCTTATACAAGGTACTTTGCTGCTAAATCGAGCTGCATTGCGTTGTCCTTATAATAACTGAATCGCGATTGTTATTTTGCAGGCCTTTGGAATCTCATATTCCTCTTCTCCAACATGTCGCTGTTCGTATTTCTTCCGTTCGCCTATCTCTTCACCGAATCCGAAGGATTCGTTGGCTATAGGAAAGTAAGTATTAATTTGTTTTTTTCTTTCACCTTTCGCTTAACCCATTCTAACAATTCTGCCGTTCTAGGGCGTTATGGCAAGGGTTTACGAAACAGTTACAGTATTGTGTTTGCTGGGTGCCATGGTTCTTGGTATGACTTACATCCTCTCGGCAATCTTGGATCGCCAAAAATCTAGCCTTCACACTCTTCTAAGTGCGTTTACCATTACTGCAGCAAATCTTGTCACATAACTAATGTTTGCTGCTTTCTCGTTGCAGACATCTGGAGTTACTATTTGCCGTTTCTCTATTCGTGCGTGTCTTTCGTTGGTGTGGTCATGCTGCTGCGTAAGTAACCCGTTGCCATGATAATGCTCAATTGGTGTTGGTGGATTCATTATCATGTTGCGTTTACAGTGTGTACGCCGATAGGATTTGTGAGGCTGTTTGCCGTAGTTGGCTCTTTCTTGGTGAAGCCTCAGTTTCTGAATAATCTAGAGGAGGAGTTCTGCGCATATAGACTGGAGGAAGACTGCATCAAGCGTAGGCTGGAGCACGCAAAGGCTACCGGCAAATCTTACGTGTCGCCAGCTCCAATGTCCCTGCCTGCAGGCAGCGATAAGTTGACCAGCAACGGTGAAGAGAACTGGCGTCAGACCGAAAGGCGGCCGGACGCTGACGAAGAACCGTTCTGCTTCAAGCCGGGTCTCATGAGTCTGAAGAATGGGGCGCTTCAGCGTGGCCTGGCCCAGCGCCTCGAAGACATACAGCTCAGGCGGCAGTCGCTCGATGAACAGCGGCGCACCTGGTGGGTGCGTCGTACCCTCCTCTACCCTGTAGCCATGCTCGGCCTCTTAATTTTTTCCACGGCTACGGCCTTCCTTGCCGTGCAAAATACTCTTCAGCTTCTGATTGGCATCAAGGCCTTGCCCCTTAGTACCAGACAGTTCACCCTGGGAATCAATTCGCTCTACAAGCTTGGCCCCATTGGTGCCACTATCGAGGTCACGCTCATTTTGTATCTCGCTATCACCAGTGCAGTTGGTCTCTATACACTACCCGGCGTTAGCAGGGTCCGTCCACGACTTCATTCTACTCCGCTCACACACCTCATCGCCAATTGTGCCCTGCTGCTCGTCCTCAGCTCGGCTCTACCTCTCATATCCAGAATTATTGGTAATTATCGAGTGTTACTTTTTCAACTAGAGACTATCTTGTATCTTGTTTCATTAATTTTTTCCATACTTAATTAGGTCTCACCAATTTCGATTTGCTCGGCGACTTTGGTCGTATCGAGTGGCTTGGTAATTTTAAACTAGTACTCTTTTACAACGTCATCTTTGCTGCTGCAACGCTTGGCTGCCTCGTCACCAAATTCACCGCTACTGTGCGTAAGGAGATTTACGCCAGACTCCGGAGTGCTATCCTCTCTATTTTCAGCAGGCGAAACCGCAGTCGGAAGCCTGCCGCCGTTGGAAACCTCTCTACCAAGGATGAATAGACTGATTCTCGTGATTGCGATTTTTTAATGCCGCGTTTAGATTTTATTCGACTATTACGTGTCAAATTAGTAAAATTTTAAGACGCAAACGTGCTCACTTATCGTAGAAAAATATATATTTTCCGATTGTTTTATTCACAACGTGAAAGTATGGTGAGCAAAAAAATTGATAGAAGAATAGTTAGTACGGAGTCATCTATTTTTATCGATAGTACAGTAATTGCAAAGAATATTATCATAAGTGATTTTTTTTCGTCTATCCATAAACAATGAGTGGGGCAATAAGATAAATTCATATATTAAAATGACTTGAAACAAAAATTTCAATGTATATGTAAAAATTGTCAGACATTGTAAGTTGTGTAAGTAGATTTTAATAGTTGTAACACAGAAAAAAAACAATGAGGATATCAGCTATAGCAATTTGAAACTTGAATATGGCGATTCATAGAGGTAGATGAAAATGAATCAATAGATGAACTTTTTTAAATGTTGTGTTACAATATCATGCATGCTAAAAGAAAGTTAATCTTTCACATAAGACTGGATGTTTTAAGTAATTTATGTTGATAATTAAAATTAAACTTAACAATTTAGTCATAATTGTCATCATCGTCAACAATAAATATTAAAGATTAAAAAATAATAAATAATAATGAAATTTGAAACTGAAAAATCTGAAATATGAAGAATAGGATTCATGAGATTGTTTGCGCTGGTTGGATCTTTCTTGGTGAAGCCTCAGTTCCTGAATAAACTGATGAATAGTTATGGATTATCAATTATTTTTTATAAACCTGGAGATTATTTATCGACTTAAGCTTGGTAGAAATTATTTTAGGGCCTTCTTTGGTTCTTCTTCATGATAATTACGCAGTTTTCAGTACCACTCATTGTCAGTCGCTTATTTCGATGAGCTTAAAGATCCATCAACTCGATTAAAATAATTCTGAAGTTTTCTTGAGAATTGTTTGCTATTTAGTTAAGAAAACTCGAGTTTATTCTTTTATCAGATACGGCATCAGCGCAATTTGCTTTATCTCATGTTATAGCTCTGACTGATCATCTTCTATTATTAAAACTGCTTCTTTATAAATTCCTTTTTCCTTACAATCGTCATACTCACGAGCTTTCTCTCATCTATCTTCTTTCTTTGGCTTTTGTACTAATAATAGTGGCTACGTTAGACATTGTTGAAACCGGATTTATGTTGTTATTTACCAGAAATTAAACAAAACAACCTTGTTTTCATTTGTAAATAACAAAAATTAATTATATAGTTTATTTGTTTTGCAAGTCAACATGAACGTCTAAAAAGTTGTAGATAAAAGGTATGTAAATACTTTACACAGAAGAATTCGTATTTAAAAAAATACTCAAATAAAAAATTTATTAAACAATTTAAAAAATTTAGGCGGTGCAACGTTGGATGTTTTGGTACGAGTTTCAGATTCACCTTACAAACTACATAAATTCATGGTTTATAAATGTTTATTTAAAAAATTTATACAATAAATATTGATCAACAATATTGATATTGTATTGTACTATATATTTAAGATTACAAATATTTTTTTTATTTCAAATATACGAATATAAATTTTTATTATTTATTATTCTTCATTATTCGTTATTTAGAATTACTTTGTAACAGTACATTCTCATATCAAAAGTAAAATTCTCGAAATAAACAGATCTCTTTTTATGTATGATTCAGATTGTTTTTGTACCTACTTTCAGTTCTTTGTGTGTTTATTCTGTTGTTCATAAAAAATACAATTCCTAAAACAGCGAAGATTCCTATTAATTATATTGTTTCAATGTAAAGCTCACAAGTGGTTTAATAATATTGATTTATTTCAGGATCAAAAATATATCGATTGCTCTAAATTCTAACATCACAAAATTTCTACAAACTACATCTCGTCAGCAGATATGCTGTCGCTTGATTGCTCAGTTGACAGTGACGGACGGCTCACGTGCCTGTAAAGAGAAAATTTATCCGTTCAATTTTTATTTTAAGAATGATAACATTATTACATTTTTATTGAATTACCCGTATCATAAAAGTTCTACGGATTTTTAAGTATTGAAATGTACAATTTTTTTTTGGTGTACTGAGCTATATTGCTATTTTTCAATTTTTTTATACTAAACAAAAATTCGATTTGTGTAAATTTACCTTGGAGATCGGTGTTTGAATTTGATTTTTTGAAATAGACCTCTGAATTTGCCGACTCTTTCAGTTGAGCCAACATGGTCACTTGTCGAGGTAGCTAAATTATCCGTTGCGCTCGAGTCACAGTTTCCGTGTAAGATACGACTTGTGTCCTCTCCATTAGCCGAATATAAAATTTCCATAGCCTTTGCAAAAACTTGATCTTGGCTAAACGGATGATACTCACGAGAAAGAATCATCGATATATAATTTTCATTGGTTATAGGATTACAAGCATCAAGACTGCAGCCTTGATTGACAAAATGCATCATTGCCGGAAGCGATATGTCTTCCGATTTCAATAAAATCTCCAATGGTGTCTCTCCAAATATACTTTCGATGTTGACGGGTGCTCCGCAGCTATCAAATAAATCATGACATCTTTTGAGCCTCAGACTCAAAAATTCCAGCGTTTTTTTTTGAAGCTTAAAAGAAATCACACTTACCAGATGAACTTCTCCATAAGTTCCAATTTAGTTGGCCCCATTCGAACAGCCATGTGGAGCGGTGTGTAGCCATAACTATTTTCAACGTAAACATTAGCACCGTGGCTCAACAGCAACTCAATGGTGTGTCGTAAATTTTCACCTCCAAAAAGCCTTTCCGATTGATGATCCACTGCTAAATGCAGGGGAGTTTCTCCAGGAAACATCTTTGTAAAAAAGTTGATAGGCTCATTGACATTGACTCCTCGCTGTAAAAATCGTCTGACAGCCTCTACATTGTGTACCATACAGGCAGCGTGGAAGTGTGATATCCCTTGTGAATTAACAGGGTTGATATTGAAATCTATATGAAATTTCATCAGCAGACTTAACCACAAGTAAGCTGAAAGAGAAATATATTTTTTAATAATCTTGTTCAATAAAGAATACAATAAGTTTGTTTTCTTACTTTTGTCACCTAAAAATCGTTCAAATAGCATATGTACAGGAGAATTTCTCGCTGAATTCGTAATTGTAACATCAGCTCCCACACTCAATAATTTTCTCAAAATAGCATAAAAATTAGTTTCGATACCGCGCTCTTCTAATGTATCGATGTTCTCCAATAGCAAATGCAAAGGCGTGCAACCAGCCCAAACTGCACAATTCCTGTAAACTTTAGCATTGTAGTCAACCCATTTGTCAAGCAATCGTGCGACTTCTTCGACGTTAACTCGATGGCAGGCGATGTGAAGCATCGTTATTCCTGAAAATTTTTCGAGTCGTCTTCGCAACTCGCTGCTGCTTCTCAGAATAGCTACGAAAAGTTCCTGATATCGAGTACAATTGCCATTCAAAGTTTCAAACAATGGCGTCATTCCGTCTGATCTTTTTGACAGAATATCAGCACCACGCCTCAATAAAGTCTCTACCACATCTCTGGTCGAACGTTCCATAATTGCCATATGCAATGGAGTACAACCGGTGTAACGCGACCACATGGACGATGGATCTTTGCAGTTGACCACCATGTTGACATGATCACCGATACTCTCCACTCCAAACAAGTCGTTACAATACGTGGCAATGTGCAATCGGGTCAGTCCAATCTCGTCGGCAACGCTCTCGTCGAGATTCCTCCACAACAGCAAAACTCTCATGACATCCCTAGTGCCACGTGGTAAGGTCGAGTAAAGATTAAGAAATCGATGAATAGGAGTCAATCTACAAGCGTCTCTTGCGTAGAGATCAGCACCAGAATTGAGCAACATCCTGACAATGTCACAACTTCCATTGGCAACAGCGACGTGAAGTAGAGTGGAACCAGGATTGATAAGCCCAATAGAAGATCTTCCCATGTAGATAATATTCAAGTACACGCTATCCCGGAGTCTATCTACAAAATTTGTGTCGCCCACTGCGCACGCAATATGCAGGTGGGACAGATTGTCGTGGTCTGTGGGATTAGCAATTTGTTTGTGATACTGAAGAATCAAGCTCACGGCTTGCAATTTGTTCATTCGGTATGCAAGATGAAGCGGAGTCCAGCCTCGAGCGTCCGTCGCGATAACGTCCGCTCTGCGATTCAGGCACACTTGGACGATTTCGGTGTCGTTCCCCTCGGAAAAGAGTATCGCCAAGTGTAATGGTGTCATGCCAGACCATAAGGAGAAAAACGCTGGAACCGAAATATTAACGTCTTCGACCGCCATTTGTAGGAAATCTTCTAACTGCTTCGAATCTTTCATACAAGCGACCAAATCGATCAACCGCGTTTTACCATCCGTGAGCGTTAGGTAATTCCAATTTTCTTTGGATTCTAGGATCAACTGAATGTCTTTCAAGCCAAGCTTTTTCAAGCAAATGTCCATGGGCGTGACTCCATTGATATCTTCGCAACTAAGAGCCGCTCCCCTGTTCACCAATATCTTGACGGTGTCGACATTGCAGTGCGCAGCGAAATGAAGGGCAGTGTAGCCTGGCCAGATTGGCGACTTAACATTCACTGAATCATCGATATCTGTAATCTGCTGTAAGAGATATTCCGTCACCGAGGAATCAAGCATTGTGCAGGAAACGTGAAAGTATGACAAGCCTATATCGTCCACTTCGTCATTACCTAGCATTAAATTCGTTATGTCATCCATCGTTCGGATCTGCGACATAATGCTCCTGCAAGTCTTGATTGAACTCGTCCTCAGTAAATCGAACAATTTCAATTTTTCCTCGATGAGTACGTGCAGAGCCGTCATTCCCCGAGCGTCTTTGAGATCTATGCGTGCTTTGTATTTCAGAAGTATCCTCGCAATTTCCGCATTGCCCGACTTCACTGCAAAATGTAGCGGCGTGAAACCAGGAAAGTGCGCTGAATCCAGATTCACATCTCCGTTGACGTGTAGGTGATTGTGCAGGAAAAATTCGACAGCTTTGACGTTTCCTGTCATGCAAGCGATGTGGAAATGAGATATCCCTTTGTTGTTGATTGGATTTGTAGGATCTTTGAGCATTATATGTGCATTGAATACTGACTTGATGAACTCGTCGTATACTTCGGGTGATTCGTCAATCGCCATTGCATGGAGGATTGTATTGCCGTTGAACTTTTGAATTGTGAAATCAGCATCATTTTCCAACAGAATATTGAACACTTTGATGTTCTTTTTGCGAGCTGCTGTGTCTAAGCATGTGCAACCTGTCAAATCAAATTCTGGCGATGTGAGAGTGTTGTCCGCTGGGATTCGGCAATTGATGTCGCCCTCTTTTTTGAGAATTCTTTTGACCATCTTCGCTGTGGGATATCCGTTTTGAAAAGTATTATGGATTTGAGCTAACTTCGAATAAGATTTGTGATTCTCTTGGATTGGTGACATCATAAAAGACGTTGTTTGAAGATGTTCTCGAAGAGAATCCATTGCATGTTACTACCTACAAAGAAGTATCCATTTTCTGATTTGAACTGTTGAAGGTTTACTCATATTCTATGTTCAAAACAAAAGTTTGTGTGTCAATTTCAATTATTTAATGCTTTCAATTCAATTTATAAGCACATACCAGACTGTTTATGAAACGAAAATTCGGAAACTTACATAGGCACTCCACTTTCCAAGTTCGATCATTTTCTTTATTTCGGTATACATAAATTATCCAATGCCATTTCAACGATTACTTAAAATTCCGTTATCTATTATTAGTCACTCGCTCGAGAATCAAAGTATTGATTTTCTAGACTATTTTGATAAAAAATCAAATAAAATAAGCCAAGTGCTTAGCCCTAGAACACATTAGGCATTCGCATTTCTACGCGAAATCAATCATTGAAAAAGATAGAAAGGTATCTCCTCAGCACCCCTCGAATTTGTTTCATTCGATATTAGATTGCATTCCAACACTCAAAGAATGAAGCACGACTGTCAGCCCATTTCACACTTCAATCTTTTTTTCTACTTTGTCCGCATAAATAATCAACAAACCTGTAAGCTCACGCTATACACACTTGGGTATCCCGCCAGAGGCGACTTACACATATAATATTAAGCATCCGATCCGTATCCTCACACCCCCACTTCGAGCATCTTGTCGCCACTGTTGCTCTTACGCCCTCGCAATACTCCTACGTTAATATCTAGCATCCGCCTTTCTCTTCCTCCTTAGCTACCCAATTTCCGCTCGATAATATTAACCGCGGCCTGATAACGTTAGCAAATAGTTTTGATAACGAGATTCACTTGTGAACTGACGTTTGCAGTTGATCATATTGATTTGTTATTTGGAAGAACGAGCGTGCAGCTGATTTTCAACTTACATCAAATGATTCGGCTTCAATACTGTCGCTTGGAAAACCCAGCGGGCAAAAGAAAACGATATCCGTCCGAAATATCAAGGAACACATCAGTAAGAACCGCCGGGTTCGGCGAATCGAGCAACACTGTGTTTATACAGACCCTATATTTGACGATAGCGCAGGCATTTCTCAATGATCAAACTACCACCACTCCTCCGACAACCACCCACTCTCTCCTCCCTCTGCCCTACTAACGCAATTTTCCCATAGGATGCGCACGCATGTTGGATTCTGATGATGTTCGATCTTCTCAATTTTTATTCCTTCCTCTTCCCACCTATAATCTCAGCACAATCAAGTAGGTTTCTCACCCAGGGTGGCAATAAGCTGCAAAAGGCGCGCTATTCGATTGGCGCATTTCATTTTAAGGTAATAATTACCTTTTAAAAAACATCAGTAATACGATTGCCGGCAACATATAATTACTGTAATTATAAATTTTGTTGGCTGAAAAGACAATGATCACGGGGATTGGACGATATATCAGTGTTCTCGGAATTTCCTCGTTCGCGTAGCCTTCGATTTTATAATTAGGTTCGGTCAATGACAATTTTCATCACAAATATGCTTTTATTTTAAACTCATCAAACTTTGCGTAACTTCTCTTAACCTACATCATTTATTTTATAGTTTTTGTCCCCTAAAATTATGATACTTTATACTAAATTTATTATCTTAAATCTTAAGCCATTTTGGACTTGACAATTTCCACACTGCCATCGACCAGAAAGCGCAAATCATATTCTTTGAAGTGATATAAATTCTCGTCTTGGAACTTTTGCCAAAATGTCAGACCTTTTTGGTAGAATTCAGGTATTGGTTCGAAATTTGCTTCTTTTGCAAGTCCCATTATGTAATCCCAATGCCATTCGTACTTTTTATTCTTAATACTTTTTGGTAGCATGTTTTCTGCATCCATTATCATTTTTTCCCGGCTTGGCAGCTTGAACTGACCTTGTAGAAATGATATGAAATATTTCGCCTGTAATTTTACATTTAAAAATCAAATAAGTTTGGTATTCGTATTTCTCTGTTTTTTATAATTATAGTACAACGTAGATCTGGCATTTATTTTCATCAAACAAATTGTCAAAGTTCAACAAAAAAATGATATTAATACCTGCGAATAGAATTTAGGAGTAGAAGCTCTGAACGTGGGCACAAGCCCAACAAATCCCATGGACGGATTATTTATATTAATGACCTGCTTGTACAGTGGATACAAGTATTTGTCATGTACTTCAATACCACTATTAATGTTTAAAAATGGGAGTTCGTTGACGTAGCCTGTGCAAAATATCAACGAATCCGATTCAATCCTCATTCCATTAGTAAGGATGAATCCATTGGTATCTGCAGCAGCGATTCCAGGAACTTGAATCACATTTCTCGGCATTTCACCTTGAAGTCTAAGCATTTCAATTATCTTATAATCAAATCATGTATTCATTGAAGAATTTTACAAACTTGTCGTGTCTATGGCTGAGATAGACAATTTTCGCATAAAGACTAAGTTCAAAAGTAATGTCTTGACCAGATACCGCCGCGCCTAATACTGTGACCGTTTGCCCAGAAAACTCTTCGGGTTTTCGATAGGAGTGGCTATGTAATACTCGACCTTTGTACTTCTTGATGCCCAAGATTGTTGGGATCATTGGTTTATAATATTGTCTGTCAATACGTAAGATAACTTTTCAAAAATATCGATATAAATTGAGGTTAGTGATTTTGAAATTTATACGTGCCCAGTGCAGACCATCACAAAATCACAAATTGTTGCATCAGTTGAATTTGAATGCAAATCGCGAGTCTTGATAATCCATCTATTCACTCGCCAATTGTCGATTTCAGACAAAGGAATTACTTTTTCTACGTAAGTGTTAAACTAAAAGAAATTAAAAGTGGCGATAACTGTTCATAAGTATAAATTCAAAATGCGTACCCACCTTAATAAACTGACGAAGATTGAAGTGATCTGTATAATTCTTTTGATAATCAACGACTGTGTGATGCTTAACACAACTGCGTTTTTCACCCTCGAAGTGCTGATAATCCGGAAAACTCATCACTTCTTTTGGACTGTTTGTTCTACGCGAATTCCATACTTTCTTAAGAATGTTTTAAAAAATTTTCAGTGATAAAATAAATGCCATGTACCTTAGATTTTTATAGACACTGCTATGAATAGGTAATCCATACTTGTCCAGACCAGTATCATCTGTGTAAATCCACAGTCCTCCAACATCAGAATTTCTCTCAAAAACAATAGGCTCGAATTCATCAAGACGATCAGCCAAAAGTTTTACGGAAAACAATCCGCTTAGGCCAGCTCCAATCAAACATACTCTCTTTTTTCCATCAGCAGTGAATAATAGAAAAGATAGCAACCAAAGAAACATCCATCTGTTAATAAAAATGTTTTTCAATTTTTTACACTCAAATGCTCGAAATGAAATTTAAAGACGTTTGCGTTACTTACGTTACATTCATTGTTAATTGCCGATCAAAAATAACGAGATAAGGGTATATCATTGACTTTAATACCAAACGAAACTTTATTTTGGTATCTATTTTCGAAATGACGCGACCGTTATCTATTTTTGAAGTTGCGACTGATCGAAAAGCTTTATGAAAGCTTCTGCATTGATGTTCATTTCTTTTTATAACAACGTATCGAGATATTCAATAGCATGAAACAAATACATTTTTATAAGTTTATGTCTGGGAACCCAGACTAAATACAATGAGCACTTAATTAGTAATATTGACCTCAAGAATCGATTGTTTGTTTCAAAACTACGTTGTCATACTACGTGATGTAGATTATAAAACGTTAATAATAGTTAATTCGAATGCGCAATTTATAAGCACAAGTTATTTTTTGAACGCTTTTTGCGATTCTACGCTTATAAAGTTCATCCACCTTCGAGTACAATGTAACGTTATTCTCAGCTTCGAATAATTTTACATAGGACAACTGATCGTTTTGCATTATGTGGTATTCATATCAGCAAGAAATAATTGCGCTTGACTAGACAAGAATCAGTTTGTCGAATGAAAGAGATCGGTTGTTGGTTATTATTCAATAATGTAATTAATGAAAGAAGACTTCTTCGCTCCCCTCCCTGTCACGAATTTCGTTCAAATTCGTTTGGCGGATTTCTTTCTTTCCATGTATAATGTATTTTATAAACTTTATTTGACATGAATATTACATATAAACATTTACTGTATGGGATTTTTCAAGGATGTACTTTTACAATAATTTATGTGTAAAGAGAACAAATAAATGTGAATTCTCAATTTTTAAGGATTTTCAGGATTTGCAAGTCATCTATTAGTTTATTGTAAAGATTAAATTACATCCTGAAAAAAACATTTATCTACGCTATAATAAAAAGAAACTAATACCACTATATTCTCATTGTAAGTTATGGTAAACGATTTTGAAGTAATATTAGCTAACACTTGTTTTTCCTCTTACAATGTTGGTCAATCACAAGTTGAAATTTCACATGCTATGATAGACAACGTGTTTTAGTAAAGTCATTACCGTTGATTAAATGAGACTAAGTTATACTTTTAACAAGCCTGGTCTTCGACTACAAAACCATGGAAGCTTCGTTTCCTCGGTAACGTAACATTTGGCGTTTCCACAGTGGAACTGACATTTGAAGAGCTATGCATAGTCATTGTTCAAATGCACTTTCACAAGACAAAATTTCATCCCCAGTCAATGTTCGAGTCGACGCTTAAAACGATAACTTAAGCTTTCAGTCTTTTCAGAACAGCTCCTATCCTGCAAGTATCCACAGAGTAAACTATGCTGTTTTTAGAATAGTGAAAGTTAGGGTCGTCGAAAAAATATTAAAATTCCACAGTTTCAAACGGCGCTTCCCCCCTTCCCTATATCTCTAAGACACACACGAAAGCACGCTTCGTAATTTATTTGCTAATTGCACTTGTGCCATGCCACTTCTGAGATGATCACGCGTGCAGTCTGACCAAAATTAGATCTTAGAATAAATGGAAGTATATAAGCATGAACTTTTTACTGTTGTTTATTTGCCTTCTCAATGTACAAACTTATTTACCGCTACAATTTATTTAGATTTTCAAGAGTCGTAGCCTAAACCTAAACGTGCTATAGCAACGTTTCCCAGTCTTCCGTTGAACATCTCGTACGTAACTTGTCTTTGCTTGCCTTCATCGGGATCAAAATTCCAAGTGGATTTCTATAACGTACAATGAAATTTTACTTTGAAAACAGAAGATACGTGGATATATACGTGTTTTAAACATAATTTAGAATTATTTGTCGAAAGCTTTTTGTTTTCAAAATTAAAAGGAAATCGGTAAGTTATACTGCAACAAGTTGTATTTACTGACCTCATGGATGATCGGGATACCGACAATATTCCACTGCACCAAATCACGTAAAAGAGTCACAGGCCCTGCACTCAATACTTGAGCCCATAGCAAGGCATACGATGCCTAAACAGTTAATAATTTATGAAATCGATACCATACAGTTTTTTGTTATTCTGATAATTACCAAAAATAATTGCAAAGCTACCATCTTTCACTATTTTATTTATTCTGATTGTCTGAAAAGTATTATATGTACAAGTGATGAAGTTCGCACTCGTCCACAATAACGAGTGGCTACTTTCGATCGAAAAAAACCAAGAGACTAAAAGTGAAAGTTTGAACCGCAAGAACATCACGTGACATCTGGGAGTCTGACTGATGAAATGACTTTTATCGAGCGTAAGATATTCATTTTCTAGGAATTTGCCAGATCAGTAGTTTTAAGGTCGTTGATGTTTATTGAACTTATCGGTGTCACTAATGCGTAAAACAGACTGGAAAAAACTTCAATGCCCCAGTGTATTGGAAAATACGTTGTAAATTATATTCCGAGCCATTTTTAACAAGAATGATGATACTGCTTAGGCCGCATTAAAGTGGCAGTCAACTTGACCAAATTATCGAAAATTCTGAGCCAAGTTTTCTCAGGTGCATCATTTAGGCAAAGGATGTAAAGCATTCTGGCCACTCATGGATTTTTGTAAACGGTCAGCATTGAGGACATTGTTTCCAATTTAAGTCTATCCACAGTATTATTATTTTTCGTAATGCAAGTCACTTGTTAGAGTTTTACTTCGTTTATTTCTGAGCCACAAATTTCATAATCCATATCTTTACGAGAACGGTAAAAGTTTGTTTCGATAATAAACTTAAAATAGAGTAAATCGATAATATTACAAATTCAGTAATATCGCGTGGAGGTTAATGAGGTGGTGCAAAAAAGAATGTTTATGCAAGCAAATGCAACGAGCAACTGATGTAATATAATGTACACGTAGCTGACTACAGATAAATTTGCACAAATCTATAGAATTCATTTTGCTATCACATCAAATTACAATCTTCATGGTATTAACAACAATCGATAATTTATTGTGTAATATATTGAAACTTCGTTTCTAGCTCGTTGATTGGAACTCAGATGAAGAAGTCATCAATGTAGAAATCAATGTCAATTATTAGTTGAACTAGAAACTATTAAAGTCAACATGAATTAATCGAGACTCTTCAGTTAAACATAACTGTTTATTAATTATATAATAATTACCCGATAAGAATGTACGGATGATTCAGTTGCGGTAGGATCATCGAATTAAGGCTCACATTAATTTGATGGTTCAATAAAAATCATTCTTTTGTTTGTTCTTATTAATTAATAATACATAAATTTGACAGTATATTTATATTTATATATATCGTTCCAAAAAATCAATTCGAATCTTCAAATGACTTGTGATCGGCTTCGAGAACGACTCTTTACAGGAGAAACAATATCTGAAGACCTTACGTACTAATTCATTGTACAATAATAATATATGAATCATCAGCAATAAAATTCTAAAATTCAATGCACCTACTTCGCGAGATCGCCGTAATAAATTCTACAATGTTTCTTATGAATTATCAATTATAATAATATATTGATACAAATTTAACAACTGTTATCCGTAATTGACAGACACGAGTATGATTTAACAATATCGCTTCGTCGCCGTTACAATAAACTATTTATTACCATTAGGGTTGCTTGTTGTGATATTTGTTTGATTGAGATTATTTTCGTAATAAAAATCAATTGATTTTGTTTGTTTTTAAATTATGTACTCTTACTTGTATTTACAATGTGTTAGAACCATGAAAATTTTATCACTATTATCTTAATTTTCGAAAAAACTAGTAAAATTAATATCTATACACATATAAATATGATTCTATTATGTCAGTTCACAAAAACTGAACTCGATGTAAAAGAAAGAGATTTAATGCAGTACAGGTGGTATATTCGAGTAAATAGTATCATTTTTTTATTTCGGTGTTGATTTACTCTAAAATGGCAGTTTAAGTATCTCTTTTATTTTTTCTTCTATTTCTCATAGCACCCGACGAGTTTTTATTAATCTAAGAGCTACATGGCGTCATACATACATATTTTACGAAACTTAAGTACACAGAATTAACAAAAAAAAGAATTGTAAAAATCATGAGCTATCGTCAAAATTATCACTGTTCAAAATTAATTGATAGATACAAAAGTAACGTTCGATTTTATCATTGTTCTATATTTGGAAGTAAAATTTTCTCTCTTTAAGAGAGAGAGAGAGAGAGAGAGAGAGAGAGAGAGAGAAAGTTGCGATGAATTGTCGGTTATGTATGATTACAACTATTACTTCGTATAAGATACTTTTCGTGTATAAAATAGTTTATCCTTTCTGTTCTGTTTTATTTATTACTGCTTTGTATTATTTGTCTCGTAGTTACCTATTGTTTCTTTACAAAATTAGCACTTTTAAGTACTTCTTCCTTAACATTGCTGTTATTTATGCATTTAATACTTGTAAAGCTATCGTATAAGAGACTTATAGTTATAAAAAAATCTTAATTCATATCGAGTAGTACATGTGAATCTTTATATGAACGTTTCAAAAAATATTAATTCTTCTTTTTCCGAACCTAATCATCTAGTATTTTAAGGGTAAGAATGACATTTTTGTTTCTAAGTGCTAGCAAAGTATTTAGACGTACAGATCTCTGATTTTTCGTCGCTTACAACTTAATTATATAACTCCGCAAAGAAAAGGATAAATAATTAAAACAGACACACATACACATACACGCATGTATAGAAAAACTCAGGGTGTATGATTCGACGTCAAGGCGCCATCGTCGGTTAAGGCACTAAATTGACAAAAAAATTAATAATAATATAGGCAAAACATGATCCTCATCTTCCCCTATCTGCCTTGCATAAGTACAAAAGTTGTGACGCAGTGTTCAAGCAAAGACAATTACGAGCACGTAACAGCTGACTAGGACACTTATGAATTTTGTTCGTGGCAAATAATTAATTTTATTTAAGTTAATTACAACAATAAAAAAAACAAAAACACACATTTGCACGCGCTAATAAACAAAAATAAATTAATAGAGCCTTCTCTCTGAGAAATTTTTTCGGCGATCATTCGCACGAAAGAATCTTAGAGAGCTGTACAATTCTTATACGTTTAATGTTAGCTGAACGACATACATAAAAAAATGCTGAAATTAAGAAGCTACCTCCACTACTGCACGTAGAATTATTTTTTAAGTTCATAATTTCTTCTATAAAAGGAAGAATATGGATAAAATAATTGTTAGTATTTGCTATTTCATAATTTTGAAACTCTGTGTGCTGTCCCTTGAGATAGTTGCATTTCTCGTAAATTTATTTCATAGAAATATATGATATTTTTCAATATTACTGTCTATTTTTCATTAAAAGCATAAGTGAAAGTTCAAAATTCTACATAGTTCGTAAGGATTATAAAATTGCGTAATGTATCTTATAATTACTTACAATAATTAGAATTATTAATTTTCATTTTAGTTACTATATTTCAATCAAGAAAGAATTTAAGTACAGAAATTTAGATTGAGAATATCGTAAATTAATTTATCTGATAAATTTTGTCTAATTAGAACTCTTATTAAGAATATCAACATTTTTAATGAATTATATCAAAACTAACTTATTTTCAGTTTAACAATTGTTGATAATATTTAGAATTACCTTTTAAAACTACTATTATTTTTTATGAATACAATTTTATAGGTCGAGCCCTAAAAATTATCAGAATTCTGTAATTCCACAGTCTTCTATAGACGACAAATGCATTTTAAACTGACAAATAAAAGTTTTGAACAGATTAAGAATTTGTCACAAGGAACACAGAGGAAAAAGTTTGAATTAAATTACCGAAAAAAGACAAGGGATATCAATCTATTTCGACGCGCAAAAGTGGCTGGGGCTATTTATATGAAAAAATTTGGCATACATGCACACCTCTGAGTGGAAGTAATATTCTCTAAAGAAAATAGGCTTTATTTATTAGTTTTTTTACCGAGTCAAAGCTACGAATGGCTCGAATGGTGTTGACCGTTTGTCGCTAATGCACGCCATTCTACGTCTCGAAATGCTCATTTTTTCATGCAATTATGTAAAATTTAATTGGAGAGGATTTCACATATAGATACCATATAAATTAAAAGCAAAACATTAAATCTTCTTCGCATGACATACTGTTATTTAAGTTTGTTAAGGTGAACAAAAACAAAAAAAAATAAAGAAGAGCTTATAAAAATATTATACATCAAAGAAAAATCTTAGATTGTTATTTCTGAGCTGCTTGATTAACCATCGCGACAATTGACGAAAAATCATTTTAGTTCTTTTATTCATTGAAAATAAAAATCTTTATGAAAAACGACTCAACAACGATATGATACATAAACATTCGATCTCTTGCAAACAATATATTTTCATTTTGATATTTCTTTCCGGCGTCAATAAAAAAATCTTTTCGAACGATTACTACTTGTGATGCAAAAAATAATCGATTAATCATACTTTTTGCATGACAACATGAATCATAAAACTGTATACATGAACTGAAAAAATCTTACAGTTCATTCGCAAAACCCAATCAAACGTTCATACAGACAAAAAGCTTATTTACAGTGCTTGACCTCAGCAGTAATCCTCAACTGTCACATATTTATCATTAATCATAGCGAGCGTATCCACGTTACAAAACCATTCGAAGACCATCGTGCGCTCAGTCGATCATTTTTCGTTCAAATTTGTGTTAATCGTTGGCGCCGGGTTACTAATTACTGGCGCCATGCATTGGTTAACAATTGTTGTCCTGTTGCTGCTTGTCTAATAATATCGTGCGTTCTTCTATCTCATCTCCTAGATGTGTCTTTTGCAAAGATAACAGACGTGCTGCTTCCAATTGACGGACTGATATCTCGGCATCGAGATCTAATTTTTGTTCACGTGGCGACGGACTTGAGCTTGTCTGTGAATTAATAGAGACTTTCGTTAATGAATAAATTAAAAAAAAAAATTTTTGAATGTCTGCCGAAATCCAATGTACTAAATGTTTCACAGAAAGCTCAATCGGTATATCAAAATTTTTTTAAAGACTCTGAGTACGTAGTTTTAGTAACCAGTATTAACTTTAGTACAGATAGTGTAAAAAGCAACTAATTATTTTTAATTTGAATAAAAACTATATCATGATAATATTTTGCAACAGCGTAACTCTTAATAAATATAGTAACAGGTATAAACACTCACAAACACGAGTTCATCAAGTAAAATGTACAAATAGAATTAATAGATATTAATTAACCTTAACAGGTGAGTTCTTCAATTGTCCGTTAGGATTATTCTTGGAAATAAATTTAGAGTTAGTATTAGGGCTAGCGCTCACAGGCACAGTCGTCGTAACGACTGGCAGTGACGAATGTCGCATTGGCGACGGCAAAATCACGTCTTTCCTTACGTCGTCCTTATCCTTAGGTAGTATTGGAGATTCTGGCATACTGCGGTCATCTTCGTCCAATGAGTGTAGCAGCTACCATAGAAAATCAACGATTTATTATTGTTTGAAAAGAAATATTAAAAATAATTATATAATTCATTCTATAAATGCTATAAATGCTATGCGACCTAATTGTGCCAATCGGAAACTTCCGTCGAAAATAAGTTCGTTAAAATTGAAACTTCGTTTTCCAAAATATAGAGCGATCATAATCTACACAAACCTTTTCCACCTCAGCATCGAATTGATCAGTTTGGCTGCCTTCCTTTTGGCTACGTTCAAGTAGAGTAGCTCGTTTAGCAGCAAGATAAAGTGATCGTTTGACCTTTACGTAGAACACCTCGGTAATTGCTCGTACTGTATAATCCGGTACGAAGGTATGTCGCAATATTGCATCCAAGTTCACTGATTGGATGCTACCTAGTGTTTGTGGATTGGATGAGTTTGTTGGTGATTCAGCTGCTCCAGCTATAAAGTATATACGTTTTGGTAATATTCTTGTTTATGACAATTAGGCATTTGAATGAATAAATGTTAATTATATGTGTGATAGGAACTGAAATTCTTGAGAAAATTTTAATCGCACGATGTATTATCCATAACGGTACTATTTTTGCTTTATAAATGATTTTTAAAACTTATAAATATTTTAAAATTTATCGTACATTAATTTCACATAATCAATAATAAACTTTGAATATGAAAACTTTAACTTCTTAAAAGTGTTATATATTTATTTTTAAAACCGTTAATAAAATATATGAACCAATATTCATTCGCCAATTAAATAAAATTTTTTTTCTTACCAATTCCTACGTTAGCAGTAAGCGCTTGAGTACCAAAGTAAGTGAACGGACCGCTTTCAAACATAAGGTTTTCTTTGCCAACAGTGACTTCAACACGACCTTCGAGAATAAGTACAAAATAATCAACGGCCTTGCCCTGTTGATAAATTACCGCTGTTGGATCATTACGAGCCTTTTCGCGCGATTTCACTTTTATATGATAAATTATATCCTGCTTCAATAATCGTCGAACAATTGGCTCTGATATTGAGTCCGGTTTAAAGGCGTCAACACCTGCGTGAAAAATGCTAATCAGTAATTGGGCGATTAAATGGTTGATTCGGGAATGAAATTGTTCATTTCACATTGTAAATTATTAAAGATCAATGTCAAACGATATATCTTTACAAAAATTTGCATCTAACTAAATAAAAGTTATTCGAAAGAAAGGCCTGTTACCAAGATGTCATTTGAATGCCAATACATTTTGTGCACTTATGAATTATTTATTGAACACTCACTAGTAGATAAATACTGGAAGGTAGCAAGTAACAATTGCGGCGATATGTGTATACGTTGATTTTCTTTTCTCTCGGCAAACACTGTAAAGTCAGGCTTCTTTGTACCAGCGTGAGCTGTTCGTTTTCGTTTACTGCGATTATCAGCTATAAAAAAAACATCATTTAAACATTTGCATGACATATAAAATGCACAGAGAGGAGTTTAAAAAGAAAAAAATAATTACTTACTGAAAACATCTGTCTCATCAAGAATCTCTGCTTGAATGAGTTCTTCAATCACGTCTTCGAGGGTAACTAAACCAATTACTTCGTAGAACGGATCGCCTTCGCCTTCACTGTTAACCCGCTGCACGAATGCCATATGACCTTTATGACCTGCAAAAATGTTCAATATTGCTTACATTTATTCATTACAGAGGTTAAATGAAAAAACGTATACTGACCTTCTTTGAATTGTTTGAACATGACATCCAATGTTACGTCTTCGAAAACGAAGTTACAAGGGTACTGATAGAACTGACATAGGGTTCTCAGTGGCATATTATCATCTGGATCGACAAATGCCAAGTCTTTGATGTAAAGCATCGTGACGATATTGGTACGGTTACCTTCGTACACTGGAATACGTGAAAAACCTAAAAAGACGCGAGGCAAAAGGATTATTTTTTCAAAGTCTCGCAAAAATAATCTATATTTTCTATATTAAATTAAAAATATACGATGATAAAGCTGCAATGAGGTATAATCGCAAGCTCGAGCAACAGGAAAAAAAGACCTCGGAAGCGGGAATATCTTTTTGTTCTTTTTCTGTCTTCAAGAACGAATGATGAATCAATCGATACGGCCGCGTCGCTATCAATCTCCTTATAGGACGCGCTTAAATCTATGTAAGGAAATTTTTTAGATTTCTCATCGTCGTAGACGTCAGAAGCTACGCATGAAGCTAAAATAGAACGCGCATAGACGAAAATAAAGTTGGGCGAATTTCTAGGCCATCGTTTTTCAATGTACTTTCATCTTATAGCAATTGAAAAAAAAATAATTACCAGAGGACATGATTTCGGATACAGTCTCGAAATCCAAAATGCGATTGTAATCAAGCATGTATACATCTTCGATTCGAGTCATCACGTCGGCAACAGTTTTCTTACGCAGTTCGAGTGCACCTGAAATTATATTCACTTCGTCTTTCTCCAAGTCGTTGTAGTCCGTTGTTACCTGTCAAAATACGTGTGACTTTATTTTTTCTACTTACTAAATGTTGAAAGGGTTTCGTGAATGAATATTTGTGTCAGATAACTTTAGACTAGTTTAGGCCTGCTTCAATTTGCGTGATGCGCACAGACTAAGCAACCCAATTATCATCACGAATAATATCTCATAGAAAAGTCGACATATGCGCGAGTCATTACAGATATAAAATACAAGGCATCAATTGTAATCGAACTACTTGAAACCGTCGAATATCGCGTTCCGGGATGAAAGACTTATGTTGATGCTTTCACTCGTCTCGTTATGTAATAAGTTGCATCTAGCATCGATTGTACATTTATCATCGTGCAAAAATTTTCCGGAACTTTATATCGTTCATTATACTCTTTCTCTCTTTCGTGATATAACCTGGCGATAAGAGACTTTGTATTTGTAGACAATCTCGGATATTCTCTCTACTTTTGTTTTTGCAATGCGGTCTTAATCGCAACTCAAATAATACGCAATAAGTCTGAGAGACTTTGTTTGCAGAGCGTCACAATAATGTTAGATGAAAAATCGAGCTAAAGAAAGTTCATTTGTAATGTAGGTCACGTGTAGCTTACCGTAACTTCGTTAACAACTTTCACGCAACTATCATGATTTCGTTAAAAAAAAATTAAATAAATAAAAACAGGCAGTAACGAAAATTTATGGACATTGATACATAAAAAAGAAGAGCTTTCGCATCGATAGAAATCGGAAGCGGGAGGCTAATTATTAGAGACGACGCATGCGTAATGGCTTTTCTCTCGAATGTCATTCGCATATGTATCGGCAATTTGAGAATCACTGCTCGATAACAGCCTCCTCCCACGCGAAGCGCATTCTCATTCTTTGTGTTTTATTGTTCACGTGCCTTTTATCGTCAATTAGAAATGCGGAGCATCCGTAAATGAGATAGCATTGTCGCTCTATTTTATATGGCGATAACTTTAATTTAATTTTCTAATTAATTTGCGATCGCGTTTTGATGGACCCTTTGGGATTTTGTAATTACTCGGTTATAGACTCCGATATTTGACTTGATTAAAATGTCCACACTGAAAAACCGTAGATCGTCGTAAGCTATTTCATCAATTTTAATTAATCATTTACGAAAAATTCTTCCACTATACATTTTTTTTCTATTATCTTTCATTCTACATTCCACGTTATCTGTTTCTCTCTTCTTGAAGTGCAAAAGTCACATCGGCAATCAATTGAAAATCATGTGTGCATATTTACACTTTTTAAAAGCTTTATTGACGAAATCGCACGTGACGCGTCAGTGTGGCAACGGACGATACGAAAGATTGCACTTACTTTGACCAGCTCCTTGAGACGATCCCTGTTGTACACATTGCCAATTTCAACGCCGAGAATAAAGTCGAGTATTTTACTTATGGGATAACTCAGCGGGAATGTCAACAGCATGGTCAGTTTCGTGGCGTATATTGTATGAGCACCCCAAAACAGTCCGTATCTGCTGCATATGGCCTGCAAATTTCACACGCGCACTTGACAGTTTTGCCAGACTAGGTGAGCCAGCTTAAGGCGTTTACCTGCGGAGCAATTTCACCGATGATGACGATCGCGAGGGTAGATCCAATGACCGCGGCAATGCCAGTCGTAAGCTCTTCGAGAATTACGGTGAATATCGCATTGACCAACACGTTGGAGAAGAGTATCGAGCAGAGCAAGTAATTTCCATGGGCACGCACTGGTTGAATGGTTTTTGCGTATTGCTTTTCCTGTGAACGCGATTTGTGTCTTTCCTCATTTTTGCTCGATTCGAATTGGAAAAGCCATATGTTACATATATTTTTTACTGATTTCTCTTTACCTTTTCCGTGCCGCAGTTACAAAGGATTTTGAGATCGGTTGGGTCGAGCGACAAGAGACCCAAGTTCAGACCGGAAAACATCGCCGAACAGCAGAGACACGCGACTATGATCATAATGCTCAACCACAATGGTCTTGGCTGGTAAGACGAAATCTGTAAGCGGCGAAACAGCGTCTCGTTGTTCCTTCAAACTTTCAGATACGAGCTACAGAAGGACAAAACCGTGCTTACCGTTTTGTAGCTCTCTGAGCCCTGAAATTTGAAGTTGCCGTCGGTCGGTGTTTGCAGCGCACACACGTAGAAAAGATCTTGGCCATCCTGTGCCACGGGCATCAACACGTCGACCAAAGCTGTAATGTCACTCGATACATCGCGCACCTGTGGACAAAATATTAATTGTGATCAGACGGGTTAGCGTCGGCTATCGGAAGAACAAGGAAATTGCCGGAGAGCCGCGTTCGACGCTCGGAATTTCGGCCGAAACGGAAATAGATTCATCGCGAATAGTAAGCAAAGAATCTTTGGGCAGTTTACGTGATCGATCGCACAACTTGGAAAAGCTTGCAGATAACTTTCACATCGAGAGAAAAGAATATTGTCGCGGTCTCTGTCTTCGCGTCTTTGTCTACTGATTCAAAGAGAATATTCCTTGTCGGAAATTAAATAAAAGTACCCCTGTTACCTGTTTCGTTCGAGAAGTATTTAACAATATATATATATATATATATATGGGCATTGAAGTTTATATGAATAATATAATGATTATTAAATTTAGTCATTTCATGCAGCAATTATTTTTCGTTTTAAAAAAAAAAAATCAGTCAATTTTCCAAGCTTTCTGTTTTTTTATAATGAAAACAAAAAAAAAATCAAAATGAAAAAAACCTCTCACCTGGAATTTTCCAGACTTGATCGAGTCGCAAACCGCGCCGTGTTCGCCTGGAGAATCACTGAATGCAATTTGAGTCGTATTGGTGATACCAACGCCAAAAATGCGCAGAGTAGCTGGACGCAGCGCAAGAACTTTAGTTGTGCCATCAGAGTCGTGTTCCAATTTCGTTGCCTTCTCCACTAGTATGCCTTCGATGCGAAGTTCGCGCGTTGACTTTTCATCCGTTGCCAATGCGCGCCGCTTGCGCGTTAGCTTCCTGCAACGAAACATAGCAAATTGTAAATACGCCTTTCTTCTCAAACGTTGATTCAATTACCAAACTTTAATAAGCTGGACTGACAAATGTCTAAAAAGTACGTGTGTAAAATGTATCGAAAATGCGACATAAATTGAGACGAAAAATGAGGTATATATTTGTACTACCATGCCTCAAATTGGAGATGGAAAAAAAGTTTTTACACATTTTTTTACAAAAATGATGATAATAATAATAATCAAGCTATTTGTACGTGTATGAATTCATGCATTAAACGTCTAAAAATCAGTAATAACTGTACATCTTTTATTAGTAATGCCTCGCGCCTAATCGAAGTTTCTTAACTGTTCGCCGGGTGAGTCGGAGAGTGTTCGAAATTGCGAATAGCGATATTTATCGCATCGTAAAAACAAAGTTAATAGTTTACTGGTCAACTGAATTGCAGCGCTAACGACGCTTACAACAATCGAATTTATTCAAATTTTACGCGCGCGAAAGTTTCGAAAGTCAGAATCCGCGTAAGTTTTCGAGCTGCGAGCGCGCAAATCGTAACACTCAAACAATTTGACATCGAGATCGATGAACATTCGGGAAATGGAGCGAAGCTAGTCAAGGCCGAGTTTCCCGCAGACGACGGCTTTTGTTTCCTGCCGAAAGGACGTCGAAAGCGCACGAAAAATAACCAAGCACGTAACTCGAGGGACCTTCGGCACATAGAAAATAATCATCTGGATTATCCGACGTTCGAGCGACGCACGAATTGCAATTAAAAAAAATAATAACGGAAGAGATCACTGACTCGTGCACGCTTCCGCAAGTGAATCACGGATTGGATATTCGAACGACGACAAGAGAATAAGATCAAATGAATTTTCTTATCTAAGATGTGATTGGATTGATTGCGTCGTCACGCGCAGAAATTCAGATTGTCATTAGCGCACCGTGGAAGTGGAAGTATTTTAATCACGAACGAAAGCGTAAAGTGATATATTGACTCGTGATCCATTTGATATTAATGGCTTGCTCTCCGATTAATGGCCATTACCATGTGATTGTTTGAACAATGAACGAGCCACGCAATATCGTACGGCATTATTTGTCAATCAGCGAGCAAAATGAAATTACATCTTGATTGTACCGCACGCGTCCGAAGTGCTTGAATTCCGTTGCGCTCTGAAATAGAAATCCCAGCTAGTAGACGATTGGATAATTATACACTCGACGACGGCGTGTTTTCTTCCATTCTTTCTCATTTTTACCTTTACCGTGGAACTTACATTTCGGTTGGATTTCGGAAGACAAGCGGTTGAGTAGTTTCTATTTCGTATTCTTGCGAACAAAAAATTATTACTCCATGTAAATTATTTCAGCCTTGATCACAAAAGTAGCCAATTACGAATGATTATCCCGAGCTTTCTGTTAATGCCAGAGCATAGAATTAGTGTTTTTCTCACGAAATTTTTTTGTTTCGTTTTATGAATGCTCAAGACTGAAATAGACTGCGTTTGTGTAACTGGAGTAAAGTAGTTTATGCGATATGACACCGTTTTTGTCGTACACTGTCTTTTTCTCTTTTTCGACGAAAAGCTTTTAAAATCGCATCTCATACGTAACAGAATCCTTAGCTGTATGCAATACTCAGTAAAGGATAATTCTTCAAGTAAGAACAAATTTACCTGACAATGGCATGGCAACAAAGATGAAAACTATGCACTATAACAAATGAAAAGTTCATATTATTTGATTTTGAAATAAGCAACAAGGCGATTCATTTTTATATTTTTCATGTAGTTTTTTTTTATTTTAAAACCGTTTCCTATTAATCTAAGAAATTTGTGTAAGTTTATTTCTTGATTTAAGAACATTGACAGTTATGAATGCAACATACGTAAAAAAAATGTGTTTGCAGAGTACAGAATGACAAAACTTTCAAATCCAATTAAATCCCTCTAAATGATTACGATAAACTTACTAGAAATAATTTCAAATGAAAATAAAAGCAAAGGAAGTTCAACAAACTCAATTTACAAATCTGACTGTGCACACCGTAATTGAGCATAACGGATGCATCGCGCGAGGAGAGGGATGAAAAGAAACAGAGAATGCACCGCAGTGGCAACGGGGTTAAGGTCGTTACTGCTCCCCTCTCCTTCCACCCTTCACGGTCAACGCCCAAGGGTAAACTTACACAGATGCGATGTATATCTATTGGCGATTTTTTTTCTCCAAGTTTGACATTTGTTTATAACGTTTATTTCGCGGACGGGACTTGCGAATATTTTGTTAAATAATCGTTGAACATTACGTAGTCTTTTATAGATTAACGTTACAAATATATGGGCGCCTTGATGACTATAGGCCTTAAAGAATTAGTGTGTGCGCTAATTCACAATAATTATTAATTATCCACACGCAGCGTTTGAGTTATGACATCTATTACGAGTTTCGAGAATACAAAGACTCGACGATTATTTTTCACGATAGGTGTCGTGGAGCTTTTTTATTATTCGTCACATGAGAGGCAAAGGAAAATGTAAATTCAAAATATGTTAATTCTGACCTAGAAGTGTAAGACATTTGGGAAATCGATTCGGAAACTGATGAATCAAAGTATTCAGCAAAACAATTTCCATGTGTACAGTGTATTATTCTCTTGATTACAAGTTAGTCGGTTCAATGCCAACGGGTAGTATTTTTTATACGAGCAATAATACTGGTCTGAAATATTTGTAGAGTAACGCTAACAACCAATTAAAACCGCTTTACCCGCTCGAAAATTGCAAACTCCTCTCTAGCTGTTGGAGCAGCAATTGTAACTAATTGTTTCCCTTCTGAACTGTTTTCCCTAAGCCATAATCTTCTTACGAATATTGTTTATGAAAAACGTGATAGTCAGTCGACGTTCTTTTCGACAGCCTCCAACGTCGCGTGCTAAACTCTGTAAAAATTTGAAAGTATTTCGCCTTGTTATTCGTCTACCGAATTCTTCGCGAATTCGCAACGCCTTTGCTTATAATCTATGTCGAAACAGCTTGATTTTTCTGTCACGGAGAGCCTTCGTGACCAAGGTGACAGAAGAAGAAAGAGGTAGCACGTGCTTATCAGGCAAAAAATAAAATAGAGGCGCGTGGGTGTGGATGATAAATAAAGGCGCCGACGGCGGCTTATCGATTTCTTTCTTTAAAAGGAAGGCGACTTTTTTCTCTCTCTTTTCAACTACGTGCGTCTTCTAAGAATTATTTCGACTTGGAATGACTCGTTCTTATACTTGACTAATTGTTACGTTTTTTCAGATACAAGAAATTCTTCACTTTTTGAAATTATTTTTGACAGCTCTTACATTTATTGAAAAAAAAAAACTTGTTTTGTTAAGCTTGAAATGAGGGGGGTTTCCATTTAGATAAGGTGTCTAATGGGAATCGTATATTTATTCATTTCTCGACGATTTCCATTTTCTGTTTCAAGAGATTACATTGATTTTTTTTAGATTTCGTAACATACTTGAAATATCTTTTTACCAAATGCAAAAAAGGATTCTCCGGCTCAAATCTGTGTATAGAACCAGCTTAGAGTAACAGAGGAAAGTCAGCGAGTCTCGAATAATAGGCAGCATTACACGTGTGTGTATATATACATATATATAACAGCTTTACGAACTATCGATTTCAAACTTTTGTTTCTAATAGTAGACACACGCAGACGGATTATTGTCGGAATCCCTTTTAACCCTATTGTTTCGCGAGTTTCACCCACTGTTAACCTCTATTTTTTCCATGCGGCATCGTCGACGAGAGCCTCCCTATTTTCAAAAGCGAAACTATTTTTAAAACACAGACGCCGCGTAGCTTTGATCTGTTCAGACTCGAGAAAAAAAAAGAAATTCTTTTTACGGTGCAATCAAAGAGAAAAGTTGCGTGAACAATTGATTTTGACCAGCCACGAATCTTATTATAGCGAAGCCGATTATAATCAGCTTATTGAATGAACTCAACGTATGTAGTCGAAATAATCGATTGATACTTTGAGTGGATGATTCATGACGGCGAGGCTTTTATAAATATAAACGTGTGTTGTCTCGTTCCGTTGACGTTTAAAATTAGATGAACCTTTTATGCTTCCTGCTCTTTTTACGGATGATTTGTTTTTGCTGACGATTTTTTGGTCGAGTAAACCCCACAGTTACATAATTCTTGTCGAGCGAGAGGGTTATGTGGAAAATACATAGCAGAGGGAAGCTTGCGAAAGAAGTCGTCGTTTGATAGTAAGCGTTGACTCATATTCTCGACAATTGTACAAAAACTGAATTGTACGATACTATCCGGTGACGTCATTATTTAGATAAAAATCATCGTTTAGCGCTATCTCTTTCACAGTGCTTCCCGTTTTACCTTACCCTTATGCGTGAACGTAGGAATAATTGATTTGTTTCGGGAATTTCAATCACAGCCGAGACCAAATGTGAATACCATCGAGGGAGTGAAAAAAAGATACGGGGCGTAGGGCCTATTTTTTGCGGTTCATATCAAAACCAGTCACGTGCCTCTAGACGCGAAGCAAGTTTACTTTAGCCGCCGGCGCGCGCAAATTCGTAGCTACGCGCGCGCTTCCCATTGACCAACTCAGATATTTATTATCAACTTGATTTACGTCTAGTGTAGTTTTGCATCTATATCGGTAGCTCGAACAAAAACCACTCGTTTTTTCGTGTGGCGAAGCATTGCTCATCCAATGGTACATTGATCTATTCGCTAACGCACTCACGCACATGACGTGCTTCAAATAAGGAGTCGCTCGCGGGCAGATAACTTTATTTTAAGCAGCTTACGCTCCACTGATTAGTGTGTACCATTGCCAAAGATCAGGGCGACTATTTTTTTTACAGGTACGAAGAAACATTTAGTTGAAACGTTTTTTGAGAAGACAAAGAAAATTAATTTATCCGAATTTCCATTCGGAGAGTAAATTTAACGCAACACTTTTTCACTTCAAGAAAATTCCTTAGATTTAAGAATTAATTTTATACTGCATTAATCAGTTCTTGGAATAAGCTAAAATCTCACAAGTTGTATTTCCTATATTAAAATAATTTTTAGGCTTCTCAATTTCTAACAACACAGTTTTTATGTGATTCCAATTTTAAAATAACATTTTCGTCGTTTTCCTAATTTTTTTCCGATACGAATCTTCGCCGGTGCACAGATTGATTATCGCATGCTTATGAATATTATCGCGCTTTCGCGTCTCACGCACGAAATATCAATTATTAAGTAGGTTGACTGGCAAAAATTTATCTTTTTCTCATTTGTAATAATGTACTGTGACGTGTTTTACGTGGATTTCCAAGTAATCGTTTATCAAACTAAAAACGATAAAGAATTTTTCAATCAAAGTTCAACTGTACTAAACTATTGATTTTAAGTCTGATTCATGATAAATACAATTTTATCTGGCAGACCACTGTTGTTAGTCTCCTTTGATAAAACCAAAAAGAGATAGTGATAAAATCGAATTTTATTAATGTTTGTTTTATTTTAATAAATATGACTTTGCACACTTTGTTTACTAGAGGAAATTGTATTAAGCTAAAAAGTTAAAGATTAAGGTTATATTTATTCAGTAAAGACCAACCCATACAAGAAATCATATCTCAACTTATCTAAACTCAAACACAAATTAATGAAATAAAAATTAAATCCACAATAAAGTAATTATACTCCCAAAAATATAAAATAGGACTATAATAGTAATAATTTCATGAGCTTGATGGCAACCTTTTTGATAGCTATCTATGACTTTCAATTAAGACATATATATGACTCTTACTTGTTACAATCAATTGAATGAGACTGTTACATTAAGAATTATGAGTAGGATGGTAAAACATCAATAAATTTTGCCTGTTAATAGATTGTTAGTTTACTGCAATTGAGGTTATCTAAGTTTCTTACCATACAAGTTCAATGCACTAAAAATAAAAGTTCATTAATTACAGCTAGTAATTGGAAGCAATAACCATCCAAGTATCCACTCTATTACCAAGTATTTTTTCACTTTTGCAAACATTCATTCAAAACATTCTACGTCATGACGAGCACTTTCAATGAGAACAAATATCTTATTTTTTATTCAATTGCATTCATTAGCTTCAGGTCAGCGACATATCTTGCATATTAATCTTTAGAAATTGCCATTGCTTGCTATATGAATAATTTTCATAATTAAACTATAAGAATCATTACAAAGTTGCACTTATTCACTGTTGCAGACATAAACATGGTAATGTATATATCAATTAGTGTTCATTTTCAAAACAAGAAAAATTAATTTGTGAAATGGTGACATATTTCAGTATAAAATCTAAATCTCAGCAATGGTAGCAATATATCTGCATTATATATAAATATTATAATTATCTCTCTTTCATTCTTAAGTAAAAGCCAATAATGAGTTTGTTCTCAAACAGTACGAAATATGTAGGATTATCCTCGTGACGAGTAACGTAATTTCAGCATGCAACTTTATTCAAATATCGGTCCCATTCACCGGCTATTGCACAAATTTCTCACAATCAAAACAACAACAACAACAACACTCACTGCCACGTCAGCTGTACTTCCACAGAACTAGGTATGCCGTCGACGCACAGGAGTGGTAATTCTTTTCTAATGCTGTGCAAACAATGATCCTCTTTGTAAACGGCTCGAGTGCCGTCCTCAGCAAGTTCAATTCTCTTGAGAGGAACACTCGTTCGGCAGTCGTTATGGTGTGCCAAGCTGAGTTGTTCAATCGAATTATTAAGTCCATATCCGACCAATTCCAATAGATTGCCATGATCGCTTAACAATTGGACACTTTTCAACTGTATTGTGGCAAGTGGATTTGTAAGTGCTTGTTGAACGATAAACACGCAGATGAGGAACAGTACCGGCGACGACGACTCATGCTGCGCCATAATACGATTACCACACTCGCGCACGCACACTCTCTTGCACGTTTGCTCCGGCACAAGCGCGCTATTATCCTGGTATGAAACGTGGTGTAAAATCACCACCACCACAGACCACGGCGCGACTGCTACTACACTGACTGGCGCGGCGGCGGCAACGCAGACGGTTCTTGGCAGCGGCAATTCCTTTACGCCGACAGAGCAAGCGCGTCGAATTCATTTATCTATGTGTGAGTATTGAGTATGTGCACGCCGACTGCGGCGCTGCCGCTCATATGCTGCGCCGATAAGCTATCCCGCCAGTTTTAATTTATCGGTTAAGTTGGTTCACTGTGAATCTTATAATTGGTATATGTTTATGTAACATATATGTATTTATTTACTTATCAGTAGGAGATGGAATGTTTATAGTTCTTTTTGGAGAATTCAAATTACATTATTTTACATGTGCAAGAAAGAATTATATAATTATAATTTATTGATAAAGTGCTAAAATTTATTGTACGCGATAGCTGTATATTTGTAAAAAATATATACGATTGCATAGAGTACATTGATTATAAAATTAGAATAATAAAAAAGAATGTAGCCAATCATAAATGTTTTCGTTAAAATTTAGTGTCTATAAGTAACTTTATACAAACTGCAATGCTTGCAAGACTGTACATATCGCACACGATAACATTTAATGTACTGCGTTTACTATAAAATTCAATTTTATTTTCAGTCATAAATTTTATAACATTTTACAAAATGTAAAAAAACTTATAAAATTAATTAGATATATATTTTGTCGGATTACTTATTATTTAATTAATGCTTACTTCTAAATTTTATGTATCCAAATAATTAAACGACAAAATAAATTGTCTAAATAGAAATTTTTGTTCCTGAAAGAAATAGATAAAAAATACATGGCTTTCTTTTTCCGATTACTGCAAGAATAAGAAAAATATGTATTAGACGTAGCAGTTGAGAGGCTCGGCAGTAGTCAGAAAACCGGTGTATTCTGGTTAGCGACAGTACTAATGCTTGGCACTGCCTTTTGCCGAGAGAAAGTGAGAAAGAGAGAAAGAGAACCTTTAAATTTGACGCGGGTTCACTGTCGCATGCTAAATGTGCGTGTGTCTCAGCTTCAAATGATTGACCCTGTATGTCTGACTATTTTTTTTTCGTTGATAATGAAATCGGATATCGTTTGATCTTATAGTAAACATTGTGGATGTATAAAAGTCTGAGTAGCAGTTGAGATAGTCGATAAAATACCAATATTTCTGTGTATATTTCACTGGACTCCATCTTATGATATTACACATATTGTATATTATAATCAAAATTAATGCCAGACCAGTGAACTGGAATACATTTTCTCTGTTGGATTACATTATATTATAATGTGTGTATATTTGATATTACATTATTAATGTACTTTACTCTCGTCTAAATTAATGATAAATAAATTATTGTAATCAATACTTAAGATCCATTAGTTAATAAGTTTATAACGGGCGGCTCATATATTGACCTACACTACTTAAGCTACAGATATTTTATTCTAAATAAAGAAATTGAAAAAGCGGAGAATGAAGAGGGAAGACTTCAACTTGTAAGTAAATTATTCATTGAATAATAACTAAATATCTTTCTTCGACAGTTGGTTTTTACATAAAAATTATTTTTGAAATATAAAATAAAATAATTTATTCTCTGTTCAGTACAGTTTTCTTAAATCAACTTTTGAGTAAATGTATTTCTAGATTATATATATTCATTTTCATGTGAAAATAATAATCTTATTCCAGTAAAATAAATAATAATTAAATTCAAATCTTAATTACCAACAAAATAAGTAAATATCTAATGTAGATTAATTACAATGTCGTTTAGCTTTCGGACTTCCGTCGCTCTCACTATTGTTGTCACTTTCATCGTTTGATTCTTCGTTGGATTCGTTAATATGATTGTTTTGAGTGACCATCTATAATAAAAAAAAGAGAGATTTATTTTGAATGTTTGCATATTTTCCAATAAAGACTTCGATATTACTTAAACTTACAAGACTGACGTTCATTTTTTCCAAATTATTTAAAAATTGTGTGTGTTCTATTCTGAAATCTCTAATTGCATCAAATTTCGTGAATTTTATCAAATCCAGCTACAATAAGAATCATTGTGAATGGTGACAAAAACATAATATATTTCGTCAGTCGATAATAAAAAATCTTACGTTAGTTTTCTTTGATAGCAAAACGATCTCTTTATCGAAGTTATCGATAGCTTGTACCACTCCCGGTATAACCATAGTTTCTTTGAGAATCTTGTTACGTTGTAGAAGAGCGTCATTTGATTTTCCACCACTTTGGTTTGCCTAGGAAATATCGTTAATATCGTGAATATAAATTATTATTCTACTATTTACAATAAATTAACTTAGTAATTGTTTTTTCACACCTCCACGTGTACTATTAAATTCATAACCGCATGCTTCAAAGCATTACCTGCTCCGTGAATTATTGAAACAAATCTATAAATTGAAACGTGCTCAATTAATTATATATAATTCAATCTATTTTCAATATAAATACTTATAAGACCTACTTGACTGACTGGAAAGATGGATTTTCTGGTGTTGACTTTTTCTTGAAATATTTGGTTAACGAACAAGCAAAGTTGTAAACTTTCTGAATATTTTTAAAAGTAGAATCAGATGCTTGGCCTGGTTCTATTTTCACGTTGGCCAAAACTTCAAAAGCTCTTAAAATAAATCCAAACTGTCGGCACAAGCTCTGCTCTTTATCCTTTATTTGCTTTCGATCTAGAATAAAAAAAAGTTTTCTTGCTCGTAAAGTTATCGTAAAATTTAAAAAATATTTTGACTCACTAGCTTCACTGTTTATTTCAATACTGTTCATAGCTATGTGTTCAGAATTGAGCGTTCCAAGAATCCAAATAAGGTTTTGCATCTTTAAAGTAAGCATTTTGTTCACAGCGATGTATGCAATGTAAACGTTATCTTCGTTTATAATTTGGAATTTTCTTGTAGTAGTTATTTCAGTCTGATAAATATCAATTTAACATTAGAACATTGGTACAGATCAATATAAAAAATAATGTAAAGTGAAATTTCAAACTTTATCAATTTTTCCTAAAATAGCACAGAATTCAAGACAGACATCTTGAACAGTTTCACCATATTCTAAACTACGCTCTTCTACCAGAAGTATCAGTTGTATGATTTTAGAAGACACTTGCACGTCAAGGTTTTCATATTCTTCGGCAACTTTACTCATCCAATCAAACACCTAAGAGAAATCGCCAAATGAATACTATATCCAAAAAACTGAATGTTGAATTAATTTACGTACATCTTCATGTTTTACTTCATTGAATATAATTTTCTTGACAAGATTAGAAACAATGTCAATTAAGTGTCCGGGAATGGTTTGAGCAGGTACTTCTTCAGGTTCTTCTTCTTCTCTTGTGAGATTTTCTATAAAAATATCCTTTAATGGCATGATTAATGACTGTATCTTCAGTGAAAGACTGTCCGATGATTTTGCACCACCTTTAATAAAAACATTTTACTGATAAGTTATAGTTAATTGTTTATTACAAATAGTATATATAATTTATGAGTTACATACATGTTAATTCAAGAAAAACAGGAAGTTCAGTTGAGTAAAGAGTACACATAACTTCACAACATTCTTTAAAACATTCTACACCTAATCCTGCCACTGTCGGATTAAATGCGTTTACAGTCTTCAAATCTGATACGATTCGGTTGTAGAGCGTTCTATAACATTAAAATGGATATACAATAGTCTTCAGATAAAATAATTAAAACTTTTTAGTTGAACAGAAAGTCTTACTCTCCAATAGTAAAAAAGTTTTTTTTATTCAACTCCAAATAATTTTTGAGTTCATTTTCTTTCAAGACTTTGACATTATGAAAAAGTTGTAAACACGTCTGCAAAATGTACTGATGAAACTCTATCCGTCCTCTCAAACAATCTGTTTGTTCTTCACTGACCCACTGATTTGAAGGACTAAAAAATAAAAGACTCATTAAATAAAAATAAAATGAGTTCTTAAAATTTTCATGAAAATTAACTCTAAAATACTCACTCATACAGCAAAACAATGCTTTTCGAAAGAGTATCAAAATCCATCACAGTATTAGGCAATTTCAATGTAGTCGGTCGTCCGGATTTCTTAAGCGTTATATCATTGGTATCTTTATCTTTGTCTTTATCTTTTTTACCCTTCCCACCTTTCTTTTTACCAACTCGCTTTATGTATTCTACAAAGCGCATGTAACCTTTGTACAATGAAATTATACTTTGCCCGATATTCCCGCTATACTGCGACCACGACATAATTCTGAAAGCCATCAGTGATTCAAAAATTGATATCGTTAGTTTAATGTTGAGTATTTTCTGTTGAGATTTGGGAGTGTTGTCGGATAGATCTATTTCATCGCCCTGTCGAAAAAAAAATTAAAAAATTTGATTCGGTTCGTAGCTATCTTGAATAAAAATTTCGCTTACAAGGCCCAAATGTTCAATGTCTGTTTGAATCATCCTGTCGCAAAGCGATTCGAGAAGTACTGAGAGTTTTTCAATCGTCGCAGAATCCTTTAATGCAACTTTCAAATAGATCTTCTGTAGAACAAAAATCAGATCAGCCAAAGGTTCTTGCATAACGATATCAACACCTTGAATCGCACCACATTTATCGAAATTTAAAGGTGGTAAGACCTGCTCATCTTTTTCATAAAAAACGTAGAAATGCTCGAGTAACATTTCCACGGCGTATTCCGTTAGTTCGGTATTCTTGAGTATGCTGTAGTAGAGTTCTAAAAGAAATAGTTGAACATGTAAAGTTGATGTTTGTGTTTATGAAATTAATATAAATTTACCTCGATACAAATGAGATCGCACTTCAGTTTCATGAGAGAAGCACCTTTGAAGTATTGACAAGATTTCGCGACACAGATTGGTATTATGCCACGGATTTGAAGATACTCGTTGTGATGATCTTTCTAATGTTACCTACAATTTGAAAAATAAAAATACTCAAAATAACGCTACCAGTTTTTTTATAATCACATTGTAATATTTTACTTGAGTAAACAGAGACGACGAAGATGCAACGTTTGACAAAGACAACGATTCCGGTTGACTAAGAGCATTGAATGTTTTAAGTTTAAGATTCTTTAATAACTGAAGAAAACCGAGTACAGCCATTTTCCTCGTTTGCACTCCTTGTCGATACAAAGCTTTTCGCAAAATCATGATGAGGTTGTCACGAATAGAACCGAAAATTCGCATAAGTGGAAGTATTGCTCTCAAAATTTCCGCAGCTACATTAGCTCGTATGTCCAAAATGTGCTCCAATAATGTTGTTATCCAAACTTGGTGCTCTAAAACTGTCATTGTTAATCGCCGACACAAGTATGATAGACAATCTATCAAAAATAAAAATTATTTATAAAAATTTATAGCAATTTGGACACTATTCAATATGTATGTAAAATCACCAGTGTACTGAGTAACAGATCCGGATCGAACGATTTTACTAACTAAAATCTCGAGTATTGTCGCAGTTGCGTCACTTCTTTTTTTTGCAATCTTTTGTATAATTTTGCTGCCATAATCCCATGGAAGGTGACTGTCACTGCCTGCTTTCTTATCAATACCCAATAGGGCAAAAGCAAAATTTACCATACCTTTCAAAACCAACTCACGATTTTTGTTACTGAGAAGAGTTATTCAAAATTTAACAATGATGCTTTAAAAGAGTTACAATTTAAAAGATGTTTATTTCTTTACCTGTTATCAATAACTTGACTTATCACTTGAAATGTACCTAATTCAACTTGTAAGACTTTTCTCAACCAAGCACTATTATTTTTATACTCCTCATCTTGAATTTGTCTCACTACAGCTGATTTCAGAATTGAAAATGCTTGTTCTTCATACAAATCAGATAATAATAACAGTACTGACATCACAAAAGGTTTCATAACGTATTCTGGAGCATTGACTATTAATTTCAAACATTTCATATACTCCTTGGCACCTTTCTCGTTGTCAAGCACTGACTGATATATATGATACAATACCGTACTTTCTACATTTTGCAACTCTTTTAAAGTGATTTTACTAGATACTGGAAATTAAATTGAACTTTCAAAGAATATTATCAGAATACTTCATTGGGGTGAAGGAAAAAAACTTACTGATATTCTCTGTTATTTCTTCACTATTGTTATCTTCTGATAGACTTGCATAATTATGAGCAAAGAATCTGGACAATGTGGAAAATAGTAAAATACTGTTGTGATCTGGTCCTAGTTTTAGCAATTGATGAGTCAGAGGTGGCAATTCATTGAGTTCAATATCTATAAGTTTATTTGTTAAAGCTTTCATTATTGTCACACTAATTAGTTTATCCTTTACATCAGTAAGTATTTCTCTAAAATTAAAATAGAAATAATATAAAGAAATCAGCTTTTATGAATAAAGAGTATTTTATACTTACACAAACATTTTGGCTAATGATGTAAGAATTTTAGTATCCCAATCTATGTCACAAATCGAACGCAATATAGTAATTTTATAATCTTGACCAGAAACATCAGTTCCTCTATAATTTATTGATTTTTCATCCTCTAACTTTTCAAGTAGTACGGGCAGCACATCTTTCCAACTGTAGAGCATATTTATCAGGTAAGTAATAAAAATACAAGCATATTTTATGATAGAAGTAAAATATCTCATACCTCATATGGTCATCATCATTAGTCCTAATTCTGTCGAGACAATAATCAACAAGTTTGGTCAGGTGACCTCTACTGAATGCGTGAAAATCAATCACTATTCTATTTACAATTTCATCTACATGTTTGGTTGTAACTTTTGGCTTTTTTAGAGCATCAAATACTGATTTTACTAATTTTATTCTCTTGTCGTGATGTATCTCTGAAGTTAAAATGAAAGCTTGCAACAAATTATCCAGCATCTTTATGCCTTCACTGGTATTTAATATTTCAAGAAGCATTTGGCAAATCTGAAAAAACATTACACAATTGAAAATTTACAACTTAAACAAAACTTAAGTAAGATTATTGATTTTACTTCTTCTGCATCAGCATCCTCAACAAATGTTTTCATAGATTTAGATTGAGTGCTTCTTTGACTTGATATGGTTTTACTTTGAAAAGACATTTTTTGGTAATAATAATCTCACACACGATCTACTCAATATTTTATTCCATTAGAATTTTCGTAATTATCAAATACTTAACTGATTTTTAAATTTTAATACTGACTGCCTATTTGCGCAAGTCGGTACCTGCACGCTTGAGAGCCATGACTATCGCCATTGGCTAACTCACTACGGGCGCGGGAAAATTCCATTTTTCAATTCGATCGATATTGCGCGTGCGCTAAATTTAAATTTATAGCGCTGATGATAAGTAACTATTTATTTTACTAGATAGCTGAAGACTAATATAATATTTGCAGAAGAAATCAAAAGTACTAATATCAAGTAATATTGCAAATATTGAGCATGATCTGTAAGCAATTAGGATGTTAAATATTCTATAAGGAATTAATATAAATTTAGAAATGATCACTTAGCGATAAATTAATAGATTAATTAATAGGAGCTTGTACAAGAGATCATGGATTGGAGCCCTGAGCATGTGAAGATTTTCAAAAATGAAATTTTTATGTTTGTTATCGCGATTCCTGCGATTCGGATCCTACCTTAAACTGCGTGTTAGATCCAATCACGATGTATGTAGAAATCTCCTGCTTCACCCTTCCAAAAGCGGTGGGGAAGATAGGTCAACATACTCATGACTATAGGAAACCAAGATTAATGCCTGCAGTGTTGCACATGAACGTAGTTTTTAAAATAACAATAATAATAATAATATTAATAATAATAATAATAATAGTTATTAATCGTAAGCAAATAAACTCTTAATTTTTAATTTTGGTCAAAAATGTGATGTTTAATTATCCCACTAAAATTAAAATACGCAAGATTTGAAAAATATATTAATAATGATTATTCGTTGGCAAAAATTCAATTCAAACATGAATCTCAAGAAATATTTTACATTTAATTACAAGTATATACTCAAGAATTTGAGCTCGAAAAATAAATAAAAATTCTGCTACTAATAATAAATCAAACAGCAAAATATCTCTCAAATGCGTTTTATTCTTATATAGTCTTAAAAACACTTATCATAATAAAAAAAAAACCAATCAGATTCGAAAATTCGATCACAGACAAGTAAAAAGATCATTTCAAAAATAAATCAATAAGAACATCACGCGATCAAGTCGACAATGATCAGAAAACACATAGAATCGTTAAGATGATTCGCATTAAAAAAAAATCATCAGCGCTCGAAGCGTTCCAGCGCTCGAGCGTTTTGTTCTCCTCTCAACAGCGACAATTATTTTACGTAGTAGTCTTCTTCTTGGCCACAACAGCTTTTGGAATGGTACTCTGCACATGCGCGTACTTGGGGTTCTTGGTCGGCTTTACGGGCGATTTGGATTTGTCAGCCGTGAAGCTCGACATGCCGAGCGAGTGCTGGGTTATTTTGCTGATCGTGGACGAGGGCCCCGATGGCTTTTTCATCGCCGTCATCGGTTGCGAGATGTGAGTCGGTCTTGAGGTCGTCGGCGTCGTGACGACATCGTCGGTGACCGAGGCTAACGAGCGCCGCGCTGCCTTGGCGCGCTGTATCGTGCTGCGGAGACTTAGGATGTGATGATGCGACTGGCCCAACGCTGGCTTCTTTGTCGCGGACGCGTTGAGCATAGCCGTGATACGACGCAACGCGTGCGGCTCGGAGCGCGATGCCGGTGCCAAGATCTGCGCAAAAGGTGCTTCAGTTTTCAAGTTGGAAGGCCGACAACCGAATCAACGGATACCACTCACATCCTCCATTCGTTGTAAATTGCTCACGACTTTTCGCAAGTTCCGCTGCGTCTCCTCGACGATGACGCCGAGAGCGAGCTTCTGATGAAAGTCACCTTGCCGCTCCATTTGGACACTTGTCACCGGCAGATTTGCATTCTTCGCGTCCTGCAAAGCATCCAAGCAAAAGTCATTACAGACGAATCGAAAGCGTACTCAGTTGTAATAAATTGCCTTGTTATTGTTATCGTTCGCATTGTCAGTGAAAATTTCATTGTCCGACACTTCCATTCTCTCCTCATGGTGAGTGTGTAATCCGACGAAATCTGCCAATTTGATCTCCGCGCATCGAGTCAATCCAGCTTCATACCTGTAGCAGGTAAACGGTACAGCGGGCATGGACGCTTGAGTTTTGATGCATTCGATTGCAAGACCGAAGCGAGCGAGCACGTACCTGGTGGTTTGATTATAATCCATACGTAGAACATCAGGAGCATGTGGCGTGGCGACGACAATTTCATTGTTGACCGGTGTCGTCAGCGCGGCTTCCTCGAGGTATTGCAATTTCACGTTCAGAACTGTGCGAAGCGTATCTTGAACGGCGTTGAGCAACTCGCGATGATTTTGCGACGATCCCTTTGACGACTCCTGGAACACGAATGGCTTTTTACGCCGCGAAAGAAGCAGCTACTTTGGGCTTCGCAAGCTAATGTGTGTGCGTGTAAGTGTGTGCGTACGTCGGTCGGCGAGGTGATGATCGCAAAACGATTGAGAAGCATCGAGAATTCGGTTTTGAAGTCGGCGATGTTCATCGTGCCGGATTACTTGAGTTACTGACTAGCCATAAGAAGGGAGAGACTCAAACAGACGTTTGTTTTGGTCATGACGTCACATTTGAATTCCTATTTCAACGGACTTTTTCACTTGTTTCTGTTAGCGATACAAATTATTTCATTCGAAATCCAAAAAATTTCGTTGCTTCAACTTGCATTGCCAATTATATCATCGGATATTCATAACTGTATATCGTTTGAGAATTACCAAAGTTTCTGCAAAGGAAATATCAATTACATCTGTACAAATGTAACGCGTCACTTGATCAACAAGTTCCTTCGTTGCAGACGTGCAATTTAAAATAGAACGTAGTTAATATAGTTTCCTAACATTAATTCATAGTTTATCCTAACTTCTTTTTTTTTTGATAATTTAAAAAATAATCCTCAAACGATTAATGTATATCTTGTTCACCCAAACACTCCCGTAATAGGAAGAAAACGCAGACGATTTTTCCGAGCAAAATGCCTAGGTACAACTACGTGCTTGCGCTCACGCACGCAGTACGCTGCATACACGTGTGCTCTATAGATTTCATGGTCATCAGTAAGAATTGTAAAATTTGTCATTACGAAATAATAGATAAAGCCTGTTGCATCATCGATGCGAGTTCAAATTCGTAAAAGAGACAGTTTTCTTCTGAAAATTAAATCGGTCACATTTTAGTTGGAAACAATGAAAATTTTTTTAGCACCTTCAAATTTAAAGAAATTCGGGAAATTTTAAGCCTAAAAACATGTATAGTGCTCGTCGCTTATTAGCTTACGATAGCCTCGCTAGCCTCGAGCTCCGATAATTGATGACACCCACTTAAAAAAGGGTCTTTGGGAATCCTTCGACTATTTTTTTTGCATCAAACTGACCGTTATACTTTAGGAGCACACCATAATTTGACATCTTGTTTCTATCCTCATCCAATGAAAATTAATTTTCCCAAAAATTTGTAAACACTCATAGCAACTATCGTCGAGTTCGCTACGATAGACTAATATCAAATCCATCTCTCGAAATGTTCAGAGAGCAACAGCTTAGCTCCGCTGTACTCTCTTATATGTAAACTTATACTTTTTCAGAGTCGCTTGGTTCACTTCATATATTTACTTTCCGTTTATTAAATAGAGCTTAAGTTAAATTTGACTTCTTAATTAATTTTATCCTCTATTTCACCCGTTTGTTATTAACATTAACGTGCGGCTTGCGGAATGACAGAAAACTATTCTTTTTTCAAGAACTATTAAATTTCCTACCAAGTATAAAAACAAAATCATACATTAGGCGTTGAAGTAAAAGGCGGGAAACTCGAAAGTGAACGAGAGAAAAGAATTGCGAACATTGATGAAAGTTTGAGAACGATTGGCATTTTTTTTATAATGCGACATTGGCTAAATTTTGAGAAGTTAATTGATAGCGTTGAACGGATACCAAATAATACATGCTATATATTAAAAACTGAATTATGTCAGACTTAAAAACATCGATTTTGTGTCAATTAGTTCGCAACTTCAGTAACATCTTCCGATCCAACTGAAATAAAAGACACTCATTCGCTGCAGTAATCTTCATCCTTCAAAATCCAATTCAACAATTTCACCTCTAACCAAAATCATATAAATTTCAAAGCCTCCTTCTGCATAAAAGAATCCTTTTAAATGAAAAAAAACTACGCCGTGAATACACATCACACCAATTTGCTAGTACATTCGATTACATGACCTCCCGCCTGCGCAGCTATATAAAGCGGAGGGGATCAGACTTACTCGTTTTCATTATCGCGCGAGCAAGCGAAGCGACAGTACCGTTTTCTCGTATTCTGGAAAAGCACTCGGCGATGAAAAAATCCAATCCGCGTGTGAACGTCAGTTCGTGATAACACAGTGACTGCGTGAGATAGATTGAGGAAAATTTAAGTATTGCAATTGGAGCTTTTCTCTCTTGCAACGCGAACGCGAGCGCGTCGATTTCTGGAACATTCGGTCGCCACCGCCTGCGCTAGATAGGCGCGGAAAGCGTATTTATAAGCTGTGTTTAAAGGAACAGGTGAGTGCCTATGTAATTTATTTTTTCATTTGACTTATGAATTATCTTGCTGGTGAGTGTTAATTTAGTGTTATTAATGACAGAAAACATCGTATTGATTCGATGGCATTATAAGGTCCAAATCGATGATAAAAACGAGCGAATATTTCAAGTTTGTTATATTATTTTCACAGTATAAAGTCTGAGTGCGTTAAATAAATGATGCTTGATCAACGTATTTATTTACAGAGTATTTAAATGATAAGACATCGATGATTAGTAATATCTGAAAATTATCATTGCAGGTCAACCGTATAAAAATGTTGCCTCCAGACGAACCTGACAGTAGCAATCTCGACCTTAGTAGCGAAATTTCGAGCAGTACAGCTCTCCCCACCATCACGACGACAGCGGCAGCAACGACAGCTGAGCCAGGAATGTTCGTGGCTGTTCTCGATCAGTTGCGCGCCGAGTTGTCTGAGGAAAGGCGCAAACGCGAGGCACTCGAGGCGCGACAGCGACAACTCGCTGTACACCTGTACCTCGTGGTTGATGAGCAAATTCGGAGTATCAAAGCGATCAAAAAACTGGTTCAAGGTGTGAGAGAGGGTAAAGAAGATCATCTGAACGAGATGCTGGTAACTATGAAAAGAATGAAAGCCGCTTGGGGAAAGAAATCGCCGAGAAGTTTCAGCAAGAGAATGAAGGGCGCCAAGATCAGTGACTGATATAGTTTTTATAATACAGTGAATGAGTGTTCGTGTGTTTTGTGAATATTTTAGAGGCGATAAAGTGAGTGAGAAGAATAATGGTAATATTTCGTATGTACGTATGTGCTGATATACATGATATTTTTCTAAAAAGTTACGATGTACGCTGATATAAAAAAAGGCTTAAGAACCAATCAATGCTCATTACCATAATAGACGATATTTTTTTAATAGTACGTAATTCCCATGGTACTATTGGAAAAGTCACATATGGTAATAGTTTGTGATAAGGCTGTGATCATAAATCAATCAGCAGTACAATTTTTCAACGGTATTAAGAAAATATATATACTGTTTTTACGATCAAATGTCAATTAGTGCAGCTAATATGGTAGTAGTTTCTAATAAAACATGAAATCTCACTTTCTGTTACAAGCTATTACGAAATATATCAGAATCGTTTAGAGAGATGAAATTAAAGTTTCTAATGGAGCTGATAGGTTACACGTGTTTTTGTTTATCTGGCGTCATCGAGAAAGTGATACAGTTGATTATTTTCTCTTGTACTATATGATTCTTACATTGTTACAGACAAGCTTTAAAAGATTCTGGAATGTAAGCTGTATATTTTTTTTTTACTTATCGAATTGTTTTGGATTCTAACTGGTAGATTCGAGACCAAAATTAAGTATCCTTGTTATGGTTATACAGTGAATTTAGCGTGAGTGCTAGTCACTTTGATTGTATCTTCAATTTTTTCAATTTATTTATTTTTTTTCAATAATATCCATATTGTTGAATAATTGTGAATCGTCAATCTCGCATATGTACAAGAACAAATGTTATAATGTATATCAACGAAAGACTGACATGCTTTCAAATTAATCGAGCTCCAATGCAATATTCATGTTACGAATGTAAATATTGCCATGTATTTTAAGTTGCGGAAGTTTAATTTACATATCTAATTTATTTATTAAGGTTGATCTAATTTTCATTAAAATATTAAGTTTCTTAATAAATTAGATTGCAAAGTAAGATAGTTGCGTACCTTTTTATTGCATGTACCTTTCTTATATCAATATTTATACATCTAGTTTTGAATTACTGTTGAATATGATTACATTTTTATTTGTTTAATTCTCATTTTTACTTCATTTTTCGCGTAAAATATTTATTGATTTTTCGCTTTATTTCAGCGGTGTCTGATGTTAATTGATCGAATTTCGACTGACACTTGACGAGTGTGTTTATTTTAGCTGTATGGTAACAAGTACACAGTTATTCGAGCGACGTTTATTAAATTTTGCAAGTAATCTCATTTGAATGATGATAGGTCAATATCGCTTGTTTTTGTCTCTCATATTGTAATAATAAAGATTCTAGAATGTGCTTACACGGTCAATCGCGTAAATAAATTAAGTAACATATTTCCAATTTAAACCGACATAAACAATTGAAATAAAAAATAAAAAATGTGTAGTAAAAAATAGACAAATAGCTGCATCAAATCCAGTTAATATAAATTTGCACAATACTGTTATCTAATTAATTAATAACATTCGTTCCAACAGGCTACATGTACATAGGTTTGTAGTGACATTTCATGCCATAGATGAAATTAAAGTTTAAAGCTCCACGATTTCCAACAGTCGTAATATAATCAGAGAGCAAAGATTAGGTAAGTTAAATCTCGCATCAACGCCGACAAAGAAAATTTTGCTTCATCGATCAATTTACGTCACACTATATAGTTTGCCTATATTGTAATTGTAATATATCGACAATATTATTAGTTTTCCAAATTATTTATTCTTCCAAAAAAGTCACCGATTAATCTACGTTTGACCATTGCGACATCGTGAAGTAATCGATAACTGCGACAGCATCATTTGATATGAAAACTACAACCAGCAATGAATAAGGTTTCACTATCAACATCATGATTTGCATAATATCTGGACGTATATCTATCACATCGTTCGTAATATTGTTCGAATCAGATGTTTCGAAAGTTTTATTTCAGTAAAATCTCATTAAAATCAATCACATATAGATATTGCAATACTTAAATTTTTTATTTTGCGCATGAAAATGTTGAACAACTCTGGAACTATAATCATGTTAATTTCGTTCGTCAACGTTAAAACATAAAACAACGTTTTACTGTTGTGATCGGTTACGTTTAGATATCAACGGTTGATTCATTTCTGAACAAAGCTGTAAAATAAATGGAAATCATTGAAAAACGCAAACCTAACTTTTATTAAAAGCTGTCAAATATAATTAACCTACCTGAATTATTCCGAACATCAATATCGTAGCCAAATTTTCATAAATAATACATTAAATTAATCAATACATTAGGACATCCTTAACTTCCGATACATTTTGCAACATAACATTGCGAACGTGTGCTTCATATAATCTACTTTTTGTAAGTTCGGAAAATTAATAAATACGTCGGAAAGTAATAGTACATTACGATATAAGTGTATCATAATGTACAGGAATTGAATGCATTGAATTAATACCCGTATGCGATAAAATATCCGACTTTACCGGAGAAACAAGTTCTTTTTAAATACCACTTATAACGGTATATCTCAGCGTATATTTCTAACGCGTTGATGTTAACAACACTTCACCAAAAAGTGAGATTTCCATTGGAAAATTAAAAAGTTCTCTGTATGCTAAAGAAAGTAAAATTTGTTTTTACAAAGTACTTCACTTGCAGGTAGCCCTAAGCTATAATTCCCTTTGAAAGAACTGCAACAGCCTGTGTTGTGTAATATAGCTTGGTTTTGTTTCCAAATCAGCCTGGAAAACCATACACATTTATATTGACTCTAATTGTAGTTTATAATTGTACACACACGGGCGCGCGCGTATGTATATCAACAAATAGACCAATAGCACATTAATAATGAATTTAATCGATGTCTACATTTTCTCCATGATTCTGAAACTTCGACATCGAGAACACAATATTTTTAAAATTACCATACACTTCGATACTAGTGCGAGAATAGTACGTTACGATACAAGTGCGGGAAAGTAGATTCTTGTCTCGTGTGGCGTTTACGCCTGAGTGAAGCGAGTCTATAATTCGAATGCAATTGAATTCATTGAGTCTAGGGCTGGTCTAAATCGCGTTGTTTGGGTTCTAAATTTTCGTGACATCTCATAGTTCCGAATATTATTTTTCCGAGGTGATTTATCACGTGATATCACGTTTTCCCACGAAATCACGTAAGAAATCACGTGATTTCTCGTGTGATTTTTTTCAACTCGAATTTTTAAACGCATACATGCCTATAGTTTACAGTAAGTGAACGCCAACTACCAAAAGCCAAATATAAGTTGGTCTGGTGGACTTTCCGTGTAATTATAAAAGCTCAAAAATGCAAAAATAATTATTATAATTTAGACATTTTTTATAGTCTCAATGTTATCAATATTTAAATAATAACAAAATTAATATTTCTATTTCCTCGAGTTTCAATGCGAGTAAATGATTAAGTAAACATTTTATTTTATTGACATTTTGATAACATTCAATAATACATCCAATAATGATAAATATTTTCAGATTCATTTTGTCAAAGCACAAGTATCTGCATGCATTGAAATATGCATTGAAATAGTTCTATTTATTCTTACTTATTGATAATTAAATGATTTACTTAACTAACCGTAGTAAGTTGTTAATCGCAGTCAAATTCACGAATTAGTTCATTCTTTTCAAAATTTTTAAATAAATACACATTTATAAAATACGAGATGTAAAAAATTAAATATACTTTTCATTTTTCTTAAGAAAAGATTCTCAATTTAAATTTTTTTCTAAAATTCAATTGTAAAAGTATTTGATTAAAAATAAATACATTTTTCAAGTAAACTTAATAAAAATACCATAAAAATGCAGTGCACATTTTTAACACTGATTAGGCATGTCATACTTCTCACCATACAATATGTATAAAGCTTTTCTAACATATCTCCTAAATCGAATATTATAATTAAAAGCTGCTTGATTTTTAAAGTGTTTGTAAACTAATTCACTGAGTTTTAAAGCTTGATGTAATGATACTTCATCAATTTGTTGCCAATCATGGGACTGATTATTGATAAACTGATTTTCCTTGAATTCTTTAGCAGCAAACAACATTTGTTGAAATTCCAATAAGAGCTTTGTCCAACTAACAGAATCACTTTTCTGTAAAAGTAATGTAGTATTTGGTTATAATATTCTTGTATTATTTATAATGTGCTAATAAAAAATAATAAATTATAAAATACTTAATACTTTACATTTAATGTCAAATTATAATTAAATGACCAATTTTCTTTACAAGCTGTGCATTTACAAGTAAAATAATAATGGTCTCGTAAGAAGCTATTTCTATCTAACATATCTTTTCCATCTAGTAGGGGACCATAGCTATAGAAAATCTGTAGTATAAAATTTATTACATGTTAAGTCAAAATTAATCAATTTTTTTAAACAATTAATTTTTTTCATTACTTGCTCATTTTTTTTAATTGTTTGAGTAGCGAACAGAACTACTGTACGTTGTGGTAGATTCAGCATTAAAGTATTTGGAATGCAACTGTGATTAACTAGACTACTAAATGGTGCAATAAAATGACCTTTAGGAAAGTTACAGTCATTTTGACATTCATTCAGTATATTTGGACAAGTACAGCCTGATTGAAACTAGAAAAATGTAGAGTAAATTTGTCAGTAGTTAAATTATAAAAATATTAGAAAATAAATGTTCAACTTATATACTTTACACAGTACTGATTCAAGTTAATAATATCTCCAAGCTTCATTAATATATTTTTGAGAATAAAAATATTATCATCAGATATATTCATTATGTCTGGTTTTTCTTTGTAAATAATATTTGTATACTGAAACAACAAATATATAATCACTCCTTCAGAAAATGTATCATAATTACTTTGTCTTCTGTTAGGAAAACTTTGCAAATTATAACAAGTTCCAAATTTACTTTCACCTAAACTAATATCCAGTAACATTCTTTCTGTACCTGAAAAAAAAACTAAATTAAAAATTGTCTCTGAGTTTTTTTACTATATGTAAAATAAAGCTAATGAGTTAAGAGTTAACCATTGTCATCATTATTAACAGTCTTAGCTAAGTTTATTACATTTTGAAAGCCTTCTGCTTTTACAGCTTTAATAATCATTCTTGTTGCAAGGCGCATTCCTGTTCTAAATAAATCAGTATCAGTATACAGACAAGGTAGCACAGAGCATTCAATATCATGATATTCTTTTCTGGCCACTTTTTTACAAGCTTCACTACAATAAATTGAAAAAACACAAAAATCGCATGGAATTCCTACCCATGTAAAACTCAAGCAATGAGAACAAACAAGATATATTTGATCCAATTTTGGAAAACAAGCATATGTCTTTTCCGCTATTATTATGTCTCCAGGCTTTATATCTTTGTTTGCTATATAATGTCTACCATACATTTTATTATACTTTAATGTAACAGACTTTGTAATTCTGAGAGTCTTTACAGAATTTATTATGTTTGGTAGTTCAAGTACTGTATCAACAATTTCTTCATCATAAAGATTTAAACTTTTAACTGATTTGTGTAATGCCTCTTCTGCTAGTTTTGTTTTTCTTTCTTTGATAAATCTAAGACATTTTTTTTTACGGTCATTCAGTTTAGATTTCAATTCCTCAGACTTGGTGCATTCTAAAGCTTTGGCAATGTCAATAATACATTCCTCATAATGGTGCAGATGTATTAATAAAGCAGATCTATTACTGTAGCCTAAAGCTAATTTTTCACTACCTGTAGGTGCAAAGGCAATACTTTTTGTATACAGTGAAAGTATGTCTTGATGAATTTGTTTGTTGTGTTTTTTAATATATAATTGGTTTCCATCTTTTCTAGCTCTTTCTGAAACTTCTGAACACTTTTTAAAAATATTTCCAGTCTTTTCTTGATTATGAAAATATAATTTTACTTCTAAAAGTTCTTGAAGAAAATGCTTTCTATTTTCCATTGTTTTATGATACTCAGCTTAAAAAGATATTTTAAAAGAGAATATTGAATAAGTATCAGTGATAATATTATACACTGTAGAGATAAACTGTAATTTATATGAATAAAACGATTTTTCTCGAAGCTTTAATTTGGTATAACATTTAATCTAGGCAGAGTATGCAATTGCTGAAACATAATTACTATTGACATTCCAAGATTGGCATTATTGTTTATGTTAAGCACACTTATCAGTCACCTAAACTTTAACATTGATACTGGAAGGTAATCTATCTCGGGTCTTAAAAGTTAGTGCCCATAATTACATTTTTTAAATAATTATGAAATTAATAACATAATTAGATTGTTCATCAAATTTGTAATCAATTATCTAATTAAACTTTTTTTAGTTCGTCCACAATCGACCCCATAAAAAGGAAAAAATAAGTTTAGGCGCCAACCCCTCAGCGCTCAAATATTATTTTGGTAAAAGTGATTGTAAGATGTGTTAAAAAACAAAATGTGAAAATGCTAATAGATAATTAGTATCGCGCAAAATCAGCGCCCGTAATGAAATCGTACCTAGAATCATTAATTTGATAGTTATGGCTGGAGCTCAAATGTTACGAGGAGAATGCTTGAGGGCCAGTCGTCGAGGCATCGAAAAATCAACACGCTTATTAAAGCTAATTCTTGTTCACCACTTTTTTAAAGATTATTACAATTGCTTTTATAATAAAAAAATGTACTCATTAAAATTATTGTATTGATTATTTTAAATTACCGTCTTACAGTGTGTGTATGTGTGTATATATATATAATAAAAAACACGATACGTCACAATATGTATTTGGTTCGGCACATGCGTGCGCAGTACGTTGCTGTATGCAGTATTGTTGTTTTACTATTGCATGAAACATGTTAAAATTAGATATTAGATTAAAAATCGTAATTATAATTATGTTTGTGTTTACGAAATATAATTAAATTTATTTTAATTGAGTTAATATTGAAGAAATGACGTGATTGAGTTCTCTATCAATTCCGATTGTGATCTGGACACGACAGTAATGCCAGCAAAAATTTTAAGGTGAGGATTTCTAACCAATATTTTTGTGTTTACTTATTTTAACGAAAACAATTTAACTTTGTTGAAAAAATACCCGTTCATACGGACACGGATACGGAGAATATTTTAGCAAATATTATGTTTGAAGCAAATAAGTATAAATAATATCAGTAATAGTTAAAAATTGGCTGCAGTTCTCACTTTTTTTTTTCGTGGCGTATTTTTTTGTATCATGAGTTTTAATTGGAGCGGTGTATGTGTGATTTCTTAAGTAAATGAAGATGGACATAAAAATGGAAGTAAGTTCAGAAGAAACAGATACTGAAGAAGACTCTAACAAAATAGACTTAGTATTACCACAGAAACATTTCATCATGGACAATAATGCAGTCTTGGCACCTGTTGAGATAGAGGAACTTGATCCAGAGTCTATCAACAAAATGAATTTGAATATGGGTGAATTCATTGAAGCAGAGGCCATAAAGATTCATAATATACCTGATCAGCTGTCAGTGAGTCAACCTGTACAGTATGTCGACTACAATCAATTAAATGAACCAATGACTGACACAATGACTGATACAGAAGAGCAGAATTTACTCAGTGTTGAAGAGGAAAATTTAATAACCAAACAGTTTTTAAATGGTGAATTAACATTTTCTGAGTTTACAGAGAAAATGGATCAAGGTGTTGAAATTGAATTGGAAGAAATTGAAATAAGGTAAGTGGATAATAATATTATTTTTTAACTTCTCATATAATCACTTTAATGTGAAATTTTTACAGTAATACAGTTAATCCAGCTAGCGAACCACCTCCTCAGACAAACAGTCAAGTAGCATCACCTAAACCACAGAAAGCTGCTAAAAGTCGATCAAGGCGACCAAGAAGAAATCTCCCACCAGCTCTGCAAGGCCTAATGGGTGAGGCAAACTTGCGATATGCTAGAGGAGAAATTGAGCTTGCTACTCAAATTTGTATGGAAATCATAAGGTACATTGATATTTATTTTCTTACCTCATGTTACATACTATCAAAAATATATTTCTAACTTGAACATTTTTTTATAGGCAGGTACCAAACGCTCCAGAGCCATTTCACACACTGGCTTCAATTTATGAAAATGATCAGCCAGAAAAAGCCATGCAATTTCAGCTAATAGCCGCTCATCTGAGTCCTAAAGACTCTGAGCTGTGGGTACGCTTAGCAACATCATCTTTAGCATCTGGCAATTTAAGACAAGCGCTTACATGCTATTCTAAAGCTATCCAAGCAAGTCCTAAAGACATTGAATTGTATGAAATTCGTGCTAAGCTTCAAGAAAAGTTTGGAGACAAAAAGGCTTACATCCGAGCCTACTCAAAGTTATTGCATCAATTCGGACCAGAGGATGGTGTTCACATTGTAGCTTATGCTAGAAACTTAGCTGAGAGGTGTATGAAAGAAAATATGTACGAAATAGCTGCTGATGGTATGGACAACATATTTAAAAAATGTCCACAATTGGTTACTCTAGCGGAAGTCAACATCATGATAGATATTCTTATTCCATTGAGACAATTCACCAAATGTCTCGACATTCTCATCAGTTATGCGAAAATCATAATCGAGTATGTTCCCGAGAGCACTAGTATTGCTGCTTGTTATATTCCCGCTGATTTGCCAGTCGACCTCAAAGCCAAGTGCATAATTACAGTAATCGAGCTCAATGCAATCACTATCGCAGACACGCTCATTCCCGACTTTCTTACTACGGAAAATCCTGAAATCTCCGGTGACTTGTTCCTCGACATCGCCGAAGCATTCATGAATAAGAAGGAATTCAGACGCGCTTTGGATCTACTGGAGCCACTCGTCAACAGTCAAAACTTCAGTCTGGCCGCGGTGTGGCTACGTCATGGAGAATGTTGGATAGGTTGCAAAGATTTGAATAAAGCAATCAAGTCCTACGAGATGGTACGTAAATTGTCGCCACTGCATTTGGAAGCTCGCATGGAGTTGGCTAAGCTTTACAAGCTTAAAGGTCAGTTCAACAAAGCTGTGCAAGTTTTGAAGCAGGATATCGAGAAAGATAGTCTCGATCCAGCTGTTATTTACGAAAGAACAAAGTTACTGCTGAAAGTCAAAAGATACGACGAGTTCTTTGAATCAGGGTTATTGTTACTCTCTAGACATTGTATCACATTGAGATCCAGGCTTGAGCTTACCGCTTTAAGCCGAACCAGCGCGTTAAGGCAGCGTACGGAAATTTTATACAGGGATAGACTGTCGAGAGGAGAACCTTTGCACGACGAGAATGCACCAACTTTTTGTTCGAAGGAAGATCCGACAAAGAAGCAAGAATTCAATCTTGTCTTGCAGATGTGTCACTTGGCGTGTAAACTCAAGAAATACGGCCTCATGCAACGTATCTGTTTCACGACACTCACGTCCAAACGCTTCGCCGCAGAAAACAGTCAAATTATGTATCTTTGCTTAATTGCTTGTATTCGTAATAACGATTCGTTCGCAGGATTTAACATCGTTCGCGAGCTCGTACGTTCAAAGAAACGTTCCAAAGCTTGGAATTTATTGAACATTATTATTCAGAGGGCCGAGGATTCACGTCACAATAGATTCATGATGAGACAGTTGGGCAAAGAGGATGTGTTTTCCTATCTGCATATATTACACGCAAATAATTGCCTTGTGTCGGGCACATACAAGTATGCTTTGAATGATTACATTTCGCTTTTCAAAGTTAAGCCCAGCGCGTTGTTAGCTCTGCTTGTTGCGGTTACCTGCTTGCAGATGGCTTGTCAGAAATTCTCATCCAAGAAGAACCAGTTGGTTACTCAAGGTATTTTTTCCAAGATATGACTGATTAAAATATATCGCAAAAAATTAACCATTTACTTTTTTATTTTAGCCATGGCATTTTTGAAAACCTACATGGAGCTACGAGGCGAACAAGGCTCACAAGAAGCCAACTACAACATGGCACGAGCTCTGCATCAGTTAGGTTTACTCACTGGTGCTATACATTTTTACAGCAAAGTTTTGGAACTACCAGCACCCGAACTCGTTGAACAACACTCAAATTTGTTGGATCTCAAGAAAGAAGCCGCTTTCAATATGCATTTGATTTACATGCAGTCGGAAAATCATCAACTAGCGAGGACTTTCTTGGAAAATTATATTACTATTTAAGTGAGCGTTCATTCGTTTAATTTCATGCAAGTGTATAAAACTGTTGATATAGTTGTAAGGAATAAATTAATTTCTAAGATTGTTTAAGAATGTAATATGTTTTAATGTTACAATTCTGTATGAAATATAAAAATTGTGCGTAGTGCTTAATTTAAAAAAATAAAATATAAGTCATTCTTCGTGATAAGAGAGCGAAATAGAATGTAATAGAAGTATTCATTTACTAACAATTTTCTTATATATAAATTATAAAATAATATTTATAAATTCACTCTTAATCATCGACGTTGTTGGTGGTATTCCAAATAACGTGTTTGTTAATTACAGGAAATATTTAAAAAATTTGTCAAGTAATTGTTCTGTAATCTTTCAAGTTGTATACTACAATTTCTTCCATTTTGCCTAAAGCATCACATCTAAAAATGAGAAAAGGAAAGATTAATATTTCTCCAGATAAATAACAAACAAAAAATACATAGTGAAAAGTTACGTGTCATTACGTCTTTTTCCTCCGTTTTCTTACAATAGGTCCAGGTTCCTCGACATTTTTCTGCAGAGCCTTCTGCTTATGTGATTGTACAACGTGTTTAATGACCTCTATTTGATCGTCGAAAGGTTTAGTGCAATAAGCACAACGAAATTTAAATGCGTCAGAGTCATCGTTAAGATCTTTATTATACAGTAGCTCTTCGTCACTTTCATCAGTTATCGGTTCTTCTACAGCAGATCCTTCAACTCTCGACAGATTCAATCTTGCTTGACATAGTATATGTCTATTCAAATGTGCTTTCAAATCATCGGATCTTTTGCCGCAACTGTAACATTTGCAACCACCTTTAGTTCTGTAAATTGGATTTTTTGGTTTTCTGTATTCTTTCAGTACAGGCACGATATTATAATTAGTTGATAAATGCTTGTTGTGAGTAAAAACTCCATTATTATATTCATTTTTGGCAGCTTCGATAGCTCGTTCGACATTGGTACACGGCATTGGTTTTGATCTCGGTATCAAAAGTTCGACCCTACCGTAGATCGTGGTATTCCCACCGAAATTATTATCGCCAACATTGGGTTTCGTGCCACAAGGACAATTCAAGAAAGCCGAATTATCAGCCGACATGTTCCACTCGACGCTGCCAACACTCACAGTCTCGCTGATGTTCGTACCCAAATCGATGATTTGATGCGGCACCCAATCGCGTAAATGAACTAAATCACCTGGTCTCTGCACGATTATTTCGAACGGTATCGACCACTTTCTCAACAAACTCGGCAACACCATAAATTCTTTGTGATACGTTGGCATCGGACACCACGGTGGATAACCACCTCGATGTGTTAAGTGATTGGCGAGGCGAATTTCTAACGCCCGTTCGAAGTGCAATTGCACTACTAGCCATAATCTGCATGCACCCCAGTGTAGTACGTTAACTCTGTCGAGTAAGCCGAAGGTTTTGTGCATCTCCTCGAATGAGTTGCGAGTACCCAGGTGTACGATTGGTATATTGATGCCGTGTTTTACCTCGAGACGCGGATTTATCTTTGGACTTGTGTGGTATGGGAAACTAATCAATGCTGTTGGTGGATTTACTATGGTGATTCCTTGCAAGCCTGTCGTTTTTCCACCGGACAAATCGTGGATTATGGACTCGTAGAAGTGTTCTAATTCCGCGAGAGTGTCCGGAATTTTAGCGGCAGATTCGTTCAAGCGCTGCGATGTTGAACCGTAGAAACTACTCGATGAACTTTCGTATAAACCTTCGTTGTTTATCTTTATGAGGTACGTCAGCTTTAGATTTTCCTTTTTTGTCTTGATGTAAGATTGTTGGAGAATCAGACGAGCTTTGTGGTCCGATAATGGCTTTAGACACTGGTGAAACTGCAATTACAAAAATGTTTCTTTTATAAATATTGAATTCTCTATGAATTTGAGCGTGTAATTTGACGAATTTCTTTATTTTTCACTACGACAGGCTTCTTCGTGAGAATAACAGCTGGCGTGATTCACGCATGTTTACAGTAGCTAAAAAAAGAATAGGGAAAAAGACGCTAGCAGTAGACACCGCATGTTGTTTTTTCGTTGCGTACTAGCGACTATTCCTTCGTTATTTTTCATTTTCAGCGTCTCGTGAAATTCGACAATTTGACAATCGCAAAACATTGATTTGTTTGCAAATCATATTTTTTGTTCTCGTCAATCGCGGCATTAGAATTTACGAAAATTGAAAAATACATCGAACGTACTCACCACGTTGCCACTACTCTCGATAACTTTAACTTTGCTCTTCTGGATCAGGTGTTTCGCTCTGTTGAGAGAAATGTCATGGTGATGCCGAATTATATCGTAAACTTTTCCCGGCACCATAATCGCATTATATTCATCTTCGGACATTTTTTTAAACTGCTACTCGCGAACTCAAACTGTGCATACGCCGAAATTAGACTGCCGGTTATAACGTTGCGCGTTCACTCGAGTGCGTGTTTTGTTCCGACCATTTACGAGCTTTGTTGAATGCTATAATCATTCGGTCAGATTGTTACATTTTAACAAGTATTTATTAATTATTTTTATTTAACGTGAAACCCGATGAATCTATTTCATTTAATTACGGATTAAAATAGACGAAAATTAACGACAAAAGAGCGAAAACCGTCCGTACCATGTTAGAACACTGCATCGACTGTCGTTCCTTTCGAAGATTTAAACAGACTCCCCTCTTCTCTCTCTCTCTCTCTCTCTCTCTCTCTCTCTCTCTCTCTCTCTCTCTCTCTTTCTCTCTCTCATTCGCTTATACTCGTCCTAAATAATCTAAGTATATATGCGTTTACGTTCTTCTATTTATAAGATTCTATGGTGAAAATCACACGTTCCAACGTTCTTAAGATGGCTATTGCATTTTTGAACGGCGCACATGCGATAAACCAATCATTATTGGAAAGAGTGAGTATGGTGCGAGCGAAGAAGCGCAGCGTAAGAGTGTCTGGCATTTCCATTTGTCAAACACGTGTCTTCCGTAGTGGGCAACAACGGAAATATAGAAAGATCTTTCGGATCCTTACAACGATGACTTGAGCGCTAGACTAAGTATAGTTTTTTAATTTTTATTTAAAAACTATAATCAGTTTGTTCGACTTATAAATACGATTATAGCTTTCTCAAATATAAAAATCCAACTTTTATTCTTCGATTAGTCTTGTAGGTCGCTATATGATTTATAATACCCGAACACTATTATTATCTTAGGTTTATCGTTTTGTCATGACTCAAACTATAGCCTAATCGTTTTGCAATGCTAGTAAAAATTTGAAAAAATTTCAAATAGCGTAATGGTATACAGAAATTTTGAACGAGTTATTTTTAATTTCATATTGTACAACCTGGAAATTTGTCGTAATCATATTCAGAGGCTTGAAAATGTATATGAAAACATTTAAGTATAAAAAGTCAGAGGAGGGTAACACATGCGTAGGCGCGCGCGACGAGTCCAAATTTATCTTGGAGGTAATTGGAAAGGAAAAGTCTGTGTGTGAGGGAGACCCTTCAAGCCAAAATATCGTGTAAAGCGTACTAGACGTGGCGAAGTTAATTTTCAAAGGAGATATATGAATCAACGGCAAATGTCCATTTTTCTCAACTTTATTTCGCAGAAGAAGCTTCTAAAATTACTTTCCGTTTGTTACAGATCATGACGACTTTGTGCTCTAGAATCGAGTTCAAGAAGCTGTGCGATCTTTTCGAGAATTTATCCAAATTGAAGGGCGTCCAAAAGTACAACGAACTCCAGAAGTTCACACAAAAATGCCGAGACTTGGGGAGAAACATCAAAGCCAGCGAACCCAATGCGGTAAGTTATACGACGTACGTGAAATTCTAGAAATTATTTCAAATTTTTAAATAGGTATTTTTTTATATTGTAATAGAGTGTATTGAGATCTCTTATATTATAAATAAAAAAAATAAATCAAAAATATATTTTGATTATACAGCGTGCTATAACTTATTTCCAATTAATTGATTTTTGGTATTTTGCAGGATACATCTCTGTTTCCCATTTACAGATTAATCCTACCATCGTTGGAACGAGAACGAGGACCTTATAATTTGAAAACTAAAAATCTAAGTGCATTGTACAAACGTGTGTTTTGCCTGTCGAAAGTTGCCTTTGAAAAAGTTACGAGCAATAAGTAAGATAACTATAGCATAAGGCGCAAAGAATACAATTTCGATTAAAAAAAATCTTTCAGACCAAAAATTAAAAAAAATTTTTTAGGCAAACGATAACAACTGGTAAAGTAGATGATCTCGCCGAACGAATTTATTGGGAACTCCGTGTTCGTTTGCCAACTACTAGTCAATTAACCGTACTGAACGTTAACAAATTTCTTGATGATGTGGCGGCAAGTCACGAAATGAGTCTACAAAAGGATGAGCTGTTCCAGCACTTTTTACGTAAGGTCAGTGCCGTTGAATTGAAATGGCTCACAAGAATTGTACTGAAAGACATGAAATTAGGTCTTATGCAAAAGAAAGTTTTTGAAGGTAATTTATATTTAATTGAAGTGTTGTGCATCGTACAAATCTAATTCAAAATGATATGTGCAGTAATTCATCCTGACGCAGAAGAACTTTACAATGTGAGTTCGAGTCTACGTCGGGTTTGCGAACGTTTTCCCCAAGTTGCGTCGGAATCTTCTAACGACTTGCCTATTGAAATTGAAATATTCTCACATATAAAACCGATGCTGTTGGAACGTTTTAGAATTGAGCAAATCGGCAAATTGTTTACTGACGATGGACAAAAATATTGTGTTCAAACGAAATTCGACGGCGAACGATCGCAACTGCATATGAAAGATGGGAAGTTTAAATATTTCACAAGACAGGGATATGATATTACGACGAATACATGTTATGGAGAGTTCGCTAATTCAGGTCAACATTACATAATCATATGTTCAAGATATTAATTTTTACTAATATACTTTTTGTAACAGGCTTTTTGACATCCAACATATCTCGACTATTGAATAGACAGTGCCATTCTATTATTCTCGACGGTGAGTTGATGGGTTGGCACAAAGAACGTCGAACTTTTGGTTCTAAAGCTCTCAGCTACGATGTAAAAAAGCTCACTAGCAAAAGTCATCATCAACCTTGTTTCGTTGCTTATGATATTCTTATGTACAATGACGAAGTATTGATTAATAAGCCATACTCTGCCAGATTTGATTATTTGAAATTTGCGTTCAAGGAGGAAGAAGGAATTTTGATGTTAAGCAGCAATGATACTGTTTCCAATGTGTGAGTCTTTTAAATTAAAAATAGATTGTTTGAGTTACATTAGAACGACGGGAATGAAAATCGTTGATAAGGTTTATTGAACGATAAATTTACAAGCCATGTGATATGGTTAACGACATTGATAACGTTCATCAGGTTATTTTGCTTTATCATTTAGTTTACAAAAAATGGTGCAATACCAAGTTCAAGCACAGCAAAGATCTTGGAAACCTTTCAGAGGAGATTCAACAATTAATGAAATGTTATTGCAGGGATCAATTAAGAAAATTTTTCAATGTCGCACTTGAGAAAAATGACGAAGGAATCGTCGTTAAGAGGCATGATTGTTTGTACAGACCTAATATTCGTGAGAAAAGCGGTTGCTATAAAATCAAAGCTGAGGTAAAAATTCAGAAACTTGTAATAGAAAGCCATACTAAAGATTTTATCTTTTAGTATTCCGACAACCTCGTGCAAGATTTGGATTTAATAATTCTTGGTGGTCACTACGGTCAAGGCCGTAACAGCGGCATCGTTAGTAGTTTCCTAGTTGGTATCGCAGGTGAGCCAATAAATAAGAATGGCATGCCCTCGGAGTTTTTTTCTGTTGTTTCTGTCAGTTCTGGTCTAAGTGACGATAATCTCAAGTCGTTGCAAAAGAGGTTTAAGGACTTGTGGAAGGATAAAAAGCCCATTGGAGTTGTTGGACCAAAAGTAAGATTTTTAATCCAGAATATGAATGGAATACCGACTAAATTAAACATTAAAAGAAAGATTATTGGAAAAACTTTTATCGTGAATCTATTTTCTATTTGTTGTTAATTTTGACTGAAAAGATAAGAGTTAATCATATTGTTATCTCATATTTAATTTTGTATGTTTATTAACAACTCGCATATGAAACAAGAATTTCATTATAAAAGAATGCCATAATTAATTATTATTCGGATTCGTAGGTTTTAGAAAACTAACTAAATAACATCAGAAAAGATAACAGATACTTATTTAAATACTTTTCCCATCGTCGATTCTTGAAAATCAAAGTTTAACATAAAGTTTCGCTTTCTTTCTTCAGTCCGAGCTTCCAGATGTATGGATTCCGCCAAAACAGTCCGTGATACTAAAATTACGCGCGTCCGAAATCGTAAAGTCACAAAACTATCCTCTTGGCTACACTTTGCGCTTCCCTCGAGTTTTACAAGTGAGGGATGACAAGAACTGGCATGATACTTGCGCTAAAGCCGAATTCTATAATCTTGTCAAGGTAATTGTCGGTTTTCTTGTGTTATTAATGATTTAAATAAAACATAATTTATTACTTTTGTACGTGAATAATTTTTATTTTAAAAATTCATTCTTTTTCAGCAATTTTCATTAAAAAAAGTGAAAAGAAGTGAGAACGAATCATCATTGCAGTGATCTTACAATTTATAAATTACAAACTTATCGATCGACGTACCTGCCATATCAAACAATTCTTCAACGAGAAATGTGATTAAATTTCTACATCTCGTATCCTTTTTCACCATTTCCGAGCATAACTTCAGACGATCTCTGCAAAACAAATTCTTAAATCCCTCAATATCTCATTGATCTTCTGTTCATCTAAATGCTGAACTGAAAAGTATGAATTGGTCGTTATGACACCAATTATTTTCATCTTCATCTTCTTATATTTATTCATGTCTTCATTTTTCAGAGTATCGCATCTACTTTCATGTTAATAAACTTCATCTTACACTCGTCTTGTAGTTCTTTTCCAGCTGTTAAATAAATTAATTGTGCGTCACCGTTGAACATAAAATTATTTGACTAAGTATCTGCATAACATATCACGTTTCTTTGTGTTAACGATGGCTGTATTGTTTCCAAAAGCAAATTATAAATGTCAGGCAGGATTTCGCAATTCAATCGAAGTGTTTCGGCCACCTTCGTGTTAATGATAATTCCCGATCGATATCACTTCGAGAAAGAGCTTTCTAGATACAATAACAATTCATCCGACAATCACATTGGATACAACTTGTTGAATTTTATTCCAAGATGTTTTTTATTCCGCTAACAATGAAGCCGCATGTATCTTTGCCAAACTTGACAATGCAAATTGTCAATGCTTGAGCCTCAAATTCTTCAATATCAGAGTTCTTTTTACCAAATAATACGGAGATGCTTACGACTTGTTTTTGCTATTCATCATCAAATCAAGCATAATCAAAGTATAAATGAATGCCTCTTTTCAAACAGACTACTATTCTCGACAAACTTTTTTTTGGTTTCTGTGTTATCGGGAAAATATTTGAAAAAGTACATGCAAGTGTCGTTGATTTTTGATCCATCGTGTGACTTCAAAGATGAGATTTAGATGATTTCCCATGAGTCCTAAATTTTCATTTAAATAACTTTCTATGAAGTAATTGATAACTTCAACCTTGGAGTTTATAGATCTTTCTATCACATTTTCTCTGTTTTGTTTGATTAGAAGATTTACGAAGCGATTTATTGTTAAACTATGTGTCACTCTCTTAGCTGTTTACTACACAAAACTGATTGTTCTTATCTAATGATTAAACGTTTACTTGAGCAGGTCTTGTACAGTGATAGATTAATAACAAAAAATAACTGAATACCATTGAAAGTTTTAAAAGTCATTAATTAGTTTACGAGATTTTATTTTTACCGATTTGTGATTTGTGATTAGTCACAGAAGTACGATTGCTACATGATATATTACAACTGTTCTTCGACAATATTACGAATTTTGGAGTAACACAACATAACTTTCATTTGTTATTTATTATAAGGTTTATTCCGTAAGGCTTTGAATTATATTAAAAATAAATAAACTATATTGTCAGATTACTTTTTATATTTGTAGGATCGAGGAATAGTGCAGAAGCTTACAAAGAGGAAAGTAAGAAGAGACGACATCGACGAGGTGTCTGATGAGGATGAACCGAGAATCCGCAAAATCAAAATGTCCCCTCGAAAAGTTTATGGTACTTTCGATCATAACGAAAATGACAATGTTATGCGTGTTTCACGTTTGTTTCAAGACAAGGAATTTGTCGTTATTAACGGCAATGCTGAATTAAATAGAAAAACTATTGTTAAAATTCTGCGAGAACATATGGCGAAAATCGTGCCGAATCCTTCAAAAGATACTTTTTGCGTCATCGTTGGTGATCCCCAAACAGTTAGTAAAGTATTAAGAACGCTTTTATGAAAATGTATATGATAGTATGTATTAAATTTCAGCTTCATGCTCAAAATTTAATAGCAAGCAGTAAGTATGATGTTGTTAAAGTAGACTGGTTGAAAAGAGCCACGAATCTGAAGAATCTTGCGAAAATTCAAGAATTTTATCCGTGGGAATTGTATTCTACAAGTCCGTTAACTCAACAAAGAATCGATGAAGTTTACGATCAGTTTTGGGACAGTTATGTCAATGATATTGATAAAGAGAGCTTGAAACGAGTTCTAGACAAAGTTGATGAATATGTAAGTTCGCGCTTGTAATCTGCTCTCAGAAAAATGTAATATTTCATTAATAAAATTGAAATCATCTTTAATTTCAGTTGCAAACCAACGATGAAATTCTCAATCCAGAAAAACACAAATTAGACAGACTTTTATTCGAGGAAGGAATTTCGCCATACTCAGTCTTCCGCGATATAGATGGTTATTTTCATAATCGAAACGACATAGAGAAGTACTCTTTCAAGTTTATGAGTGGAAGACCTGTAGACGAATTCAATCTCAACATTAATTATGTTTTTGTTGATGAAACTATCACCAAGAAAGAATTAGATTGTTACAAAAATCAGATAGCCAATGGTGATAGAGAAAAAAGTACATTTATTGTAAGCAATAAATGGATACGAGATTGTTTTAAGAGCCAAAAACTGCTTTCTATTGATAATTATCATGTGTAATTTTTATCAATATTCATTTTAAAATCATCGAATTAATTCATATTGATAGGTACATGTATATTATTGATAAGTCAGGCATATTTTGCTATTTCTTATGTGTGTTATATTCTTACATTTTTAAATCAATGAATATTGTTGATAAGTCAGGCATATTTTGCTATTTCTTATGTATGTTATAAACTTACATTTTTAAATCAATGAAAAATATATACTTAGCATGTACAATTGTGATTGTATAATAGAAGATATTTTTTATTTTCTACATAAATGTATTTTTTTGTTTGTTTCTCCATGTCAAATAACAAATAAAAGATTTTAACGTTATAAGTAATTTATTCAGCAGATTAAAAATTTAATTTACAGAGAAGACACACACCACTCACTTATGTACATTTTCCAATTACGTCAAATATTTTGGTGCAACATCAACCAGTTCTTTAAGAGCAGACGATATAATTTCTCTATATCTCTCGTCTATTTCCATCAATTCCAGAACCAAATCCACGCGATCGCGAAAGAGTAAACTATTAAATCCTTCGGAAGTTTGCATTAATTCCAATTGTTTTTCTCCAGATATCTGATTGATTTGGTAATACATATTGATCATCACGATTCCAAAGATTCTCATATCTTCATATTCGTCTACGATGTCTTCAAACCGCGGTATATCCACTCCACCATTTTCTAGTACCTGACACAGAACCTTGTAATAATGTTCAAGCAAATTCATCTCATATTTATCCCTCAATTCTTTCTTAGCGTTATGATAAATCAGCTGCGAAACGTCGACCATTGGCGGAACATACCTCATAATCTGAAAGTCCACCAAAGCACACTTGGATCCACTGAACATCAAGTTATTCGACCAAACATCTCCATGGCTTATCACATTTTTTCTTGTTTTGGATGGTTCTATTTTTTCGAAAATCATGTTACATAATTTGGACACAACCTTGTGATCTAATCCCAAATACTTAGCTACGTTGATCAGCACGTCGATTCCGTATTGACAGAACTCAGCAAATGGACCTTTGCGAGAGAATAGAATTTCCTCCATCAGATCCGGGTACATGTCGAGAAAACTTTTACCAAGTCGTTTTTCAGCCAACATTGAAGCTGCGTGCATTTTTGCCAAGCTCGATAAAGCTGCCTTGAGAGATGCAACATCCAGGTATTTCTCTCTCATGGTGTAATTTTTGATTATCAAATTTTCAAAAACTAGTGCATCGTCTTTCACCAAATAACACTGAGCTGCCCACGATTTATCTTTACTGTTTTTCATCAGTTCTGGCATTATCAGATTATAAAAACTCGTCTCCTTATAAAACATTTTACTGTCCTTCACAAACTTGGCTTGATCGTTGACGTTGTAGGGCACGGACTTCAAGAAGTACGTGTGAAGTTCCTTCTGCGTCGATCCTTCTTTCGACACTTCAACAACAAAGTTACGGTGTGCTCCCATGAAACCTAAATTCTCGTTCGAATAACTTTTCACGTAGTAATTGTGAATATTGTAATTTGGTCCCAATGAATTTTTGACTATGGTTTCGACATCCTTTTTTGTCATTGGATTTTTGTACAAATCTAGACCTTTTTTTTGAAGTCCATTTTGTGCACTTTCGTGAGTCATGTCTAAACGCAGATTGTCGTGACAAATCTGATTGAGCTTGCGATACGACAGCTTCATTTATATCTTGGCCATTTCTAAACTAGCAACAGCGTGACTTACAACGCTTACCGTTCATAGCGTAAATGTGCTCATGAACCTTAATACATCTCATATATCAACCGAAATTGTAAAATACAAATTTAATCCAGTGTTTGCCTTGATGATTTTACTTGTCTCACGTACTCTTATAGACTGTATATATTTGTACTATGGAAAATTTTCGCCGACTTTCAAAAGGCGGAGATTCTGTATTCGATCTGAATTTTTTTTACTGTACCTTCGTGCTTATTTCTGGAATAATTCAGTTGCAAATTATTTGTCGATACATCTATACCACGTGTTTCATGTGTATTCATTGTATCAGTACATCGAAAGGTCAACAGTCTTTTAGTGTGCCACGTGACACAAGCCTGATTTTTATGATATTTTCAGCATTATCTGCACGATAATACCATCTATTAATTTGATTTTGTGTATTTGATGTACATCGTGTTGACGAATTCATACGTACTCGAATATCAAGTTCAAGAACTTGAACGATATTCTTTCGAATGCTTAACGAAGAGTACGAAAAGGAAAACTATGCATTTCTCAAGCGATTTCGGGTTAAAATTTGTTGAAATAATATACAATAGTTATTTATACTAAAAATTTTAACTATCAGTAATACTGAACATTTTCTAAATTTACGTAAGTTGTATAAAACAAATAATAAGGTATTAAAAAAAAGACACATACTCTTCGGGATTTTGTGAACGTTTATTCTTAAGGTTAATGACGGTGAAACTAGAATTGAAATAATTAATCAAAGTTATCTTGAACGATATAAAAAAGATCTTATACGATATGAAACTTTCAAGGATAAACTCAATTCCAAAGTACAATTTCTGGGCTACACCAAAGTCAATTTCTGGGCTAGAGACTGAAGTAAATAATAAGCTTTCAAAAAAATTTTAAAATGAAGGTGATTTTTTACAAAATTATCTTTTGAGAGCTCATCTAAATATGTTATATTTTTCAGCTTCTATATGTTCGATTCTAACTCTTAATAAAAATCTTGCTAATAAAATTTGATATTTTTGTTAACTGATTAAATATAGTTTTATCAGTTACATAATCCCAAAGAAGTCAAAGAGAAATACTTGATGCGGTATGCATTTATTAGAAAATAAAAATTTTGAATTACAGTCAAAGAAAACACATTACCGACATAAATATCATGACATTATTTCAAATACTTCGGTGCCGATTCAACCAGTTCTTTAACAACGGATGAAAGGATTTCTCTGTATCTTCCATCCGTCTTCATGAATCCCAAAATAAGATCCACGCGATCTCGGAAAAGTAAATCATTGAATCCTTGGGAGGTCGACATAAGTTCCAGCTGCTTATCTCCGGGTATCTGATTGATTTGGTAATACATATTAGTGGTAACGAGTCCAACGATTCTCATCTCTTCATATTCGTCTACGATGTCTACGAACTCGGGTATGTCCACTCCGCCATCCTTCAGCACATCGCACAAGGTCGTATGATAATGCTTAAGCAGATTCATTTCATATTTATCCCTCAATTCTTTCTTCGCGTTGTGATAGAATAGCAGCGCGACGTCACTCATGGCAGGAACATATCTCACCAATTGAAAATCCACGAGAATACACTTGGATTCATTGAACATCAAATTGTTCGCCCATGCATCTCCATGATTGATCACATTTCTCCTTGTCTTGGACGGCCGTAGTTTTTCGTAGATCAAGTTGCACACTTTCGGCACGACTTCATCATCCAATCCTAGATATTTAGCTATGTTGGTAAGTACGTCGATGCCACATTTATTCCACATAGCGAATAATTTTGTACGAGAGAACAGAATTTCCTCCATCAAATCCGGGTACATGTCTAGAAAACTTTTGCCGAGTCGCTTTTCCGCCAGCATTGAAGCTGCATGCATTTTCGCTAAGCTCGATAAAGCTGCCTCGAGGGACGCAACGTCTAGTAGTCTGTCTGCTTTCATCGTGTAATTTTTTATTACCAAATTTTCGAATACCAGCGCGTCGTCCTTCACCAAGTAACACTGGGGTGCCCACGATTTGTCTCTACTGCTCTTCATTAGCTCTGGCATTATTAGTTCATAAAAACTCGTCTCCTTGTGAAACATCTTACTTTCTTTGACAAACTTTGCGTGATCGTAGACGTTGTAGGGCACGGACTTCAAGAAGTACGTGTGAAGTTCCTTCTGCGTCGATCCTTCTTTCGACACTTCAACAATAAAGTTACGGTGTGCTCCCATGAAGCCTACATGTTCGTTCGAATGGTTTCTCATGTAGTAATTGTGAATCTTGTAGTTTGGCCCCAATGACTTTGCGATTATGGTTTCAACATCCTGCCTTGTCAAAGGATTGTCGTATTGATCATGACTTTTCTTTTCAAATCCATTTGGCGCAGGTTCGTTAGCCATGACAAACACTCGATCTCACAACAAAGTTTATTTTGAATTCAATTGTCACAGTCGCTTCATTTATTATCATTTTTCTCAACTGATAGCACTGTAAGATAACACACACTCAAATACGCTGCCATATCTTGACGTGCCTAATAAATCAGTAAAACTTGTGGACGAAAATTCCGATTAATTGTTTGCCTTTGTCGTCATTTTATTTTTCTTTCATAGTAATAATGCATTTTAAGTTGTAGTATAGTGAAAGTCGTCTTGTCAAAAATGAAAAAATATTACGTGAAAGTTATGTTGCTGTAGATTGTTATATATAGTTTGATACGAGGGCCAAATTAAAGTGCTTTAAATTCAAAGATATTTTTTTTATTCGCCAAAAACAAATTCTCAATTTATAATGTAACGAAATTTTTTATTTTGATGAGAGAACAGTTTAAAAGTTGTTATCTTTTTAATTTCTTGGAATGATGTAACGAATAGAAAAATTAGGCGAAGAAAAAACTTAGATACAAAGGTTAGTTATTTTTACATTTAAATTCATTATTAATATAAAGTAAACTAATGAAAAAAAGTCGATATGTGTAGGTTAACCAAACATATTTGAAATAAGGACAAACCTATCATTGTCACGTGAAGGGTTCATCAGTCCCATCGCTAAGTGTAAGGGGATTATAACTACAGAACGAATCAGCACGTGACCAATTGGAGACTTTGTGAACTCTCCTCCGATCACATGTGTCTCCTACCTTAATTATAACACATCCAGTGCCCACACAACCCACATAACCGTCTCGCCTATATACCATGCCACCCGTGCTTACTATACATTTCGTATGACCATTGGTAACGTGCGCATATACTCTTCTCATTAAGTACTTGTTATTCATCAAATCTCTCTCTCTCTCTCTCTCTCTCTCTCTCTCTCTCTCTCTCTCTTCGAAGTTCTTTCAACTAAACAAAAACACTGTTTAGTTCATTTCACAAAACCCTACACTAACATCGCTCAGTCTGTGCTAAACGATAGACCGCAATCAAGAATTGATCGCTATGTCAATTTTTGAAAATACACCAATACAGTTATTCATCATGAAAAAATTATCATTATTATTCTAATATTATAATAGAAGAGTAAAAAGTGCTCTTCACTTTAAAAACTTATCAGATACTTCAACCAGTTCTCTGACAGTGGACTCGATCAATTCCTTATAGCCTTCGTTCTCTTTCATCATCTCGAACACAACATTCGCGCGGTCCCTAGCCATAAGTCTATCGAGTCTGTCGGGATCCTCAATCATTTCTGCAAGTGTCTCACCATCCACCTGATTCGTCGGAAAGTAAAGATTAATCGTTACAATTCCAATAATTCTTCTCTCTTCGTATTCATCCAAAATATCTTGAAACTTTGGACAAGTCATTTCACCGGCGTCCTTCAAAATTTCACACAGCACCTCGTGATAGTGTTTCAGCAGATCAGTCTCGCACTTTTCTCGCAATTCTCTTCTGGCATTGTAGTATATCAACTGAGTGACGTCAGTCATCGCCGGCACGTATCTTATCAATTGAAAGTCGACCAAAGCACAGTTTTTATCGTCAAACATGAAATTGTTCAACCAAACATCGCCATGACACAGTACATTTTGTCTGGTTTTTGACGGCAGTATTTTTTCAAAAATCAAATTGCACACTCTCGCCACAACCTCGTAGTTCAAGCCTAGATATTCAGCGACTTTGGTGGCCGTGTCGATTCCCAATCCGATTCCATGAGCGAACGGACCGTCGCGAGTAAACACAATTTCATCGATCAGGCTTGGATACATCTCGGCGAAAGTTTTTCCAAGCCGTTTTTCCGTTAAAACCGATGCCGCGTGCATTTTCGCTACACTCGACAAGGCTGCTTTGAGCGACGGCACATCCAAAAATTTATTCTTGAGCTTGTAGTTTTTCAACTGCAAATGTTCAAACACCAAGGCGTCATCCTTCGCCAAGTAACATTGAGCAGCCCAGGATTTGTCCTTGCTACTCCTCATCAGTTCCGGCATTATAAATTTGAAAAATCTCGCCTCCCTGTAGAATATCTTGTTCTCCTTGACGAACTTGGCTCGTCGTTCGATGTGATAAGGTATGGATTTAACGAAATAAGTGTGAATCCGTTTTGACTGAGATCCATCGGGTAAAGCTTCGACAACGAGATTTCGATGAGCTCCCAAAAAACCCAAAACTTTGTCGGAATACGGTGTCAAATGATAGCCAAGAATGCTAACACCAGATCCTACGGACTTCTCAATGACTGTTTCGACGTCCTGCCTGGTCAGTGGGTTTTCAAAGCGATTCATCTTGGCGACTGTTTCCACTGGATTCGTGCTTTATTCCTATATACGTACGTTGTCTTGACTGATAAAACTTCGGTGCACTGATAATTATAAAATCGCTCAAAGCGCATAAACACCAATACATTACAATGCATTTGAATGGACGTGCGTTAGGAAGCTGGCGAATTGGCAATTTGCACGCGAGGCAGGCTTCTCCAGATTCCATCGAATGCTCGTAATATAAATCCGTTGGAAATCCTGTAACCGTATATTTTGTGCTCTCCCGCGTACAGGAGAAGATAATATAAGCTGCGCGTCGCGGCCTCCTCTTGTTTGCGTTATTCGCTTACTATCGGCCCGAAAAAGATTGTCACAGCTTAGCCGGCGAGCGAGGTAATCGAGACGCGAGGAAAAATAATCAAGCCTGAGTGACGTTGGGGTGAGCGCGGGTGTAGAGTAGCAGATAACTTTAGAAATAGAAACGGGTCACTTTCACTCCTTTTTCTCGCGGCCCGTCTGCGCGTAAATGCATATGATTGGAAAACAAGGCTGGCCGAGTGGATTGCCGGAATCCCGGGTATTTATACGACCGACGAGTTTTGTTAACTTTGGGCGAGCAAACGCGGGCTTGGGCGTGCCGTGGCTCTCGCATTCCGACCAATTTCCCATCCGTCAGGCATGCAATTTATTAAAACGTTAGGCGAGTCGCGCGCGCGCGCGCGCCAATAAGCCGTTGCCTCGTTGGAAAAAACGAACGATAATCTATTAACGACTGTCGAAAACGCGCGCGCGAGACCTGAAGCTCGCTCACGGCAGCTTGGCACACTGCGACGCTTCAAAGTCTCTCTCATTAGCGCAAAAGCTCATCCGCATATAGACGCGTCAAGCGGAGCTTTTGGACGCGTATTAATTGACTTTTGCCCATCTCGAAAGTCGTCTCGTTAACGCCTTCCTCGCTCTCGCGGCCGAATTCTCAAAAGGAGACTCGTCGCGACTGCGAGCGTGCTATCGACAAGTCGTTGCGCCGATGACTTTTATCGTCGTGTTTATATGCTGTTTCAAAGGTTTGACAAGCAGAGAGAGAGAGTGTTTACTGGCGACGATGCGTTTTTTTGTATTGCCGTATAAATAACTTGCTCGAGCATATAAACGCTATACGCGCGAAAATGAATCACAACAAATAACATGTGACACTTTGTTATTGGCACTGTGGACGTACAATCTATATACATTTTGCAGAAAATCGCGAACGCGGTACCGAAAGATACTTATGAGCGAGAAATTTCCCTCGCCTGCCAAGTCTGCTTCTCGCCTCCGTCTGTATGTGATACATGCGTTCCTTTAACAAGCCTGTCGCGAGATACCGTTGACCTGCAACACTTGCGTGCGGTCGTATCATTTCAGCGATCCGCAATTTTTCGCGCGTCACTCACCTGTCTATCGTGATTGCTTCTGATACTGTAATTTTTCGACGAGTAATGTTTGACTGTATTGCGCGGTCGCGCCGTAAACGAAAGGATCGCCGAATCGTACGAGCATGCCGATGCTGTTCTCGCGTGCCACCAAGCGACTGGTTGAGCGTCGCTTTTCCGTCTTGGCTTTTCAGTCTGAAGGAAACGAAACATACGATTACAAAAATCGGCGTTGGTGAAGTATTAGAAGTTGTCAACATACGTCGCATCGTATCGTTGAGAGCGTTCGATCAAGTCGATCAAGATCCATCAAAGTTTTGCGAAAATCTTGTTCCATCCTATCGATAGCAGTATCACGACACGCGCTCGATAAATTTTCAAGGCTCGTTGTCGTCGATCTTTCCCTTCTCGTTTTCTTCGTTCGCAATTTACGGCAACTGCGCCTCGGCCCTTGGATTTGTTGCCCGATCTGTCGCTTGATTGACGATCGTCAATCAATTATACGTGATTTCAGATTGAAAATATCAAGTAAAGATTACAGCTTCAACGTGCTCGACGGCTTTTCCAAATTGATTAACAGGCTCGACGGGTACCACAGCATCTGGGACTTGTAGATGGTGATTTGGCTTTTGGAATTGCAGCTTTCGGGGGAGTGGCCGTGACTTTGGTTTTTGGTGTACTGCTTGACAGTACGCCAGCTTTGGCTTGCGACGTATTATGGCTATGGTGGGCTTCGCTGGTGGCCGCTGAGGTGCTTGCGACGCTTGTGCGAGTAGCACAGCCGTCGTCGTCATCGTCGTCGCCGAAACACTTTCTACTTGCGTTTGCTCTGCAAGTTGATTCGGAAAAAAAAAATACATGGAGTTTGAAAAATAATATTAAGCTGCGCACTTGAAAAAAGAGTAATGTTGATTCGCTTACGGGATTGGTCGAGGACAGCCGCAAGTGAGCGGTTTGAGGTTCCACAATCTGAAAATATGGATCGATTCAGACGTCGGTTTATGGCAAATGAAATTATTGTTGTGAGCTAGGAGAGTGTAATTACCCCTTTTCACAGTAACATCGCTGTTGTGATCTGGAGAAAATTGAACGCTAAACATTAAATGGTTTTTTTTTTTCGATGGAAAATAATATGTAGCTTTGTCTTGATTGGTTATCTGCTGACCATACGGGGATACATGTAAACTATTTTTCACAGAATCGTATATAGCCAACATAACTCACTTGCCCTGTCCTCCACTCTGCTGCAGATGCTCCTTCATCAAAGTACACACGCAGACTGCGGGATCCCTTTAAAATTTATGTAGATATCTTCTTTGTTATCGAAATTAGTACGCAAACATTGACTGTAACCTCACTTCTTTTGCAAATACGTTAGATAAACGTAAACCATGCCGGTCAGTCCAATCACGAATTTACCGAAATACCATGCGGCCATTATTTGTCTGTCATGGTCGTTTCATAATTATCAAGATGAAGCCGAGGATTTTGCAACAGAAAAGTTTCTCGTTCGGGAGAGGGAAAAAAAACATGTATATCTGAAGCGACCGCTGACAAAACTGAAAATAAACGCGCGCAACGCGCTTCACGCGGCATGTCAAAGTCGAGAGAAAGAGAGAGAGAGAGAGAGAGAGAGAGAGAGAGAGAGAGAGAGAGAGAGAGAGAGAGAGAGAGAGAGAGAGAGAGACGGAGAAAGACAATTATCTGCGTACGCGTTTCCATTCTGATTTTTTTTCTGAACTCGAAGGCTGACACTTTTGGATATGTACGTGGTGTTCCTCTTTTTTATTTTTCTCGTAACTTTTTTGGGGAAGAGTGCTCGGGAGGGTATGTCGAATTATTTTTGAGGCGGCGACCTTTCATATGCATTTTTGGAGGATTTTTATGAACCTCCATTCGTTGAGATAAGCGTTATGTATTGCATAAACGGCCGGAGTAATGATTGCTGTTTGAAGGGTTTGTGCATACGTAAAAATAACGCTTTGCTTGCGTACGAAAACAGTGATTTGATTTACAATCCAATCGGCCTAATTTTAAAACTCAATCATTGCGCAATCCATTTAACTTGACGTCGCGTGTTAACATATGTATTTTTGCGTGACACGGACAAGGTAAAAGCACTTGTCAACTGTCGGCAAGAATATATATAATACGCCGGCGACACACGAGAGTTGTCTTTGAAAGAAAAAAAAAAAACAGTCATAAAAATACGATGGGGGCTTTTCTTCGACTCCCACATCATTAGACCAAATTCTCCGAGAAATATTTCCCGTTCTGTATGCTTCGACTTTTGTTTGTCTCGTGTTACGAATTGTCACTTTGCTCGTGATGTTTCGCAACGGTCATCAATTACTGCATTATCGCGAAATGCTTGTTAGATATTATATAAATTGTTCCGCTCCGCGATGTACCTCGGATATGCCATTCGTCACGTGGAAACATTAAAATTAATGTAAAATACAACTTTGAACGCACGACTCCGAATATCGATATCCTCGTATCGTATCGCCTGCACCGGGGAACAAAAATAGACGAGCAAAAAAAAAGAATCGGAAAGTGATCTTCATAAAGGAAACGCGAGGGTCTTGAGTCAACACGTACAATATAAAAACTTCCCGCTGTCCCTCGGCTTTCAGAGCGCGAGGCGCGCGCGCGACAATCTGGAAAAGAAGAAAGGCACGCGGGTGGCGGCGGAAGTTTCGCTGCACTAGCAAAACACCGCGCCGAACTAATATTAAACCGCCTGTTGCCGATCCTCTCTTTTTCGGGGCGAGAGCCAGCCACTTCGCTTCGAGCCTTGTTTTCTTTAGTAAAGTGCTACGTTCGCTAATTTTGGAGTTGTCCCGCGATGCGCTTCGCATATCGCTTCGTTATTATTTTGGCGATGGCGCTGTTTTTCTTTTTAATCCGAAGTACGCGACTGTAATTTGCGATAGGCATCGCGAAAAAATTATTCCGCGGATATTGCAAATTAAGACAAGTGCTCGATATATATTTAAGAAGGATTTTTCCGCGTTGGCCGAACTTTTCATTTCGACGATGAGAGAAACCACCGTTCAAAATCATAAAAAAACATACATCCTCACGAGAGCAGCTTATGAAGTCATATACACGTGAGATAGTGAAGAGCACGTGTATACATAGATAATTGTATGCTAGAGTGACTTTTCTAGAAAAAGAAAACAAACCATCATCCGTTGTGAGCGCGTGGTATAACTCGTGTCACGTTTTCAGTAGGCTAGTGTAAACGACATCAATGTACACTTGAGTATTTTTCCCTACCGCCTTAATCTCAATAAGAAAAAGCCATTCATTACGTAATTGTTCACGGCAGTTGTTCGATAGATTTACAAGACAATCTGGCTTATATTAAATTCAAATTAGTTATCAGAAATAACGTGACCCACAAGCAACTCATCAATAAATCGAACGGTATCAGCCATTGACTCGGTGGATTTTCATCGATACAACCCTTCGAAAATTAACGTATAGTAGAAAACCGATTGAAATTGCACGATAACGATGATTGGCTGCCGAAATCCAGTGGGCGTCGACGATTTTTTCGACTCGTCACCAATGGCAACGAAAGCTCCGACGAAAGTAGGCGTCAACTACGCGCGAGTGGGTGAATTGACGAACAGTAGACCCGCGTGAGCCAAGTTGGCCGACGCAGTCTTTCTCTTGCTTGTGACTTTGATAGCCGCGTAGAATGAGTGTTAATGGGAAAAGTGATTGCGAAGCTGGTAAATTGAATTGGTTTTATGTATTTCAAAAGTGTGCGGGATAATGTTTTTCTCTGTGGCGGATTTGCTTTCTTACAGCCGAAAGTATATAACCAACGAGTGAAAGAACTCATGTTTACTGATTATAACAGTTCAGCTTTTTTTAATTCATAAATCATTATATATATGTTGATTCGCCTTCATTCTACGTGTACATAGACATCGCTGAAATCAAACTCCACTTATTTCCGTTTGAATAGAAAAACGTGAAAATTAAATTTACAGTGTGAAATTTTCTCGGGTTTCTCATTGTATCTCCATATGAAATATTAATTGTAACACCTTTTTCCGCTTTTCTTTTGTCCACAGTAGCGTTAAAATCGATAAAAAACTATAGTATTTTGATTTCTTTTTTATTGATGCTATCACCGTAAAAAGAGATCGATGAGTTGAATTATTTCGTAAAATGATAAAATTGAAACATTAACAGCGTGCAGTAGGAAAATTTGGAAAACACGTTTGGGTCGTTCGAAATACACTTTTTCGATTGGAAATTTCTCGTGTTTTCCGATTAATCATCAAATGCTATATCCCTTTGTACGAATGTATTATAATCATCTCCATGAACTTTACTTTAGACACAGCGGACGATTCTCGTGTAGAATCCAGTGGCAACAACCGAACCCGAAATCCTAAATGCGCTCGTTGCCGCAACCACGGAGTAGTGTCAGGTCTTAAAGGTCACAAGCGTGCATGCGCGTGGCGTGAATGTCGTTGTGCATGTTGTCTTCTCGTCGTCGAACGTCAACGGGTGATGGCAGCCCAAGTTGCTCTGCGTCGACAGCAGCAAGCTCGTGACAATCTTCACGGCGCGGATGTCAATCAGAGATCCGTCGCTGCTTATCAGAGGCGATTGAGAAACTTTCAGAGACATCGTTTGCACCTTACCCAGACGAGGATCAGTGTAACAAGGCAGGATTTAAGAATTGTCGACGCTGTCCCTGGTAATCACAATTATTCTTTCTTTTAGGTTGTTGAAAAAATTTCTGTTGTTATTTTCACGATGGATGACTTTTTTCCAGATGCGCTAATAGAATCTAACAAAGATGATCAGCAGAATGAGACGTTAATAAACTTCGATAGTTTTTATCCAACATATCCGCAAATTCCATGGTTTCCTTATTTTACCGAGTCGACTGGTGTGCCGAGAAATGTGACGAACGAAGCGAGAAATCCTTACGATAATATATCCAACGTGGAGAAAACTTTACAGATGGATAAAAAATCGAAGATTTCGTTTAGCGTTGAATCTATTATAGGGAGCAAGTAAATTGTATAGATGTAGCAGATAAGAGTTTGTAAATAAATTTTTTTTGATGAATTATAGTTGTGTATGCCTAGAAATTATATTTAGTTTTGTATGAATGAAGTTTTATAAAATATATAAATTTATTAATAAAAAACATTTATATTATTTACCGAAATCGATTATTTTGTCAGACCTTTGTTTTATTCTAATCGACTTTATGTAGTATATCTAAAAACGTTGTTAATTAAATCTTTAATTAAAATTTTTATTTTATTTGTAAATTAAAAATTTATTGACGTAAATATGTATGTATGCATGTATGTATGTACAAATGGCGTGACTTATTTTGAATTTGTCGCGCGAGTCAAGAAAATTTAGGCCAAAACCGCATGCGCCGAGCTCTATTGTTTTGGTTTGACCCACCGCCATCTAGTAAAGTAAAGTTATTGTTTTGGTTTTGCCATTGAACTTTTCTAATGAAACTTTGGAGGTTACCGTTACACCATGGAGAGTGGAGACTAAGCAGGAGTCAGCAACCCTATTCCCTCCCTACAAAAATTTTCTGAATCTCATCTATTGTCCTCCCCACCCCTTACTCTATGTAATTGACAGCGCCATCTTACTAGTAGGCTGCAAACGAGTTACCGATGGAATTTCAGACATTCTAAAAATCTAACTTTTTAATTCATTATTTATTATTTTTGAGAGACGGTAGAAGATGACGTGCAAGAGGCACAATGAAATTTACAGTACGAAAAAGCAGAAAGTCAGAAGTGTACAAAAACAATCTAAATTCTAATTACAATGTTCATTGTAAATATTATGTAAATGCTATCTGAATATATTTTTTTATGATTGGAAGTATGTAATTTTGTACGTAGTTATATGCATTATGTAATCATAAAACTATTTTATTTAATGCTAGAATTTGGTCAAATATATGATTGTGACATACAAAAAATTGTAAATTATTCAGTAAATTTCAAGTCATTGGTAATTCTGAATTAATTTAAAGCCCACTAGTAAGATGGCGCTGTCAATTACGTAGAGTAAGGGATGGGGGGATAGTCGATTCGGTTCGTCACGACTTATACATTCTGCTGACTCTCCTGTTTATACTAGTTTTCATGCGTCTGACGCTAGTAAGATACAAGCCTCCATCGTGTGCACACTGTGACATTTACTTACTGAAGAATTTATATTTATTATCAATTAATATTATTAAGTTGATTTGAAAATTTATAAAATTTCGTAAAATCTCCAAGTATGTAGTACTCGATTGTTTATTTTATATAAAATTTTACAGAAGAAAAAGAATTATGAATTACATTAATGCACTTTAATAATTTGTATGAAATCATTAATAATTTATTTTTTATATTTTAAGGATGTCACAAGACATATCTGGTATGCAAACTGCTGGAGTTAATTCAGAAGTACCAACAACATTGGGAAATATACCATCAGTTAATTCAACAAGTCAAATACCAAATATGAATCCAACTCTACAAACATCAGTACACTCCCAACCTCAACAACAGCCACCACAACAGCAACAATTCACTCCACAGATAAAATCTCAACCACAACAACTGCCTCAGTCTAATACTCAAAATGCATCTCTGGATTACCATCAAGTAAAATTTTTGGTTTGCATACCCATTGGTCAATGAATTAAAAGCTTAATGACCATTGATTTATTTTATTCATTTCAGTTTTTAACCAAATCAAGACTACAAGATTTAGTCAAAGAAATAGATCCAACAGAGCAGCTTGATGAAGAAGTTGAAGAAATGTTGTTACAATTAGCTGATGATTTTGTTGAAACAACAATCAATGCTGCTTGTTTATTAGCTAAGCATCGTCATGCAAATACAGTTGAAGTCAAAGATGTGCAATTGCATTTAGGTAAATATCTAAAAATCTATAAATTTTTTCATAAATGCTTGTTCTCTTACTAACAGTTTTTATTATTGTAGAGAAAAATTGGAATATGTGGATACCAGGTTTTGGCACAGATGAGATTCGTCCTTACAAGCGAGCAACGGTAACTGAGGCACATAAACAAAGATTAGCTCTGATTCGTAAATCCATAAAAAAATATTAGCACTGCGACAGACAATCACAAATTTCATTTTGTATGCGTTTTGAAAACTATTTTCATTAATCAGTGATATCTACTCGTTCTATGAGTATACCGTGAATGTATCGAAAGACTGTATCATATAATAAATATAAATAATCAGTGTGCTTAGGATAACTGATTTATATTAACTTTATTTGTTCTGAGAGCAATTAAATGTAAAATAAAGAAAAAACTTTTGTATGATACCTATGAAAATAAATAATTAGTTAGAATTGACAAGCATTTTGTTGTTAAATTAATTGAATAATAACCAACATCAAATTTATGACTATTCATTAGCTAATTATACCTTATCATGATGACAACAAATCAAAATAAGACAAGTGTGTGACAAACATTCATAGAGCATGCGCGAAAAATATTTATTGTGTAGCGTATTGGTGATACTGCCTACTGGCGACTGTTACGCCCCGTCTCTTGTTTTTTACTGCTATTGCAGACAAATAGTGCAATAATTATAATGATTACTATTATTTAATTTATTGAAAAAGTGACCTTCACAGTTATTTAATTGATTGAAAAAGTGATGTTTTCCGATAATCTGCGTTCTCTCAAAAAACTAGTCTACCCAAAAATATTGCCTAATGATATTGAATAAAGGTTAGGTTCGGCAAATGTTAAAATTAATCATTAACTAAAAATGTTTATTTTAATTGCCTAATTATGAACTGCTTTTAATTTTCAATTCGATAAGATCTTTAATTGTGAATGTTAAAATATATACTTTAATAAAAATGTACAGATTAAGTAATGCGCATTATTTTTTTTACTTCAGTTACAACTTTTAGATAATACAACTAATAAATGAGAATAGATTAGGATGTAATTTTTGTCTAAACAAGAGTGAAATTTTATAGCAAACGATAAAAAAATGACATCTGTGTTTGATCAGTTTGAGCAGGCCTCTCAGCGATCAAAACAGATTGCACCACCACCCATCCGACCTGATATTGTAAGTTGAATGGATTATTATTAACTCCTCCAAATGTAATTATACCCAGTAATCATTACCTACTTTAATGTGTAGAGTACAACAGGTTTCATACAAATGAAACTGCAAGATGAAGTTCCAATCTTCATCAAACAAAAGGTTAATTTTATGCCTCCTGAAAAAATACTACACATGTGTGTAAGCAGTAATTTTATTGTTATAGCTATGGCTAATAATATTTTACTCAGGATTGATATGAAGTTTCCTGATAAACCTGAAGGTAAATATAAAATCAATCAATAATTAATGCAACAGAAATTAATTACTCTCATATTTCTTTTAGAAATTGAAATAGCAAAGTTTATTGGAAATTTAAGACTGTCTCAGTTGTTTCTTGATCCTCTGGGTCAACATTTATTGATTACAACTATACCAAAACAAGGCGATAATAACTCACTAGCAGAACTGTTTTATTTACACAGGAAATCAACAAAACTGAAACAGGTTTTCTATTTGTCGTTATAACTCAACATATATTGATTTTTAAAAGGTCAAAGCTGTAGTTTTAATTATATTAATAATTTAGGCTTCAAAATTTCGTGGCCATGAAATAACAGCTGTTGGTTGGAATTTTGCAAACACATCAGAAACTACTTCAGGTCCCATATTGCTTGGTACCTCAAAGGGCCTTATTTTTGAAACTGAAATTGGCTTGGAAGGAGATAAAATATTTACTACAAGCTTAGAACAATATTGGAGACAGGTATGCATTAATAATACACAAATTACTGAGTACTCAAATAATATATAACAAAACTTTTAAAACTGTTGCTGATGGTCTAAAAAAATTATTCCTGCATATTTCAAATCATTTTGCATAAAAAATTTTTTGTATGAGATATTTTTATATTTCCAAGCTCCCAAATTACTTACCTCTTTATGGCAATAAAGAATTGGAGGGATTGGTAAGTTTATTAAAATTACTCACATAATAGATTTATGATTGTTTTCAGAATAATTTTTTCTGTTAAACAGTTTAATTTTAAAAAGTTTTGTTAATTTTAATGTTTTTTCATGATTGAATTTTAAATTTTCTTCAAATTAAATTCATAATTGTTCATCAAAACATTTGTTTTTAGGTATTTGATATTGGAAAAGATAGTAAACCTCCAATTACTGGTTTGGAGTTTAGAAGAATACCCAACACCGATAAATATGTTATTATTTTGACAACACTTATTCGCATTTATCAGTATATGGGAGTTATAACAAACCATGATGAAAAACCTCTACTGCAGCAAGTATTTACCAAGTATTTGAATATCAAAGGTAAATTATATTTATCTTCTAAATAGATTAAAAGTAAATTACATTTTTTTTAATTAAAATACGTAATTAATTCATAAATAATTTACAGAGCGCTTCAACCAGTTAGAAAGTTCATTGCCATATTCTAAAATGCAATTCTATTATTCTTCGCCACAGGAATTTCCAAAGACTTTTAGCTGGCTAACAGAAACTGGGATTTTGATTGCTCAGGTATGAATAAAAATTTTGAAATACAGAAATATTATAATCCTATTTTTCAATAATTGATTATGTATTATTATTATTATGTATTATTATTTAAGGTGGATTCGAAAGTAGACCCAGAAAACGTATTAATCAACCAACAAATGCTACCTTGTCCTGAAACTAGCCTTCTCACCAGTAGTATATCATCAAAAAAAACGCTTGCTCCAATATCGTTTGTTCTCACCGAATTTCACGTGCTTCTTTTGTACAGCGATCACGTGAAAGGCGTCTCGTTGCTTAACCAAGAACTCATTTTTGAAGATGTATACAACGACGTAAGTTCCATAATCTTTATTTACCTCACAGTTAAATATATAAAATGAATTATCACAGGCATTTGGTAAATTAGTAAACATCATAAAAGATCCGACGACGGGTTCGATTTGGGCGTTTAGCGAACGAGCAGTTTTCAAATACAAAGTGACGCGAGAAGACAAGAATGTTTGGGAGGTATACATTGAAAAAGGGGAGTTCGAGCTTGCCAAGCAATATTGCAAAGATAATCCTGCTCACGTGGATCAGGTTCTCGTAAAGCAGGCTGAGATGTTATTCAAGAATAAAAAGTAAGTTCTCTTAAAAACTAGTGTTTTCTAATATAGTTTCATTTACGCTTTGATTCATCTACTTCAGTTATGAAAGAAGTGCACTTATATACGCTGAAACACATTCGTCTTTCGAGGAAATTTCCTTAAAATTTTTGCAAGAAAATCAGATAGAAGCATTGAAAACATTTCTTAAGAAGGTAATTTAACATTCGTATAATGAAAATTTTTTGCGAATAATAGTTTTCCTTTCCAATTGTAGAAACTGGATGGACTGAAACCGCAAGACAAAACGCAAATTACAATGATAGTAATCTGGATTGTGGAGCTTTTTATGCATCAAATGGGTGCCATGCGTGGCAGTGACACTTCTTATTTACAAAATCCACGTTACATAGAACTTCAAAAACAACTCGATAGTTTCTTGGCAACAAAAAAAGTCGACGTAAGTGTATTTGTTAACTACATTTTTTTTATTCCTATAAACTAATTTTTTTATAGGATTGCGTGAGAAAGAATCGTACGACAATCTGCAACATAATGGCTAGTCATGGTGACAAAGAAAACTTGCTTCGTTTGACAATCATGAGCAAGAATTATGAGGAAGTGATACGTCAACATCTCTACAAGAACAACAATCTTAAGGCGTTAGAAGTTCTCAAGAGTCAAGCGAATAAGGAATTATTCTATCAATTCGCTGCAATTCTTCTTCAAGAATTACCGAAACCAACAGTCGCGGCGCTCATATCACAAGGTTCAGCATTGAAACCATCCAGACTGTTGCCGGCTTTGGTGTCGTGCAAATGCGATGAGAAACATGTAAATTATATGAAACATATTTGTTAATGTGGTAATAATACGTCGCATACCGATTTCAATATATATTTCAGGCGAGAGAAATCATTAGGTACCTGGAGCACTGTATCTATGAGCAGAGTTGCCAAGAACAAGCCATACATAATTTTTTACTCTCCCTCTACGCTCGATATAAAAAGGATGAAGTACTACGCTACATTAATTCTCAAGGTAAATGTTCATAATACATCTTTTGAAATACCGATAATCATACATTGTACATTGTAGGTCAAGACATCGGTATGGTTCACTATGACGTGCACTACGCTTTGCGTCTCTGTCAAGAGTCTAAACTGACCGAAGCTTGCGTTCAGTTGTCAGCGTTGTTAGGCCTCTGGACAACAGCAGTTGATTTGGCCTTAACTATCAGCGTTGATTTAGCTAAACAAATAGCAGCGATGCCATCGCATCACGGTAACGACGAACTGCGAAAGAAGCTCTGGTTGAGGATTGCCGAGCATGTGGTTCGCGAGAAGGATGATATACAGCAGGCTATGGAATTTTTGCAACAGTGCGATCTTGTTAGGATCGAGGATATATTACCGTTTTTCTCAGATTTTGTGACGATTGATCATTTCAAGGAAGCTATTTGCAATTCTCTGCAGGTGAGTTTGAGGCACGATAAAAGCACGTATACTGAAGTATATACATTGAGGGATTGGAATTGTAGGAATACAATCGTCACATTCAAGATTTGAAAGAGGAGATGCAAGAGGCGACGAAAGCTGCAGAGATTATTAGGAAAGATATACAGGCCTTTCGTTCGCGGTAAAATATCAATTTTGTCTTTCTTATATTATTAATGTTTTATAATCTTGCATGTGTAATTGAATTAATTATTTATAGCTGCACCTTCGTTCACGCGAAAGACACTTGCAATTGCTGTACAGTTCAACTACTCGTTCGTCCATTTTATGTATTCCCATGTGGGCATCGTTTTCATAGTGATTGTCTAGTCGCGGCACTTACTCCAATGCTGTCACTCGAGAGGCAAACTCGATTAGCTGAATTGCAACATCAATTGACTCTTGCTACAGATCCTCAACGTCAAACGATTGAAGGTAGCACTTCTACGTCGATGTCTAATAAGGAACAAATTAAAGCTGATATCGACGATCTTGTCGCTTCTGAGTGTCTTTATTGCGGCGAGCTTATGATCGAGTGAGTTTTAATAATTATATAAATTTTAAAAGTGTAATATAGTATGGAAATAATACTATTTAAATAATTTGTATTTTTATTAGAAAATAATAATTTACTGATATTACATCATTTTCTTTTTAGATCAATCGACAAGCCTTTTATAGAAGAAGGAGATTACGAGCAAGTGATGAAGGATTGGGCATGAAATTAATAATTGATCTACTTAAAAAAATATAAATAATGTTAGAGAATGAACATATAAAAAAGTTTTTGTACTTTTGTTATACCTATACCTTCATGTATTTACAGTTGTGATAGATGCACATAAATATTGCATGATCTATATATATAGCGAAATAATTTGTATATAATGAAGAAAAATAAATTTAACTTATGTAATTTAATGATAACATGCTAGGCTATCTATTAGAAAATTTAATTTAATTTTTTTATAGACACTGTGCTATCGTATGTGCAATATATATACATACAAATATCTTGTCATATTTGAAATAAAACTGAAAAATTTACAAGGAACCAAAAATTACGATTTTATTTTGAAATATTTACCATTTCTTCAGCTTTCTTATCTCGTTTGCTGACGGACTCATTCTCAAAAATGTAATATCTTAAAGGTTTGCTTGCCCACTCAGTACCTGCACTATCTATTCCTATGCGAGGACAAGAAATAATTTTGTAATCTTGTTTTTGAGGATCATCTTCTAACCACATGCCTTTCCATGAACACATTGAGTATTTTGTATGGTCTTTATTGATGTCAAAAGCAATGCAAAGTTTTGAAGGGCCATTGCATAATTCATGTAACTTAAAATTTTTATTTGATTTTTTTGGTACTTTTGAGTTTGACTTTGAATTTCTATGATACTTCATTTGTTCAATTCCTTCCAAGGGTTCAACTGCTCTGAGAAAAACAGAACTTCCTTCACCTTGAAAGAGTATAATATTATTGTTATTCATATTTGAAACGTAAATTTTCAAACATTTTTACTTTTTTTAATAGTATTGAAACACACATTATCAAATTAAATTTTCGTCAGTAGAGCATACCTTGACTAGAAATATTGAAACAGTGATACATGCCATAAGTCACATAAACAAAAATTGTTCCAGGCTTCATGTACATAGGAATGTTACGAGGAGTTACTTTTCCTTGATATGTAGCAGAAGCTTTGTCTATGATACCTAAGTAGCTTTCAGTTTCAACAATTTTTCCTTTTAAAATAGTTCCATCATCTAGTTTGCGTACTAATATTTTTCCTGTAATATAGAGCAACAATTAATTAGTATACTCATCAATATAATTGGCATTTAAAATTATTAATCTAATATTACCTAGAATGTTTTGAGCTAATTTTTCACAAGGATTATTATAGAATGAGTAAAGAAGCTTGGAGGTACTTATTTTTATTTCCCATGGTGTAGATGGTGGATCTTCTAACTGTTGAAGTTCTTCTTCCATAAATTTGAGATCATTAAAGTTTTTTGTTACATTTTTATTGACTCTATTACTTGTACCTTTCTATAAATTTTTTTAACACAAAAAAACGTAATTGTCTTGTTATAAAAATTATTAAGAAAATTAGTTCCAACCTTTGAGTTCTTCTGGCTAACCATCTTATTGTCTTTTACTAAATCTATTTTATTTGAATCTTTATTTTCACTATTTTGATTTCTTGTAGATGCTCTTGTTCTTTTCATTTTTTATTATGAAAATATCGAATTTGATCTTAAGGCTCTTTTAGTTTTATTTACGTTTTACATGAACCGTCTGAATTAAAAATCGCTTTGTTCTTACTACGCGGGAAATCATAAAATTGAAATTCGTCTGCTAGAAACAGCCGATTATCTGACCAATACATACATACATACATACATACATACATATATATATATATAAATTGACAGATGAAAATGAATATAAAATGGAAAAATAATATGAATAATGAATATATAAAAAAATGTATTTTGAGTGAAGTATTATTAGATAACATCTGCGAAATAATGTACAATAATTTTAATTTTGAATTACACAGCGAAAAAATTAGTACAATATGATTTACTGGAAAATTGATTCAGCCTTTTTATCTCTTTTACTAACACACTTATGTCCATAAACATAGTATCTCAATGGTTTATTTGCCCATTCTGCTCCAGCACTTTCAATTCCAATTCGAGGACATTCGACAATTTTAAATTCTCCTTGTTTTCCATCATCCTCAATCCATAGTTCTTTCCAATTGCACAATGAGTACCTACTGTGTTGTTTTACTAGTTGCAAAGCAATGCATATTTTAGATGGGCCATTGCATAATTCATGTATCTTTAAATTTTTCATTAATTTTTTAGGTTCCCTTGGTTTTGGTTTCCAGCTACGATTTTCTGCCATATACTCTATTCCTACCAAGGGTTCTAGAGCTCTGATGAGTACTGCACTTCCTTTTTCTGTTAAATTATCAGATTTATTATAGTTATTTCTTAAATTTTATTTGAGTAAATGGTAAAAAACAATTTTCAATGAAAATGCTATTAATTAATGTTTTTAATAAAATTTACTTATTAACTTTCTTCTATCCAAAGATTGTCTGTTTTGCATATATTTTTTTTATCAAACTCATTTACTTCAATTAAAAAAGCACTGCAAATTTCTGAAGGTCTACTACATAAATCATTGCTTTTATACTTTATTACAACTTTATTTATATCTTTTCCTTCTTTATTTTGCTTTTTGTAAGTATTTCTTAGTAATTCCATATATTCAAAACCAACCAGAGGTTCAATTCTCTTAATCAATACAGATTTATCTGCATCTATATATCAGTGTCGTTGTATCGTTTTGAAATAAATCATTTTTTTACAACTCACCTTGACTAGATATATTGAAACAATGATACATGCCATAAGTAAAATATACATAGATGGTTCCAGGTGGCATATACATAGGAATATTTCTGTGTGTAACTTTTCCCTGGTATGTGTGACTAGCTTTATCTTCCACCCCTAAGTAACTTTCCGTTTCTACTATTCTTCCTTTCAAGACAGTTCCATTTTCAAGTTTCCTTACTAGAACTTTACCTGAATGTTTTTAAATTAGCATTCATGACTTAAAATTTTGAATTTTCATTGAGAAAAACTCACCAAGCAAGTTCCGTGCTAAATTTTTAGATGGTACATCATAGAAAGAGTATGGCAGTCTTGTAGAACTTATCTGCTTTTCCCATAGAGTTACCGGTGGATCTTCCAATTGCTTTAGCTCTTCTTTCATTAATTCAATGTCAACAGTAGCTTTTGATTTTTTTTTTACTGTTGCAGCTGATACAATTTCAACATTAACTTTTCTCTTGCCATCTGAAAAGTATCAAATGAAATTGAGTTAAAATAATGTCTATATGTACATATACTTTACACAATAAATATGTATCTCACAATTTAAAAGTGTTTTAAAATTCAGTTTCTGCATAGGTTTTTCACTTTCTTGTTTCATGATTGACTGTTTATTAGAAAGTTTCTCGTCTTCATGCAATTTATTTTTCCAATCAACAAGTGTACTCAGATCTTTTTTCAATGAGGTATAATTCCAAATATTGACTGCATTATAGAAAATGTTTCTTTTTCTCCAATAGAGTGGTGTATTATCTGCGAGGTGAACATTTCCTTATTTCAGTATTCTAAACAACTTATCAACTTGAAATGTTTCGAAGTCGGCTTAATTTGTTGGTCAGAGAATAAAGTTAGGTTACGGAAGAATGCTTAATTGACAGTTTTGGGTTAGGTAAATAATTCAAAAATTCTAAATGTGAAGTTGAAAATTTGTACATCTTTATTATTTCGAATCCTTTTTGAGAAGTCAAATGAACGATTAATTTTGTTTAAATACTCACAACTCATTATCCGAAATTAAAAGGTAAACTTTTAAGCCGTCAAGTAGTGTGAGTTATGATCTGGTCAGACACAACATGCAAAATGATAACACTGCACCCCGCAACGACGAACCGCTTGAATTTGAATGGACCCGGGGAACGGGGCTGACTTGAATTGAGTTCCTTGATTATAAGGGACATCCCTTGTCGGGGATCCAGTGCTCGAACAGAGAGCCCTCGCTACGATCTTCGCTTGTTTTTCCGCCAGGGGCTCATCGACTGGCCACCACCTGGCGAAGTAGTCGTCCACGATGGTGATCACGTGAACGATGTGCTCGAAGCGACTGCCCGGCTCCTGGAAGAGGGACATCGCTGGCACGCCTCGCGGATGCTCGGATGTGCTGGGTTATGTGCGGCGTCGAATGCCTCGCAACGTAAAGTCTGTGTGGCAGACAGGGTTGTACGATCCGATCGGCAATACCGCACGCCACTAGGTGTCCATCAAGCTGGCAGACGGGCAGGTTCACCACAGGTCGAGTGCGTTGGCCATCAGCAGCCGGGGCAGTTTGTTGTCGGCCCCAAACTCAGCGGCGAAGGGATGCGATTCGTAGGAATTGCTAATGGCTCGGCCAAATCGTCCGCCCTGAAGAAAGTGTCGGACGCAAGATTGTCGGAACTGTTGACGTGACAACCGTCTGTGAAACTGTTAGCTGAAACCGCACATTGTACTGTAGCACGTACGATCGGTCACTACCGTGAATGTGGGTGGGCTCCTCCAGTACTCGGCGGAAGTGGCGAACAGTCAACACTGAGCATAGGGCTCCGGGTTGCTCGTTCGACGACGCGTAGGCAATTCTTCGCACCCGTTTCCCTAGTGGAAGCAGAGACCTATCTGGTTCGTCGATCGGTCCCTAGCGTGGGAGCAGCTGTGTCCGCGCCGCCGAGAGCTGGCAGTCGTGGGATGGAAAGGCTCGATTATTCGGCTCGTATTGGCCCGCAGTGCCGCCAGCTCCGCCATGATTAGTTCCGGGGCAATCAATTTCAAAGCTGTTGATAAGACGGTTGTGGTGACTGTTGACCCTCCTATAGAGCGCACTGTGCAAATGTCAAGAAGAATCAATCATAGAAAAGATAGCAAAGCCTGATCTTTGCCGATAAATATGAGCCATCTCATAAAAAGAGTTATTAATATTTTCATATATAAAATTAATATCAGATTCTGAAAGGGCACACTTAAAAAACCCGCTTTATGGAATTTTGAAAAAAAATTACCTTCTTTTTTTATAAAATCGTACATAAGAAAGCGCGTACACAAAAACACAATTTAGCGCGTTGATGGTTAATTTAGATCTTATTGTTAAATCAAGAGGTTTATCGTACTTTTCTACGTGAAAAGTACACGTAGAAAATAATGAAAGCTGCCGCCGTCCTTTCCCTGCTTGACTGGCGTAACTTTATTATTTTGGACCAACGGTCTAATGATTTACTCGGCTGTGCATAAATATCAGCCAGCTCTGGAAATCTCCGTAGCGATTGTGAGATTATTATCAAAGGACAAATTGATTTTATTAATTAGACAGATTGGAGTGAACGCAATACCGCACGCACGCAATTTTACAAAGAAAATGAGTGATCTCTTCGAGTATCCAAACTGAACTGAGCTCATACAAGGAAAAGGGAGGTCTTAAAACAAGGAGAGAACACCGCTACAAAAATGGCTTTTCCCTCGATTGAGATCTGTGTCCCTCCTCCATGTGGGAATAGTACATTACGATACAAGTGTGGGAATAGTACATTACGATACTAGCGTGGGAAAGTAGATTCTTGTCTCGTGTGGCGTTTACGCCCGAGCGAAGCGAGCATTTCTAGAATTAAAAAAAAAATTCAGCATATAACTTACGTGATTGACATTCAGCAAAAATTGATTACTCTTTTAACCTTGTTCAATAACTCTCTGAAGAATAACTTATTGTGGATCATGTATATTATTTTCTTTACCTGGGAAAAATCGATTAAAATGTTTTAAAAAAGAACCTATCCTCGCGAAAGTTTACGCGACTAAAGACGCATTATTAATTCACAGCGGATATTCGCGATGCGTACCGGGTCGTAACATAAAAGTACCGGTCGACATAGAAAGAAATCATTCGAGTTATAGTATCGATCACAATGAGTGCGCGAGTTTCAAAAAATAATAGCAGTGATCAAGCGCGTCGTTCCGATCAATTATTTAATCGATTTTTGTAACGTAACACTTGTCAAATATCAAATATTAACTCACGTAATTTCAAGAATTACGCGGAAGGCATAGATTATTGTGAATATTTTGATTAGTATGAATTGGACGATGATTTTTAGTCGAAGAAAAAAGTATTAGGGGTGAAATATGAGTCGAGGATTCTTGTCGATGCTCCTTTTAATTAATTCGTACCGTGGGCAATGCAAAACCTTTCCAAGTCTTGTTTTAATTTTGGTTGACGATTATAATTTAATGCATACTGCAGTGACGGTAATCGTTGAATCAAACTTTTTCGATGACACCTTGCTCAAGTCTTATTGCTATATACACAAAGTCCAACACACTAATAGAAATAGTCCTTCAGATCTACAGCCGTTTTGACACGGCAGTTTCAAGTTGAAAGTTCGAAAGAGCACTTGCGAGTTTCTACTCTTGGTGCAATATTATTTTCCTAAAAGGACTGGTGTCTTTGGCTTTTCAAAATTACGGCGTTAGTAGCCTGAAGATTATTTTAACTATAAGGGAGTGTATTGTTGAGTAGTTATATGAATGTCAACGTTTTATTATAGAAATCCCTTGCGAGAAAATGTGCTTTTCATAAGTATAGCGAAAAGCATATTCGTTGAATGTTGTAATTTATTGGAGTTAGCATCGGAGATAATTATTGGACATACGAGTTGCAGGTATTAAAAGGAAATGAATTAACTTTATAATTAAATGAACTCGCGCGAGGCTATGCTCGACACTTAGTTGCGCCGAATTTGTTGTCATACTGCAAAAAGAAAACAAGGAATAAATCATGGAAAGTGCCATCACTTGTACTGCTAATCGAGTATACATTATGTCTGGGATTTTTATATGCCTTTTCGGTATTATTTTTAACGTGTTTCTGCATCAATTCCTTGTTCAACACCATGTATCTAAGGTAACTACTAATAGTTGTTTTGAGCTGTTTTCGATAATCGCGCACTATACTTTAATCCCATTTCAAAATTACGTAGACGATTGCACTGAAACAAGGTTCGTTTATGAGAAAATTTTGGAAGAAATTGCCATTCCCGTATGAATTTCACGCTTACCTTTTCAATATATCCAATCCAAACGAGATTCTCCTGGGTGAGAAGCCTGTTTTAAAAGAAATTGGGCCTTTTGTTTACGAGTAAGTATATACATGTCTTTTGACGGAGCAGCCCGATATTCACATGTGTTTCTGTACTGTTGCTGTTAAAAATAAAACATTTTCATGCGCCAAGCGTTTGGCAAGAAAAGATAAACGTGGAGGATCACAAAGAAGATGATACACTGAGTTACACGCTGAAAAAGACTTTTTACTTCAATGCTGCCAAGAGCAATGGTCTTTCTGACGAGGATGAATTCACGCTAGTTCACTATATGTACCTAGGTATGGCCAATGGAGTTCTAAGAAGTCAGCCTACTGTACTACCTCTTGTTTGTAAGACCGTCTTTTAGTTTCAACTGATTCTTCTGCTTTTCCGCCTATCTCTCCGATATTTCATGTGATTCTACGTTGTTGTTTTCAATCAAGCAAAATCCATCGACAGTTTATACAACAAACCAAAAAGTTTGTTCGTAACGGTGATGGCTAGGAAATACCTGTTTGACGGCTACGAGATCGATTGCGTGGGAATCGAAGAATTTTTCGCAAAAGTCGTGTGCAACAACATTAAGGAACATTGGTTTGATTATCGCATTAAAGAGATCAAACAAGATTTCTACACTACGTCTGCTTGGGGCACCGTAGGTGTTCACTTTCAACTTAAATTATTCCTATAAACGCTAATTTACAACAACAAAAAGGTAACGCATTGCAATGATATTTTGATCTTTGTGTTTGTCGATGAAAGTTCAACCACACCGTTGCTTGGACCGGTCGAACTCGAATCAATCGAGGAATAAGAAAGATCGCTGAAATCGGCAAAATCATCGAATACAATAACTCGACCAACTTTGCTAAATGGAACGACGAGAAGTGCGATGAGTTTTTGGGCACCGATGGAACGATGTTTCATCCGTTCATCGGTCGACAGGAGCATTTATACAAAGTTGACAATGTTCTAAGCCGAAGTTTCGACTATCAGTACGACTCCGACGTTGAACATAACAGTAATAAAAAATAAAAAAGACTGTTAACTTTTCTAATGCGTTGCGCAATTGACAGTTAAATGACTTGCTGTACTTAATTTTTAAAGAATTGCGACTGTTTCGCTACACGGCAACTGTGGGTGCCGACTTGGACACAAATCCAGCTGATAAATGCTATTGTTTAACTCCAGATCGTTGTCTCAAAGACGGTGTGTTTGAACTCTGGAAATGCATGAACTGGGCTCTGGTCGCTTCGAACCCTCATTTTTATTTGGCTGATCCATATTACAACGACACGGTCGTTGGCCTCGACCCTAACAAGGTAAATCATTAATATATCGTCAAAGAAAAGAAAATTGACCGCTGGAGAAAAGAACGTTCTTTCAATAAGGACAAACATATTTCGACAATTGACGTCCATCCATTGACCGGAATTGTCATTCGTGCGAACTTCCGCGTGCAATTCAACGCCCCACTGACGAGGCAACCAAAGTATAGACTGCTGAAAAATGTTTCCGAGGCGCTATTGCCGATTGGGTGGACCGAAGAAAAGTACGTTACACCGGATCCGTTTGTCGATGTTATCAAACGCCTTCACGTTTTTGCAGAATTGGAAAAGTATACACAAATGAATTTTATACATTTATTTATACAAACAGTATGTTTAATAATAAAATTATTTTCAGATTCATCGGCTATGCTATGATAGCGATTGGATTACTACTATTTATCATCGGGATCGTGTTTGATTATATGGAACACAGAAAATCAAACCCATTCTTGTAATTCGTATCAAATTGAACTTTTAATGAAAATGCAGTATTTTTATAGAATCTATTTTCGGTTGTATAATTATTTTCATCTGGTATGCATAAATCCCTTACGTTTTTGAGACAGTCACTTTTTTATAGTATAATGCTTATTTTAATGTTTGTGAGAATGTTTGACTTCAAAATTAAATGATGATAATTGTACAAACAAGCTTTTGATGCATTGTTTAATTACATTCGCCTTTTTCTTGCGCTCTGTAATTATTTATGATTCGTATTTTTTTATTGTCTCTCTGACTAATGACCGCTTCGATGTGTTCTATGGCATTCCACGAATCTCGATGGATTTGTGGTTCTCCATGATTCTCCATGAGTTTCCATGGTGTAGTTCCATATATCTTAATGGTTTTCTGATTCTCCATGGTTCCCCATGAGTCTGCAAGGTATTTTGTGGTGTTTCGCACATCTCGACGGATCCATCATTCTTCATGGTTCTACATGGTACTAAACAAGTAACTGCTTTACATCGTCGTACGATCTTCGAACCTCACCATAAGGTTGCATCATCGAAATATTAATTCTCTCCGTTGTTAGTGGATGCAATTAACGTAAAAGTATTATTTATAAAAATATCGATAAAATCAACATTGTCTAACCGGTAAATAATATTTTAATTTGTCCGTATCACGTCGCAACGTCACAGTTGATAAGATTTCGATTTCCTCCTTCTCGCTTCTTGCAGCAAACTAAAGATGACTTACGCATTCAAGATTTCAGTATGGCAACACAAATACTTGTAGCTGTATGCTTTTTTATGCTCACAAGCTTATGCGTGGCCAGTTTTGTTTTAACATATTTTTTGATTTATAAAATCATAGGTTACGAACGACAAGATTAACGAACTTGAAGGATTCTCTAATTAGATCAGGAAACTTGTGAAATAATTGCACAGGATCACATGATTCAGGTACATACATTGAACAGCTATAAATTTGAAACGGTGAAGCAAATGAATGCAATATCAATTTCAAATAAATCACTAATAGCTTATCTGAAAATGTTGAATTTATCGCCAAGTTGAATTTTTCGTTAGCGTATAATTATCATCCAAATGATAAGAATAGTTATTTATGCTACTTGAAATGAAGTGGATTCCGCTTTTATTTTATAGTAGCACCGGAATAAATAGGCATCAATTCGATCCCAGCGAAATATTGTCATAGTTCGATTAGTTAATTATTTTGTAGTTGTAATATATCTGATTTGAATACCCTCAAACTTTTAGAAATGAACGATAATAACAGTGCATCGACTGACAATGGAAAGTATCGACAATTCCTCGTTGCTGTGATCGGTAAGATCAATAAATTGCAAGCATCTAGTCCAACCATTAATGATTAAGCAAAAGAAATTGAAGATAATTATTTGGTATCAGTGAACTTGGTATCATTATCAAGTGGTATAACATGGGGATGGCCATCACCGGTAATACCAAAACTACGTTTGACTAAACCACCAGTTGGGGACGCACCATTGAGTGATGAGAAAATCTCGTGGATCGGTGGTTTGATGGCAATAGGTGGATTAATAATCATTCCATTTTGCGGTACCATTCTAGAACGTATTGGTCACAAGAAATTTGCTCATTTAACTGGACTACCCATCATCACGTCTTGGTTGCTCATCCTGTTCGCCAGTAATTATCTTTACATTTATTCGGCAAGATTGCTTGGTGGCATGGGTGCTGCGATGACATTGTTTATTGTGCCATTATATTTGAGCGAAATCGCTACCGAAGATGTTCGTGGGATTCTTGGTAGTCTTTTGCTCTTTTCCGTTAATATTGGTACATTATTTGCTTATATTGTTGGTGCCACCGTGTCTTATCGCTTATTTGCATGTTTGTCGCTACTTTTTTCACTTATTTTTGTGGCGATTTTCAAATTCATGCCCGAGGCGCCGATTTATCTTGTTCGCCAAAATCGATCACTGCAAGCTCACAAGTTAGTACATTTTTTAAAATGCAACTTCCAAAAATTTCATTGTTTCATTACATTATTATTTCAGATCACTAATGTTCATCCGAGGTAATAACGAAGCTCTAGTAGAACAAGAATTAAATAAACTTCAATCTCAAGTGGAGATATCGAAAAATTCCTCTAAAAAAGGAAACATAAGCGACTTTTTGAAAGATCGAGCTACAAGCAAAGGTATGATCATATCCTTTGGTCTACTAGGTGGTCAACAACTCAGTGGTATTTTCGCAATGGTAAGCACATATCGATTCCCAACGTTAACAACAGCATTAAAATTAAAGTGTTGCTTTTAGTTAAGTTATGCAGAAACAATCTTTCAACGTGCAGGCTCATCGGTGTCATCGGAGATAGCGCCCATAATAATTGGAGTCATTCAGATTTTGGGTTCGTTCGTGTCAACATTACTGATGGAACGTGCCGGACGACGCCCATTAACACTCATATCCTGTTTTGGAATGACGATTAGCCATTTCCTTGTTGGATTATTTTTCTATCTGCAACAAAAGCAATACAACGTTAGTTCAATTTCTTGGTTACCAATAGTCGCTTTGTCTACGTACGTTGTCACGTACTGTTTGGGCATTGGACCTGTGCCTTTCGTCGTCACTTCTGAAGTATTTCGTCCGAATGTCAGTAGCTCTGCTACCACTGTATGCTACATCTTCTATTGGATAATATCTTTCGTTTCAATTCAGTCGTATAGCGTAGCTCAGCGGCTTCTTGGCGACGCTGGTTGTTTCTTTATGCTCGCAATATTCTGCGCCAGTTGTTTTGTTTTTACTTACTGTATTTTGCCTGAAACTATGGGCCGTGACCGACAAGATATTATAAATGAACTTGCGGGGATAGATTCGAATTGTGAAAATAAATGCAATGAAAGCGTTAATCTTATGACCAGACCAGTTTAACTGTATGTGAGAGCAATATTTATACGTTCAAGATATATTTTACTTTTTAAGTTCATGATGACTACAATCAATCTGAGCTATTCTGTAAATACATTTTTGACTAAATATTATTTTATTAAGTAAATAAAAATGTTCTAACATAAATTGATGTAAATATGAATCGAGAATCCACTACGTATAAAAACGTAACTCAATATCAATGTATCTACCATCGAATCTCACATTACATGTTGATTACTCATTTCGTTTATTTTTCAAGAAAATTATATTTCTCCACGTGCGGCAAAATTAGTTACGGGAATGGGTGCCGAAACAACAGTTTTTATAGTACCACTGTACGCAAGTGAAATTTTTACTGAAAATATTCGTGGTACGTTAGTCTTGATGGAAATCCTATATTATATTTTTAAAAACGTCAATATTTTCTTCGTCTATGTCATTGGTGTATTCGTCTCCTACTGTCTATTTGCATGTTTTTCCATCTTTATCTCGTTAAGTTGAACATCGAAATCGCTAACTCATAGCACGCAAGTGAAGACCTCTGAGTTTTACGAATATTCGTAACAAAATTATTTTATTTTATGATGTTAATATTAGGGAATGACAAAGTATTCGTGGGCCGAGAACTAATGAAATTACAATTGCAGACAAGTATATCAAACGGTTACTCCGAGAAAATAGAAACAATCGATTTTTTAAAAGACCATGTTATTCGCAATGGTCGCAGTATCTTCTTGGCTATCGTAAGAAATATAAAAATTATTCAAAGTAATATTTCAATCACGTGTAAGTTGTTCATGTTATCAGTGTGCCAATCGCATCGATCCAGATTGTCAGCTTATACACGTCGGCGATGTTGATGGAACATGCAGGCCGCTGACAATTGACTCTCGTCTCATGTTTTGGCATCGCCGTGAGTCACGTATTCGTATGTGTATTTTTGCACCTGCAACGAAACAAGTATGACATTAGCATTATCTCATGGCTGCCAGTTATCGATGTACATTGTCAGTTACTATCGGTGCCGTTTGAACCAGTCTGTCGGCTCCCAAGCACGTGGTATTACGTGTTTTTTTATCAATGTGTGTGTGTGTGTGTGTGTGTGTGTGTGTGTGTGTGTGTGTGTGTCTGTCTTTTACTTCGATTCAAGCATTTAGAATGACGAGGAAGATTCTTGGAGTTTGCAGTGCTTCTGCGCCACTTGCTTGGTTTTTACCTATTGTACAATGCCTGAAGCTGAGTGAAACAATTGACAACATATCATTGATTAAATCGCGGAAATCAACGAGAGGCACGAAGGGAATTCTGATGTTGAAACACGCGATGACAGCCTCGATCTTATGTTAAAGGTTGTTTGATTGTAAGCATGGAGGACATTTTATTATCGGAAGATATGAATGAAATAAAAACATAAATTATCATTAGTTCTGTAGCAAATTTTACTCAAATATATTTATTTGAAATGACAAAACCGCGCCACTTATTATTTGCATCTATAACTTGAAATAAAAATTCTATTAATAAGACAAATTTTATTGCAATAAATTCAGCGATACGTGTCACTCGTATAAATGAGGAAAATAAAAGCAAATTACTCTATCTTTATATTATTTCATTATAAAGAAGTCAATAATTATAATCAAATACTCTGCTGTAAATTAAAAGAACAGAATCGATGACATAAGAGAATAATGTTGGAATTGTAATCAGACAAATCACAAAGCTTATTACGAAAGTACATCAAGTATAACTTTAATGGATACGAAACTGAAACTAAGTAAATGATAAAATCTTTTCTTAAAACAGTGTCGATGCCGTTTTTCTTACCAGAATCAAATAATTTTATTTCAGAACATTAGCGTTATAGAAAAGTTTTCTTTATTTAACATTTGTATTTGCTTATTATATTAATAGAATTAATATAAATAGCATTTCTAAAAGAGAAAAAAATTTATATAAGAAGGCGTAGTTGATGACGAAATTTAATTGTACTTGATCTCCTAATGAAATACGCGTGACAAACGATAAGATTTGACTTATGTCTTTAAGATGAGACTTAAGAAGTGTTATAAATTGGAGTCTGTGGCATCCTTCTGGTAGCAGAATCATTTTGAAAGTGAATCTACTTGCAGGTATCAAAAGTAAAACTTTTCTCAAACAATTGATTTCTAATATTCGATGATTAATTAATTTGCGGGAATAATTTCAATGACAATAGTAAAATAGAAAAATACAAATTAATTTTAAGGGTATTTTTAAACAGTTGTTGAACTCGTCGAATTTACAAAATGTTTGACGTACCGCTCAATGGACAGCTGCGACAGTTCTTAGCTGCGATTATCGGCAAGTACTCGGAATAATTCTTATTTTCTCGAAATCAAAATCGTTAAATATCTATTGGAAAAAAATATAATTTATAATAACTATGATTTATGCGTATTTAACTTGAAAGGATTTCCCGACTGAAAAAAACGATTCATAAAGTACGTTAAATATCAATTATAAAAATACTGATTTATGAAAGATAAATTAAGAAAGAGATAAGATCCTATACGTAAAAATTACTTTGACGACCAAAGAGTAATATCTCTGTGTTTGTACATTCTTGAAATTTGCGAATCTGTGCACATAAACTGGTACCAGTTAGTTTTTAAGAGCACGATCAGTTGAACGGTAGCTGTATTTACGTTGACAACGAGTCAAACACAAGTTGCTTTAAAATTTATTTCCTAATTACTGATTTTATCTCAAGTGACGGGAAAATAATTATTGTATTTCAGTAAATTTGATGACAATTTCATTCGGTATAAGTTGTGGCTGGCCATCGTCTATTATACCTCAACTACGTTCAAATTCCTCACCAATTGGCAAAGTACCAATGAGCGAACAACAAATTTCATGGATTGGTGGTTTGTTGCCAATTGGTGGTTTACTGATGATTCCATTATGTGGCATCCTTACCGAACGTCTTGGTCTTAGAAATTTCGCTTTCTTAACTGGACTGCCACATATCGTCTCTTGGCTACTCATTATTTTCGCACAGAATTACTTCTACATTTATGCGGCCAGGTTGATTATCGGAATGGCTGGTGCCATGACATTCTTCATTGTACCAATGTACGTAAGTGAGATCGCCAAAGAGGACATTCGTGGTGTCCTCGGCAGTCTTCTTTCACTTTCAGCAAATACCGGTGTACTGTTTGCCTTTGTCGCTGGGACTTTTTTGTCCTATCGACTGTTCGCCAGTCTATGCCTTATCTTCCCGATCGTCTGCATTGCGACTATTTTATTCATACCTGAAACGCCGGTCTATCTAGTAAAGCAAAGCCGCCAACTCGAGGCTCACAAGTTAGTTCAGCTCTAGCAGCCTTCTCTCTGGATCTCCGTCGATGACTGATTAATAAGAAATACGTATCATTTCAGATCACTCATGTTTTTTCACGATAACAATCGATCTCTCGTGGAAGAAGAATTAGCTAGACTACAGCAACAAGTAAATGCATCGAACCGCACTTCAAAGTCATTTAGTGTCGGTGAATTCTTTAGCGATCGAGCTACACGCAAAGGTCTGATTATTTCAATTGGTTTAATCGCAGGTCAACAGTTCAGCGGAATTTTCGCTATGGTAATTATATACACAACTTCATTTCTCTAATCACTACATCACTGGAATCTTGTCATTTACAGTTGAGCTATGCTGAAACGATATTCCAACGAGCAGGCTCGTCAGTATCATCACAAACAGCGCCGATAATAATCGGCACGATTCAAATATTCGGCGCGTATATGTCGACGATGCTGATGGATCGCGTGGGTCGTCGATTATTGACGCTCATCTCGTGTTCTGGCACGACTATTAGCCACGCGCTTGTCGCTACATTTTTTTATCTGCAGAAAAATAATTACGATGTCAACTCGATCTCGTGGTTACCAGTTGTTGCTCTGTCAACTTACATCATCGCTTACGCCCTTGGTATGGCAAGTGTACCGTTGATCATCGTTTCTGAAGTGTTTCGTTTGAGCGTCAACAGTTACGCGACGACTTTGTGCTTGATACTTTTCTGGGCGATGAGTTTCACGTCGATAAAGATTTTCGATTTGACGATGGATTTTTTCGATGCCGATGGCTGCTTTTTTATGCTTGCTTGTTGCTGCTTGACTGCATTTATCTTTACTTGCTGTATGATGCCAGAAACTAAAGGAAGGAAAAGGGAGGATATCGTTAATGAGTTAGCTGGTGTTGATAAAGCTCGTTGTAAAAAGGACAAGAAACATGTTGAGGAACAGGTGCGCTGATGATTTATCGTTTGTTTCTCCATTGGAAATCATCGTACAAAATTTAAACAAAATATGCATATACATAGCACGTAAGTAATATGTATGTATGTACATATCATGTACGTACAAATTTCGTATGTATTATGTACCAAATTATAATAAACATTCTCATTAACTCAGCCTCATTGAAAAAGGAAAATACAAATAATTTTATATTTAATAGTTAAGGGTAAATGATGCTGGTCAACGATTTCGATCTTTGTTGATTCTAATAGTTTCATAATAATTGAATTATTTTTGTCTATTTTATTACCTATTTTTTTTAATAATTTAATAATGTAACAGGTTCAGTTCCGCAGCTACCTGATTCTAAAGGATACCCGGTATAATGACATTTTTGACTAAGGTACAAAAGCTGATGTGCATTGTTCATCATAGCGCTTTGTCCGTAAAGTTTTTCTATACACTTGCAACGCATTTTTTCAAACGTCTATTAACGTCAGTCAAATCATTTCCATATATTTGTTCTTATTTATTTTTTTCAAAATCTGTATTTATTCTGCCAACAATTGCCAGTTTTACTAATGTTTTTCAAAACTATGTGTTGATTTTAGAATAGGTAGCCGTATAATAGCTAATTCATCCACTCTCTTAACTTTTGGTTGTTTTACTTTTTCAATATACCTGTTATGAGCAGTATACCATATACTCGTATGAGCTATAACGTGTCTAAAAGAGCACGTTTTTCTGGTATATTATCGAGTAGTATAAGAGGTATTTTATAACTTTTAAATATTCTAAACCACAAAGCCGCAATTATTGTTTTACTTGATCGTACAAAATACTTCAGTAGAAACTTCATTTAATAACATTTGTATCGATCATATTGAATAATTAAAACTTTTCCAAACAGGCGATCCATCGGTAATTATAATACAAGTTATATATGAACTTTGCAGTTCAATACTATTATAAATGTCATTAATAATACACTGTCATAGAATTTATCATACATCTCCAACAGTTGTTAGACTTATTCTTTTATATTTAAAGTTATAAAAAAGCTAACGTTGTTCTCTATACCAGATGCATTGATGACAAAATATAGTGCGTTCAATATTCTATTAAAAGGTCTAAGGGATATTTTAGATTTTGAGATAAACAGCATGGAATTCTTTATCAGATTTGAATAATTTATTAATGTGATATTTGAGTTAAAATTTATTAAAAAACATTTGTTAGAATGTGACAGGAAATTCCAGTGTTAAGAGTTTATTAAAATATATTTAAAATTATTAGATCAATTATTTTTTTTTGAATATATTGAGATGTATTAAAGCCTATAAAATAAAATACTAAGCACAATTAAATAAATAAACTCTTTCAAATTCGCAGTTTGAACTGAAATCGTTGTTTATGAAATCAACGCCACATTCCCTTTTCAGAAAAATCACTTTTACTACCAGCAAGTAGCTATCCGCGCTGTAATATTGTTCTCCCATCACTTCCACCACAGAGGCAATATATTTTTCTTGATAATTAAAGTAATAAATCAGAAATAAAAAACTTGGAATTATACGTTTATAATGCACAATTACTTGCGCAACACGCCTGTTATCGCAGTATTTGAAAATTCTAATGAGTTTCTATAAAAATTGCAAATGTAATTTTTTCAGCACCTGATTTTAATTATTTTAAAGGTAACTAAGCTATGCACAAATTTTTTTTTTCAGATTCATAACGTACAGTTCGTTCGCGAATTAATAGATATAAAACGAATATTTTATTGTTATTGTTATTGTGACTTTAATAACTACGTCCATGTGGCTTAATTTTTAAAATTACAATAACGATAACAATAATCATATTGATAAATAGGTGCCCAGTTCAAAGAGCTGAAGCGACCACATCCCTTCTATGCCTACAGCATTCTTTAACAGTAATCTGCCAAAAATCCAGCCGAAAATAAAGGCCAAGTTTGCTCAAGCGTTTTTGTTGATCGTAAATTCGATGACAATTAGAAATTAGTAGTTACCGATCGATAAAGAAGATCGTCATTTTTTAATTACATCGTTGCTATCATTCAAGAGAGTTTGGTACCTTCGCCATATATGCCGATGTGGTGAAAATACCAAACTAATTAGAGATTACAATAACATTCATTCATAAATATAAATGTTTTTAATAATATTTTACTTCATTTTTTTCTGTACAGGATATTTCAGTTTTTGAAATATCAAGAATATACATTTCATTTTGCTATACACAATAAAAACTAAAGTAGAAAAATTCACTACATTATATAATTTGATTCGGTCGTCGTTCAGCCTTTTGGGGAAGCCCTCTGTGTAAAACTATATACAATAAATCATTCATATCACAGTCGATAATATATCTATCTTATGTATTTTGCATGTAATTCGATGGATTTTGGGGATTGATCATCACCGAGCCACTTTGCTGCCATCCTTCTATTGCTTTATTCACAATGACTTCTGAAGTTTCTTCCGTTATCTATAAATTGGATGGAAAATTAATGAAATTATTTGCAAAATACAGCAGTTACAATTTAAAAAGTGATATTTTACATTATGCACAACTTCTAGAACTTTATCCAAACCTTCACATCTAAGTATACATCGTCTCATTGTAGTCAACATAATAATAGTTACAAATATTAAAATTCTGTATGCTCCAACAGCTAGTTTATCCCAAATTCTATATAAAAAATAATGAATTACAATCCATCCTTAGAAATTCAATATTTAAACATGATATATACTTTGTTATTGAACAGTCGCTAATGGTACCAGCAAAACAAGAATGAAACCAGAACTCAAAAGGCAAGTTCTGTAAAGCATTGATCTTGTTGAGATAATTGTATAATTCTTTGTCTTCTCTTTCCAGCATGGAACATGTATTCTCTTTCAACCTAGCAACTTCACTGCTAAATTTCTGTACTTGATCTAGAAAACCACCAAGAATCCAGTAGACGTTAACAAGTTTGTCCTGTTCGTAATTAGCATCACTGATGTTCCACAGGCTCTCTGCCAGTTTACTCATAGCTCTGTGACATCGATTTATCCTTTTTTACTCTCTTTGTCTCGAAATATATTGATATAAAAATAAAAATCATACCTTAGTAAATCAGTTTCCATTTGAGAGCTAATGTCAATTTTGGCTCTCCTTGTCTTCAGCAGCCACATCATCAAAAACATCTGATGAGGTTTAGTTGTATCATCAGTGATTTTTGCTTTGATCAGAGATTTCTTTAGATCTAAAAACTCGGCTGTACGTTGTGTCATGACAAAATCATGGCTTTCTTCATAAACTGGAATAACACCTAGTAAAATTTTCCACAGCAAGTTTCTGTACATGGTTGGTACAGTGAACCTTAAACAGAACTGTTTCAGCTTCACTTTGTCGAAAGGCCGATCGCGCAACAACATCTCAAGCGATTTCTTCTCTTCCACACTTCTAAAACCAACCTGAAGTAACAAAAAGAATTAAGCTTAAAAGCTTAGAAAAAGTAGTGCTAATAAAAGTTGTTTTAAGTCAAGTAGGAAGAATTAATTGATTTTTTCAGTGTTATTTAATGAAATCTAGAATAAAAAGTATGTTATTGTAGTATAATGTTTATTAAATCACCTTTTCATAGTAAGAAGATCGAAAATTTCTTTCATCAATCATTATCCTCTCACTATAACAAAGACATACACTAGGTAACTCCTGCAGGTTATGTTTACGTATGGACCGCCCAACAACTATCTTCGATCAGCTGCTTTCGAAGTAGCGCTTAATATGATTTTCAATCCAAATAACTTAAATAGATCAAAAACAAAAAACAGCGTAGCAGTAATGGATGTAAAAATATTTATGTAAATACAAAAGTATTTATAAATATGTGTATTTTTTAACTGTACTGAATGTCAAAAATAGATCACGATATTGTTTTACATACTTGAAATATGGTTTTAGTGAAATTCAAAGTCTTGGTGAATTTCAATGATATAATCAAATTGAAACATATGAAAATATTATCGATTGAAGTTACTCTTCACAGTTTCTCATAATTACCGTGACGTCTCACATTTATCATATATGTAGACAAAAATTATTATTGTGGACTAAAAAACTTTTTTCTTATGAATTTTTTTATAAATGAACTTTTCATTATTCCATTTTTTATTTTTTATTTTTTCAATGTAATAATAAACATTATTTGTATGTTAATATGAATATTTGATATATTTTAATTAAAAATAAGAATTCATAACAAAAAATGTATATAATTTTAACGACATCCAAAAACATCTTTGAACTAAAAGATATTAATTAATATTAAATAAAATTAATACTCTGGTGTTCTTTATTTTCTCATTTTTTTTCGATTGTAATTTCTTCTACAAACTCAAATAAAAATTGAGACTTCAGTAAAATAAAATAGGTCTATCAATAAAGAGAACTCATCAAATTTTCGTACAATATATTCATTACTTTAATGATAAAGCAGTAAAGATAATTTATGAATACAATAAACGTATCATAAAAAACTGCGGGATAAAAAATAAATTATGATTTTCTAGTTTACTCTTCGGTGAATTCAAAAGGCTCTGGTGGATCAGCTTCCTTTTCTTCGTCAGGCTTCGGACCAAACGCAGCAACAGGTTCAACAAGTTCTTCTTCTTTACCAGCTTCAGCAATATGTTTGACCATAACAATCCCACCGATCTGCAAATCTTTCATGGGTACATAGTGACTATTCTCAAGCAGTTGAATAACTTTCAATTGTTGTCTAAGAATCCTCGCTGGATTCTGAAGAACCTCATTATTAGGCTCTTGTTCCTTCTTCTCCTTTTCCTTATCCTTTTCATTGCTTTCATCTTTTTTCACATCCTTTGCGTCTTTTTCTTTCTCCTCCTTATCCTTTGTTTTCTTCTCATCCTTCAATTCAGCACTGCTCTCTTTCACCTCGGCAGTACTTGGCAAATCAACATCCATCTTGTCGTGATTATCACGAGCACGACGTTCGAATTCTCGACGTTTAGCTCTCGCAGCAATACTAAGAACAGCCGTTGTAACTTTTTCGCGTTCTTCTCGTTTCTTCTCCTCAAGTGGAGCTGGATAAGCGTAAGTACTTGGTTTGGCGTTCGATTTTATTTCCAACTTGGGCATCTTCAATTGAGCATTTAATGCTATCAAGCAAGTTGGAGTGAATGCCAAAGCTAAGCAATGAGCTAATGGATACCAATACCAGTATTGCGTGAACACGAGCGCGCCAACTACAGCTAGCATGTTTGTATGTCCAGTACGAGACTGTAGTGAAACCGTGACGTTTCTACCACCAGCGTCGATAATACCCTGAGCAAGTATAGCACCAAATTTAGCCATATGGTCTTCATGCTTGTCGACGATCACTTTGGAGTACAATGCTCTGAAATCTTTAACGCGTGGGCAAGTAGCTTCGGTTTGCTGAATCAATATCATAGCCGAGGCAATGAGTGCACCTTGACGTACAAAATTAACTGGATCATTTGTCATAGGGTCCAACAAACTAATAGCTTCTTTCAATCCAGTACCAGCACAAGCGATACCAAGAGCCATCGCAGCTCCGTAACGAACATGAGGATTGTAACTTTCAGCCAGCAGTGAAACAACGCTTGGACATTGCTCCGGGTTACGGAAAAGCAAAAATCCGAGACCCGTGACAGCTGCACGACGTACATCATCGTTGACGTCCGATACAGCGACGTGTAGAAGTTTACGAATAGCTTGATTGTTGCCGGTACCGCAGTAAGCCATCGCTAACGTATACATTCCACTTCTACGGAGTATCGGATCTTTGTCGGCGCTCAACGAACTGACAAGAGGATCTGCTTCTTCTAGTCGGCCATACATGGTGAATGCGATGCCAACGGCGAGTCCACGTAGAATTTTCTCGTGTTGAGTTTCTTGAGCGTAAGCGACCATATCTTCGATCGCTTGAGTTGCTTTGGAACCCAACATTACCATACCCATGGCGATTCCAGCAGCCTCACCAGTCACAGCATCATCTTGGTATAGATTGAACTTCAATTGCTCGTAGACGTCTTGCCTATGCGATCCCATTGCAGCTAATCCCAAGCCAAGACAACCACCGTGCCTCACCATCTGTAAATAAAATTGACCATCAATGTTTATAAAAAAACTATAGTGCTTTTTATAATTTAAAATTGTAAAATTTACTTCATTTTGAGCATCTTTTAATTGTCCTAACAAGTAGTCTGTGATAGCTGCCCCATGATTGGCATGAATGAGACCCAAAGCATACAAGCCCCCACCTTCCGAATATCCAGCTCCAGAGCCAGTGTCTCTTGGCAAGTAAGACTGCATTAGTGCTAAAGCTTCTTGTTCATGACCACGATGAATAACTCCCAAGGATGCTGTTGCTGTGAGTTTCGCCCAGTTAGTTGCACGAGCCAGCCACTCCAAGTTGTCTCTTAGGAACTGATCGCTAGTTGTACCAGAGTGCATGAAACCATTTGCAATAACCGTTGCAGTGTGGCAAATTGAAACCCTAATGGCATCTTTTGTATTCTTCAAAATAAGCATATCAGTATGATTGCTGCGGATCAGAAATTGTAGGTGTAGATCAATAGTTATTTCTCCACCCAAGATTTTTGACAGAGAGTTGATTCTATCCTGCTGCTCTCGTTCTTCTGCATTCAAACTTTCTACACTTCTTTGTGTTTTTTCTTCTGGAGTTTTTTCCTCCTCTGTTCCAACTGTAGCTATTTCCGTTGACTCTTCAACTGCAACTGAGGCTGAAACTGCTGGTTTGACTATGGCTTTCACAGCAAGTGCTCCTGGTATAGGAGCTGTGGCTCTTAAAGCTTGCAGAACACGACCAAGAAATTGTTGAGTGGCAGACTCATACAGATCAAATGCAATTTGATAAGCCATTAGAGCACAATCTGTGGAACCTTTGCTAAGTCTGTCCAAAAGTTCTGCAACAGCTAGGGCATCATCTAAGAATATCAAGCACTGACACATACTGACGTAATCTGGAGTATTCAAATTTTTGTATAAGCTAACTAAGCAGCGTAGAACTGTGTTACGGAAGCCACGATTTTGGATAAGACTCATTGCAACTTGAAAGGCATAGGATAGCATTCCACTAACATCATCAGATTGCATGATGGATGCTTCAAAAATATCCATTCTTCTTGTTTCAAGAGCAAGACCTAGAGCTTGACGATATTGGGAATCACTCAGGCATCTTTGGAACATTCTGTCAACTATTCCTTCCAATCTTGGGTCAATGCTTTTACCCCCAGGTTGTACTTTGTTCTCTGCTTCTAGCACTCTTTGTTGTGTATAAAAATCGATACATTTTGCTAGATAAAATGAAAGAGAATTCATGAGAGTTAGTATTTTACAAAACATGATGAAGTCCATTGAGAAAACTCACCAATTATTGTATCAACATACTCGTTACGAGCATTTACATCAAATAATTCACCTGCACCCAAAGCATAAGTCAACGAATCTTCGAAACTGCCTAAATGATAGTAAACTTTGCTAGCAACAAGTGCAGCGAGTTCATGATGATTGAAATTCCGATCCTCGTGTAAAATCTCAATTTTTTCAATAGCCTCGGATATTTCGGGCCAGAATTCGTCGACGATCACATCTAACTTTTTCAAGGCGAACACTTTCAATTCTGGTATGGGTTCATCGAGTAGCGAAATAATACCAGCTGCCGATGTGATATTCATATTGGAAACTGATAATTTAACACTAAATGCTTTAAAAAATCTTATATACGATAGCTTTGCTCGATCGTGATTTGCAGTTTTAGCTTACAATGCATACAGAGTATACACTAAGTGATATAATATAGGTTAAGCACGGCGTTAGCGGTTGGTTACTATACTATAGGTATAGTATGGTGAGACCCCTATCACAGTGGAAGTGAAAGAGCAGACTCGCCGCTCGCGCCTGTCACCTTTTTATCAATTGAGCGTCCTCTACACGTATACCCAGATATAACATATATATATATAACTAACTGAAAATATTTGAATAAATATATAAGAATAACAATTTACAATTATTTCATAAGATGTACATATGTACACATTTCATTCATTGTAACTGAAATATCTTCTTTGCCTAGATACGTCGATTAATATAAAATAAAAAGTTTACTGACATACTTGTTAGGTATACAGTTAATAAATTATTGTAAATATTCGTATCGTTCAATATTCCATTAAAAACAGTTAAGAAGCTAAATATATCAGTAGTATGCTGACTATATATTAATTATTTATGAAATACTGCATATATAACGAGTTACACGTTTTAACAATTCATGATTATTATACAAATATAACATTTATACTTATTGTCTCAATACATATTAGACAGAATGTACGTAAATTCGGAGCAAAAAATGTTAATGAATAAAAATTATGTAAACGTTTTAACGTAATTAAAATTGATTATTGTAATATTTATTTAAATATTGTCAAGGCGAAGTATCCTGCAATGAGTTGATGTCACTGTCGGTAAAGTGAATCTCTATGAGAAGTATACAGAAGGTATATTGTGGACGCAGCCACTGCGAGAGCGAGCGAGAAAAGAATAAAGGGTTGGCCGTTGCAGCAGTAGGGAGAGTTCTCGAGTGATCAGTGACTCGCTGGCGAGCAGAGCAGCATCTATCAAAACTCTCTGATCATTACAGCCCGCAAAAAGCCAAGAGGGGAACACATCATCGACAACAGCAGCGGCTGCAGTAGCGTCGTGAGTACAGTACACGTACATCTATAGGCTCGCTCGATCAGCTGTGCATCGGTCGTCGCGAGACACAGCGACCAATTGTTTAACGAGCGGCTTCCCGTGGAAGGAGCGCTGACAGCCAAATCTGCTTACATACTTTTGATGTTTATACGCGTGGCATTAACGAACCCGCGGGGAGAGAAAGACAGAACGATACGCGTTGAAGTGAGGTTCCCTTGCGCGATAAATCGATATCCAGCCCAGCGCACATTCACACATACGCGCGTTCCTTTGACACATTTCTTCACAAAGAGTGTGCGTGCGTGAGCGTATGTGCGTGCTGCCGCTGCTTGTGTCGAAGAATTTCTTTCCGCTTAACGTATGGGGGCATGTGGAAAACAGGGCCAATCGATGTTGCACATATTCGACCGAAGTTCAAGGTGTCGCGTGTTTCAGCTCGATCGAGGAGAGAGACTCTGGGCCAAATTATGGTAATGCTTGCCAGAGGCGGTTAAGGACACTCCAATGGAGATAGTTAAACTAAGAAGGGCTTTCACTTGATATATCGAGCACTAGCGCGCTTCCTTTTTTTTGCTCTAACGAGGCCCCGAGACTTGATTGGCACGATCACTTTCGGAGTTATAAGCGTGAAAAATGCTTTTTGGTGTGTGTGTGTGTGTGACTCGTTGAGGGCTTCTTTTCGAGGAGTGATTCCCAATCGCAAGCGGCAGATTCTTTGCGAAAGCTTCCGAATTTGTCATCAAGGAAGAATTTCAGCGTTTTCGATGAAGTGCTTCTTACCAAGACAAGTTCGGAAAGCTCGAAATATCGATTACAGTGTGAGATTGGCAAACATCCTTTTTGACTCATGTGATTGTAATCGATTGATACAGCGAATCTCAAGGAAGGTCCCAACTGCCAACTTTGCGCGTTTCTCTCGAGACGTGCGATTTTCCACCATCCAACTACTCGAGCAGATTCACTCAACATCCCATCTGCATCGCCGTACAAAAAGAAACGGAGAAGAAGCGCGTATTAAACGGTCGCTCGCTCTGCACACTCGTCGTTTGCGCAAGCGGAACTCGAAACTCTTGCATCGAAAATAGAGCACGAGAATCTTGTTCTTTCTCGCTCTCCGGCGGCAGCTAACGTTTTTATTGATTGTGCGTGAACGAGCCGATCGCACGCACTGGAGCACGTTTCTCGTTAGACCGCAGATTGCCTCTCTCTCGAACGAGTGGCAAAGAAAGAAGACGCTGAGTGTGCAATAGCCTGGGGGAAAAAAAGCAGAATGCTTAGTGCTTTTCTTTGCGTCGATATTTAATATCTACGAAGGGGTAGAGGGTTCGGATTGAAGATGTACCGAATGCAAGTGGGTTAAAATGTTTTCGAAAGCATTTTGGCAGTCGTTCGAAGAAGGGGAACTGCGATATTTTCGAGCAGTTTTTCCTTTTCAGACGAACGAGGAGGGAAGGGGAGTGGAGTTTCGCGGGTCGGACCAAGCAGAATAGTTCGCTTCGACGCGTGCGTGTTCGTCCAATCGAACCGAGCGTAACGTCAATTAGCTCGCGATCGAAAAGTGAAATTGAGCGTGATCGTATCATCCTGAAGCGAAACTCGATCTCTCGCTCTCTCCCTCCAAAAATACAACCCATAAAGCCCCCTTCATGTGTGCGTTAAAAGCTCGCACGACACCGCACTGGAAAAATAGAATAGGCCGCGTTCTCGTTTCTCTCTTTCACTCTCGTAACGCGATCTGCGAGAGTCGTTGCACTCCCGCGCGATGATGTCTTTTGTGCTGCTTGTAGGTAGAATGGTGGCGAGCAACAACGGTAGCCTCGCTTACGAGGACATGGGACAAGCGTCGAGGGGCAGCTGACCCCAACCACCACGCAGTCTACTCATTGCGCGAGTAGCCATGCCGCAGAATCAGGACAGCTTCGGACCGTTTCATCGACTGCTGCACGACGGTCTTCAACCGGAGGTCGGTACCATTGAACTCGAACGACAACGAGTAGTCTCTCGGTTTGGGAACAAATTGCTTTCGTGAGATGTCGATAAGCAGCTCAAAGGAAGCTCCACGCCCGAAGCTCCGTAAAATCGCTCGTGTGTTTCCGTTCTCGGTGGTGCTCGCAGAGAGAGCCAGTGGAGTTCGACTGCCGTCACCTGCGCGGCGCGCCAAGCGAGGTCGAGGCTCTGGTGCACAGCATCAAGGAGGTCGCGCAGCAATTCCTCTACCACTGGAAGACCTTCCCGATCGTCCTGCCGCCGGGGCTGTCGAGCGCGCCACCCGGCAGCGAGGACAGCCTGGCGCGCAAGAAGCACCAGCAGTTCCATCTGCGCGACATGTTCGTAGCGCCTAGCTTCGACGAGCTCGACGCCGTGGCCGTCGATGCCAAGGGGGAGCCGCGAAGACTGACGAGCAAGCAGCTCGAGAGCATTCGCGAGAGAGGGTATGTTTCTTTCGCGAATCCTTTCGTAGATTATAGATTCTCTTTTCTCTCTTTCGTTTTGGTCGTAGATTCACTTTCTTTAACACCATTATCATAGTCGAAATATTAGAAGTCTCTTGTTTTGTTTATTTCGTTGATTGTCTCATCACGTACATATAGTCAAGAACAAAATATTTCAAAGAATCAAGAGAGGAGAGAGAGAGAGAGAGAGAGAGAGAGAGAGAGAGAAAGGAAGAGAGAGAGAGAGATGCATTGCTGTGTCTGATGTGTATTTTTGTAACGATTTCTGTATAAAGCTTGCACAAGGATGAGTACGGAAAGCCGAAGAAGCTCAATGACACTCAGTTGGAGAGCATTCGCAGATGCGGGTACGTCAATCCCCCCTCCCTCAAAAAACACGACAGAAAAATTTGTCCCTCTTCCAAATGTTTTTTTCCCCCATGTGTTACCACGCACACACGACACGTTCTTTTCTGCACTCTATGTGGGTTTCTTTTGCTTGACACCCAACGAAATCGCAATGGTGTGATTGAAAAAAAAAAAAAAAAAACTGATTGTTGAATAATTTGTACCTTTTCTTTTGTTTTCTCATGACAGCATGACAGGTCTTGAATTAGCACTTTGAAGGTGTAGGGCACACGAACGAATGATACAATTTACGTTTTATCGCTTAATTAGAAGCCTGTGAATAATTTTTTACGTTACCCTCTTCATAATTAGTTAACACCAATTAATTTCAATCGATATTTCTCTATACATACTTCGATGTTCTGTGTATATACTAAACATGAGTTTTCGGCAGGTTTTCTACGTGATCGCAAATAAAGATATCGAATAATATATGCGCTCGTTTACAGAGAATTCGAAGTGGACTCGATAAATTTTGCCGGCCAAGTGCATCGATGGCGACTGAGCGGATTGTTACAACGCGGCAGAGATCGAAGAAGAGACGCTTTGCTAAGAGATTTGGCAGTGGCAACGAGATTTGTCGTTGTAACGGGAAAGAACAGAATCATCTCGCATTGTTTCAGCGTTTCCGAGTCGTTGAAGGCATTGCTCACCGGACTACTGAGGTTACTCGGTGAGTCGACACGCTTACTTTGAAGAAACTGAGCGTGGGATAGATCTCAAGAGCGTACGATTTGTCATTTCAGATATTCTCATCGGAGTGCCATCGCTACAAGCGCAGAATTTAGATGTCAAGATTCGCGAAGAGCGCTGTCGCTATCTTGTCGCTGAATTGGTTTGCAAAGTGAGCATCCCGACACTTTTCGTATTTATCTCGAGACTCTATACCATTTCATAATCAATTTGTACACATGCAGCCGGAGTACGAAGATTCGCTAGAATTGCTATGCGGATTCATTCGTCGTCAACTGCAACGTGCAACAACTGAAAAATTCGAAGTGGAACGCGAGTCACAAATGCTTCCAGTACCAGTACCATTTGTCTTTGGCACGCCTGGCGGTGCAGCTGTTGATTTGAGATTATTCAGTCGAGATATCATCAAGAAAGCGTTGCCTATTCTCGTGACGATTCTTGAGAGAGAGACGCGGGGCTGGTTCCTGCATTTCCGCGAGAAATTGATTTCGGAGTTGAGAGCGCTGAAAAAATCTGACGAGGAGATCGAAAGGGTGAGCATTCATGTATGGAGATTTCATTAAACATACGCAACAATAAAAAATGTTTTATCATAGGAAGTGAACGAAGCCGTTATGCGTGAATATCTTCAACGTGTCTACACCTCGATTCTTTCCCATCCGGATTTGGCAACTTTAGGCGAAGGTATTCCACAGTTACTCGTCCAACAAGCACAATCGGTTGTTTTGATGCATCGAGCAGTGGAGAATGTCCAACGTAAATTAGCAAAAACGAAGGAAGCTTTGAAGGAACGCATCGACCGCGAGCACCCAGTTCTATCGCGTATAGGTCCTTGGATGAGGGACAGAATGAGAGAAGCTGAGGCGAAGTTTATCGAGGAGTGCGAGTGGAGTGCACATGAAGAAGCACTCGCCCTTTGTAACCAACAGAATCTACAGCAGACTTCGTATTTTTTGAATAGAGATCTGACGTTTATGAGAGAGGTAAACATAATAAATTTTATCTTTAATTTCAGAAGATTTTTAAGATATTAAAAAGATATTATTTGCTATAGCGAGAACCTGTTCTTCTGAAAGAATTGAGAAAAGTAAAAACCCCAACGAGGAGCTTCCAGTGGCCAACCCAAATTTGGCTTCCAAGAAATTGGATCATCAGACGTAGTTTCCAAGGCCAGTCAGAAATTATTCCAACTGTACTGAGTAATACTCCAACGTCTATTACAACCCCGAGAACAGATCCTAATCAACCAGTATTTTTAGTTGAGCGAGAAATCGTTCATTCAACAACTACAAGGTGATGTATTTTTTTTTAATTTAAATTTCCGTTATTCTTACTAAAATTCAATTTTTTTTTAATTTTTAGATGGCCAATGTGGCGATGGATAAATTATGTATCGCGCACCTGGTGCTGGACATGGAATGCAATGTTCCTGTTTGGCGTGGCGATTCCATGGTGCAGTCCACTATCTCTTCGTGCCCTTCTACTCGTTAATCCATTCACTCCTGATTTAGAACTTAGTCAACTCAACGGCACACTCTTTCCACGCAAATCTTCACAAACGCCAACTTTATACTCGAGATTAACTACTCTATGGAGGCACATAAGTAAAAGTCGAACACATTTTGAAACGGAGCCTGATACTGGGTTTATAGGGAAAGGCATGACAAGACACATCAACAGATTGTGGAATTATGGTGGGAAGGGACTTCTTGGCACACTCGCCATTCTTTTTGTCTTTCCTGTGGCTTGCCTCATTATTAGTTTCGCTTCGTTGTTCGTCGCACTTACTGCATTTATGTGGTTAGTATAATTTGCGTTATCGATTAATTAGTCAATGAAGTTATAATTAAAAGAGAAACTTTGACTTTTAGGATGCCAATGGTAACGTTGGCACTGCACACCTTTATGGCGCTGGTGATAGATTTGGATAGTCCAGAAAGTTGTCGAAATCGATATTTAGTCGTAATGGAAACTTTAATTTGGAATATTGGCATTCAAGGATGTTTGCAGCCAATAGCAGCTTTATTTGTCGCTGGTATAGTCTGTCCGGTCGTCTCATTTATAATATTAACAGGTAAATTATCATTCCAAAATTAGCTTTAAAAATCCAGAAATTTTCAATCATTCAAATTTCCAATTGAATTTTCAGTTTCTGTGATACGTTACTGGATTAGAGTAATGTGGGATACTGCCATGTTTCATTCGGTCATTAAAAATCGCGGTAGAATACCAGCGAGCGATAGTTTCATCGTTAAGCGTATTGCCGGCCCAGGTTTAGCATCAGATTATTGTTATCAAATAAGGCCAGAACAAGCTTTAGCAGCCTTTGAAGCCAAATTAGAATTGGATGAGCTGTTGGCTTACCAGCAAGAAATGGAGCGACTTATCACACAACCCCAGAGAGATTTTACGCAGTTTGTCGAGGCGTGTTTTGGTCCATTCGCCGCAAGTCTTGAAAAAACTAAAGAGCCCTACAAGAGTCTTGAAAAAGAGGCTAGAGACTTGGTTGCCGCGCTTCATGAGAAATTAGATAGACGTAGAAAGGATTTGCAGACAGGGCTTGGTGTAGCTGTTAGAAGTAAAATCAAACTGTCTACCAATGATCTAAAGGTTTTTCACTCGTTAACTTTTTTTAATCTTTCAATCTACTCATCTAACGTTCACATAATTTTTTTATAGATTGTTATCCAACAAGGCGCACTGATGCTCGAACGACATTATCCAACGCACGTGTTTGCCCGAATGACATCACAAGAAGATGACTTTTGGGAAAATAAAGGTCTTGGTGTAAACGATTGGGCAGGTTTGGCTGGGCTGATGTACGCCGATATTTTTAGTTTGGACTTCCTGCAGTCACTGGATGAAGCCGACACGAAATTCAAACTCGAGCCACATTCAGCTGTCGATCTTACTAGATACACAGATATGGTTCATAATACGGAGTTGGGTGGTGGTGTTAATGGACCAGATTTACTGGGAGCGGTTTACGCGCCGAGAGGTAATATTCAAGTTCACAGTCCATATTTAGCGGTGTCAGCGTTCAATCCAAGAGTTAGGCCACCTAATAATAGTAGAAAGACTGATAAAAGAAAGTAAGTAAAAAGTTAAATTATAGGCATATATTAATGATTGATTAAATTATTAAGATGTTGACCAATTTTACAGTGATACAATAGGACTGCTAACATCAACACGCATACGTCGTCGTACGATGACCAATAACGGAACGGGCGAAAGTCGCTGGCAGCCATGGAAGCGTCAGATGCGCCCTTATAGCGCGGAAAAGCTTTCGATTCCATTACCAATTCCGCATCCAGCGCACATTGCGGTCACGATACACAATCGTGACACCGAGGATCCGATACCATTGGATTCGGAAATCTGCCAAAATATATTGAAAGCCATAGAGGAGTCGCCCGGTGAGATGGCTATGGAGAGCGTCGTTGTGGGTAGATATAGGGGTGGAGATTCCAGTTTCGATTCTGTTGCTTCGCAGTCCTCTGTTTCCATCGATACAGCACTTGATAAGGTATGATGAGATTTTATTGAATAATTTTGAAATAAAAATGGCAAATATTTGATTCGTTTATTTATTAAAATTTAAATTTAAGGTTGAAGAAGGCCGTGGAACTGAAGCAGACGGAGCCGACGACAAAGATACTGAGACGTATAACTGGACTCTTTCAAATTGGGGTGGTGGAATGGCACGACGAAGAAATAATTCCGGTTCGATAAAAGTCGATTTAGCATCACCGGAAGATGTTACTCTTGACAGTGACAGCACTAGAGTAATGTTTAGCACTTACGGCACGACGGTCTAAAGAGGAATTATCTGAGTCAAAAGGAAAACAAAATTGTAAATAATTGCGAGCCGCTATCTGTCGTTTGATACGCTTAAGCTCTCAAAAAAGCTTTTTGCATGACGGTTGTAAATGCTGCCTGCCTTTCTTTAGCTCGTAGATTCTAAGTAACTTTTTCTCTGCCATTTGTTTCTTTTTCATTTTGAAACGTAAGCTCTTTTTGCAGTTATCTCGTTCTTTATCTCTCACATACATACGCATACTCACACTTGTTAATCGTACGTTAACGATATTTCCCAGTACAAATGAATTATAACAAGCGTTACAAATATTGATGACAGATTTTAAATGAACACCGCCAGTTGGCACAAATTTCAATCCGATAACCCCTATGAAATTCATTCGCTTAAATATCGAAGTATCAAATTGTTAATCGTAGTTTAAACACAGTATTTAATGTTTTTTTACATAATGTAGACATCGAGACGATGATGCGTGAATCACAGAGATAAAATGAAAAGAAAATAATATTGAACCACCTAATTAGTTAGTAAAGCAATAGATGTTAAGTTCGATGATAGCATATGAAGCGCTTGAATTTTGTTCTCCCCTTTTTCCGGTCGAATTTGTACAGTTTTGTAAGATATCCACTACTGCACTCCGAATTTAAATTCTATATCTAATGATTGTTTCACATCTGGTTTGTAAATTTGCTTGTCGATTCCATCCACAAATAAAAGACACGGGGATATGTACAAAACTTGACTTTAAAATAAGAAAATGTCGTAGGCGTACGAATGACTATGGCGAATCAAAATTAACTATATCTATAAACGTAAATCGTAGCTATTTAAAAGAAAAAAGAAGTGATAAAGTCTTTATTAGAGTGAACGCTAATATTATATATATATATATATATATATATATATATATACACGCGCGCGCGCGCACACACACACACACACGCATAAAAGAAAAGAAAAGCTTATCGACATTATAAGATCAACTTACAAATATTTATTTGAATCACGACATGAATCAAATTTTACTTTGTACACTCGTCTATATATTATTATTATTTTAAAAACAGTGTCCGAATTTATATATTTTTTTGTATATCGAAAGCGTCATTATACATCGCTGGGATTCGGTTTATTCCCACCAATCAGCATGTATTTTAAACATTTAAGTTTTGTACTCATTAAACGTGAATGTGACAAAAAAAAGCCCTACAAATTATATTCTTACGAATTGTGTATCCTCTGTATATCAACGTTGTGCACTTCCGCGTAGAGAGCGAATAAAGTATGCAACGACTCGATTCTTTCATCGCCGTAAACGGGAATGTCCAGTAGCGCACAAATCAAGTCGATCATCTGGAATAGGCTGCAGTCAAGCTTCTCAAAGTCAGCGGTTGAGCTAAGATACAGCTTATCCTCGACTTCGGGTGCCCAGGGTTGAAGTAAAGTGTCTAAGTCGGGAAACTTGCGCGTAAGTTGGACGGCTGGCGGTGGCTTGCTACGATGTAATTGACCCATATCCTCGATCCATTTGTCGATCATACGACCATGCTTCGACGCGTCTTCCAGTCTTTTTACCACTGACGGCTGACATTAAAACCAATTATTGCTTTTATTAAATGTTCAACTCGTGATAGTTGTTCAACGATTCGTACCTTCTGAATATTACTAGCACTTCTCGTTTTACTGCGCAACTGTAACTGGAGCACGGCAGGTTCGGATTGTTCAGCCGCAGGCTCATCCAAAACCGTAAGGCCAGCTTTCTCTGTCAAGCCATCGGGTCGTGGAATCTTGAGAAAAGCATCGATATCACCGACGGCCGGTATGTAATCCAGCGTGAACGGCGCCAGTTTGTAATGCAGATCGATCTTCTGTGGTGTGTACCTGACTCGGGTCAATCCCACATTAAAATCAATGACGCTTTTTTGCTTGCTTCACTAAGCGTTCGCTTACCTCGTAATGTTCTGAAACAGCTCTTTAACCTCGGCGGACACGTCGAGATCCTCGAACTGCGACGCGTCGTAAAAGTCAGCGAGCTTCATCCTCATGATCTTCTGCGTGTCGATTTCCTCGCTGTCCTCGCTCGCCGACGTCTCGCTGTCCATGCCCATAGATTCTTCAGGCATGGAGTACCTTCGAAAATCGTTGGTTGGCAGTGTGCCAGTTACGGCGGCGGCGGCCGCTGCGCAAGGCGAGCGCGCGTCGTTCATCGGGCTCCTCACGTCCTCGGCGTTACGTACCTCGATGCTCTCGTCGAATTTGGTGAACGCCGCGATGTCCTCCCTCGCACGCTCCTCCTCTTCGCTACTGTCGTGAGCGTCCATTGCGTCGCCACGGCCGTTTCTTCCCCACGCGGGGGGAAGACTCTATCGGTTGGCTCGTTCTCGCGCCGTAGTCGCAAGATCGCTGGCTTGTTTGCGAGACGGTCACCACGGTTACGCATTGCGCATGGTCGAGACACGTTTGCCCGTCGAGTCGGTACTCTCGTGGCAGCAATTAGTCATCGGACGTTATTGCAAATAAATCGTTTATTAGGCAACGAAAAAGTCTGAAAAAGCATCAAAAGTAATGGGCTTGTCGAGCATCGAAGCGGCCGCTAATCTCAAAAAGCGTAGGTGCCGTAAATCTGCCCGCTCCTGGTGCGCCTGACGAACCACTCGCGATCGAGGAAGACTCGCGCTTGACAAGGTTGGTTCGCTCGCTTCTGCCGGTTCTGCCGCACCTGTTGATCAGCCGCCGCCGCGTCGACCGACAGAGCTGACGCGTACGACGACGATCTTGCCGAATCTGCGCGCAATCGCCAATTGCCCGTTATTGCGTGCGTCGATCCATTTGGCGTCGTTAACGCGATGGTACCTGGATCATCCGGAAGGTCCCGGATCGCGCGATCGCGAATGGTAAAGCTCAGCGCCGGCATGAACTCGTTGATCCTCGCACGTGGCGACAGGTAGTCGCAGTCCGAGCGAGCCTCGCCCGCGGGCGCCGAGCTCGCCGAGGACTCGCTTAATCTGCAACGACAACTCCAATCAGCTTGTCGCCGGTGGCGGGACGCGATCGACGAGGCCGCACGTTTCGTTGGACGTGGGCAACGACGAGATGATCCCCTCGCTGTACTCCTCTTCCTCGTCCTGCTCTTGCTCGCCGCTCCTCTCCTTCGGCTGCTGCTTGGATACCAGGCAAATGACGACCACGAGGAACGCGCAGACGAAGAGGAACGGCACGAAGTCGGGGGAGAGCTGCTTGGACGCGTGCGCGCGATGCCGCTTCGACTCAAAAATTTCAAGGGTTCGCGGCCCGGCCGAGAACCACGTCCGAAGCGTTTCCTTTTTCAACGATTTGTCAGACGGTCAGTCGGCGCTCGACGAGCGTTCGCGGGACAGCGACAAATCTACGCACTTGTAAGCAGTGAAGCAGCCGCGCCGGATCGGGTTGAAAGTTTCGTCCGCGTGTCGCATCTTTACGGGGCCGCATGCCGCAGGTATAGCCTCTGGGACCAGCGCCACTTCTCACCTCATCTCAGCGACCACGGCAAAAGCACGCAAACATCGGACGCAAAATACCCAGCAAAAACAGAGCGGTCAATTATACCGTCGTGAAGTTACTGCTGGAGCCACGCTCTTTTTTTCTTTTTTGTAATTTCGCGCGACAGCAGACAATGTCGAGTAGCAGACGACTCGTAACCGCACACGCGCCATGGCCCGCCTGCGGATAGTATGTATATACATTAATTGTATATACGTATAGTAGAAAGTAGAACAGCTGACATTCATAACCTCTCGCGAAGGAGAGGAATGCAGTAACAGCAGGATTTTTATATCGGTATTTTCAATTATGTTTTTTGTGAAATTAACCTGTTTTGATAATAATTGTTTTAAACGCTGATAATAGCGTTGTGTATCTTACAATTTTTATTGTGGAAATCGTTTGCGTTTATTTTTATCGAGCAGAGTATAAAACTTGTAAACAAATGCTTAAGGTTAGTCAATAAATTTTGGTAATTTTTTAATATCACAATTTATGCAACCAAATACGTAAAAATATTACGTTCTAGGTTTTATTAAAAACTATATCATGAATGATAACGTGAGATTCAAAAATATTTAAAGAATTTAATTACAATTTATTGTATAATGAGATGTTATCTTGCAAATACAACATGTTCAGTAGAATAATTAGATGGTCTATGCCAGTGTCTGGTATTTACAGATCTTGTAACAAAAGTAATTTTATAAAGCAAACTATTGTACAATTAGATCTATTGCTTGTATCAAATAACACAAGATATGTCAGCAGTTCTTACACATTATTGTTTAGTAAACAAAATCCAAAAAAGAAGATTAGTGTCTTGGATAATGAAAATGAATGTTTGGAGAGTGATCAACTTAATAATGAAACAAACAAGAGGTCTATAAAGAAAGAACATGTAGCTGATAGTGAGGAGCAAGAGGCACTTCGGTCAGATAAACTCAAAGACAACAGAGAGGAAAGTGTAAAACCAAAAGACAGTGAAGAATTTGAAAAAATTGGTAATAAAGTCAAGGATGAGTCACAAGAAGAGCAGTCAGATAAATCTGATAAAAAACATGACAACAGCCAACACAGCGAACATAAGAGAGAAAGTGTATTTGCAGGGGAAATGGTTATACACAATTTTGCAAATGCAAGGAAAAAAGAAAAAGACACATTTTTAGAATGTTTAAGAATGTATAAAAATCAACCAGGTAGAAAGCTGGAGCGAGTACCATTCATTTATGCTGCTTTGAAATACATGGATGAATTCGGAGTAGAAAAAGATTTGTCAGTCTACAAAGCATTGATAGATATTTTCCCTAAAGAAAAAATGATACCAACAAATCTGTTTCAAACTATGTTCATGCATTATCCAAAAGAACAATATTGTGCAACAAATATTTTGGAAAAAATGGAAGATAATGGAGTCATACCTGATCCTGAAATGGAACTGCTGCTGTTAAGTATTTTTGGTAGGCATGGAACACCTTTGGAAAAATATTGGAGGATGATGTATTGGATGCCGAAATTCAAAAATCTCAATCCTTGGCCTGTCCCTAAACCAATACCCAATGATGCATTCGAATTAGCTAAATTAGCTATATTTAAAATATCATCTATTGATGTTCAGAGTAAGCTCAGTGAATTCGATACCAACGATGTGAAGGATTCTATCGATAAGACATGGATAATATCTGCTATAGCTCCTAAACAGAGTGAATTACTCTTGCAACACGACAAAGAAAAAGCAATTTATGTAGAGGGTCCTTTCAAAATTTACGTCGCTACGAAGTGTGTGGACTATTTTACTCTTAGGGCAGATTCTGATTTAACAAGAGAATTTCCAATACCAGATCTAGATGGTAAATTCGTGCTTTTATTACTTTGAAAATATAACTTGGAGGATAAAACTAATTTAGCTATTTTTTTTTTAATTTTGCAGCTGTAGATAAAATACCCAACCCGTACTTGGAAACCAATTCATCGCCTGTCATCGTTCTCCCTAGTGTACACGAACAACACGACTCCACGGTATTCGCCAACTGCGCTACGGGAACGTCTACGAAGGATTCTCTACTCTCGTGGATTCGTCTGTTGCAAAAGACAAATCCCGTCATAGGAGAAATTCCAGTTGTGTTCCGTCTAACAAATTACTCCAATGAGAAATTATTTATCGAGTGTGGTGCTGAGATCTCCTTGCCTCGAGAAAACGAACCCGAGAACACGGAAGAAGTAGATAAGAAACTTTTAGATGATAAGTGAATGAAAGAAATTCTTATAATTATAGTGCGATAGATTTTGTATATTAAAAGTGTACATAAGGATGGTAAGTTTAATGACATATAAAAATCTTAAACTTGAAAATACACTGCATTTTTAGTCGTTATTAAGTACCTCTTGTATGGCATCCTTTATAATTATACGAAATAATTATCTAACGTACGTTCGATCAATCATGACTTCTATCGATCGAGAAACGTGGAACTTATTAAAAAAATCAACAAAAGCGTATTTAGTGTTTTTTATCGAATGGCCTTGTCATTAAGTATTCACTTTGCTACAGCAACGCGAGAGAAACGGTAGAAAATTTCAGTTCGTGTTCTAAAGCTATGGGGTGCCGTAAACTTTCCTCCAGGACTATCGCGGCATTGGCTCTATAACCGTGAAAGCCGCGTCTACCATTTCACGAATGAAAATCTACATTCAATTGCAATGTTTGCTTGTTCATCGGTAAATCAGTTGGAATAAAACTGGAGAGGAGAGCGCGCCGAGGCAGTCCACTCGAAGCGCGCGACTCGACCGAACGCGCAGTACGAAGTTGTCGTTCGGTTTCCGTGCGTCGTGTCTAAAAGGTCGTCGAGCGTCCGCTTTCGAGGCCTTCACTCTGCATTTGGTCTTTGGTTTTACAATCGTTGGCGCGCTCCCGATAACATTGGCGAGATGGCGAGGATCGCAGCAAGCGGTAGGTGTTCGGTGGTCCGCCCTCGGGGTGGATGTCGCGCGCGAGCGTTCGTTGGAGCCGGAAGGCGATTGATCTCATCGCGGAATGAACTAATGAACGATCGAGCGAACGATTCCGCGCGCCATGACCTGCGATGACCTGCGCTCGCGAGTCGATTGGAAATTCATATTAGACCATTTCTCGAAGGCCGGTTTGGCAACATAAGAGCGTCGCACTCCTCACTCCTCGCATACAATCGTAAGCGAAATTGCACGTAATATTCGTGATTCGAGCGAGCGGAACCCACGCGAAACGACACCGCGTCCGCGACACCGGCACGTATGTAAATCGTAAGCGAGTGGCGTAGATGGCAAAGCGACGACGGCCGAGGCGCCGGGCGAACTCCCGGACTAGCACCTGCTACATGCCTCTCTGCGCAGTTGGCCAGCCCCGCCGCTACCTGCAGCTGAGGGCCCTTTGCAGCTCGAGCAAGCGCGGCGTCGCGGCTCCCTTTCCCGGATGCGACCACACGGCCTCCCCATACAAGGTGAGCACTGCTACCGCGGCGCTATGCCTTCGGCCGCGTCGGCGGCTTATCGGGCTCTTAGCTGGCGAACGCCTCGACCTCGGCTCTGCCCGCCGCAGGGAGCCAGCTACGAGACGGTACTCGAGTCCCGCGAGAGCCTGGTGACCCCGCGGCAGAGGCCCTTCTACAGCCGGCCACTGCTGCTGCACGAGGGTCGCGCGCAGTGGCTGTGGGACCACGAGGGCCGCCGCTACCTCGACATGTTCGCTGGCATCGCCACCGTCTCCGTGGGCCACTGCCATCCGTAAGACCGCCGCGCTACGACGCGCCCACCGCCACGCGGCCGGCAGCTGACGTCCGTGCGCTGGCCGTTCGCAGGAAGGTGGTGGCGGCCATGTCGGAGCAGGCGCGCCGGCTGGGCCACACCACGGCCATCTACCTGCACCCGCGCTACCACGAGTATGCGGCCAAGCTGACGGCGACGCTGCCCGCGGGCCTGAGCTGCGTCTACCTGACGAACAGCGGCAGCGAGGCCACCGAGCTGGCCATCCACCTGGCGAGGGTGCACACGGGCAGGCACGAGGTGGTCTCGCTGCGCAACTGCTACCACGGCGGCACCGCCGTGGCCAACGCCACCACGGCCATGGCCTGCTACAAGTACCCGGTGCCGTCGCCCGCCGGCCACCTGCACGTGAGTGTCGACCGCCGCCACCGTCGCCGCTTGCCAACCGAGAGACCTTTCCGGCCGCCAGGTCACCAACCCGGATGTCTACGCGGGCGCCTGGGGCGGCGCCCACTGCCGCGACAGCCCGGTGCAGACGAGCCGCAGCTGCGAGTGCGTCGCGGGCCAGTGCCAGGCCGGCGACAACTACGTGCGCGAGTTCCGCGAGCTCTACGAGTGCAGTCTGGCCGCCGACGGCAAGATCGCCGCTTTCACCGCCGAGAGCATTCAGGTACGGCTGGCGGCACGGTCCGATCGGCAGTCCCGTTGATGCGCGATGGGCTGCAGGGTGTGGGTGGCACGGTGCAGTTCCCCCGCAACTACCTCGCCCGGGTCTACGAGCTGGTGCGCGAGCGCGGCGGCCTCTGCATCGCCGATGAGGTGCAGACCGGGTTCGCGCGCACCGGCGAGCACTTCTGGGGCTTCCAGGGCCACGGCGTCCAGCCGGACATCGTGGTGATGGCCAAAGGTATCGGCAACGGCTTCCCACTCGGCGCGGTGGTCACGCGGCCACGGGTCGCCCAGGCGCTGGCCAAGGCCTCCTACTTCAACACCTTCGGCGGCAATCCGGTCGCCTGCGCCGTCGGCTCGGCCGTCCTCGACGTGAGTACGACCGCCCGTCAACCAAATCGCCGATCACGGCTTTCAATCCCATGCGCCTCTTTGTTCCACCTCGCAAGATCATCGACGAGGAGAATTTGCGGCAAAACGCGCTCACCGTCGGCACGCACCTGCTCAACAATCTGGCGTCGCTGATGAAGGACTTCCCGGCGCTCGTGGGTGACGTCAGGGGTAAGGGGCTGATGATCGGAGTCGAGCTTGTCGTCGATCCCGAGACGAAAGAGCCGCTACCGGCCGCGGCCGTAGCGCAGATTTTCGAGGACGTCAAGGATGCGGGAGTTCTGATTGGCAAGGGCGGGGTAAGAGGAAACGTGAGTATCGTTTCGAATCTTTCGTTCATATGTCGGCTGTCGCAGTAGAACTGTGGGCAACACAATTGGAAATCGAATTTCATACAGGTATTTCGTATGAAACCTCCGTTGTGCGTGACCAAAGAAGATGCAGACTATACCGTCGAAGCTTTGAGATCAGCTTTGAAAAAGTACGAATCCACCAGGAAATAAGACTCAATTCAGCTTCAAAACTTGCGTTGCCAATGATGTCAAAGTAAAAACAAAACCATTGATTGTCCTTTTTAAAAATTTATTGCCACACAATCAATAAACGTATATATATATATATATATAATATTTGACAAATTTATAATTTACAACCGACTCCGCGTTATTCACACACCGCTGTCGTTATTTTAATCATACGCATATAGGAATTTTTAAATAAAATCACTTGAAAATTTTGGTTACCCAGCTCTTAAAAATTACAGAGAGAAAGAGAGAACGGAATCAGAAAACAAAACGGATAAATATATATATCACAAGCCAAAGCGTTATGTTACTATATAAAATAGTCACATATAAAACGATACATATATATATTATTACGATCCATATGTACGTATCTAAATAATAACTTTAACAAAATAAAAGTTTTAAATAGAATGCTTAATTTCCAAGGACAAAATACCATGAAATAAGGAAGACCAGTATCAGTATGATAAACTATAGTAAAAGTGGCATAAGAGGATAATTGATACGATATACACTGTTCATATTATCATTAGACATTTCTAAAAATGTATCATCATGAGTATTTGTACATAGAATTCTCATTGCAAATAATCTAACTATTTATTATATATATAATGTATATATAATATTTACAGATTCAATGACTTCTTTAACCTAGTCGCGTGCTCATCGTTTTGTAGTCTTTTTTTTATTGTTATATTCACGTTCAAATATATTTTAGATCGGAATAAAACTATATTTTGCTTATCAGAGACATCTGTTTATCAAATGAATAGAAAGAAAAATATTAGTTCACAAAATTAACAAACTATTTTCGTTTTCAATAAATAGCAATCATTTATATAATGCACTTGCGTATTATATGTAAATGCAGATATCTCAACATTTAAATGCAAACTATGAAAGATGTGAGGTAAATTGGCACGTAATTTGCGTTTCAGTTCAGAATGTACAGCGAAGAACATAAAAAGATCGTTAAATGTCGCTTTACAAAAATACATCTAAAGAGAACTCTAGATATATTAAAAAACATAACAAATTATGTTTAACAATTAAAGTGACTAATACTTTTAGAAATGTGATAATCTACAAGCTTTGTTTGTTCATAGCTCATTGTGATTGATATGATTTTTTCCTCCTTAATTAATATATGTTTCTGTGATTGTAAAATAAAAATCTTTGGAAATTTCAAATTACCATTAAGCAATCATGTTCGTTAACAAAATTGTTGTGTCAGATGGATTATCTATGTAGCATGATTCCATTGAATTTACTGACGCAAGATCAGCTTCTAGTAATGCTAACTGTAATTCCCTTCTTGCTTTCTGTACGACGTAAACCATCAGTGAAACTCCAATGAAAATCTGTAAATGCCATAGGATATTATAATAATTAATGCTATAATAACAGAAAATCTATCATATAAATAGTTATTTTTTACTTGGAAAGCAAAAACAATATAGCCTGTAGCAGCAGTTGATTTATCCTCTAAAACGTCTTGCATTGAACGCAAACTACTGCCCAGGTAAACATTTATTAACTGAGCTGGAAGCAATCCAATTGCACTGGATATGTGGTATTTCATACCATGTATTTGGCTTACCTAAAAAAACATTAAAATTTATTATATAAGTAGATCAACAAAATCTGAAAAATACTCTTTAAAAGGTACTCACAGCAAAAATTGTATTTTGTAAACCAAATGGAATAGGTGTAAGTCTTGTAAATAGTACAACTTTGTAAGCTTGGGGACCAGAAATAACTCTGAGTATTGCTCGAGCCGTGTCACTTTGAAGAAGAGCTCCAATAGGTAAACTAGGAGACAAATTACTGAGTACAAAATGAGCTACAGCAATGCCGAGATTTGCAGACAACACAACCATAGCAATGCCTCTGATAATTCCAAATAAGTAGCCACTCGCAATGATTAAAAACAAGTAGCCAATAACTATAGGAAACGAGACAAGTGTAAACAGTGCAATCATAATGATTGTGACAACCCATGTATCTTGATGTTCAATCCAGTACAGCAAGATTTTAATGTAGTCTCTGCAGATGAAAACTATTGTTGCCAAAAACGCCAAGGTTGCCATTATCACTACAATATAACATATTGAGTTGGAATTGATGCAACTTGAACGAATGGACGATGAACTCTTCGATGGCCTTAGTCCAGACTCGACACTCTCTATATTTATTATATCCATGATGACTCAAGTGGAGTTTTTTGACCTAAATGATGAAACAAATTATAATGGTATCATAGCAATTTTAAACGTTGAGATAAGAACAATTTTCAATATATAAAACAAAAACTTACTTTTGATTGTTTAGTGGACAACAATTTTTTTCGAGTCATGAGTTGCTTTTCTAAAAATGCTTGACAATCAACGTTTCAGACGAGCTTGTCACTTAAATACGACATTGTATATTATTGTGATCGGAGATACTACTGTTTTCACTTGAATTACATAACCTGAAAGTTGATCCTTTACTCCGACACTTAATCTGTTCTTTAGATTTAATTTCTCACTTTAACTGACTTATCAAGGAGAACTGCGTAATTGTTCTTCTTTTATGAATGCGGAAAGAAGAAAAAATCGTAAAGTGAGTATTGTTTATCGTAACATTAATAAAATTTTATTTTCAGATCCATTATTTATCATTTGACGTGCGTACAGCACTGTACACACACACACACAAGCGCGCGCGCGCGCGCGTACACACACGTAGCGGTAGTTATGTTAAGATTTACGTACAGTGACGTTCTTTGGAGCAACGGGACTTTGTAATGGTTTGTCTAGTATTACGATATTAAAGTAATTGCTTTATCAAATATAAAGAAAATTGCTATAAATGATTTATCATGTTATTCATGAAATATGTTTCAGATATTGATAATAGTCTTAAAAATTCGAAATAATTGAAATAGTAGCCCAAAAAATTAAGAATGAAAAATTTTTAAAGAAAAAGTGCAAGGGTTCAACAAAGAATACATTTATTATACAATGAAAATACTCATTCACATAACAATTGCACGTGTTAAAAGTTGAAATTTTCCGCAAGATATCGCTAAAAGAACATTCATCGTCCATCACTTGTGATTAAGGAACACTTATTAAATTCGAGATAACTTAGGATTTTTTTAATTCCACACGCGCGCTCAAACTCCTTCCTCGTTACTGTTATCATTACTATTAGGCGACTGTTCGTGAGTACGATTAGTGACAGTAGATAATAATCTCAAAGCGATGTCCCTTCTAAGAGATGATAAATTTGACGGTGCTCCATTCGACGATGGAGATACGTTACGGCTATTGAGCCCATGGCGTAGAAAAGCTTCGTGTGACTCCTGACTGACGTGTCTTATAAAATTTGCCAAAGTGTGTTCCCCGTTGGTATTTTCTTCAGTGTTATTCATGACGACTTCGAACGATCTTCCCAAATTCGAATCTGAGTTCGTCCTTCTTACGCTCGTTTGAGCAACGTTCAAATCCGTAAATGTGCGGTCTAAGTGTCTGAAATTCGCAAGATAGGGTACATTACGATTATGAATAGATAATCTTCTAGGCACTGAATTTCTATCTACACTATCTCGACTTCGACTCTGTTGACGTCTGTAAGATGGTGATATCCAGTTTCTGAATCGCTGATCGTGCGAATGACTAAATAAAGGTCTGTTAGATTCGACTGACGGACCGGCGACATGTGAACCTTGCGGTCTTTGACTAAAATGAAGGGGAACATTTAGATGATTGTAACTTGGTGAGTTACTTAATTGGTCCTCACTGTTAGGATATGCTTCGTTTGAGTTTGATCCTGAATGATTTTCTCGTGCAGCTACCACTGAAAATATTTACAAAATCAGTGAGATTTCAATGGATAATTTTTAAATAAAAGACTTGAATTTTGCTTTTTACATACCGGCGTTTATCCATTGACTGAAGTTAGATCCTAAATTAGGAACACTCCTACCAGACCTGCTAAAATCAGGTGTCAATGCTACATCATTTTGAGACAAATTTGCTTCATTTCCTTGGCGTGAAGAATTGATCAGCTGTCTCGACAAAGTTGACGCATTTAAATCTTGTGGTTGACTGAGAAAAATCCCCTCGTTCAGATTATTCACACCACTACCACTAGGTCCAGTAGGATGATTCGGACGAAAGTTTAAATGATGATCTCTGTTCTGTATACTACTTTGATTAACCGAGTTGTTCCTGTTTCTTAGACAACCTCTGACTCGTAGTAGAAGCCCGTCGTTTCCATTGTTACGACTGTAGGGTAGTGGACGCTGGTTTTCGCGAGGTATGAGGTGTCGGTATTTATCTAACTCGGTTGGAGTCAATTCTCTCGCGTCGGAATTGACTCTATAAACTGGGATTTGAGTATAAGGTTTTGGCCGAATAACAAAAGGACTTGGCTGTTGCTTCATCATTTGATGCATTTGTTCCTGCAATATGAAATCATTATAATTGTTGAATGGAAAATATGTATTTTTATTAAAACGACAGTTTACGTACCTGCAGTGTGATTTGTTTAGAAAAGTCTGTTAGTATTTTTCTGCTAGACAAACTATCTTCTTTTTTCTCTGATTTTTTCTCGGAGATTTCTCCAGAGATTTCCATAGAAATATCTGGTACGACTTGTTCTTCCTCGTCATCTCCAATGGTTCTTGGTACTTTAAACATGGCTATTATTGTTGTTAGTGAATCGAGAACTTGAACTGCTGTGAGACGTTTCAGGGGTTGTAAAACTAAAAGGTTTCTGATTAATGATATTGTCCCTTCTGACACTCTACCATCCCTGAAAAAATGAATGGCATTTAATAATCATCAGTGTTAAAATTTTTTCAGTAAATATAAAAGAAAGTTAAACTTACATTGGTATATAATAGTTAGCTGCTTTGATTTTTGTAAACAACTGTGTAGGGCTGCTATCGTAAAATGGGAACTGTCCATATAGCATAGTATATAAAACTACCCCTAAAGCCCACATGTCTGATGGCTTTCCAAGATATGGTTTTCCACATAAAACATCTGGTGATATATAAGCAGGAGAACCTCTCTGATCTTTAAGTAAGTCATTTTCAGAAGATAAATGTTTGCCTAAGCAAAAGTTTGTAATTGTCACCTGTAAAAAATATTTACAGCTTACAATGATGTATTAAGATTTAATCGATATTTTAGCGATAAGTAAAATATTATGTACTTTTCTCGTTCGCTTGTTCAACACTAGATTACCTAATTTCAAGTCCCTATGAACTATATTTTTTTCATGTAGACAAGCAACTATTCTAACTGTATCAAAAAATATTAAAAGACTTTCTTTTTCTGTTAATTTTTTTTCTTTGATAACATGATGTTGTAAATTGATTGAAGTCTCACTATTTGGATTAAAATCATGACATATTAAACAATCAAGAACCAAACATAATCGTTGTTTTATCCATCCAGTATATACAGCCCCTGAGTTTGTAATTTTTTCTTCTAGAGCAAAATCCTGGAAAAAAAATAATAATGAAATAATCCATAAAGTAACTATATTAAACTCAAAAAACATCAGCACAAGAAAACTGTATGTACCTTAAAAAATCCATGGTGATGTACAACCCCATCCTGATTATGCAGAAGACTCAGCAAAGAATATTCAGAGTGGAGTAGCATTTTACCTTGTCTATCATCTTGATTCTCATATTCCATACAGTCTTTCAAAGTTAATATTTTAATTGTATAATATTTATCAGTGCCTTCTTTCCTTGCCAAACACTGTACAATGCTACGCACAGGTGACGAACCAATGATAGGCCCAAGTATATAAGGACCGGCTTTTCTAACAATTTTAGGTGATACTATTGTACCAGGTTTTGGAACTTTACAACCTGTTATCTTATTTTTCAATGAACAACTGTCTATGCAAGTTTTTACACTGATATTCTTTCTTGTTCTACTTAAAACATCTTCCCTCCTATTCTGTTTTAGATTGCCAACATCGTTTGAGCAAGTGGGAATTGTAAGTTTGTCATCATTAGTTATTCCTCCTCTTATAAAAGGTTCAACTACACTGTCTTCAGCCAATTGATTGGGTTCGTCACTATTTACATCTGCCTCAGAATTACTATTTGTTTCGTTTGTTTCCATTAATTCAATGGTATCAGCCACTGTTCTGGAATGCATAAGGTTATCACTGAGACTCTCATCATTGGAGACAGACATATTTTTACTGAACACACACGACACACACTGACTTCGCAAGATTATAGAAACATATTTGTTGATATCTGATGCAACTTATTTACACAAGTGATAAACAAGTCGCAACGACACGTATGTACATCTCTAGTTGTTTAACGTCATTTCCATGTTTATCTTTGGCATTATCCAGCAGACGATCGTTAACTTCTTTTACTTTAAAAACTGACTAAATATAAATAAATATTAATCGACGGCGAAACGATGATTTGATTGCAAATGCAATAAAAGAAAAATAAATGCGTTTGATTCAATCACGCTTTTAAGGTTACGCGAACTGTATATTAATTGTAGCAGTAATAATGCGTGCGAATATATAGCGCGACTAGATGGAGCCTGACGTTCTATACAATGAGTAAGCTGAATAAGATGTGCTTTTTCGTCAATATGATGAATGTGACGAAATTATTGTAGTATTCATTATTATTGCGCGCTAACGGTGTTTTGAATATTTTTTGCAAATACTTACTCTTCGAATGACGCGGAGACGTATTTTCGCAAAATTCGTTTATTCTATAACTCGAGTCGAGAGCTGTCGTGTATACGTGTGTACAATTCGATTTCACAATTCTCGAGGTCAGCCTTCGTTCGAGGTTCCGAAAAAAAAAGAAACCTCTCGTTATTGGCGAGGTGATATATCGCGAAAAAAAACGACGTAGAGAGGGAACGCCGAGTCTTTCCAGTCTCATCCGCAGATGCGGAAAAAGGTCATCTACGCACCTATTATTTTGTTCGACCCTTTTATATTCCGCTCGTTTCTTTTTCCGTTCAACTATTTTCTCTCCCATTCACCTCGTTCTCACCGAAGAAACACATTTCCTCACGCGGCTGAAACAGCAGATCCACGCGGCTTCTTTCAAGCTTACGCGCGCACGATTAAATTAAACGTCACAAAAACGATAAAGTGCAAGTAATTGTACGATATAAGCGAGTGTTGTCGTTTGATGGGTCTTGTACCTTATGGACGTACAAGTCATTTACATCAGATTAGATATTTTTGAAATAAATTTATAGCAATATGTGGTGGTCTCTTAATCCACCCATATTCACCCGATGGTGTCGGTCATTTGCGTGCGGCAGGAAATTCGCTGATTGAATATATAAATCTGCATATATAGTAACTCTAATGTACTTAAAGTGTATGAGACGAGGTCGACCGACTGTCGAGCCTCACTGACGAGTCCAGTCGGTAACATCGGGAAGAAACGTTTCTGCGTTACCTAACCTCTCATTCTTCTTTCGCACCTAAGCTCGCACTTATACACGTCCTTTTTCGATCTCTCGTTCTACCATGTCAGATATATTGAAGATTTATAATATTAAAATTGGTGACTCAACGTGTCCCAGTGAGGTGCTTAGAAATAGATGAAATAAGTAATGAGTTATTACTCAGGTAAGAGCTAGACTGAGAAATTTTTTTTTGTTCTCCTTCCCTGTGATATTATCTGACCAAACACGGAGACCACGTCTCAAGCAGAGATGCAGATCTCTCGGTTTTATCGACGAACTTCGTGCCTGGACGGCTAACGTTCGCCAATCATTTTACCTGAATGAATTTTCCACGATCTCGAGACCGACAATAAACCCGCCTAACCTATCCAGAGAAACTGCCAGTGGTCAGAGCCAGAGCAATCATAACGACTCAGCGAAGGATGAGGTCATGCGCCACGAAACCGTGCATGTACTAATAGGTATGGGTTATTTTTTCAATGTAGCCAATAATTTTGACGCCAAGACTTATCCGGGTTAAAAACATCCACTTCTAACCAATAGTTAGCATTGATGATTATTCCAGAACATAATCCAATCCATTCTTATTAATACAAATCTTATATTATAAGGGCGCAATCCTCTTGAAAGTGTAAATTGTCCCACAAAAGTGTGGATCTATGTTGCCACGACTGTATGATCTTTCAGGTGTATGTATCGCTGTAATAAGAAAAAGTATTTATTCGTTGACGGATAGTTATAATATTTTTAATAGATAAAAGAATTGCGCAGGATTTATTCTTACGATTTAAAGCACATTCATTTCTATAAAAACCGTATTAGTGATACGCAGATTCTGATTTACTGATATAGATTCATCTTATAATGTACAACCAAAAAGTTTCAAAAATATTTGAAATCTAAGAGGTTTTCTTTGTAATGCATATCATAGAGTTAAATTTGACTTGATTTAGTTAATAACTTAAATATTTAATTTTTATATACGACTATACTTTCATTTGTTATTGCCTATAAGATAAATAAAACATGACGAGGCTATACTGTTGATTGTATAAAATACAGTTAAAATCATTTATGTAGATATTTTATCTGATTTTGTTATATTTATCTTTATTTTCACTTCAATTAACAACTATTTATAAGGTAAAATTTATGATAATTATTATAAAAAAATAATTATTTGTAAAAAGCTGATGGTATGGTTATTTTTTAAATATTGAATAATTTGTTGACTATATATTTCTTTAAATAAATAATATATATTGTTAAATGTATGGGATAGAGATAAGGAAAGTAATTCAATTCATTATTAATAATTGTATCTACTTGAGACATTCCATTTCCTTAATATTTTTTCAGACCGTAAATGACACCGGTATATTCGAAAAATAGAACAGAAATATCTTGCCGCTGTAAACGAGCTCGACGAGGTAAAGAAGAAATTCGTTGTAAAACTAGTCAAACCTAAGAAAAGCTATTTGTAGAATTATTGCGGTCGTCCTCTAAGAGCCAGGCGTAACATTTGTTCCTGGTGAGATCATCTTCGATAGTCAGGCGTTTGGGTGTGAGCAAACTGGACGTCGGCGAAGGCGGCAACTTCTGAAATTGGAAAACATTAAATATCCTGCCAGCTGTATCCGAATAGCCACTTACAATATCGTGATCGATCTGATGAACTTCGCTTACCAGCCATTCATTCTCGGATCGGTAGTCCGATTGGTCAGACAGATTCTGCAGACTCGATTGGTCTACATCGGCGGTGGTCTTCTCCGTCGTCTCTTCGTAAATCCCCGATGAGTTCGCCAACTTCAGAAACGACGAGGAGGTTGCGCAATTGTTCGCATCGCAGTAACCAGTTGTAGTAGACTTGCTCTTCCTCTTCGGCTTAAACAGATTCGGTTTGTTTCAATCGATGTCGCAACACGCACATCAATAGTTGTTGAACCAATACCAACTCCAGCGGCAGATCCTTAAAAAGGTACTTAGGACTGCCAGAGGTGTCCGAGTTGCTCAAACTGATGGTGGAAGGCGACCACGAGTACGTCACGGGACAATTGAGCGGTTGGTATTTCAAGCCAGGTAGGTACGAGGCGGTTCTGGCGTAGAGGTCCACCTGCTTGTCCGTGAGACTCGTCGTGGCGCGTAATCTCTCGCGCAGGTCGTATTCGTGACCTAGCGCTATCATTCGGCGGAACTTGCGAGGCGGATTGTTCGCGTCGTAGATCACCGGCTGAAACGGTGGAAAACTCTGGTACTTGGCCTTCTCGTTCTTCTGGAACTCTGCGTAAAGTTTGTCGAACACCTCTTCGGAATCGCGTTCGCACGAGCCGTTGGATGACGAGTCCTCACTGCCGGCCGTAGCTTCCGCGTTCACGCGCGAGTTTGCTTGCTCGAAGGGCTGTTGCTCCGACATTCACAGGCGGCGCGGTTCGGCGAGTTACGATGCTTACTGGCGGTGTACTGTCGGCGTCAGCGATACTGTCGAGCAACGCCAAATTGCCGACTGTATTATCAAACTCATTGACCTGTTGTTCTAAGTGAGCATGATGTCAACAAATACTCGATCAAACATTCGTTTGGTGTATGTTTACTTGTAACATATATACTTCTCATCGCGAGACTGCGATTGCGTTTTTCGAGTGGAAAAATACTTTGCTTTAGCTTCGATTTCAATATATCTTTTGAATTTCCGCCCCACAATGTTCCACCCACGTTCGAAATTAAATATATTAATTGGAAAATTATTTTAAGATCAGCATGGATTTGAAATCGGTTGGAAGTCCAACTGAAAATTAAAGAAAATAAATCAACCATTGGAACATTTGAATTAATTCCACGTGACTATTGCTTAATGGACGATCGCTAATAAGTTACAATTAGGTATAAATATACTTTGCCAAGGTTTGGTTTGGCCGCCAGTATAGTAATATATATAGTATAATTGTCAAACATAACCTAAAATATCATAACATTTAGAATGTAAACACGGTCTTGATTTTTATCGTAAAAACTAATTTGTTATAGTTATAAACGATCAAATTGTAAAGATGATTGTTAAATAGTAGAAGGCTATCTGCCAACTTTTATTAATTATCGTTGATTCTCAACAGGTACAGATGTTTTTTTCATAACTTTTTAATACGCATTATTGAATTATATTTTCATTTTCTTTTACTAATGTTTGCTTGCAGATTAAACAAATAAAGTATAGTGGAAGAAATGCTATAGCCATCATGTTTCCTGCAAATCACAAGACAGTTTTTGTGCTGGACCATACCCCTTATTTTGGGATTTCAACAGAGAGCCCTTTAGATTTGGATTGTCTAAAAGCAAGAGGTCAACAAAATCTTATTCCTCTACCTCCGATATGCAAATCTCTCTGGACTGCAAGCATAGAAACATCAATGGAGTATTGTAGAATCGTCTGGGATTTATTTCCCACTGGCAAGCTGGTATGTATTTTGTATGATCAAAAATTAATTTGTCTATGACAAACGATTCTCATGTTACTTCTTTGCTAATATAGGTACGATTTGTAGTCAGTGATCACTCGGCTCACATCCTGAATACTTGGAGTCCTACTCAACAGAATTTAACTCATGTAACGTGTTTTTGAAATGTACCATGCTTTTTAAATATAATTACTCAAATTTACTTAATTTTAGATTATGAATGGTATGGCAATCATAGGGGTGCCTCCAAGAACTCACCAACCTGGAACTGAATTTACAGTAATTCATGGGTTAAGAGTGGCAATTGAAGCTCTGTCGGAATGCTCAGAGAATCAACAAGAGAAAAGAGCAATAGGTCCAGAGTCTGTTAACAAATTGATTAATAGAGGCAGAGTTATTTGCATCACCAGTGCTAGAGATAACATGAATATGAAAAGTTTAGAAAATATATTTTTAAGCCAACTAACCAAGCAAAATAAAATTGCAACAGGATCTGATAAGTAAGCGATGAATTATTAACATTTCACGTTACAATAAAATAATTAATTTTATTATTTCAGTTTTGTCCCAATAGATCACTGTCATCTTGTAATATTAAATGTTTTTCCGGATACGGTTGAATCCCAAGTGACAAGTCAAAGTTTAAGAGATGTAAGTTTTAACGATTCCTGTAGCTCTATTTTAAATATAAATCTAATTTATTTGACATGTTTTAGGTTTCTCCTCTTTTGTCTATGGAAGTACATTCTTTAAAAGCACCAGCATTACACTCTAAACTTTCTCACTTAATACTTTCACATTATGATCTGGCAAGTACTACTGTCACGGGCATCCCTATGAAGGAAGAACAAAATGCAAGTTCATCTGCAAATTATGATGTAGAAATTTTTCATTCATCTGCAGCTCATTTAGCAATTTTGAAAGGTTTTCAATCTTGCGTTATATTTCTTTGATTGAATACATTTTTGATCAGAATTTTCATATTAATTATATTCGCAGGTAACCCATCAGATATGGCACTGGTGAAAACTTTCCGACGGTTTGACGAAGGCACAGAATACGAGACGGTAACTCTTAAATGGTGCACACCTCGCGGCTGCAGTGCTAGTGAGATGCAGAATTGCACAGCCATGCACCGTATCACACCTGTTGACGTAAATAGTCGGCCTTCGTCGTGTCTTATAAACTTCCTGTTGAATGGACGATCAGTGATGTTGGAGATGGCTAGGAAAAGTGGCGGCAAAGCGATTTCGCATTTATTAGCTTCTCATGGAGGAGAAATTTTTATTCATACACTCTCAACATCTAGAAGTGTTCTCGAAGATCCGCCGTCGATAAGTGAGGGTTGTGGAGGACGTGTCACAGATTACCGAATCACTGTTAGTAAAAATTTGTTTCCAATTATTAAATAAGTTAAAAGTTACATTCGATATGATTTATTTATTAGTATATTTCTACTTCCGAATTTTACTTTTCAGGATTTTGGGGCGCTAATGCGAGCCAATGTGCTATTGCCAATAAAACGCGACCCAGGAGAGTTAGCAGATGGACCTGCAGAAAAAATGAGATCACGTCTGGAAAGATTTACGAAATATTGGCCCATCACAATCTCAAACACTCTTATATTCAACGCTAAACAAGTATGAAATTAAACTTTCATCAATTGCTTTATTGAATTCTACACGATAAATTTGCAGGTATTGGAACCACTCCCGGACTTGATGATCAAAGAATCGTTGACTAAAGACGAAGTAGTGCAATGTAAACAGGTGCTCTTCAATGTATTACAAATGGAAACGAAACACGAATCTTTACCTGTGCCAAGTCTGAGTGGTGGTAGAGGTGGTAAAAGTGGAGTTAGAAGAGAAGAACAGTACAGATTGCTCTGGGGTGAACTCGAAACTTTTCTCAAGTTCCACTCTAACCACTCTACGGGACATGCCGAAGTGCTTACTTGTTTGCTGGAGATTAGAAATAAAGAAGACAAAGATAATAATAAAGTCGAGCTTGATCAAGCACTTAGGGAACTTGATGGGTAAGTTTTTCAGATTTACTGAAATAAGATGACGTATTCAATGAAAAACTCATCGACAAAGTAATCATTCCGAACTTGTTTTATTTTATAGTTTAGGCAAAGATGAAGGTACAACACGGGCAACGGTTATACGAGCCACAACTGACTCGCCCATGTCTCCGCCGCCTTGTGGTTCTAGCATGAGTTTAGCCAAGCAAATCGCCCAAAAAGCCACCACCACTACTCTGTACGCACCCAAGAGTCTATTAGATATCTGGGTCCAACGAAGTACTCCCAGGGATCGACGGCCCGATTTCCACGGCCGTATAAACAGCGACGGGCCAAGAGCAAAGCTCTATCCCAATCTGAAGGAAAACGCTCAGCCAGGTCGTGGTGAACCCGTCATTGAAGCTTAACACCTACAGCTTATTTGTATCTTGAACCTATCGTATATCAAGGTAACGAATGTACATACCACTTTTGCTAATAATAGATATTTACACGCCCAATCATGCAAGCGTAAGTTTATTCTTAACCGCGAATGGGTTTGCGGATGCGAGCTAGCCAGTTATACACGCTGTAAACTTTTTCGTTGAAACAAAAAGAAGTGGAAGATAAAAGGAAAAGCGTCGAAAGCGAAAGCAGGGGTCGCTCGCTCTGACAGAGACAGAGAAAGAGAAAGAGATCGAAAGCGAAAGTAATGAAATAGCGAGCTGACACGTACATGCACATAGCAAAGTGACGTGTGGCTATACAGATGTATATACATATGTTGGGGAACCACCTGTAATGGAAAAAGAGAGAAAAAGGAAAACAGGGAAGTTTAAGTGGGTGAGAGGGTGAGAGTGCGTGACGTAACGGTTCATTCATCCCCCCGAGCTTCCAATCTCGCTCTCCCGCTCCTCACTATTTACATCTACACGTGTGTGTGCTAGCTGACGGGGGTGGCGACTTTCGTGCACCCCCGCCCCGTCCTTCCGATCCTCCTCACCCCTCCTCGAAATAGACGACCAACTTTCGCTCTACCTTCTCGTCTTCTCTGTATTGAAGAAGCTATTGGACGCTCACCTGTTGATGGTCGGCGCTGACTTTTGTTAATTCATTTGTTTGTTCTGTTCTTGTTTTTTTGCTACAATCACTTAGCAAGTATCCATTTCCTTTCGTTTGTTCACGTATTTATGATGAATATTAGAGCCCGTGATGAAAGGTGCGTTATCGTGATTGAATGAATAAGAACGTGTGAAAAGTTGATAAGGTAGGTATAGTGCTCACGCAAATTGTAGCTTGCTAGTTCAATTTTAATAGCGCCATAAATAATGAACGGCTGTAAGTTTAAATAGCTCTGAAAACGTTGAACTTGTTGTGGATTCTTGAGCCACAATAGCATGCTTCAATGCAAAACTGTCGTGTCGTTGAGTCTAAAAATATAGATGAGTTTAAACAGAGATCGCTGCATTATAAATGCGGATGCATTGACGTTTGAACTTGAGTGATTTGTAGAAATAAAGATTTCACCGAAAAGAATCGTCGTGTTATACGAGAGACTCGAAACAATGTTTTAATCCAACGGGGCTTGAATAACAACTCTACAGCGGCGAGTCGCTATTGCCCAAAAGAAAAACCAAAAAAAGCAACGCCGTATAATTTCGGCATAATCGTTCTTGCCAGCGCGATTTGCATAAAGTCGTCCGCGCGCCCGATGACCGGGAGCGGTCCGCCACTGCCGGTGCGCACGCGGACGAGATAAACGCACGCCCCTCGCGCCGCGCTTCCCGACGCGTGAAATTTTCAGTCGCCGCTGTGCATAATTAACGCTCGACCTCTCGGTGATTATTCAGCGGGCGCGCACGCCGCTCGTAATTGGATCGCGAGTCCGTTTTCCAGCGCGCGCTGCAAATCGGAGGGCGGTCGCGAGGCGCGGGGTGAGGACGAGTAGAAAGAGAGAGAGAGCGAGCAGAAAAAAGAAGAAAAAAGCAAGCGAGAGATCAAAGCGCGTCGCTCCCCTATTGATAATGCACGAGGGGGCGGTGAGTCGAGCGCTTATCGATCCTGCGCTTCTAATGTGGCGTGCCACGCCGAGTGAGCTCGCCTCGAGGCGCGACTGCCGCCGCTGCCACCGCCGTCGTCGTCGTCGTCGCCGTAGGTGAAGGCAGCGGCTCCGAAACCGCTCGATCGCGTGTCTGTAATTTCCGCTTGATGGGACGTCGTTGGGCTCAAGGCCCAGTGCACGCGGGTGGAAGAGGGGCACGCGCTGGCAGCCGATGGTAGGGGCGCACGCGGACCGAGTATTGATCCGGCCGGCACGCGCGAGCGAGGCTCTCTTGCTGGAAGCCCGAGCCCGCGAGAACAGCTACGTCGCCGCCCGTTTCCTCTTTCGCTCGATCTTCGTTGCAGGTTAGCTCTTCCGCTCACCGAAAAATTAGACGTTGACCGACGGGTCGTGCCGTTTAATTAATACTCCGATGAGTCTTTCGCTCGCAAAGCCAAGCCGCCCCCCTCCCCCCGCCACCCGTTCGCATCCTATGCGATCCTCGAGCACGACGCTCGTACCTTCTGCTGCAAGCACTGCTCCACAGCGAGAGCTCGAAAAATGAGTGCGTCGACAGTGGGAGCAAACGAGAGGAAGAAGCGGCAGCAACGTGCAGCCCCGACGAGAAATCCAAGAGCCGAGGCGATCGCGGGGCGTTCCGGGCGACATGTCGCGTATATAGGGGAGCCCATACGGCAGCGGCACACAGGGGAGCTGATGGCACAGCTGCGCGCATATGTGCGCCGCACGTCAGCGGGCGAAGCCTCTCTCACTGATTGCCGCGAGCTGAGCCCAGCGCGCCGCCCACCCGGTTCTTTTCCCAGATGGCGGATGCTTTTTTCAGAGACGGCACCCGGCGAATTTGTCCAAATAACGAGCCTGTTATATTGCAGCATTACGAGTCTGTAGCTCGACTGCAAAAATTAAAATAAAGCATTGATCGAAGATGAACGTTTCTAAAAAACACGTTGACAGCTTTTATTCGCTTGATGACGATGGGCGTTTTGAGTCAAGTTTCACGTGCATCGCATGTACTCGTGAACAGGATCTTCTGGACTTTTTATTTAAAACGCAAGCGCAAGGATGCAAGAAGAGTGCAATGCTTCGATTTGGCTCGACCGGTCCATTGATCTTCGTAATGCGGGAGTCGAGCATTGATGAAAAGACATAAAGTGTCGGGCATGCCCTCGCACCTAATTGACGACGAAAGTGATTCCTAGAGGGCAAGTGATCGTCGGCTTTAGCTGTAACTCTTTCGATAATTCAGATATCTACATTGGGCCACGTCGTTCGACAGAGGCATCCCTCGACGACTCATCACGTATACGCGATATGCAAGTAGTTCATTCATCCCGCGACGCACCAACACATACGTGCACCACTAACTTCGCCCACACGCGAAAGCAAAGAGGAGAGAGAGAGAGAAGCCTCCCCTCGATCGACGCGCGACTCTACACGTGTTTGGCTTTACATCGCGTTTCCGAAGGTCGTCTCTCTCTCACTCGCTCTCGCACCGCTTTGAATGTTACTGGGTCACGGTGTCCGCCCCCCTTTTCCTCTCTTCCCCTCTTTCTGTGTAAGGGTATTTAACGACCTACCGAGGTCGTTGACTTTCCAGTAGATGTCTCTCTCTCTCTCTCGATGCTTTTTTTTGCTCTCCTACAGTTTTATTTTGCCTTCAGACCGCACTTACCCAACGCTCTTCGAGTGTCGTCCGTTTGTCAGGAATCCGATTTGCAGCGAGCGTAAAAGAGTGCGAACGCCGACTCGGAGGGATTCGAAAATGAATAGACAGCTGCCGTTTCGTATTACTCCTTATTTATTTTTAAATAATTGTTCACTACAAGTAAAGTTCACTCTTAATTACAATCATGTATCCGGCGTGAACGCGCCTTCGAAGTCTTATAATAATATTTTTTTTTTCATGCATTTTCACAATAATCATCGTCATCATCGTCATCCAGCGAAGCCGCACTCATCGTCTGAATCACTTACAAATTACACGGTATTTTAATCGCAGCTACGATCTACAATTCATCTCTTCGTCATCGACGTTACTTAAGTGATAGCCTATCTCACTCTCTCTCTCCCTCTCTCTCTCTCTCTCTCTCTCTCTCTCTCTCTCTCTCTCTCTCTCTCTTCATTCGCGTATATTTAATCTCTGTAAGGCCATAAGTGAAATACCTAAATTTATAATATCCAGCGCTACTTTTTACGTGTATACAAATGTTTGTTTTTTTTGCATTTTTTTTTGTTTTTTATCATATATTTCTTATATCCTGTTAGCTTCTCTAGGTACGTACAGTTTTTTCTTCTTTATCTCAACACATTTCTTTATGCAAAAAAAAGAAAAAAATTTACTTTATATGCCTACGGGATGTGAAATGATGCGTCGAAAAATTTTCCGACTCCGTGGTGCGTGTTATGGCAGTTCTCCAAATGGAGTTGGTGTTTTTTTTTAATTTTTCACTGTATCTTCGACTGTAAAGAAATGAAAAACAAAAAAATTTTTTAAAAAGCAAGAAAAATAGGAGCACTTTTTTGTACGACGATATAGGAGGTAAACGAAAAGAAAAATCGTGGCATCTTAGTTGTTTTTGTTTTGTTCATACATTTTTATTTATTAAACTTGAATCGTCGAAGCATCATCGGTGGCAAAGTATATATAGAGTTCCTTGGCGATGGACACGGGTCGTGAAAAAAAAAATTAAAACGTTGTGTCACTTACGAATCTAAGCGCATTACGTTGTCGTTGCAAACTGCGTGGGAGCGCAAAAACATAAGCAAGAGAGGAGGTTAAGAGACTTGGAATGTCGTTTTTCTATGTTTTTTCTTTGCTTTTAAGTCGGAAAATTACATCACTTTGAAAACAAAATATAACAGTGTCTCATTCTCACTCTCCCTCTCTCGTCGGGTATACCAGTCGTACAGTTTTGTTTTAACAATGATCTTGGCGTGTGAGGATTTGCAACTGAAGATGTGTTGTTAAATTACAAATATATATATCATATTTAATATGCATATTTATAAAATTTGAATGAACGCTCGCACGGCGCGAATCGCACTCATACCTAACGTAGCACACGCATTCGCTTTTTTCTTTCTGTCACAATCATTCTGCAAAAATACTAATTGAATCCCTGTACAGAAGAACCCCGTCGCAGCTTTCACTCTTACTTGAGATGGATCTACAAGATTAACTCGTCTCTGTTTTTGCCTCTCTCTCTCTCTCTCTCTCTCTCTCTCTCCCCTCCTTCCCCTTCTCTTCTCACAGTTTATAATCCATGAACTCGAACGTTTTTCGCTTCTAAATGTTTACTTACAAGGTATTTGGTTTTTGCAACACACTCGTATGTGCAACGTGTTTTGAATTTCTTTTTTTCTTGTTTACTTTTCTCGCTCCGTGTCGCTTTCTCTCTCTCTCTCTCTCTCTCTCTCTCTCTCTCTCTCTCTCTCTCTCTCTCTCTCTCTCTCTCTCTCTCTCTCTCTCTCTCTCTCTCTCTCTCTCTCTCTCTCTCTCTCTCCCTCTCTCCCTCTCTCTCCCTCTCATTTAGGTATATAAATTATGGTAATGATTCGGTAGTGTTTAAGATTATCATTATTATTTAATTACTTTGATATAATCGTTATAATAAGCGCCACCGCCTTTTGTTTGTCACCGCGTTCTTTAAAGAATGATACGTCATTTATACATCTACACACTCTTTCACTCTCTTTCGTTTACACGCTCAAGTGCCCCGCGATATTAAAGTTTGTCATGAAACTTTCGATTCGGCGGACACAAAAAAATAATCGGAGAAGGGAGAGATGATAGGGGGGAGGGTACTTTCAATGAGAATTATAAATGAACGAGAGACTCGTTGAAGAAAACGAATAAAAAGAAAAGAGCAAGTGAATGATGAATAAAAAAATGAAAAAGACGAAATCGGAAAAATAAACAGCATATTGAAACTCGCATGCGCACAGAGACGACTGGTTGGCTCGTGAAAAAAAAGAAGTAAGGGTTGTTGGCTGGCAGCAGCAGCAGCAGCAGGGAATAAATCTGCGACACTGTCAACAGTGGCCCGTTGTACATCCTTTTATGCCTCTGCTGCTCAGAGCATCATCGCGGCTGCGGCGTCGGTGGCTTGTTGTCTCAACATCACTTGCTCCGGTCACTTCTTGCTTTTTTTCGTGGGCGGCTCCTGTACCGAATCTTGCGACGAGTCTTCCTCAGTGCCGGCTTCGCTCTCGTCCGTCGGTCTCGCGGTACTGCTATCATCGTCGTTCGTTGGCGTCGAGTCATTTGTGTCCTCGTTGACGGCCACTGCGGTTGCATTTTTCGTCACCGCGGCCGACATATTGTTGCTGCTCGGAGTGGCTGGTTTGTCAAGCGAATCCTCAGTGAAGGACGTGGTCGTGCTGTTCTCATCGAGAGCTGCCGCTGGCTCACTGACATTCGTTGTCGACTTGCCGTTTGACTGCACTGTGGTAACGGTTGGCAACGCTGTAGCCAAGTCCTGGTTGCTGTCGTCGGATGGCTCACCGTTGGTCACATGCGAGTTGCCATTTTCTGTAGCTGCTGCGGCACTGCCATTCGCATCTGGGATGCCATCTAGCAAGTCTGGCTTCATCTCGGACGCTATATAGTGGGTCCATAAGGCCAGCTCTACTCGGTGTGGACTCCAGGTGGTGCCGTTTGTGTCTGCAAAGCAACGAAAGCATCGAACGTTAATGCCCAGCCAGCGTAAGCCTGTCGCTGTCACATGAACGAATATAAAACCTACTTTGTTTGTTGAGCCTCGTAACGGTATTCTGAATGTGCTGCACAAAGTTGAGATACTCCTTGGTGGTGTAGTCGATGCCCTCTATCTCGGGTATGGCCATGAGGCACTCGTCCGCCATGAACGGCGCGTGCTCGGGTGATGCTGCGGCCAGTAGGGCCGACGCCATCGTCGTGCCAACACCTTTGAGGTTGGACAGTGCAGTGATCGCTTGCTCGAGATTCGGTAGCTTCTTAAAGGCCTTTTTCGTCTCGGCCATCACAGCGCGCGGCGTGTTCACCTTCACGAGGTATGACAGCTGCGGATAGAATTTACCTCTCTACCGGAGAAAAACGAGGCAATTAATAGTAAAATGCAAAAAGAAGAAAAGAAAAACAGCGTAAACGCAATAAGTTAGCAAGGAAACTTACGATTTGCTTCCATTTCATCGTTTGACAGAGTTCCTCGTGAGTGAGGTGTCCGTCTTTGCCGCGCGCCTTGATCTTCTTGGGCAACTCATTCTGATACCTGCAAAAAGCATCGATCGGGTTATACACGTGAATGCAACGCGGAAGCGAAACAGAGTGGGGAGAGAGCGCGCGCGAGAGAGAGAGAAGGAACGATCTAAGCAACCTTGACACAGACACAGAGAGTCGCACTCTGGAATAGGGAATGAAAACAACAACAAGGGGGGCAAGCGAGAGAGAGAGAGAGAGAGCGCGCGAGAGAAAGAGAGAGAGACAGCGTCTGAGTAAGACGGAGCGATATGCACCGGCCGGCGATGAAAGACGCGCGCCGACACACACTTGCACACACATACACGCGGAAGGGAATTCCGAGTCTGTCTATCTGCGAGGCTGACATGTGCGCAAGCGAAAGCCGGCTATAATGTACGTACTGTACACGCGTGAACCGGCGATTTTACTTTCCGTTTTTAGTCGCGCGCTCTGCATCACGACAGTTTCTTTTCCGACTATATCATTCATCGGCTGTTCATCGTCGAGGGAATACTTTGTATGCTCGGGAAAACCGGCGAGTATTATTTTTAAGCGCAATTGCTCAAAAATGCCCTTTGACATATTTTCATCGTGAAACTTTGTGGGATTGTTTTGATACCGCGCTGATATCAATTGAGAGTAATTTCAAACGACAGTTTGGTTCAAAAGCGTCATTGGTGATATTTACGAACGCCACAAACTGCGCTTCAAATTATTAAAATCATCATTGATAATCCTGTAAAATCGGTTGTATACTTTAATAAAGGTTCGAGGAAGTATGTAAATCTACATGAAAACTGAACTCTGATTAACATGAAGAAATTAAATTTAATAGATAATCCATTTTACAGTAAACGTGATTTCTATAACGCCGACGAATGAAACATTTCTGGAGAAACTATGACAATGAGGAAAGCACATGTAATCTGCTAAAAATGCCTGGTGGCCATTTAATAAATAATTTTTTTAAATTTCGGGGTCAAAACTACAAAGGTATTCCGCTCACGTGGCAAAAAGTGGAGTACTAAGAAGCGCTCGACCAAGCAAATTCATCGAGACACCACTCAACTGCCACTTCAAATGTCTATTGTTCACGCGCTTTTCAAATAATATCAAAGAGTTAATTTAGAAAACAGCGTTAAACAACATAATCACAACAATCGATAAGAAATAACGAATAAGCTTAAAACACCGATGACACTGGTCCCGCCACAAGTCATTATGTGCGAGCCCGTCCCTAGAGACAATGAAAACCACTCGTCAATCGATTAAAATTTTGTCTGTTCGCTGTTGACATTTAGTTTTGACGTTGCTCAGTGAAATTCTGCAATTTGATGTCAAGGAAAGTTCAAGAAAAGTTCAAGAAAGCGTTGAAAACCGAGGGTGAAAAAGCCTTGGCGAGACAGCGTCTCTTTCCTTCTCTCTCACCAGATCGAAGCGGCACGCTGTACAGGAAGCCCCCACTACACGCCGTTCGACAATACGTGGAAAGGCTGCTTGAAAAGTTCCGATATATTGGATTTTTTCGTAGAAATTAATAGTCGTTTTTGTAGCTGCAGTTTCGAATAATAATCGATCTCGAAAAAGATGGAAATCAGCGCTTAAGAAAAGAGATGTAAAGCGACGGACGCTCGAGTTCATTGTCCGCTTGCGCTGGCGCGCGACGATCTCGTACTGATCATCCAAAGACGCGGCCGCTCTAAAATCACGCTACCCGCCAAATTCGAACGTACAGTATATCGAATCGTTAATTAATCATTGAAGAAACAGAATGAAAATAGTGAAAAATAAAAGTACAAATACGAGACGCTTTGAAGCAGAAGCGCAGCCATTACTGCGGCGCGTCCCTCCACACTAAGTTCGACTCACCAGTTGTCGAGTTTGATCAGCTCCTCGGGTTTCTTGCTCTTGTGGTTCTCAGCCTTGATTCTGAGTGCCTGTGGATAAAGTTTGAGTACATGCTCGAACTGCGTGTGCGTGCCCTCGGCAAAGAAAGTCGCCGTGTCTTTCACGGAAGCCATTGCGCCACGGCTCGGTCTCGCACTCGCTTGCTGTACTGTACTCTCTATCTCAACAACTACGCTGCGCCGCCAGGTGTCGCTCACTCGCAACTGGCCTTCTTACGTGCCAGACCCGATTTTTTGAAAAAACTTTCAGTTTTTTCTTTCCCCGCGCGGTTTTGTATGGGTTCGCTATTCCTTTTTTTTTATTCAAATAGTTTTTGTTACTTTCAATCAATTGCCACACTCGCGATGAAATGTCTGCCAATTGACTGCGACGTGGGAATAAAAAAAACAGAAGAGCTTTTGTAAAACAAACGTTGACTTTTTGTGTTCTTCTCGTGTACGCACTGATGGAATATATAGCTAAAGTGTATTGTATGTCGCGTTAAGAGTAGCCGCGCACAGCACGGACGGAGCTGGACTGACTGCTAGACTGCTGTTTGTCGGCCGCCGCTTGCCGGCGGGTGGGGATTGCTCCACTAGTTGGCGCCACCAACTTCAAGCGTTCCGTCTCACTCGCACTTTAGTCGAGAATCCACGTAAGTCTCTCTTGCGCCAGGTTCTCCCCACTCAACATACCGCCCCTGCGGCTTCCCCTCCCGCAGCACCGCCGGAGAGGCTCTCTCGACATGACAGTAATGCTGCTCATACACTACTAGATTTTCTATGAAGATCGTATTTTCGAATGTATCTTTGACTGATTGCGATTTTTGATCGATGCCCATCCATAAATTTTCGCTCTTCAGCCGGGCATTTCCAATATCATAGAGTATTTTTCGCCTCAATGCCAAATATTCCAGATGCATTGTTAATTAAGTCAATTAACACTATTGAAAATCAACAAAAAATTGATAAAATACGTGAAAAAGGATACGATGAACGATGCGTATTTTAAAATGCGTTTTTTAACGTTGAAAATCACATTGTACACGCTTATATCATTGATAACGCAAAAATACATTCCTGGAATTCGGCCTATGGTCGGTGAATATTGTAAAATTCAGCACTGGCGATCGCGGAGAGTAATGGAGAGGATTGCAATAAAATTATTGTATGATAAAAAAAAACAGAGTGTTACATAACAATTTAGGAAAAAATTCGAAATACGCTGGAAAAACAATGAAAACGCGCGAAGCGAACGTGCGAGAGCATCCCTTCGCCGGTGCACGCGGCGCCGGTCTTGTTTACATTGACAAAACCGATGCAGGAGTTATTTGCGCGAGCATAAAAAAGGCTCTCTAACGTCGTATCTGCTTGGTCGAGACAAGTGGAGAAACACCTTCAACTCTCGCCTCGCTGCGTTCCGTTCTCCGTCTCTCTCTCGCACGCTCGCTCGCTCGCTCTATACTCTCGGCGCAGAGCCAATATGTATACGAAATTTCGACCGTTGAGCTGTCACTCTAAGCGCGCGCATGTGCGCGCAAACTAGCCAGTGAGAGCTACACTCTTTTTTCCTCGCGTGCACATGCATGCTTCATAGCCGACGACGAGATCTCTTGGCCGGCACGCTCGCTTTTCTAGGTTATGGGCGTGCAACGTCAACTTTTTCTTCGCCTCGCGTTCTTTGTCAAGAGCTGAGCAAGCGTTATTTTTATATTGCTTTGTCCTCTAGATCTCCTATCTCGCTTGATTTTCCTTTCAACAGAGATAATCAAAGGGCAAAATGCATTATTTAGGGAAGAACAATTGCTTAATCGTTATTTTACGTTCTAAAGTAATTTTCGTTTTCAGCTGCGAGAGAAAACGAGCGCTTTTTCTAAATTTAACCGTACATACATATAAAGCGCTCGCTCGGCTCTACAGTCACGAGAACGCGCGCACAGCAGTCGAGGATGACGAAGCTCCCCGAGCGAGCAAACGAACGAGCAAGAGAGGGAGAAGCCGAGCGAAAACGGGAACGCCGAGGTCTGTGCTGTGCCAGCAGCAGCGGAAAGTCGATTTACCCGGCACTGCCAACAACTATATATATATATACATATACATATACACGTATATGTATGTAGCGAAGGCGTCACGGGACTGCAAAAAGTGACGGTAACAGTACCGATATACAAAATGTTCAAGAGGTTTTCGGATTAATTATACTTGTCGGCCAATTTTTTTATTGACTTTTTAAGGAACACAGGATAGTATTAAATTTTTTGAAGTAGACGCTTTGGAGTGAGGCTTTTACTTATCCCTATAGTGTTGCCAGCACGTTCTAGAGCATTCTCGTGGAATATTCTAGAAAAATTGCTATACCAAATAATTGTGCGAGCGAGCGCGATTCTCAGAGCATCAAACACGCAACGCTATCTTGCGGCTCGATCCCGTCAGAGATCCAGTGCTGCAGAGATCGTGGTCGGTTTATCAGACCAGCCGCTCCACTGCTGCGACAGCCTGGAAATATATTGGGGAATATTTTATGACGGTAATGCGCGTCGTCAAGTGACGATAATACTCCTTTTTTTCCTCTGCCGCAGCTAGCGTTTTCCCCTCCCCTTGCCCCTCAATCTCCCCACCCAAAGAGGCTTATAGGTTATGTCGGCGCGGTGCAGGGTGAAGGGGAACATCACAAGCACGATGGTGGGGAGGGATGTTTTGAGGTTAGGGCTACTCCCACTCTCCAAGCCGCTCCCAGCTTCTCTCCCCTCTCCTCGGACAGACAGCCTTTCGTGTAAGCATATACGATTGCGCCTTTTATATATCGTGCACACGTACGTGTGCCGAAATCGCATTCACACGCTGGAATTCCGGCTGGCGGCGATCCCTTCTTTTATAACCCACGAGAGAAAGAGAGAGAGAGAGCGGAGGCTGTGCCAGCCAGCATGAGTACACGTTCTGGCCGAGGGAGCCGGCAGGCCTTGAGAGGAGACAGCACAGCAAGCGAGCGATTCTCTTTGGAGCTTGGCTGTGGTGTGCTCATTCCCGCTCCCTTCTCTCTCTTTCTCCCTCTCTCTATCTCTCTCTCTCTCTCTCTCTATCTCTCTCTCTCTCGCTCTCTTCTATTTCCGTAGCATGGCAGCGGTGCCGATCGATGCTGTGCTGGCCTGGCCTGGCGCGCACATAGCCAGCACACGTATAGGTTATGTTGCACACATAACCTTAACTGTAGCGCATGTATGTGCGATGGCACGTGCACCAACACATTTACACTGTTTGCTCGCCTCGCGCTATCTCTCCGCCAATGCGGGCTGCGTGTTTACGTGCCCGCGCGCATGTACGACTCCTCCTCGTACGTGTACGCGTGCATAGATACATCGGCTGTACGTACGTAGGTGTGCATACGAACTACACGTAGGACTGCGCGCGCATTTGCTCGCTTGATGTTTCGCTATTCTCTCACGGACGGCATAGGGCATGCATTCTTCAATGCGATCTGGCGCCGTAGTTGTCAATTTTAAGGTTATGCGCTTACTCTCGCTACGCTTATCGCCCCCTTTGCCAATTGATAGAACGCACCACGCGGCGGCCCGCCGACACCGATAAAGCTCCAAAACGCGGGAGGGGTGATGAGCGTCAGCATGTGTGCGATGCCTCGTGCGCGTCTCGTCGATTCTACACTTCGGCTCGCTTAGCTGTGCGAACGCTCTCAGCGATAATTCGTCACCGTGTGTGTGCGCGTGCGCACGCGTTTTTTTCTTCACGAATGCTGGTTTTTAGTATTCTATCGCGTCGTGCTCCGACCGATCGCACGAATCTTTGCTCTTTATTGCGCTCTTTTTTTGCGTTCGCGCGCGATTGAATGTTGTTTGCGTTGGACGCTCCGAAATGATTGCAAATGGGCTGTACGGCTACTAAATGAAAATTTTTTTCCCAAATAAATTCTGAGATGCTTTCGCCGAGTATAGAAGCAAGCTAGACTGGCGTTATTTTCAAGCTCGGTGTAAGCAAGACACTGCGCTGCCGCGCCATCGAATGGAAAGTGCCGAGGCGCGGTAAATTTCCGCGCGGCTTGATCGTATACACGGCGCGAAGAGAGCTACGGCCAAAGCGAAGAGATAATAACTTTCAAAGTTCTCTTTCCCTGTTTTTTTTTTTCATTTTTCAAAAAAAAGCTCGTAATGCTGCATTGTTATAGGCTACAAAAACAACGACAATCAGAATTTTCGGAGTTGTTGAGCTAATTTTGCGCACGTACAGCAATGGGAACAAAGAGAATTGATAGTCTCGCGTAAAGACGGTAGCGCTGTAATTGCAACCTATGAGATTTGAACAAAGTGGCGCTTTGTTTTATCCCCGAATTATCAGCGTAGTGATCAGAGAAAACTTTAAAGATTATTCATTTTAGATTCAATCTACATTCGCCACGGGAGAGCAGCATTCCTCGCGATAATTCAATTCATGATACTCGATATCAAAAGAAAGGCCCCTGTAAACAAACGGGATATACTAGGCGGGCATGCGAAACGGCGCGGGAGAGTAGCGATCTTGATCAATCGATAATGCTTCGATCCTAATCGTGGGGGGCGCAAGGATCGTCCTTGGCTTCGTCCTTCCCGGAATGCTAGATAAGCAAGGGGGTCGACGGCACTGTGTTGCGCGTATAACGCAAGGGGGCATAAACAGGCCATTACGATTCCGCGCTTTTCCTCGTGGGCACCTCTAATTATACCAGGGCCTATCCTTAGCCCCAATCTGTCTGGGCGTGGATCCGCAATCCAGGTAGGTAGAATACGAGGGCTTTTCCCACCCCTACCACGGCCAACCCATAGATTATGGTGCAGCTCTTCTACTTCGGTATTTTTAGTCCTCGTTCACTTTTCAGGCGCACCTCCACTTTTTACGCATACTTGTTCTTCGTCGCTGCAAGCTTGACGCTTCATAACTTTTGCTGCGCTTGGACTGCTTCATCAGTGGACAATTTTCGAAAGTGTAACTGTTGCTGCGAGAGTGACTTGGATACTTACAACGGAGATTACTTCCCGCGAAATCTGTCGGAATTATCGCCGTTCGGTGTTGAAGCGATTTCGCATTTTTTTGCAAACCAAGTCTGCGAGAAAAAAAAAACAAAAAAAAACAAGCCGTTCTAGTTGCCGCGCGGCGCTTATTCAACAAGCCCGTTTGCAAAACAACAAATGTTTCGTTCTAAGCGCACTTTTATATCTTCATTAAGAGAGCCGTTCGAGTTTTTACGGCAGTCCGGGGGAATCAAGAGAGCAACAATGGATTTTGCCTCACAAAGCGCCAACAGAACGGAAACGCCGGCTTTTATGAACTGTATCTATTTTTCCTGCGCCCGCGAGCGGCCAGTAGCGGCGCGGAGGCATAAAAGAAAAAAAAACAAAAAATTTTTCAACGCTAAACATTTTATCGTCACGAGTAAAAAGGAACGTCCGATGAATTAATTTGATTCTTCGTGCGAGAAAATTACAACAAACGCTCAATGTTATTTTTGCGACCGCGCGTGTATGCATAATTGCATATATATAATATA